GCACAGACTGTAATGTATGGTTTTGTCCTGCCTGTCCTCAAACTATTAGGGATCATATCCATTCTGTCTTTTTTCTTTACCCTTTGCAGAGTTGCCTCCATGCGTAATGTCACTAATTTCTACTTGACTAATTTGGCTGTTGCAGATTTGATAGTTTTGATTTCAGTTGCCACTCAACAGCAATGTGTGGCCTTGACAACACAGAATGCAATGGATACATCATATTTGGGGAACTCGGCCCAAGCAGTTATCACTCTCTTAGCGTACATAATCAAAGTGGGTTTTATTTCATCTTTAGCCTTTGTAACACTGCTGTCTTATGAAAGATATTTTGCCATTTGTTGCCCTTTCCAACACCGTAATCTCAATCTCAAACGACGGGCAATACGAGCAGCAGTTTGCATATGGTTTCTGTCACTGTCCATAAGTTTGATCAATTTGTTTCATCGGTTTCTGAACATGCATTTACAACCAATCAAATGTCTTGTTTGGCCAAATGAGGAAAAGTATAAACATCTATCAAGTAATGTGCAGATAATGGCGAGTAGTGATGTAACTTTGAGTCGGGTTAGTAATGGCATATCTTTGTGTGTATTTATGTTGAGTTTGATCCTCACAGTAGCTTTCAATATCCTCCTAATTAAGGGACTGCATGCACCAAATCCAACTGGTAATCAGATCCAAGGCCCATCAAAACATCTTAAAAGAGTGACTCTGATACTTTGCATCAACACAGCCGTGGTAATTTTCTGTTTTCTGGTCCAAGCTGTAAGTGTCCTAATTGTAATTTTATCGGCAAACTTGGAAGAAGTAACTGTATCTTACGATGTTCAAATGAACTTAGGTCTGATGAGTAATTTCTTCGGAGTCTTTAACTCTTCCATTAATTCAGTCATATTCAATGCTGGAAGTGGAAGGTACAGGAAGGCCTTCAAGCAAGCCTTCTGCTGCAGAAAGAGGCAGCAAGTACCAACAAACAATATCCCTCTGCAGACATTACCAAGAGCTGATCCTGCAGACAGGATCAGATAATAGGGTCTTAAGGCCTGACCCCTCCATAAAAAAGTGAAAAAGAAAAGAAAAGAGGAAGATGCCATTCTCTCCTCGAAAACTTTGTGTAACCTCCATGGCAACTTCCAAAAGTTCAATTTATTGATGCCTTGTTGCTAAGCTTTTCAACAAATTTCAAACACTGGAACTCACAGCACGTCGGTTTTATGGAGAGAGCCATAGTATACTTTGTTTTAAAAAATGTTTCAACTCCATCGACCAACGCATTTTTGATGTCCACAAGTCAACAGATTTCAGATGGAAAAAAATGTAAGCATCCACACTATGATGATTGCTGTCTGTAAATACACTGTACATACTACCGGTATACAACTAACAGTTGTTTAATGTAAACACAAAAAGAAAGTTACTATGTTATTTTTTTTTACGATTGTAGTGGTATTAAAGACCTGTATCTTCCATGCTGTCTTTGTGTGTTTACTTTGTCAGTACTCCGGGGGACTTGTTCTCATCTTCAACAATTCTAGTTTTGTGTAGGTTCTCTCTGAATTTATTGCTTTTTAGCGCTGGCAATAGAATTTAAGAAAGGTCTCCAAGAAAGCCTTTCTTTTGACATTGTCATCGGTTAAAGAACTTATAGTAAAAAAATTAATGAAATGTGAGAGCCATCGCGTCATACATGTATTGTAAACAGTGCCCTCTTAAGACACGTACGGAGTAGTTCTACAATATTCCCTGAACAAAGTTGACTGATCAGTGATTTCAAGATGGCTACACTTTCTTTCAACCAATTTATTTTAAGAACCTACACAATGCAAAAGCGCAAATCGAAAGGCCTAGCTGTACTTTAAATATTTATCTCAATGCTTACAAGTGAATTTATACATGTAAATAATATGGTATCAGTTTTGAGGCAACTTTTTTGAAAAAAAAAAATCAAATCTAAGAAAGAAAATAAAAGCAGCAATCTTGAAAATCAAAAGGGATACCACCCATCATCATGTGATTATTTTTTGTTTATATACAACATAATCTGCTTGAAAATTACCTTGTGAGTTTCAATGCGGCATTTGGTTATTTAAAATATTTAAGTTAAACGCTGTACTTCAAGTTAAATTTGCAGAGTGAAAAATGACCACATGCACGTCAGTTTCGATGTGATAAACCAGCGATAGTATTTAAGGAGAACACTTGCTTTGCAAGATCAGACTGCATGTCCTAGCTCAGCTGCCACATCACAGTGTGTCGCTGTTCCAACTTGCTAAAGTTAACAGTGAATGGTTTTCACTGCACCTTGAGCCTGTAGCACTTATGCACACTCTCTCCATTTCTAGTCAACCAGCAATTCAAATTGACATCGGTTCTCATCCCAGACTGTCCAGTTCACTGGGGCCATCACTCCTCTCTGAAAATTGTCATCCCATGTTTTGGACGGGCCTGTCTGTGCAGTGAAACATACCAGCTCCAAAAACATAAACAGGTGACAACTGTTTGTTACATCTTCTCTTCCTTGATTTGAGAGGGCCACTAGATCTGAGAACTAAGTCTTTGGAAACTGACATCAACACGGCTTCCAATTTCTTTCCACCCCAAAAGGAAGTGAAGAATATCTGGAAGGACCTGGCTACATTACCCTGAGGTCATAACCTACCTTAAACTGTGCCAAACTAAATGGCCATATGTCCTTTTGAAAAAAAAAAAAATTGCCTTGTATCCTGCTTGAGAGACAAGATTTTAGCTTGCAATTCCCAACTGTGCTGCTGCTGAACAAACCTGCAGTTATCCTCACCAGTCAAACTTATCTTGCTTGATTCTGTCGTCATCTGCAAACCACTCTTTTGTTCAGCTCTTCATTCAGTGAGCAAACTTCTGCTGTGTTTCTCCACCCCATCTTATCTGCAAAAGACACTGAACAGTTGCGTTTGCTAGCATTTAACACTTCTGTACAGACACGGGTAGCAGCAAGACTCTGTGTCCATCATGTTTGCGTACAATTCAAATGTCACCGTCTATGCCCAAGCTACAACGTCCCTTGCTCAGCTGGACATTCTGGTCTGTACCTTCTTCACCTGTGCCTTCCAGAACCACACCAAAAACTGCTCTGTGGCCTATTCCGCATACCAGATGGACTATCTACTGATCTGGGACGACAGAGGGCCAGCCCCCCGGGCACTGATGAACGAGTCCTACAATGCACAGAGCAACGAGACATACAAACTTTTCAACCACTCGCTGAACATCGCAGCCTTTCAGAATCCGGCTGAGGCTGACGATCATGTGTATTCCAATGCAGAGACTGTATTGTATGGTTTTGTCCTGCCTGTCCTCAAATTATTAGGTCTCCTATCCATTCTGTCTTTTTTCTTGACCCTTTGCAGAGTTCCCTCCATGCGTAATGTCACTAATTTCTACCTGACTAATTTGGGTGTTGCAGATTTGATGGTCTTGCTTTCAGTTGGCACTCAGCAAGGCGTGGCTGTGACAAAGCAAAATGCATCAGATGATGTATCACATTGGGGAAACTCAGCCCAAGCAGTTTTTACTCTTTTAGCATACATGATAAATGTGGGTGGTATTTCATCTTTAGCCTTTGTAACACTGCTGTCTTACGAAAGATATTTTGCCATTTGTTACCCTTTCAAACACCGTAATCTCAACCTGAAACGACGGGCAATACGAGCAGCAGTTTGCATATGGTTTGTGTCGTTGTCCATAAATTTGATCAATTTGTTTGATGAGTTTCTGACCATGAATGTACCACCAATCAAATGTCTTGTTTGGCCAAATGAAGAAAAGTATAAACGTCTATCGAGTAATGTGCAGATGTACGCGAAGAGTGATTGTATTTGGATACAGGTTGGTAATTACAAATTTTTCTGTGTATTCATGTTGAGTTTGATCCTCACAGTCATTTTCAATATCCTCCTAATTAAGAGACTGCATGCACCAAATCCAACTGGTGATCAGAACCAAGGTCCATCAAAACATCTACGAAGAGTGACTCTGATACTTGGCATCAACACAGCCGTGGCATTTTTCTGTTTTCTGGTCCAAGTTGTGACTGTTGTAATTGTAATTGTATCACAAAGCTTGGGAGAAGTAGTTATATCTTTCGAAGTTCAAATTAACTTAGTTCTGACGACTGGTTGCCTCTTAGTCATCAACTCTTCCATTAATTCAGTCATATTCAATGCTGGTAGTGGAAGGTACAGGAAGGCTTTTAAGCAAGCCTTCTGCTGCAGAAAGAGGCAGCAAGTAACAACGAACAACATCCCTCTACAGACATTACCAAGAGCAGGTCCTGCAGATAGGATCAGATCATAGGATCCACAGACAAAATTCTGCACTCCGGCCCCCCACAAAAATGGGATTAATTGCAATCCTCTCTTTCAAAAAGTTGCTATAACTTCCATACACATCTAAAAGTTCTAAAGTCATTTATTGTTCTGTCATTGTTAAGTGTTTCGACAAATTTAATGCAACTATAGTCTGTTGTGTGATATAGCTCTGACAGTTGTTTCAGTGCAAACAAAGAAAAGAAAAAAAATAATTTGGTTTGTTCAAATATTGTGTACTGCATCTTTTCATTCTGTGTTTTGTTTGTTAAAATATGTTTGACTTGTACTTAATAATCCTTGCATTCTATTGGTTCTCCCTGGATTCAATGTCAGGCTGGCAATAGAATATAACAAAAAGATCTCTAAAAAAGCATTTCTTTGACATTGTCTTCCATTAAGTAACTGCTGTAAAAAAAAAAAAAAAAAAACTTTTACCAAACTGATGCCCACTCCCCAACACCCCTCCTCCCCCTTCCCCGTCCTCCTTCTGTTTAAGGCATAGACTTATATTTTAAAAACTAGAGAGTGCACTCATTGTACGCTCTCGTTCCGACATGGACGTGCAGCCGCCATACTTTAGGTGGAACAATGGACCCACTTTTGAATTGATTTAAAGTGCGCGCCTGCATGGGTTCGTAAATTAGTATTATGATGTACGTTACACCTTACACGCGGAGACTGAGTGCACTTGCACAGTTTGTTTACTTTGACCGAGTGTATGACGTTTCCAAGCCGTTGCTAAAGTTGGCGGGGCTTATGACCAATCCCGATCGGGCCATTGTTCCACCTAAAGTATGGCGGCAGCGCGTCCACGTCGGCACGCTTGCATGTGTGCGTAGTATATGGATTGTACTCTCTAGTTTTTTTTATATAACTCTAAGATGGTAGCACAGCAAAGGGTTTTCAGTTAAGGCTTAGCACGCCCCTGCTACCCCAAAGTCTTTAAAGCTGAAATATTCCACCATTGATTGTTAACTCACCTTAGCATTTCCCAATGCAATTTTCTGACCAATGAGGCAGGAGGGGAGGGGCGGAGCTGATGTCATTCGAATAATTATATAATATTGGATGGCTTTGAGGTGGATACAAGAATATATTGCAGGAGCTATGACAATATTGCACGAGTCGAAGACGAGTGCAATCGTGCAATATTGTCATAGCGAGTGCAATATATTCTTGTATCCACCAAAAACAAGCCATCCAATATTTTTATTATTATTTATATCAGGCTGGCTGACTTGATCCGCAAGAAACATAATTCAAGACACTGTCTTCATTACATCTTTTTTGTTTACATCAAACGTTTTGAAGCTGCCACTGCAATTGTTGACAACAGTGTGCATATATCTGGCCTTCTGCGCACTGCATGCGCGCGGCCTGTTCCGGTACGCGCGCGCTACGCTCTGTTGAGTGGTTGACAACTGTGACTTTCTTTGCACTTGATCAAGTGGGAACCAGCGAAAATGCCTGGATGACTGCAATAATAATGTTATTGCAGTCAACCGGGTACTTTATTATTGTTGTCATCCGGGAACTTTTTATGAAAGCATGCAATACGCTGATTTATTTTTACCGCTGGAAGCCTGATATAGGTAATAAACAATATGTTGTGTATTTGATAAAAGGTGGGTCATGGGGGAGGGGCTTGCACAACTACCACCTCTAGTATTGCATGGGAACATAAGTGCCATTTATTTTCTTTATTCTGCACAAACCTTGCCTTTCCTGGCATTGAGTCATTCTTAAATGTTATAAGACTAGCGTGAAATGATAACCATTGGAATAGAGGAACCATCCTTTTTTTTGGGGGGGGGGGGTGGTCGTTCAGTAATGGCTCCCTCTTTTATAGTTCATCCACATAGCAGTTTTATAATAGTTGCTAAACAAGGAAGCAGTTGACAGAGCTATCAATGATGACAAGAGATGGTTACACTTTAATAACCAACTTTAAGTCAATAAACTTTCACATTACAAAAGTGAAGCATTCCTTTGGCAGGCCCATCTCCACTTCCAGTAGTTTCCCTTGTTTATGAAACTATAAATAACTAATTTTTTTTTTAACATAGAAAATCAAATGCAATGGACCTCAACAAAGAAACTACTGGTTTCTGGTTTAGAAATCAAACGGGACGCCCCCATAATCTTGTTATGTTTATAACAATACATCAAAGTAAAAGTGACTTCATCAGTTTTGATGCGATGTTGGGCAGTGTAAAGTTTGAGACATTGGATCCCTCCGGATAATTTTGCCTATGAATTTTGATTTATGTGCAGAATGATAACAAATTATCAGGCTTTTTAATTGAAGAATGCTTGCATAGTGAGGGTATGGTATGTGTTAAATGTGAGTGAGATGTAGCCAATGTTCGTTCACTTAACAAAGAGGGGGTACTGATGCATGCCCCTCCCCATGAACTTCATATTGTTGATTACATAACTGACATATACATGCAGATCCTTGTCATTTGATACGTGGAACGCATATCACGTGACATTCATTATTGCTCCCATTCACGCTGGGGCTCAAGAAGTCCCATTCGCCCATGGTGAATGGGATTTACTGTTCAACAGTTAGGATCATCCTTTTTCCATGTCGCGATATTTGTGTGCAAATGCATGCTGGCGTGCGGGTTGAGCATTGCGCGTAGCGCGTATAGTTGCAAGAGCCAGTAGCTACAGAGTTGGGTTCAAACATTTCGTGAAGGAGTGGTTTGGAAGAGAGATATATACATTTCCCACGATTTTTTTTATTGAAAAAGAAATTTCATCTTCACTGTAAATCAAATGACAAGGATCTATATGTCAGGTATTTAAAACAAATATTGAGTGGCTTTAAATTATGAAATGGGAGGAACATTATCGCTCGGTAAAATCTGGACTTTTCCATTTCACTCAGCTAAAAAAGTCCAGATTTCAAATTGCAATAATATTCCTTCCATTCCACTCTGAGCCACTCAATGTTGGTATAATAAACCACAGTCTTGCATTTGTTATAGTCATCCCCCCCCCCCTCTTCTGCTCCACCTCTTTTCTCAGTTCAGAAACTTGTGTGAGACAAAATATTATGCATTTGTTTAAGTTTTTATCTGGAGGGAGTTGTATTTTTTTCTGTTTTTGGCCTGAGAGAGAGAGAGAGAGAGAGAAAGAAGGGGGGGGGGTGGGGTTCACACCCTTGGCAACAATTTGTCAGTAGTATGAACAATTCCATTTTTTTGCATATTTAGAGCAGCCTAAAAGGCCGTCGGTCGACACGGCAGACAATGGACCTGTGGAGACAGAAGTGAAGAAGAAGAAAAAGTCGCAAAAGGACAAGAAGCATGACACAATGGCAGACATTACCCGGAACAGTGAGGAGAGCAGGCCCCTGGCCAAACAGGGTGATACACAGGGTGGGGATGACAGACTGGCAGGAGAAGGGGAGGTTGAAGATGACAGAGTTACGACAAAGGCACATCGAAAGGGCAAGAAGCGGAAACAGCAACGTCGTGTGCAGGTACATTGTACATTGTTTTCCACCCTCGGCCAGAACGCAATTTATTTTTAGCCAGAACGCAATTTTTTTTTGGGGGGGGGGGGGGAGGGGGGCCCAAATGTTCTTTTGATCCCTGAAAAAGTGGGTCCAAAAGTTTTCCACCCCAAATTCAATATGAGAAAGCAAGGGGGCCAAATGTATAGCTTTTGTTGAGTTTTGTGCGTGGTGTACGCAGTGGTTGCCTGTTTTGCAATGTCACTAAAAAAAAAAAAAAAAAGTATTGCCCCCCCCCCCCCCCCAGATCCACCGTTGTCCGTCACTACCACAACGGTTTTCCTGGTGCCAAGATGTTGTGTTTCAGTCTAATAAGTATGACAAGAGCAGAATTGTCTTCAGGACAATTGTTTTGCTGAATGGTTTTTCATCCCAATCACAGCATTAGGAAGAGCCTACACAGCACTTCATTTTGAGCATTCAACTTCACAACAAGATGAATGTGAACATTTATTTGGGTGACATCAATGACAGTTCACATAAAGAGTTTATTTCTAAAATGCCATATATCCTTTTGAAAGGAGTGAACACTTTTCCATGATTCTGAAACTTTAAAGACAGTATGACAGCTATTTCGAAGCTTCACTTTTTACTGTACTTAAGGGTGAGTCATAAAAAGCGGAACCAAAACCCCCCAAAAATATATTTCATATTGTGTTTAAATGGTGATATTTGAACGGATTGACCAATTTCAGTAATTTTTTCATCTAAAAGTAGCTTATGAAATTAGCTTGCCAGTCATTATTATGTTTGATGCTACATATATTTTTACATATGAAATATAAATTTTGGGGTTTGGGTTTGGCTTTTTTTGACTCACCTTGTAATTAAATAAGTTGTGTTTGGGCAGCCAGGAGAGGGTGGATTCTAAAAGGTAACAAAATGGCGTGTATTATTGCATTTTGGAAACCAAATCTTCACATACACCCCTAGCAACACCCATTCACCGAAGCCTCCCTGTTAACACCACCACTGATTTTCGCATATAATTCCTCTTATTTTCGTATGCAGAATGACGACACAGTCCACCAGAGTCCCATAAACACTGAGGAAACCCAACCAATCAAGAAGAAAAAGAAACACAAGAAATGAACAGTTGCTCGGCTGTCATTCAACTACATAGAGGGCCTGTGGATGTTATTTTTTTTTTAGTGAACAATTTGACCAAACCGAGTGTTTTGATTTTTAAAATGAAAATCAAATTGGTCATTTTTTTTTTTAAATGAAGAGTTCTGATCGTGGAATCGTGCTTCATAATTATGTTTGAAATAAAATTTCAAATTTTCTCCAAATGTATAGTTTCACTTAGCTGAAACATCAAGAATAAAGTTGTGAATGCAGTAATTACATCTAGCAAGTCCTTTTGTTCTGAGCCTCATAGTACCAAAAAAAAACTTTTTCGATATTCAAAAATCCAGCAGTTTTGTCATTCTGTCAGTCAGGCAGGGAATTTTGACATATTCAACCAAAGTTTACACTCTGTTTACAGTTAGAATACCTGGTTCAAAATGAATATTACCATGATTTTGGAAAAGAATTTCTTACAGATTTTGTGATAGAAAAAAATACAATGCAATTCCAGCAGTGCCAGTGCTGTAGTCTAGTCCATCAAAAGTCGAGTCATAAGTCGAGAGATAAATTACAAGTCAAGTCACAATTTGGGCGTGATCCCTGGTTGCATGGCACAGGCTTATGACTTTTGACTAGCGCCCATTGAACAAAGATATGGACCATTTGTGGAACTGCCAACATAGGGATGGATAGCTCAGTTGGTAGAGCACCGGAATGGTAATCTGGAGGTCGCAGGTTCAAACCCCACTCCAGTCAATTTCTTTGTTCAACTTAAAAAAAAATAATAATAATTATAATAAAGGATGACCTAGGACAAAGAATGCATTTGTCACAGTTCCTTTCATAAGTTTACATTTAACTTCCCATTTCCTTCTTTGTAAACGCGCCAAATCACCGGAGCAGATGTAACCTGGGGTGGTACGGGGATAATAATGTCCTCTTCTCTTGCTGAGTTTTTCCTCCACTGACAAGTACATGTACTATTTATTCGTAGACTATTTCTGAGAAAAAAAAATGGGTGTTTTACATTTTTCATCTTATTTAAGCGTCACGATTTTACTCCTGTTGTGTTATTGCCAGAGAAATGGGGGGGGGGGGAGTATTCATTCTCGAGTTACGTTAGCTACAGCATCATTGAGGTAGTCTTAAATAGTCGTAGGGTATTTTGAAGCTAAGCAAACAACTAGTGGCACTATCTGACTTGAACCGCACACGTAATCAGCTAGCTAGCTGTACGTGCACATATCAAACAGGTTCGACATTGATACTCCATATGTACAGCTAAATACTCTGTAAACACAGCACCAAATCATTACGGTGACTTTCCCTGATATTTACAATTTTTCCTGAAAAGTGCATCTTCCTTTTCAAGTCAGAATTTGTAAGCATCAGCTTTACTTTATTTTTGTACCTAATTAGTAGCACTGAAACAATAGGCCTACAATGAAAACCCATATTTCTAAAGTTAGACTTTCTTGTAATCCTGGGCCGACCGGCTTCCTCCCACAGTTGAAAAATGTGTGAACTGAAAAGTTAACTTTTATTGACTGTGAAATCATGGAGTAATAAAAAAAAACACAGCCATAATTTTCTCAAATACTGGACTTTGTGAAATATAGACTTGTCTTGTATCTTTATTTCTTGTTTAGATGCAGACCTGGTAACTTGCAGGTGCTAGAACTCTTTTTTTTTTACTTCTTCGAATTTTGACTTTGGTCGGTCACACTAGCTAGTAGGACTGACCAAGGTCAACATTCAAGGAAAAAAGGAGTTGTAGCACCCCAGTTACTGGGTCTAGTGTAGATGCATTTATTTCATGTACATGAACCTTCATGGAGGAAACGGAGCATCCCTAGATCATGACAGTTTAGTTTCCATTTGACTTTTGGTTTCAAAACTTTCTCCGTCAAATTGCATTGAAATTAAATGTGGAATTGGGAATTTCCATATTTTTCTCCCATGCGAGTTCATCTTAATGGTAAGAGTGATATGCAACTTATCTACTGCTGGTTGAACAATGGATATGCGAGACTCGGCGCACGACTGCAGTCCAATTTCTTACAGGTTTCAACGAGATTTCATGTTTCGCGCCTGCAGCTGTCGGGGGATTCATGGCACGCGCATTGTTCTATATGTTCCTTGTTTTACATGTTGTTCTACATGTTACTTGTGCAGCAAGTAAGCATCTTTGGATCGCATGGAGCAGTTTGCGCAATCAACCGATCGCAATCATGCAGGAAAGGGTGGGCACAATAGACCTTAGACATAATGACGTCACACTTTGTTTACATGTGCACTTTCCTATGGGAGCCAGGTGGGCTTCCTCACCTGGCTCCCACAGGAAAGCGTATATATCTAAAAACGTGACGTCATTATTTCTTAGGTCTATCGATTGACAATGTTGTACTTGAAGTTGAGTCCATACCACAAGTCTATCACAATTCACAAGTCCATCTCAACTTCAGTCAATAGTAAACCACAAGTCTTTTCCGGTCACAAGTAAAAGGAGTTGAATAGCTTGTGACTTCACTTGAGACTGGAGGACTTGTGTTGGACTTATGATGACTTGTGACGGACTTATGATGACTTGTGACGACTTGTGGCGGACTCGAATATATGAACAGCTCTGTTAGTTGGTCTTGCAGGAACAGGTTTTAGGGATTTGTCAATCGCAGATGTGAACCATGTAACATTGTGCGCAATTTCACTTTGGAAGAAATAACAATCGTTAAACTGGCACTTCATTTTTACACATTTATCCTATTCTTGTTATCGATTAAGTAACCATGGATACCACACCAGGGATAAACACACCGGAATCACCTGCCAGCCCAGAGGGAGTGAGATCAGTGGAGGAGACAGCAATATCTAGGTAATCTTGGCTGCATCACGCTTGAACGTTCCTAGAAAATGTGTCAACTGAGAGTTTCATTTCAACCACAAATAAATATGAGGCTGAAAGTTTGGCCAACTGCTTAAAAAAAAATATGATACTGCAAAAAAATTATTACTGAAATCATTTTTGGTAGATAAGGCCAGAAAAAAAAATCTCTTCCGGGCTTTTTAAAAACAAGAAAGGAGGCGGCCCCTTTATTTCTTTTTTTTTCTCTCGTAAGAAGGCAGATTTTTCAAGATGGCGGATGGATTCTTCCATTTTCTCAACTCTTTCTGATACATTTGTTTCCAAATTAAGGAGCAATCACCCTTTCTAGTAGATTTTGAACTTGCATATGAGAAACTGTTTGTTTGTTTGTTTGTTTGTTGTTGGTACTTTTTTCTTCAGCTTCAGCTCCAGCGTCATGGTACTTTGTTTTAAATTAGACAATTAATTCTGTACTCGAAGAGATCCATCCCAAACTACATGTATGGAGTTCATTGCTTGTATGTAATGCATTCATATAGTTAATCATTAAATTTGCTGAGGTGAATATCAAAATGTCAAAACACAACAAAAAACCTTTTCTGAAAGCTAGATCTGCCCAGATCAAAGCTCAAAGCTTCAAAGCAGTTTCTCCTATGTTGTAATCAATTTCTTTCCTTTTCTTTCCTTTTCCATATTGGATATTTTAGTTGACATTGTTTCAGTATTCCTACTGTTTTGTTTTCTCCTCAGTTTGATGTGAAGAGATTAAACTCCAAGTCTCTGTCGTTGAGTGGACGGCAGTTTTTGGAGGAGGCAGAGGAATCTGACATATCTTATAAAGTGCTGACTTTCCACAGTGCATCATCCAACAAGGTGAGCCGCATTTGCAGCCACACAAAATCTTTTGGTTCCTTCCAAACATTGTGCAGGTCTTGTGCCAGGTGAGTACCATGAATAATTTCAATTAACTCTCTCTTTGTAAATGTGTGAGCAGTGGCGTACCCAGCTTTCTCAACATGGGGAGGGGGAAAGTCGGGGGCTGGATATTACAGTTGGGGAGGGGGGGGGGGGCAGGCAATCAATTTCTGTAGCATCCGTGCTGAAAGACGGACAGGATTTTTTTTCACTGGTCAAAATGTGGAGAGAAAGGGGGAGGGGCTGGACACCATCTTTCTATGTGGGGGGGCCTTCAAAGTGGACACTATTGGACAGAAGGTGGCGCTCTTAATGGTGGCACAATTACAGACGTCCACAGACGTTAAAAGGGTTCACTCGTGAAAAAAGGCCACTTGTGAAAAAGGAATAGAAATTTTTCAAGTGGGGGAAGGAGGGAGAGGGGATTTTGTTCATGGCCAGCATGTGCCCCCCCCCCCCCCTCCCCCAATCTCCCTTGGCTATACCACTTCATGTGAGGGGGTAATGCACGACATTAATGTTAAGTATGTAAGACAAAGGAATTTCAAGTTCAGTTGTGTTGAGTCACAATTGGTGCGAATGTGTCTCCGTTAATGTTTCTGTACTTTTCTTGCCTATTCCCCTTGATCATACTTCACCCTTTTGTGAACATTAGGCTTTGCCATTTCTGAAATATTTCATTTTACTCGCAGATCATGTGGACTGTACAAGTTTCTTCAAAGTTCAAAAGAAATACACCGGGTAAATCACATATACATAAACATAACTTAATATATTTTTGTTGTTTACACCTCCTACCTTCAGTGGCCAACTTGCCATTATGGAATCAGTGGCTGTTCCACCAGTTCTACTTCCTCCCTCTCCACCTCCAAGATCAAGTGAGTTACCACCAGGCCAGAAACAACGGTTTCTGCCATTTGGGTGGGGTAAGTATATTCTTTTTTTCTAACTAAGTGAATGACAATAACTTGCAAATAACTATGTGCTTGGCCGTAAGTATGTTTGAAAGAGGCTAAGGGCCTGGTCAAGGATAATGGCCGGAGCTGAATTTCGATCAAAAATTAAACAATTAAAACAATTCAGACAATTTTGTTTAGTGAAACACCCCTCTGGCCATGTCTTTGGGTATGTGCCTCCTTATATGGAGATGGGCGCGCAAAGCGGTGTGTTCTGCGCGATGTGCAGAGCTCCCAACATGTACGATTTTGGCGTACTTTTTACAATTTTCCACCCATTTTACGCTTTTACGATTTCATTCTTCAAATTTACGATTTTTTACGATGCTGTTTTCAAATTGATATTCATTGAAAAAAAAACACTTATATTTGCAAAGGAGTTCGCTTATAACGTCCGAAGGACGAGTAGCCAGTCTATGAAACTAAGTGCGCAGTGACAATCTGCGCAGGCATGCTTTTCGTGAGATATATAACTCGACTTTCACGGACGGTGCGGCATGCACGATGGGTGCCGTGCAGATACATATCGCGGCTTGGCTTGCAGGGGTACGGTGGCGAGGCACAGGTCGAGTTGTCCCACTTGTCGAGTTGTCCCTGGGTCGGGATGTATCGGCGGCCATCTTGGTTGAACGTTACGTACCGGTACCGTGGAATGCTTTGTTTCATTGAGTTGTTTTCTTGTGTTAGTCAGTGGTGGTGTATGATGGAAATATGTCGCCAAACAATCTAAAATACAGCCGAAGCCACGGCAGAGATTTTTGAAGCAAATGTTCAGATTATTTCGGTACTTGTACACTGTGCAATGTGGATTTTTGTGTGAGTCATGCCGGCCGAAATGATTGCCAGAAGCACATCACAACGGACAAACATGCTCGGGCAGCAGAAAATGTTAAACACACAACATCACCATACCAGCTTCAGCTTGAACACATCGATATAATAAATGCCGAGGTAACATTGGAAAAAATATTGCAACCTGACGCCACTTCCGCAATTGTGTACAAAGTCTATGGAGAGTCAAGAACATTTTCAAAATTCGAAATGTTTCTCAGTCCCAGATTCATGTCTTAGTCCCAGATTCATGTCTTTGTAAATGAATGACCTTCATTGAGATGATCTTATGAAGAAAAAAGTGGCATCAGGTTGCAACATTTTTTCCCAGATGTTTCCCGATAGCAAAATTGCTAAACAGTATCAGTGTGGACAAACAAAAACAAGATCCACTGTTAGCATTAAACAAGAATAGAATGAAATGGGTTACACTCTGTGGGAATTACTTAGTAGTATAGTACTGTTGTGACAGGATTTGACTACCTTTTTGTTTAAATGGTGACGCGCCGAACAATAAATACCGGCTCGATGAAAAGTACTTTTTCTGAAATCTGAATGTTGGGAGCTCTGGATGTGGCACGGCCTGCAGCGGTGTTTTACTGGCGGTTTATGATAGGAATGGGTAAAAAAAAAACTGTCTCAGGTATTTAAGACAACATTTAGTACAACACCATTGTTATGAGAGTGGTATGACAGATGATGACGTCATTTTGAAGAGCTAATTATTTTTCCAGATTTATTTACATGAAGACATTGGTCGGTAGGCAGTCTCGTATTCAGTTCCGAAACAAGGAAGCCGTTGACTGATGAGCTATCAGTTATCCCAGTTTGGTTAATTTTTTCAAGTAGCAGTTAGCTTTTCTGTTTAATAAGCTTGCACAATATGAAAGTGTCAATTTACATTTTTGGCAGTCCCAGTTGCGTACTTCTGGTCGTCTGTTTCCTTGTTTGTACATTGTATCATGAAACTGTGACCAGAAAGGGTGCTGATTACTACGGCTTGCAATTACACATGCGCCTACAGAAGCAGCTGAAGCCACTTCCCATTGACATGTGTGTTATTACCACAAGAGGCCGTGTCCGAATTACTTGGCTATGGCTTGATATTACACACATGTCTATGGTAGCGGCTGCAGCCACTTTGCATAGACTCGTGTGCAATTTCAAGCCTGGTACCATATTTCAATAGGGGGCGCTGTTCAAATACGACGATTATTAACACTAGATTACAGAATGGTGTGCCATATTTTGAACAGGCAGACATTACAACAGTATAATTTTGGGGGGGGGGGGGTTGGACTTATTTTTAAAGAATTTGTATGATAATTTTTTTTTTTTACAGAGCTGGGGTGGGGGGGGGGGGGGGGTTTGACCCCCAAAATCCCCCCTCTGGATCCGCGCCTGTTATATTATTACTTTGTGAATGTGTCGTGTGCTATTTGTTTGGGAAGAGAAATTAAGAAAATCAACTCTAAGAGAACAAAACAAGGAAGCTTCGAGCTTGAAAACCAAAAGAGATAACCACCCATCATCATGTGATGTAGAGAGATAATTACTTTGTCAGTTTTGATGCGCTGTTTGGTAATTTGAAGTTTTCGAATAGAACACTCTTATCTTCGAGGCCATTTTACCTGCTGAGAGGGACCACAACTGTCCACAAGCAGTCAGTTTCGACAGTTTGCTGACAAATTTCGCATTTGGTCAGTAGCCACAACACAGTACGTCGCTGTTAACCATGCATGGTGTTCACTGCGCCTTGAGCTTGTAACAGTTGTGCTTAATAGACTCTCTCGATTTAAACCAAACCAGCAATCAAACGTGACATCAGTTCTCATCCCGAGCCATCCAGTTTACCGGGGCCATCAGTTCTTAGTGCAAAACTGACCGCATGTATAATGGACAGCCCTTGCTGTTGCCTACTTCAAAAACCTGACTGGATGACAACTTGGTGTCACATTGGCTGACACTTGACTTACATGTAAGAGGACAGAATAAGTTCTTCTACTGTTCAGAACTTCATTTCCTTTTAAATTGGAGGTGATGAAATACATAGAACACTGGCAACAAAATTGGAAACTACCTGAAACTGTACCCAAGTGGAACAGCAACTGCTATTTCAGAGTTTCCTTCATGTACTTGTTCAACTCTTTGTTCCAAGTTACTATTTGAAAGGCAAACTTTTAGATTGTTAATTTGGCAACTGCGTTTGTGCTTAACAAATACCTGCAGTAATCCTCACCAGTCAAACTTGTTTTGTTTGATTTTGTTGTCATCTGCAAAAACTCTCTGTTGTTCAGCTCTTCATTCAATAAGCAAACTTCAGCTGTGTTTCTCCACTCCACGTTATCTGTACAAGACACTGAACAATTGCAAGACTCTGTGTCCATCATGTGGTTGTACGACGCAAATGTCACCGTCTATGCCCAAGCTACAACGTCCCTTGCTCAGCTGGACATTCTGGTCTGTACCTTCTTCACCTGTGTCTTCCAGAACCACAGCGATGACTGCTTCAATGCCTATTCCCTGACCCAGATGGACCATCCACTCATATGGGATGCAAGGGCACCATCCCCCAGGGCACCGATGAACCAGTCCTACAACGCACAGAGCAACGAGACGTACAAACTGTTTAACCACTCATTGGAAATCCTTGGCTTTGAGAATCCGGCAGAGGCTGATAAGTATGTGTATTCCAATGCACAGACAGTAATGTATGGTTTTGTCCTGCCTGTCCTCAAACTGTTAGGGATCCTATCCATTCTGTGTTTTTTCTTTACCCTTTGCAGAGTTCCCTCCATGCGTAATGTCACTAATTTCTACCTGACTAATTTGGCAGTTGCAGATTTGATAGTCTTGATTTCATTTGGCCCTCATGAGCAATTTGTGGCCTTGACAACACAAAATGGATTGGATACATCATATTTGGGGAACTCAGTCCAAGCAGTTCGTAGTCTCTCAGCATACATAAGCCATTTTGGTTTTATTTCATCTTTAGCCTTTGTAACACTGCTGTCTTATGAAAGATATTTTGCCATTTGTTACCCTTTCCAACACCGTGAATTCAATTTGAAACGAAGGGCAATACGAGCAGCAGTTTGCATATGGTTTCTGTCATTGTCCATAAATTTGATTTATTTCTTTGAACATTTTCTGTACTTGAACAGACCAGCAATCAAATGTCTTGTTTGGCCAAATGAGGAAAAGTATAAACATCTAACAAGTAATGTGCAAGTGTTCGTGAACGGTGATGTAACTTTGAGTCGGGTTGGTAATTACATGTCTTTGTGTGCATTCATGTTGAGTTTGATCCTCACAGTCACTTTCAATATCCTGCTTATTAAGGGACTGCATGCACCAAATCCAACTCGTGATCAGATCCAAGGTCCATCAAAACATCTTAAAAGAGTGACATTGATACTTGGCATTAACACAGCTGTAGTATTTGTTTGTTTTCTGGCCCAAGCTGTAACTCTCATAATTGTAATTTTATCGCAAAACTTGGAAGAAGTGGCTACATGTATATCTTTTGATGTTCAATTGAGCTTGATTCTGATGATTGATTGCATCAGTGTCATCAACTCTTCCATTAATTCAGTCATATTCAATGCTGGTAGTGGAAGGTACAGGAAGGCTTTCAAGCAAGCCTTCTGCTGCAGAAAGAGGCAGCAAGTACCAACAAACAATATCCCTCTGCAGACATTACCAAGAGCAGGTCCTGCTGATAGGATCAGATCATAGTGTCTTAAGGAATGACTCCCCCCCCCATAAAAAAAATTAAGAAAGAAAAGAAGAAAAAAAAGTGCCATCCTTTCTTCTAAAACTTTGTGTTACCTCCATGGTATCTTCAAAAAGTTCCGTTAATCGATGTCTTGCTGCTATTAAAGCTTTTCAACAAATATTAAACACTGGAACTCACAGAACGTTAGTTTTATAGGGAGAGCCATATTGTACTTTGTTTTAAAAAATGTTTCAACTCCATCGACCACTGCATTTTTGATTTCCACATCTCAACAGATTTCAGATGGGAAAAAAATGTAAGCATCCACACTATGATGATTGTTGTCTGTAAATGCACTGTAAATAGAACTAGACAACTAATCGTTGTTTAATGTAAAAACAAAAAGAAATTACTACATGTATGGTTTTTTTTCTACGATTGTAGTGGTATTAAAGACCTGTATCTTCCATGCTGTCTTTGTGTGTTTGCTTTGTCAGTACTCCGGGGGACTTGTTGCTATCTTCAACAATTCTAGTTTTGTGTAGGTTCTCTCTGAATTTATTGCTTTTTAGTGCTGGCAATAGAATTTAAGAAAGATCTCCAAGAAAGCCTTTCTTTTGACATTGCCATCGGTTAAAGAACTAATAGTGAAAAAATAAAGGAAATGTGAGAGCCATCGCGTCATACATGTATTGTAAACAGTGCCCTCTTTAGCCACGTACGGAGTAGTTCTACAATATTCCCTGAACAAAGTTGACTGATCAGTGATTTCAGGATGGCTACACTTTCTTTCAACCAATTTATTTTAAGAACTTACACAATGCAAAAGCGCAAATTGAATGGCCTAGCTGTACTTTAAATATTTATCTCAACGCTTACATGTGAATTTATACATGTAAATAATATGGTATCAGTTTTGAGGTAACTTTTTTGAAAAAAAAAAATCAAATCTAAGAAAGAAAATAAAAGCAGCAATCTTGAAAATCAAAAGGGATACCACCCATCATCATGTGATTATTTTTTTGTTTATATACAACATAATCTGCGTGAAAATTACCTTGTGAGTTTCAATGTGGAATTTGGTTATTTAAAATATTTAAGTTAAACACTGTACTTCAAGTTAAATTTGCAGAGTGAAAAATGACCACATGCATGTCAGTTTCAATGTGATAAACCAGCGACAGTATTTAAGGAGAACACTTGCTCTGCAAGATCAGACTGCATGTCCTAGCTCAGCTGCCACATCACAGAGTGTCGCTGTTCCAACTTGCTAAAGTTAACAGTGAATGGTGTTCACTGCACCTTGAGCCTGTAGCACTTATGCACACTCTCTCCATTTCTAGTCAACCAGCAATTCAAATTGACATCGGTTCTCATCCCAGACTGTCCAGTTCACCGGGGCCATCACTCCTCTCTGAAAATTGTCATCCCACATTTTGGACGGGCCTGTCTGTGCAGTGAAACATACCAGCTCCAAAAACATAAACAGGTGACAACTTTATGTTGCATCTTCTATTCCTTGATTTGAGAGGGCCACTAGATCTGACAACTAAGTCTTTGGTAACGGACATCAACACGGCTTCCAATTTCTTTCCACCCAAAAAGGAAGTGAAGAATATCTGGAAGGACCTGGCTACATTACCCTGAGGTCATAACCTACTTTAAACTGTGCCAAACTAAATGGCCATATGTCCTTTTGAAAAAAAAAAAAATTTGCCTTGTATCCTGCTTGAGAGACAAGATTTTAGCTTGCAATTCCCAACTGTGCTGCTGCTGAACAAACCTGCAGTTATCCTCACCAGTCAAACTTGTCTTGCTTGATTCTGTCGTCATCTGCAAACCACTCTTTTGTTCAGCTCTTCATTCAGTGAGCAAACTTCTGCTGTGTTTCTCCACCCCTGCAAAAGACACTGAACAGTTGCGTTTGCTAGCATTTAACACTTCTGTACAGACACGGGTAGCAGCAAGACTCTGTGTCCATCATGTTGTCACTTGATGCAAATCTCATGGTCTATGCCCAAGCTACAACGTCCCTTGCTCAGCTGGACATTCTGGTCTGCACCTTCTTCACCTGTGTCTTCCAGAACCACACCAAAAACTACTCTGTGGCCTATTCTGCATACCAGATGGACTCCCGGTATCTACTGATCTGGGATGCCACAGGGACAGCCCCCGGGGCACCGATGAACGAGTCCTACAATGCACAGAGCAACGAGACATACAAGTTTTTCAATCACTCGTTGAACATCGCAGCCTTTCCAAATCCGGCAGTGGCTGACGATCATGTTTATTCCAATGCAGAGACTGTAATGTATGGTTATGTGCTGCCTGTCCTCAAACTGCTAGGGATCCTATCCATTCTGTCTTATTTCTTTACCCTTTGCAGAGTTCCCTCCATGCGTAATGTCACTAATTTCTACCTGACTAATTTGGGCATTGCAGATTTGATGGTCTTGCTTTCAGTTGGCACTCAGCAAGGCGTGGCTGTGACAAAGCAAAATGCATCGGATGATGTATCACATTGGGGAAACTCAGCCCAAGCAGTTGTTACTCTTATAGTATACATGATAAATGTGGGTGCTATTTCATCTTTAGCCTTTGTAACACTGCTGTCTTACGAAAGATATTTTGCCATTTGTTACCCTTTCAAACACCGTAATCTCAACCTGAAACGACGGGCAATACGAGCAGCAGTTTGCATATGGTTTGTTTCGTTGTCCATAAATTTGATCAATTTGTTTGATCAGTTTCTGACCATGAATGTACCACCAATCAAATGTCTTGTTTGGCCAAATGAAGAAAAGTATAAACATCTATCGAGTAATGTGCAGATGTACGCAAATAGTGATTTTATTTTGTTGCAGGTTGGTAATTACATATTTTTCTGTGTATTCATGTTGAGTTTGATCCTCACAGTCATTTTCAATATCCTCCTAATTAAGGGACTGCATGCACCAAATCCAACTGGTGATCAGACCCACGGTCCGTCAAAACATCTACGAAGAGTGACTCTGATACTTGGCATCAACACAGCCGTGGCATTTTTCTGTTTTCTGGTCCAAGTTGTGACTGTCTTAATTGTAATTTTATCACAAAGCTTGGGAGAAGTAACTATATCTATCGAAGTTCAAATGAACTTCGTTCTGATGACTGATTGCCTTTTAGTCATCAACTCTTCCATTAATTCAGTCATATTCAATGCTGGTAGTGGAAGGTACAGGAAGGCCTTTAAGCAAGCCTTCTGCTGCAGAAAGAGGCAGCAAGTATCAACGATCAATATCCCTCTGCGGACATTACCAAGAGCAGGTCCTGCAGATAGGATCAGATCATAGGATCCACAGGCAAAATTCTGCACTCCTCCACAAAAAAGGGATAAAATGCAATCCTTTTTTTCAAAAAGTTGCTATAACTTCCATAAACATTTAACAGTTCTAAAGTCATTTATTATTCTGTCATTGTTAAGCTTTTCAACAAATTTAAAACTGGTATAAGTAGCACTTCAGTTTTGCTGTGGGTGCCATGCAGTGGCGTCACCAGACTTTTCAGTTTGGGAGGGGCACAGGGGGGGCCACCAGCATTTGATGGGGGGGGGGGGCACTTAGGTGGATACGGATCGCCGTCCTGGGGGAGGGGTCTAATGGAAAATTTTCGCATACGGAGGATGGGCTAGATGCAAAATGGTGCCACATTTGATGCTAAATTCGATCTGAAGATATCTCCAGAAATTGCTATTTTTGAGGTAATGATTTTAACAACGCGCAGAATTTTGCAGAGGATAGGGGGGCACCAGCATTTGATGGGGGGGCACTCGGGGGGGCACTAGGTTTTCCAGGGGGGGCACGTGCCCCCCTGGCCCCCCCTTGGCGACGCCACTGGTGCCATGGTTTGCAGTGTTTAAGAGAAATTGTTCAGCTCATTCTACCACCAAATTTGTGATTTCAACAATTCAACAAATTTGTTCTGTAAATTTTTATTAAGCGTTATCACTCTGGTGTGTGTTATCTGTAAACTATGCTGTACATAGTACTGACAGTTGTTTCAGTGCAAAAAATAAAGAAAAAAAGGAAACTTAGGCCAAAAAAAAGAAGTCTCCGGTTTCTGGTATGCGCGCGCGTCGTTGTAGCCATGCGCGTCGGCAAAATGAAAAAGTTTTTTTTTCAATGAAAGATGATGTCTCAAAACCGCCAAACTCATTGGTTTGACTGGAATCCTGCTGCTGCACAATTTTAACGTGTTTTTAGATTGGGTTATGGTCGAGAATAAGCTTTATGTGGCCTCTCTGGACTCCCATATATTTGCACTAAGTTTAGTCGGGCACCATTTGCAGTCATCAGCACACATTTGGAGCAAAAAAATCAGGTAAAAAAAAAAAAAAGCTGCGTCGCCGCATCACTTTTTGGGCAAGCTCCATACCAGAAACCGGAGACTTTTTTTTTTTGGCCTTATTGCATCTGTTCAAAGATTTTAATGGTATTAAGAAAAGCAAACTGCATCTTGCATGTTGTCATTTTGTGTGTTTTGTTTGTAAAAATATCTTTGGACTTGTACTCAATAATCTCGGCATTCTATTGCTTCTCTCTGGATTCATTGTAAGGCTGGCAATAGAATATAACAAGAAGGTCTCTAAGAAAAAGCCTTTCTTTGGCATTGTCATTCTTAAAACAACTGCTATGTAAGTATATATATTGTTGATGTACCCTAACGTGGCGCGGCCCCTAACGTGGCGCACTTTGATTTTTCGCCTGTAGCGCCTAGCTAGAGCAAAAGTTTTAACTGAAATTTCACAGAAAGTGTAATTTCATCAAGTTCTAAACACTCCCGTTCATAAATTGCGAGTTTATTTACCCGCTACAAAGTTTAAAGAAAAATTTATTTTGGCGTGATTTTCCGACTTTATTTTCAAGTGCAAAGTGAAACCTTAGAAAATGCCCCAAAAAATAAGAAAATAATTTTCTGACAAACATCTGGCTGGGTATGTAAGTAGAAATAATAATGTTTTATCAGAATTGATCAAGTTTACAGAAATTCTGAAATGTTAATTTGGAATTTTTCGAGATTTATTTAAGTGCGCCACGTTAGGGAACACTCCGCCAATTTGTGCCCAATTTCCGGACACCACCGTTTTTTAATTTCGGCTTAAATTTTATGAAACTGAAATTGTTCACGGAGGTTAAATGGCGAGCATTAATAAGATAAAAGCACCAGTATTTCATTGCATGAATTTGAGGTTTGTCAACAAAGAGGATTGGCAACACTACACGAGGAAATTTGGGTAAGCTCCGAAGTGCGCCACGTTAGGGAACATGACTATATAGAGTAGCTATAAGGTTATATATTTAACCCCTCTCCCTAGGGGTGTGCAAAATCATATTGAAAGTGGAGGATTCAGGTCTGTTAGGGTCACCCGCTGCACTCGCTCCAATATGGATGCGCAGCCGCCATACTTCAGGTGGAACAATGGTCCAACTTTTGAATTGATTTCTAAATGTAGCAAGTGTGCGCGTGCGCCATCTTTTCTTTATTCTACACAAACCCTGCCTTCCCTGGTATTCATTCATTCGGCGCTAGTAATAGCGTCCTCTTTAGTTCATCCACGTAGCAGTTTCGTAATAGTTCCTAAACAAGGAAGCAGTTGAAAGAGCTATCAATGATGACAAGATGTTTACACATAAACCAACTTTAAGTCAGTAAACTGTCACAATACGAAAGTGAAGCATTCTTTTGGCAGGCCCATCTCCACTTCCAGTAGTTTCCCTTGTTTATGAAACTATAAATAACTGAGTTTTTATGTAACAAAGAAACTACTGGTTTCTGGTTTAGAAATTGAATGGGACGCCCCCATTATCTTGTGATGTACATAACAATACATCAAAGTAAAAGTGACTTCATCAGTTTTGATGCGATGTTGGACAATGTAAAGTTTGAGACATTGGATCCCTCTGGATCATTTTGCCTATGAATTTTAATTGATGTGCAGAAAGATAACAAATTATCAGGGTTGTTTTTGATTGAAGAAATCTTGTATAGTGAGCAGCAGCGTATACAGCTTTTGTTGTCAGGGGGCAACCGTACATCCGCGCCGAAATGTACACATGTTTTCTCCAGACACTTGGCCTCTGTAAAATCCAAAAGCTGGGGGGGGGGGGGGGGGGGGGTCTGGTACCCATCTTCCAAATGGGGGCGAGCTCTTCGAAACTGACCATTATTATGCATACTTTTCATTGTAATGGTTGTTGAGCGGGTTTTCTTTGGTGGGATTAATGTCAGAAAAACTCTTGAAAAATTATTTAAATCATTGCTGACAAAATAAAATTGTCGAAAAAATCCATCAGGGGAGGCATAGTCCCCCCCCCCTGTAGGACACGCCACTATTAGTGAGGGTATGGTACGGGTTGAATATGAGTAAGATGTAGCCAGTGTTCGTTCACTTAACAAAGAGGGGGTACTGATGTTTGCCCTTTCCCCATGAACTTCATTATTGTTGATTGTATAACTGACATACAGATCCTTGTCATTTCATTGATGGAACGCACATCACGTGACATTCATTATTGCTCCCATTCATGACGGGGCTCAAGAAGTCCCATTTGCCCATGGTGAATGGGATTTACTATTGAACAGTAAGGATTATCCTTGTTCCATGGCGCGGTATTTTGTGTGCAAATGCTTTGCGCCTAGCGTGTATAGTTACAAGAGTCAGTAGCTACAGAGTTGGGTTCAAACATTTTGTGAAGGGGTGGTTTGGAAGAGAGAAATACATTTCCCACCATTTTTTTTATTGAAATAGAAGTTTCATTTTAACTGTAAATTAAATGACAAGGATCTATATGTCAGATATTTAAAACAAATATTGAGTGGCTTTAAATTATAAAATGGGAGGAATATTATTGCTCGGTAAAATCTGGACTTTTCCATTTTACTCAACATTAAAAGGCCAGATTTCACCTTGTGATAATATTCCTCCCATTCCACTCTGAGCCACTCAATGTTGGTATAATAAACCACAGTCTTGCATTTGTTATAGTCATCCCCCCCCCCCCTCTTCTGCTCCACCTCTTTTCTCAGTTCAGAAACTTGTGTGAGACAAAATATTATGCATTTGTTTAATTTTTTATTAGGAGGGAGTTGTATTTTTTTCTTTTTTTGGCCAGAGAGAGAGAGAGAGAGAGAAGGGGGGGGGGGGGGGTGGGGTTCACACCCTTGCTGACAATTTGTCAGTGGTATGAACAATTCCATTTTCTTGCATATTTAGAGCAGCCTAAAAGGCCATCAGTCGACACAGCAGACACTGGACCTGTGGAGACAGAGGCAAAGAAGAAGAAAAAGTTGCACAAGGACAAGAAGCATAACACCACAGCAGACATTACCCAGAGCAACGAGGAGAGCAAGCCCCAGGCCAAACAGGGTGATACACAGGGTGGGGATGACAGACTGGCAGGAGAAGGGGAGGTTAAAGATGACAGAGTTATGACAAAGGCACATCGAAAGGGCAAGAAGCGGAAACAGCAACGTCGTGTGCAGGTACATTGTACATTGCCTTCCACCCTCATACATGTGTACAGGGTGAGTCCAAAAAAGTGGAACTCAAACCCCAAACAATGTATTTCAAATTAAAAAAATATGTAGCACCAAATATAATAATGACTTGAAAGCCAATTTTAAGCTACTTTTAGATGAAAAATTAATGAAATTGCTCAATCTGTTCGAAGGATATCACCATTTAAACGCAATGACCCTAAACCTGTCTCGTCCAAAAATAAAAAAATTATTGTGCGTTTTGACTGTTTGGAACAACAAAGAAAATGACACAGAATACTTGTTCAACAACTGCCAACTGTAGTACACCATATCTATATTTAACAACCCTGGTTAGGCAATCAATATGATTTATAAAATCCCCCTTTTTAAAAATAAAAGACAGGCCTTCAAAAGGATTTTGTTGAATATTTTAAAATTTTAAACTGAAGTTTTATCGCTGACGATTCCAAGTTGAAAATTCAATTTTAGGACGAGACAGGTTTTAGGATCATTATGTTTAAATGGTGATATTCTTTGAACGGATTGAGCAATTTCAGTAATTTTTTTCATCTAAAAGTAGCTTATGAAATTGGCTTTCCAGTCATTATTTATTTTTGGTGCTACATATTTTTTTAAATATGAGGGTTCCGCTTTTTTTTTACTCATCCTGCATGATACGTTATTTGTGAAACATCAGTCGCCGCACCCATTTACTGAGGCCTCCCTGATACACCACCAATAATTGTTGCAAATATTAATTCATCTCATTTTCTTATGCAGAATGACGACACAGTCCACCAGAGTCGCATCAATGCTGAGGAAACTCAACCAATCAAGAAGAAAAAGAAACACAAGAAATAAATGGTTGCTCGGCTGTCAATCAACTACATAGAGGGCCTGTGTATTTGTTTTATTCAGTGAATAATTCAATCCAAATTTAGTTGTTTTTTTTAAATGAAAATCAAGTTGTGTCATTTTGTCATGTACATGTTTTCGAAGAGGTCAAAAGCTCTGATTGTGGAATCATGCTTATATGTTTAAAATGAAATTTCAAAATTTCTCAAAATGTTTAGCATTCACCAAGCTGAAACTTCAACAAGTTAGTTGTTATGCACCTTCTTCAGATTTTAAGCAATTTTGTGGCTTCAAAAGAAAACATAATGCACGGAAAGAAAATGATCCTATCTACATTTAAGTCACAGATATCATCAAGACATATGTTAAGTCTCCTCCAGAGAGTAAAGGCGTGCAAATCAGGGCAAGGGGCATGAGCGTAGGGCCCTTTAACTTTTGGAATTTGTATTTGACTTGGCAATATGTAAGATCAAAAGGTGTGTCAGTACGAAGAATTATTTTTCCATTAACTTTCTATGGAATAATTTCTCCTAAACAGAAGGATGATGCTGCATAGGATAATTGTAGGCACCCGAGATCTGTAAAAGCACAAACAAAATTGGTTGTCCTAACCCAGTGTTCACTTTCTTGAAACTGTAAATTTTAAGCCATAATAGCCCATCAGGCCAGCGTTTATCCCGGTTTCCTTGGCATTAAACAACTGGGAATATTTCTATTCCCCCTGGATGGGATGCCGGTCCCTCGTAGCTTACTGACCAGCTAATGTCGGTATCCATTTGTGTTTCTGGGTGGAGAGAGGCAAGTTAGGGCAAAGTGGCTTGCCCAAGGACACAACAGATGGATTTAAACCCCTGACCCTCTGATCATGAGTCACAAGTGGTAACCACTAGGCCACACACCCAACCACACACTCCACTACACACCCCGCCATACACCCCACCACTTGAAATTGAATCGTTAAAAAGAAAATTGTGAATGAAGGCAAGATGTAGTAGCTAGCTGGGTCTCAAGTGAAGGAGACCAAGTCTAGTCCATGTTTCCAGACTAAATTATGAGGGAAGGGGATTATAAAGTTTGATCTTGTTCTTGTTTGACTTTTGGGGGGGGGGGGGAAACTTCTAGAAAAGTCTGGGGAAAGATGAGTGTGGAAATATTCAAAGAACATATTAAAACACTTTAAAAACAGACTTGTATTTTTTGCATTTCTTTATTTTATTAAATCATCCAACATGATTGCAGACTTTAAGATTCGGTATGATGGACTATAAGGTGCAACTTTGACAAAAGCTCAAGTCAAAATATTTGCCTGCAGCTGTAGTATTATTTGTGACCGGAATCTATTTACTTTTTGATGCTTTCCACTTATTTAAATGGCGCCAACATTTGAGAATAATTTCCCACTTGATATGCACAAAAAGATATTCATAAAACCTAATACAGTTTACCAATTCCTATTGGTTGAGAGCCCGTCACGTGGCTGGTCTGAAACAGATGATAAACAAAAGACTGGCTGGTCTTAAACACTTTTCCAGTGTCACATGAAATTTAGACTCCCATGAAATCCAGTGCCTTTAAACGTTTCATTGGTTGAACGTTCACAGTCCTCATGTAGGCATGTGCACTACCAGTGAATCAGTATTTCATTGTCCGAAATTCACACTACACCAGCCCAGCTGCGTTTTGCGCGACACTGCGCTGTAAGCCGATGCGCACGCCAATCTTCTTATAAGGTAAGGAGTCGTAGAGGGACATTCCATATTATAGTCAGAGGGGAGTTTCATAAAACATGAAGTAAAGTTGTTTAACAAAATGGTTGGCAACGTAAAGTTTTTGACTTGTTTCGATTTTTGAACTGAAAAGATTTTTTTTTTGCACCGAAAAAGGTATTTATGAATGGGAATAAATACGTGCTTGGTTGGTATTAAACACTCTGTTTAAGACCAGTTGGAGTCTGGATGGGTGATAATTACACGAGGCGAACGGTATTAAACAGAGTTTTTAATACTTCCCAAACACACATTTATTCCCTTAGTAAAAGTTATCAACATTTGTGTAAGTAGAAAGCATCCCGTATTAAGCACCATAATCTACTGACATAGTGTATGAATGCTGTGTCCATTCGCTGTTATTGAATTTATAAAAAAAAACCGATAAATTAATTATTACTTCTAGTACTGATGTTTTGAGCCTCTAATACACAAACGATCTTTTTTTTTCAGTATTATAAAAAATTAACTAGCAACTCTTATTAGCGATTTTAAACAATTTGCATCAATGTAAAAGACAAAATATATACACATATTTAACATCACAACATATTTACACAAATTTACATTCTTTGATCCATATGACCTGTACAATAAAAGGTTGCATCAGAACAGGGGTTGCTTGGGTGATATTAAAAAAAGGGGTGAACACAGTAGTTCTGTCATTTTGTTAGTGAGGCAGCCAGGTTTGACACATTCTATGGGAAAAAAAAACAATAAGTAACCCTAGCAGTGCTAAGAATCAGTGTTGTTGCCGATTCCATCAAAAGTCCAAAAGTCAATTTACAAGTTTGCTCACTAGTGAAAAAGGATGAAATATGACTGTTATCCACGTGATTGTTGTTATATTTTGGTATATTATTTATTATTTGTGGTCTGGGGAATTGAGTTTGTGATTTGCGGGTAATTCTGCAGATTGTGGGTTCAAGCCCAGCTTGGGCTGTGACACTTCTACACGTAATATGGGTAAAAGCATTGCACTGGACTAATAACCCATCCCAATTGTGAGGACATAAGATTATCTTGTCTTGTTTCAGTGTGAGGGGCTGGTTCTTCCACACTTTCCTCTGTAGCCCACACCTCGAGTGGCCTTTGACCTTGTGATGGATAATTTGCATAAAAAACTCAAACCCCCCCCCCAAAAAAAATTCCCTCATTTACCTAAAAAATAAGATAACAAAATCACCGGTGTCGTAGTCCAGTCCATTTTAAGTCACAAAAATATCGGGGGTAGCTATTCACATAAACAGTGAAAAAAGGCATCCCTTGTTACTAATTTACTTATGACTGAACTTGTGGTTTACTTTGGACCTGACTTGCAATGGACTCGACTACAACACACAAAAAACGTGCCTGTCAATGATGTTGTTCTTTTGGTGACACTTTTTTGTGAATTAATATTATTAGGTGCTGTTAGGGTAGGTACAAAAATAAATCATTTTTTCATTCTTTGTTTTCATATGGAAAGACATTTAGAGTCCACAAGGACTGTATTGCCGAAAAATCCCAGAGGAAATGAAAAAAAAGAGGGATTTAATGTGACTGACCAAATAACTATATCATACTAAGAAAGGTGATAAACAATTAAAGCAGGCCTACTGTTTGTATCCCTCATAAAATACAAATACAATCGAGTCTCGCTATAACAAACTTGCTCGGACCTAGCCAAATTGTTTGTTATATCAGAATTTTGTATTAAGAGCAACATCAGTCCCATTCATTGTGCACATGAATGCACAGTCGGGGCCAAGGCTTTTTGTTTGTTATAACCAGAATTTTGTATTAACCCTTACCCTACTTGACCCTCCAACGCATGCCAATATGTGCCTCAAGAAAATCTCCTATGTTTTTTGCATGGCCCTCCAATATCTGCCATGTCATTTCAAGGGTAACTGGACAGGCACTCCAATACATGCCACAGAGAACAATGAGAGTCCTCTGATAACAAAGTGAGTGCCCCCAGCTGGTCAGTATCAGGCACCCTCCAGGGCCTCCAACTCCTGCCAATTGGAGCCTTCACTGTTAAATAAAACTATCTGCCAATAAACTGCAGCTGGAGGGCATTGGCATAACCAACTGACATGCAGTAAACTACCCTCAGAGAGTAAGGGCTAATAGAGTTTGTACTAACGAGAGTCGACTGTACAGCTTATCGCGAAACTTTTGCTGCTTGATGCTCTTCTGCAGGAAACAGTGGATGGCTTTCTTATGCAACCATATTAGGGCTGGAAACTGCGCTTGACTGAGTATTGAAATATTTGAAGCTCGCTCACCGTGTTTTACACGTGCTGGCTGCAACTGCGTGTTGCAAAGTGTGTTGCAAAGTGTGTTGCAAAGTGTGTTGCAAAGTGTGCCAATTCACCAGTTCGTGTCAGCACTGGCTGGTTTTATACACAGGCACGGCTGACAGGGTAAAACGTCAAGCCTGCCCCGATTCACCGCTGGCCGATTCACCGAATTGGCCGCTGTACAAAGCCTATTCTACTATATGCGTTCTGTTGCATACCCAGTAGTGTTGAAAAGTACTGAGGTTTTGACAACAAATGTCGTACAAATACTGTTGAAATGACTCTTTGCAAATCAGTATCTGTGGCATTTGGCTGTATATGTGAAGTTGGCTGCTATATTTTGCCTTTTTCAAAATTCACAATTTTCGGCAAAAATAGTCCCGGCACGAACTGGTGAAAAGTTTGCATGCAGCAATCAATATTGTGGGTTGCTGAAGTGTTCAGCAGCAAGTAGTTGTATTACTGTCGAGGGTTTTAACCTGCTAAAAGGATAGGAACAATGAACCGCTATCGACACCAAAAAATAAAAGGTACTGTGGACAAAGAAAGTGGCATCAGAGAAAGTGTCATAACCTCACAAGAAAAATAACATTACATTCGCATGTTTAAATGCATAGCTTTTTTTTCTTCCGAAAATTTGATCTGGCAAAAAACTATTTGAATAATTATTCAGTTCAAATATTCGGTACATTCAGGACAGCTCTAGTAACCATTAGCTTGCAGCATAAATTAAACCATCTCCCGTAAAAAGTAGCCAGATTTTAAAAATATTTCAGTGCCAAAATTCTGAATACTCTCCACACTTTGTACAACTACACAAAGCCTACTACATCTGTTCACATAGCTTTCCTTTCTACATCACTACTAACATAAACCACTACTGTCGTCTACTGTACAACCAAACCTTTATCAAACAAAATACTTTGAATGATTCATAATTTTTGAGAGTTTTTTTTTTTGGCAAGGTATACAATAAAATGCTCTTACTACCTGATTTTTATATATACACAGATTATTTTTTAGCATTTATATTTTGAGTGTGTTGCAAGTGGTTTTCATGTTTGAAAATCACTCCGGATTTAAGCAATTGATACGAGGTCTTCCCCACAAGAAGTGGTGGTAGTTTTGATTTAACAATTGTTGTCCGCTGTGATGTGGGACATGACGTTTTGAACATCCAAGGGGCGCATAGCACCCCGAGGCGAACCTCTGTCTTGGATTCTTTGGATTTTGATGTAAAAATCATGAAAACAAACAGCAATGAACACAACAATCATGACAATCAAACGCCAACTCACATGCATGTCGCTCGCATGAAACAGCTGATTTTCTGCTAGTTCGCTGCTCCCACTCGTGTGTGAAAACATGGTGAAAATAGAGTGGGTACCAATGTTACAAGCGTTTCACACTTACTTACTTGAAGTGTTTGTACTTACAAAGTCATAGCACACTCCCTGCGGGATATCAAGTATGTGATATCCCACACGGAGTGTGCCATGACTATTTATGAACTTAACAAGCGATCATTCTAGGCCAATGAAAATACAGTATTCAAGACAGAGGTATAGCAATTGTATTTGAAGTTATCTCCAGAAGTACGCAAAGTATGCATAAAGTTCTGGTAGATATTACAGTATGTAAATATGGCAAGGCTTACACATATGTACATGTCATCATGACGTCTTACTTTTCAAGTTTTAACGAGTATTTATAAATAATTGATTTGCTTATTTTGGATTACGTTTGTGCAGCTAAATCCTGGGTTTTTTTTTAAATTGACGTAGTTTGATTTCAATGAATTCAGGACTGCACAGTCCAACCACATTGGGCTCCCTGCACAACTACCCCCTCAACGGCAAGAAAGGGAGAGTTTTGGGAGACCACTGGGAGAGACCATTGAAGGCCTCAGCATATAGAAACTGCTCGAAAGTAAACTTTGGTCTTGGTCTTTTTGAGGAGTGTACCGTCAATCCTTGATCTGTTCCACCGTGTCTTGTAGTTCCTGTACACAGCGCTGACCTATCTCGGTGAGGTTCTCTCTCAGGGCGTGCTGGAGACGTTGCTCCAGCTCCGGGTCTTTCCTTCAAATACAAGGAGAGGTGAGAGAGTTGAAATTGACAACTTTCACAGCAGACAAGAATTAAAAATCAAGCTAGACTTATGTTTGTGGACCAACACAGGGCTGTTTTGGCAACTTTTTCGTGACACGTGACATGCAGCATTTCTCAACCTGCCGCTAGAAGGCACTCTAACATTTTATGACGTCACTGGTAATTGTTTTTGTAAAGTACAACTTAACCAGAGACTTACATCGTTGAAAGCAAGTTCACATCTTTTTTCACTTTCAAATTATAAGGCACTTCCGGTTTGGACCGGATGGAAGGGTCACGTGATTTAGCACACATGAGATAAAATGAAATGAGATAAAATGAAGATCCTGGATTACTGTATCAATAGTGCCTGAAGTGCCTGGGGAAAAAAAACTGGTACAAATGCTATGGGCAAAAATGACTGAAAAAAAAATAATCTGAACGAAAACGAAACAGCCAATAATAAAACATTAATTTGTCAATAATACACATAATATATTCATGTTGGTGCTAGTTTTGAGTTTCACCCTGAAAACTGAAAAAAAAAAATTAAATTGGTATTTTTTTCTACAAAAATTACTCGCTTTCGAATGCAACATCGACCACAAACAGAAAAATTGACTCATCTTAAATAATGGAAAAAATTACCGAACAATTTTAAAATTATTTGTAGCCTGACAAAAAATTCAGTTCTCGCAGTGCAGACTGGCCCCTGTCACTCTTGGAATCAACAAGTAGGGATCAGAGGGTTGCAGGTGGTGGGTTCCAGTCCCATCCGAGTAGTTTAAGAAATAGGTTGGTGAAGGCAAAACCCAATATTGGTTTTAGCAATTTTGTTACAATAAAACACAGAAAATTCAAAATTGTTAGGAGAAAAAACACTTGAATTTGTTGAAGAGCACGAACATTACTTTGTTCAATTGTCTACGTAACACTTTAAATCTTGTCTCAACTCTGATAATAATTTTTTCTCTCAGCCTAATTTTGATCATTTTTACCTGATCAGCATCCTAACCACAGTTGCAAAGGTATCGCAGTCTTGCTTGTATGCCTGTATACAAAAACAAATCATAAATTAAGCCAGATGAACAATTTACAGCTAAAATAAACCAGTCATTGTGTGACCCTGGGATGCCTAAAGACTTTGATAAGGTAATCATGGTGCTGTGTTCTTGAGTAAGGCACTTTACCACAATTACGTTTAAAGATTGAATTAAGCCAATATGTTTTGCCGCCTCTTATGCTCAAAAAGATTCTTGATGGAAGTATTTGGACAAGCTCATACCTTATGCGAAAGTAAAATTGGTAGTGTTTTAAATTTCACACGTGATTTTACCCTTATTTTCTTCTTCAAAAATGTGCGTGAAGTAAGAATCAGGCTGTGCCACACAACTGCATCCAGTTTGGAAATAGTATATTCACCAAAAGCATACACGTACATACAAGGGGAAACCATACCTTTATTATTTCCTCCTTTTTTGCTTGCAGTTTCTCCAGCTTGCTCTGATTCAACTCGACCTTCCTGACGCCGTTGACTTTGGGCGGGGAGGCTCCGAAGCTTGACGTGGGGCTCTGGAGGCGGTTGCTACCAGGTGACCACGCCCCCTCATGGGGAGACGGGTGTATGTGAGGTCTGGGCGGGGAGGACAGACTCGGATGCCTGCTTGATGACGTGCTGCTTGGGGAACCGATGAAGCCAGCTTCCGGTCTGTTAGTCTGTACGACGATTCGATTTCCAACTGAGTTGTTCTCGTTTATACCAAAGGGCGCGGTTCCCGAGCCGTTTCGGCTGGAGGGAGACTTGATCACAAACTGGGCTTCAGTCTGTTTGCTTAATGGAGAGCCTTGGTCCTGAACTGTGAGTGGTTTCAGTTGCCAGGGTCTGTCCGTTGCTCTGATCTCGGTGAAGGGGCCCACCTTGCCATATACGCTGTGGCATGGCTTGTCGGTATGTTTGGTCCCCCTGGACAAGTTCCCAGGCCCCCTGGGGGATGGAGTTCCCCCATCGGGGGTCGTGTCCCCCTCCGACTGGATCCAGGCTTCGGTGGGAGGCGTGCTCTTGTTGAGAGTAAAATACGAGGCCGCTGATTGGTCATTCTGGGCAGCCCCTTTCTGAGGGTCCCTAGTAGTCGTAGGCTCAGGCGTCGGAGTCATCAACATTGCATCGTCATCGCTCCCGAAAGACACCGGTGAGAAGTTGGACATAAACCGCTCCTTGCTTGGTGACTGGGCCCTGTGCTTTCCTTTCGTCGGAGAGCCACACTCCTGCGAGTGTTCTTTGGATGAGCGCGAGCTGTCGCTGAATTTCTTGTGTTGGTTCTCCACCACGGTTACTTTGGAGCAGACCTTCCGGACGTGATTTGGGTAAGTACTTGTCTTGTCGTTGGAGGAGGACCTCTTTGAGTGGCTGGAACTGGGCGAAAACCTGGTCGGTGTTTCTGAGCGGGATGTGGACCTCGAAGACCGAGAAGGGGAATGAGAACGATGCTGGAAGGAAAACCAAGAGATACACAGTATTAATGAATGGATTCAAGCATCAAAAGTCAAGACAATGAAGGAATCTCAATCAAGGGGAATCAAGTGTTCCTTTCATCAAAAGATTGAGAGGTCTTCCAATTTTCAAGAATGTAGCTATTTTGCAATCATGCCTTGGCTTGTGCCTATTAAATAAACACCACAAAAAAAAAAAAGTCCACACTCATTGGAGAGGTCATAAATTTGAATCTGATGGTCTTATGATAATGCCACCTACATAGAACTTTGGGGAATGTTGTAGCTACATTTTGATACCCCGTTTGTTACCAAAGACTGTAAGGCCAAAAAAAAAAAGTCTCCGGTTTCTGGTATGCGCGCGCATCGCCGTAGCCATGCGCGTCGGCAAAATGAAAAAGTGTTTTTTTTTTCAATGTAAGATGATGTCTCAAAACCGCCAAACTCACTGGTTTGACTGGAATCCTGCTGCTGCACAATTTTAACGTGTTTTTAGATTGGGTTATGGTTGAGAATAAGCTTTATGTGGCCTCTCTGGACTCATTTGAAGCAAAAAAATCAGGTAAAAAAAAAAAAAAGCCGCGTCGCCGCACCACTTTTTGGGTAAGCTCCATACCAGAAACCGGAGACTTTTTTTTTTTGGCCTAAATCGTCCGACATTGACAATGGTTTATGAAAAATGATGCAGTTTGAAAAGTTGCAAGTTTAAAGAATACGCGAGTGGAAATTGCTGCGTGACAATGTCACACTGCCTGAAACAAACCGCAGGGAATACCGATCGCACAGTGCTTGCATGCATAGGAGCATGGGGGCATGCGAATTTAATGACCCGCGCTTTGTTCAGGCACTGTGCGGTTACACTAAGCAATTTCTCCTCGCGTAATCTTAAAATTTGCAACTATTCAAACTGCATCATTTTTCATAAACCGTTGTCAATCTTGGACGATTTTTACAGTCTTTGGTAGCAAACAGGGTATCAAAATCTAGCTAACAAAATTCCCCAAAGGTCTATATAAATGACGTCATCATAAGACGATCAGTTTCAAAATTATGACCCCTAAAATCAGTGTGGACTTTCTTTGCTATGTTTAGATACATCTGTGAGTATACTGAATACTACAAGGGATCTTTTTTAGACTTCAAAAAGTGTGTTTATAAAATTCAATTTTGTTGGTCCCAGTCAGCCAACCTAGTGTCCTCTTTGCATCTATCTGACTGACTGTTACTTGTGACTCAGACTGGTCATAGGCTGGTGAAGAGAGCCGGGCAGTGCTATCATATAGGATTACCCCGTAACACAAACGAATGAGCTAAATCCGGGCAACTGTGTAAACCACATGCATGAAAAGACTTCAAGTCAATAGCCATTGATTGGATAGACTATAAGGCTTGCCTTATCTTGTTTAACGCGATATTAATTGTGCCCATATTACTTACTAAGGCCAAAAAAAATAATTAGTCGGTCTCTGGTCAGCGCGCGCGTTGATTTTAATCATGCGCGTCAATCTTTTTTTTTCCAAAAATGTTCCGCAGTAGCTCCGACAGCGACCTCTATTGCCGCACCTCCTCATTTTTTTTTTTACCAAAGAGCACCAAGGAATGAGAAATTGCAACACGGCAAATGATCGAGAGCACCAAGGCAAATTATGAAGGACACCAATGTACATATGGACACCAAAAAAGCAAAATAGTAACCCACCTTGTCTGTACAATCCAAGCTTGAAGGAAAAAAAAAAAAAGCAAAAAAAAAAAGAAAGCCGCGTCGCCGCAACAATTCCGGAACTTTGGTCTGATCAGAGACCGAATATTTTTTTTTTGGCCTAACCCTGAGAGGGGCTTACATGAATACATTTTTGCAAGTTTCATTTTCATTTTTGTTTTACAGCCATCATATAACCTTCAAAATTGTCGTTCTGTCTATTTCTTCTTTGAAGTGGTAATTGAAGATGAAAGGTACTAGCTTGAACTGCAATATGAGCCAAGTTATGTTGTGGTGGGATTTGCATTCAGTGGCATTATGAAAGTGAAAATGAAGACTGGTTTAAACGTGCTAGTCTAAGCAAGACTAGATAAATAGCCTCTCTTGAAAAGCATTTGTGGTCAATCTAGAACGCAATACACGTTGTGCAATGAGTGTGTTCTTTTGGGTTGATATACAAAACAATCATTTCTGGCTTATGGAGCCTCTGTACATGTATGTGATGTGAACTGCTTGTGACTACAATCCCGGCCAAAATGGTTGGGACACTTCCTGAGCCTGCCACGGTCACCCACTCCCCCCGCTCCCACGGTCAATGTTGTTCTCTCCAGCTGATGGAGCACACACCGCGCAATGAGAGACAACATTGAACAGGGGACGGGCGGTTGGGGGCCCAGCGAGATTTGGCCAGGATTGTAGTTCAATGCTGATTTTTGCAAAACTAGGAATCTAACGTGTTAATATTTTCCTTTAGACAGCTCTTGAGCTCCATGATATCATGCCCTGGTCTAAAGTCTGTGTAGTCTAGGTCCAAGACTGGATATTTGGAGCTTCCCTAATAGACCATTGTCATGTTGTGGCAATCTTGATTTTTTCCCAATCAAATCAACGTAACCAAAACGAGGCTGGAAGGAAAAATAGTCTGGTTCCTTTTTGCACACACAAAAAATCATTCAGTACTGTTATTGGATACAGGGAACATGACTGAAATGGTGGCAGCATGATAAAGGTCTATACAGCCATTCCCTGACAAGCACGATCCTGTGGTAGAGGGCGCAATCAAACCAAGATGAATCAAATCCAGCCTCGACAACTTCGGCAGCGCTACCCAGGAAATTTTGAGCATACCTCACATGCACTGTATTCAACCTAATGCACGCCCGTGACGCTGCTAAGAATTTCTAGGATAGCGCTGCCGAACTTCCCAAGACTGGATTTGATCGTTCTAGTTGATAGCGCCCTCTACCGCAGGGGCAGCTTGACCACTGTTGTTGGAGACCGGCCGCATTGGTGGAATACAAATCCAAGTACAGTCTTGGATCAAGACTAAAGTTCATCTTTCTGGCTGAAACATGACTAATGAATGGTTGCTAATGGTTGCTACTGTCTTGAGTGCATTCTGAGAGACACTTATGCATCTATAATGTATAATTACAATGGTAGAAAATTACACCTGTTTCAGCCTGGCGTTCCACAGTCTTGCCGAACCACATTGTATTAAGAGTGACTCAGTTTGAGAGTTTGGTTTCAGACAGGTGAATTTTTGGCATGAATTCTCTATTATAATTTGAGTGATATCTGAAATAGAGAGCAAGTTCAGGCGCGAACTATATTTAACCATATTTCGACTAATAGCTTCGCTCAAACGCAGGCACAGCTGGCTTATCAATTGCCTACAGTCCAAGCATGGGCCTTATGCACGAGTTGACTATTTTTGTCGAGTTCCCTTCTTTTTTTCATAAATTATTAACTGTTGAATGGGAGACATTTTTGGAAGAGGAGCGATTGTCTCATGATCGACTGGTGTTTGTGATGACGATGATGGGTATGGTGGCGGGAAATTTGTACAGCGTGTCAGATTTTCAGTGGAATGTTGCACCTCAACTCAACACGGATCGGCCGACATCACTGCAACAGACAATCTTGTTATGTAGTTGCTTGTACAGTGTGTATCAAAAAAAATGCAAACAAAATATAACGGAATGCCAGCCGTAGAATGTGCAACCAACACGGATAATATAGGTATGGTTTGAAGGATCTACCTTTCCACTTTAAAATGAGACATAAAATGTCCAAATCATTAACACTTTCTTGCTATCAGTTTGTAAACATGTTTAGAAGCTAAACTTTTTAGCATGAGGTGATAGCAAGAAAGTGTTTTTAGGATTGTGTTTACTCGCTAAACCCATTTTTTGTGTAGGCCAGGCAAATATCCACACAGAGGCAATAAGGCTAACTTTGTCCCAATGCCTAATATTGAAAACTTGGTCCCATGGTCAATTTGACCTCTCTTGGAAAATTACTCATAACTTTGTCAAAAATTATCAGATTTGGACGTTTGATGTCTCATTTGTAAGTGGAAAGGCGTATCTTTCAAACCACACCTATATTATCTACATTGGTTACACATTCTATGTCTGGCATTCCGTTATATTCTGTTTGCATTTTTTTTTGATACACACTGTATACAGTGGAACGTTGCTATACCGAACACCGCTATACCGAACATCGTCTTTGGCTCCCAATTTTTGTGTGCAAAACGTACTGAACATTGTTGTTGAAGAATATAAACAGAAAGTGACAAGTGGCTATCATATCCCCAAGGAATAGAAGGGGAAAGCCACCTATCATTGTAGGTAGAAAGCTCAAAAATTGTGCTATTACATAATTCAATTGTCAGCATGAGTTCAAAGCCCTCTTTGAGTAACTACATGTACATGTACAAGGGCATGCAGGGTGAAGTTCTGAAGTGCGCTATTTATTAAAAAGTGAGCACCGGAGCATCGCCACCTTAAAATCGCCATACCGAACGATCGTTATCACAAACAATTTGTGTGGATCCCTCGGTGTTCCTTATAGCGGCGTTTCCCTGTATAGGCTGGTTTATACTTCACATGAATGCGAATGTGAAGCAAGTGTTACATTACGAAGCATTCCCTGCTTCAAATCTCAGGGATAATTGGGTGTGGCGGAACCCTGGAATGCCAGTCTTAAATGGGTGTAAGCCGTGGAGATGTGTTGAAATGGCTCCCTCTGCTGAGAAATGGCGTCCAGCTTCTTTCATGTCTGGTCCCCGATGAAGGTGACAATGTGCACCAGCCATGGGAGAAACAAACATCAAAATTCAAACAACTACCGTAAAGAACTGCCCGTTGACAAAACTCACTCTTCGCCTTTTGGGGGTGGGGCTGTCTCGACTTCTGTCTCGCCGCTAAAGAAAGAAACAAGAACAACAAGTGAAACTAAAATACAATACTGATACAATAAAAGCAGCATCATAATGTTGCCGTGTTATATAGGCCCTAAGTCTTTCAGAGATAATATGGACACAAGACGAGGGCGCTATTTAGTTTGGGCAAACTCTTTTGTATTAACTCAAATTTGTCAGAAACAAAACACCAGCTTCCTATTGTGTCTATCATATCTTTAAAAAAGCTTATGACTTCAAGGCTCATTCATATCTCGCACAAAATGCGAATGCGTAGTGAAGTTGAGAGCGCACAACATTTGCGTAAAACTTGAAAAGTTGAAATGCATTACATCAAACATCAGGAAGAAGAATATTCAAAAGCTGTTGTGTTAACAGACCCTTGCAGTCCGGAAACAGTTTGAGGAATTAAAAAAAAAGAAAATGTTATTTTTACTTCTGTGACAATAAATGCAAAAAGAGGTCTACTCATAAATGTGTTTCCCTATGGAGCAAACGATGACTGCACAGATGACTGTGAACAGTCACAGATAGTCAAAAATCAATCCTCTTTCCCAACCATGCCTTTAAGGCAGGCTAGTCACCAAAAAATAGTCAGATCACATGCCAAGCAAGCACTGTGACAAGTCAAATTTAGTCAACGGACAAAAGTAGGCAAGAAGTAGGCACAGCTGGCTTATCAATCACCTACAGTCAAAGCATAGCTGTATCAAGTTTCATAAACAGTCACAGCCAGTCCATCCTGCTTTATGTAGGTGGGAGCTCTCAACTGTTGAAAACAGTCACTTGACTGATTTTGACTGAAAGAACAACTTTGCACCGAATGTCTGTTTGCATCATAGGAGTGTCAAAGGTTACAGATGATTTGTGATCGGTACCTTCCTATCTGGGCTGATGCTGTCTGAATCAGAGGACGATGAACGACTGCGACCGCGACTGCGACTCCGACTTCGTCTCCGTGGTCTGGGCCGAAAGAAACGAACCGGTGAGTAGTGGCCATGGAACTGGGAACAATTAACAAAAGAAGACTGAATTGTACATTCAACCAGTTTAACTATGATACCTGGACAGTGGAGCAGCATGATCCAATGAATAGGGTGTTTGACTTGTGTGATAGTACATGTACATGGTTTTGAACCATAACGGGGAACATGGTGCTTGTGTTCTTGGGCAAGACACTTTACTACTTTACTAGACGTCGGGGAATTGTCAGGTCAGGGAACCAGACTAGCTGGCTTGCAGCCGTTCACAGATGTGTAACCAATTGAAAACAAAATATGCACTATATAAATTTGGTAAAAATGCTTCAAATTTCTAACAAAGGTTGGCTGACCAGCGTTGGAAATTGATACAAAAATTCCACTTTTCTTGAAAATGACAGCACACCAGGTGCCATGTTTTCACAGAATGCTTGCGATTATTTTCCACTTACAGTCAAGTAAGGTATTTCAAATTTATTTGGTAGTTGTGGTTTTTGATGTTTGCAAATATTGTATATTACCTTTAATGCTCTGGTTACGAACCAAGTTTTGTAACTAAAGGGATTGGGTTGGAATTGAGTACGGAATGATGGTTGGTTGGGTTTTTTTGGCCCGACAAATTTTTTTGATGACATTTCCATATATACTTCTTTTGACTGGATACAAAAGATACTCAATAAAGTATACATTGGTATGTTTAAATTGTGAATTTGAACACTGTTTGTGTAGTTGCATCTAAAAGAGAGATCTTTCCCTTGCTATTTACATGTACATTACATGTACCTGACTAAGCCTTTTGCGAGTGACTTTTAACCCTTTGAAATTTTAATTTGAAAAAAATCTGGCACACTGACTTGCTCAGAATGCTTGGCACATTTTAACTTTGAATTCTCCAGACCAAAGACACGGTTGCTAATCACATGATTTGGGGCAAGCTCTTGCATAGTTACATAAGAGACGCTCAGCATCAATACATTGTTCACAATGGGTGAGAATGGAACAAAGACACCAGACCATGCCAGAGCTGGGGGTTGCTAGCATAAGGTTTATAGTAACAGTCTCTTTGGTCGGGAGAATGCAAAGTTAAAACCTGCAAAGCATTGGATGAAGTCGGCGTTACAGATTTTATTCAAATTTAACTCGCAAATGGCTTATTGTGGACCAGCTGTCATGGATGACTGAACATCAGTTTATTTCAAAATAAAAGCTCGTTTTTTTCTTTTTCCAAGTCAATCTGATTCAGTGGCCCAACAATGCCCATCCCTTTGAATCGCGATGACCTCCCATTTCAACAGACAGACCACAGTGACAGCTCATCCCACAGTTCTTAATCAACCCAACTTGGATAAAAGATGGGTTTTATTCCCCTGAAAATCAATTGTGCCCAGTGATCCATGACTATCAGGTATCAAAGGGAAAGCTGATAAACCACCTTTTCATAAATAACACAATGTGGGAAAAACCTCATTTCAGAAGATCTATGGTTCTGAAAAGCACCAGTTGGTTGTGAAACTCAACGTTCAGATCAGTTTGCTCTGATCTTTTCTCCTGAAGACGATCAGAGCATACTATTATTATTATGATTTATTTGACCGCCACAAAAATAAATGCAAACAGTATGGATCGTCGAGTCTCACAACCAATCGAGTTTCACAACAACTCGGTTCTTTTTAGAACCATAGATCTTCTGGAAAAAAATTCTTCCACATGTTGTTACCGCAAACCCTCACTAGTTCACGCATGTTTACGTTACATACAATGTACCAAGTGTGGACATTCCATTGCTTTTGTGTAGTTCAGAAAAAACAGTGAAAAAACTCATTTTTCTCAAACTGTGAAAACTCTTTCAACCCAATTTTTTTTCTATGATTCCCTTTAGCGTTTCTCTTCATTCTGCCACGGATAAACCTAACCCAAAAATGCCTCTAAACCTGTTTTCCAGAAATGGGGAAACACTGTGAGGACTTGCCCAAGTCCACACAACGTCGCCTCTACCTGGTTTATGTGGACCTCTTTTGTTCGGAAGTCCACACAGTGAATGTACTGCCTACCCAGCTTGTCACGTTCAACCACACTGACAAGTATATCAACCTTCAGATTTCCTTGTTTATTTTTGATATACACACATTATTTCTGGAAATAAAAGTATGTTATTTGGACGGGTTGGAATTAAGAATTAGTCAAGATTAGGACTTGATCCAGACTCACCCGAGTCCTATAGAAGAAGGGTCTATGTGTTGCCTGGGCACGCAGCTTGCGAAGCTTATCTTGCATGAAGATACCTGCAACAGAATTCCAGTTTTTTTTGTAAATGTATCTACATGTAAATAACACAAGTTATGTATAATTACTTGTATTGATTGCAAAATCATCTAAAACTCAATTTTTGTTTTTCTTCCATTCTGTACTTCAAGTCTGCTTGAAGATAAGTTTGTTATCCCACTCGCCCTCGTGGAACATGGAAAATGTAGTGCGTCTGAATCCAGACAATGTAGTGCGTCCTGCACAGTCCATACCAATTGGTCTTCGGCCTTGTGGCATGTGGGACACAGACACACAACATTACTCCATTGCCACTCGCACTCGAGGGATAACTAATAGTAACTATGGACAAGAAGTAACACTACAAAATCTCTTGAAACAAACTGCACATGACACTTACTGTTGATCCTGGGTGTGTATATCCCCGCTAACTGTTTCTTGAAGAACGACAAGTGAATCTTGTAACCAAACAGTATGGTGTTGGTGTACCTTTACAATGGAAAATAAACGAAGGAAAAATTTTAAAAAGATGTGTTGGTGATTTAAGACATACAGGTACGATCATTTGCTTTTCATGCATTGTTTTGGTTTCCAATAATAACACCACTCAAAATCCAAAAGAGGAATGTTCAAAACCTAACCTGTTAAACTCTCAGCTTAGTGGATATAACACTTTAAGAGAAAACAGTTAAAAAGCATGCACAACCTTTTGATCATGAAACAAGATTTCATTAATATTACCCTTTATTTCCAAAGATCAGTCAATCGACTGAATCCCCAACATTTCTCAATAAAATGACAGCAAGCCAGACGGATAATTTGACGGGGTGTTCAGTACCAGTACGACCTAATCCAAGTAAGCTTTTTGATAATAATTCGCTGGAGGTTACTTTTGGGATACAGTGAAATGCCTCTGTAACAAACACTCGGCTATAACAAACATCTCTTTCAGCTCCCGAAATAGTAAATTCTATTATGCAAAATCACTATAACAAACAACCACTATAAGGAACCATTTTTATGAATCCCATCATGTTCGTTATAAGGGTGTTCTACTGTAGAGGTTATTTTCTGGGATAAATGCAAATGATCCTATATGCCTTTAAAGACTTGATGCATTGCTACAAATACATGTATATGTCTGTAAAATACATTCATGGCTTTTGCCATCTCTATTTTCATATCTCACATACAAAAACATGTGAACATGCATATTCTTCAAAACAAGGATGTTAAATATTGTTATTAAAAACTATACCGGTACATGTACATGTACCAGTATACATGTATACGTGTACACGTATATATAACTATGAGACTTTTGATTTATTTCCTTTCAATTTCAACTGTACATGTTTCGTTCAAATGATTTATTTGTGTTTCAGTACTACATGTACTTGTGCATTACCGGTACATACAAAGGATCATTCTGTAAATTTGGGGTCCACTTTTTTTCCTGTCCCTGTTGCATCTGACATCTATAATTCTATAATTCTGGATGCACTCCTTAAAGGGAATGTACATCATTGGCTTTTGCTGTAATTTTCGGAAATGAACTATTTGAGGGGATAGTATAATAGATCAAATACTGTTACACTGACAAGTTTTAAGTTTTGTGTTCGTAAATGCTGGAAAAACCAAGAAAAACAAAAAGGTTCAAGTAGTCTGGTTCCCTGACTCCACTAAAGATGAAATGAATCAATTTATTGATGCGTGAAAATTGTAAGGTAAGGAAACCAGTCTAGCTGGCCTGCACCCGTTCATGAACATGTAACCAATAGCAAACAAAATTTGGACTGAAAAAAAAGAGGTAAATTTGGGGCAGTAGTTGAAAAATAGTTAGGTTTTTCCAACGGTGGTTGGCCGACCACCGTTGGAAATTTATACAAAATACCACTTTTCTTGAAAATGACTTCACACCAGGTGCCATAATTTTACAGGATGCTTTAGACTTTCATTTACCAACATCCTATTAAGGTATTTCATAAAAATTTGGTAGTTCTGTTTTCCAATGTTTGCAAATGTTGTATATATTCCCTTTAATGCAGTCGTCCTACAAGAGTGATAACATAAAGCAAATTAACTACCCAACAAATAAAAATGCTTTGGGGTCATTCTTAATGATACTTGAATGGCCAATTACAAAGTACGGAGGTAACAGGAACAGGAAAATGTCACACTTTGGACCCTTAATGTATAGCATGACCCACATGTATACACTTCAAATCTCAATAACACACATAAGATCTCAATAAGATTGGCTGATCTCAAGATAACAAATAAACTCAGCAAAACATGATACAAATCAAATACAGAACAGAAACAATGAATCATTGAACAAGCGGTTTCAATACGGTACTTCTACACTGAAAATGAAAACAATTAATACATGTAAAACCAAATGGATTTCCTCTCTGTCCGGCCACAAAAAGAGGAAATTCAATTTTTCAAAATCAGTGTGCATGGATGGCTTTTCCCTGCATTCAGTACAATGTACGTGTTCTTTGTTTGGTATTGAGGTCAAATTTCAGTGTTGTTACGCCACAATCAATGTCTACAAAAGCGTAAAATCCTGAATTGTTAAGATTTTACATTTACTTGAAAACACTTATACAAACATAAACACAAAGTTGACTAATTGTACATGTACCAAAGGCCATAGAGCAAGGCATAGGCCAACACTCTAGTTGATTAACTCTATTAATTTAATACAAATTCTGGTAACAGTGAATACATTGTGCACCGTACACAGTGTAAAACCTTGGTCCTGAACGTGCATTTTTGTGCACACCGAATGGGACCGACGCTCAAAATTCTGATATGTAAAAAACATTTTGGCTAAGCCAGGCTGACTTTGTTTTACATACAGTCAACTGTAAATGTACTGTACAAATATGCATTGGCAATATAGTGTACATTGTACCTCGCTTGATGTACATATGTATACATCGATTTAACTATAGATCCTACATATCCTACTGTACAGAATTATTACAGATAATATTTCAAATGACAAATAAAATACATGTATGTACGGGTATGTACAGCCAACTCTAGTTACTTAATACAAAATCTGTTAATACAAATTTGGGTTATACATGTAGAGCGAACATAAATTCTAGGTCCAAACTGTAGGCCTACTCATGTGCACAATGAATGAGACCAAAGCTCATCTTAAAATGAAAATCAGATGTAACAAACATTTTGGCTGGATTCGGCTGAGTTTGAATGAACAGGAGTCGGCTACATAGTACTTAACCAAATTACGTATTATTAATTCATTATTATTCATTATTTCTGGTTATGAAACCAAGGATTCCTCTACTAGGCACTGTACATGTAGCTCAAAAGCCTGACGAAACCTGTAGAGAGAAGACAATGAGTAGAAAGGACAGTTTGGGAGGGAAAAACCCAGAGGAATATTCTGGGGGAAACCCACGGAATCAGGTAGGGACTGAAACTATTACAGAAATTATTACAGAAAATATTTTTAATGACAATTAAAATATACTGAGAACTTCTGCCTGCATTAACCAACTACAGATTCCCATGATGAATCCTGACTGTGCATCTCAATTTACTCAATGTAGCAGCCCAGCAAACTTCACAAAATCAATTCATTAAACAAAATCAGGTCCCATATGTCAGAATTCCCACGATTTATCTCACCTGCTAGAGATCTACAGCTAATAAGGCAGAGAGATCAAAAACACCGTCACTACCAAGAGTACGCTGAAGGACTACCATGGTGATAGTGATAATGCAAATTATGAAGGCATCTGATGGCACATCTTAAGGAAACCCACATCCTTGCTCGAGCGAGGTACTCTAGACACACTGATGAGGCTGACACACTGATGGTAATTACAGTCTCGTCTGCAAAGCTTTGCTGTCGTGGCAGTCAGGGCCACGTTGCACTTCCTCATTGGCTTCCCCCGTGACTCCCTCTCGTTCATTCCTGCCTCCATCGCCACGACAACCAACCAAGTCAGCAACGACGTTGTCCCCCTGACTAGTGATCACAATTGGGCTCCTTTTCTCTTCACGCCAGACTGCACATCACTTCATTTGGCTGTCCAACAAAAAGCTGCCAATTTGTTGATTACCGGCACGTGTCTGCTCCATGCAGCAACAATAGGAAGATATAATGAGCGCGCATCCATTGTACTGATGATGCATAATTTGTGACCCAGATAACCATGTCTTAACGTGCAATAAAACCAACATGATCACTTTATACAGTCCCTAAAATCCCCAAGTACTAAACTTTATCCAAATCATTCATATGTCGAAATAGGATATTTGATTTCAGCAGACTTAGGGTGGTTTCAGCTTTTAAAAAAAATGCCACCTACCATTAACTGCTGTTACCACACTGTACAAAAATACACATATTTATGCAGTTTATGTACAATTATGCACAAAATGTACATTTTATGACTGTCCATAAAAATACATAAAGACTGGAATAAATCCACCACAATGCAAAAGCATGTTTATCATGCACCTATGTGTATGATACGACAAACTGTTAAACAATAACATGCAGTATGCACACATGTTGTAGACTACATGTACACACTGGTAGACTACGTCCCTTAAAGGGGCACAGCCCCTACTAACGTGGTGCACTTTGATTGTTCGCCTCCAGTGCCTTGCTAGGGCAAAATGTTTACCTCAAATTTCACAGTGTATTGAGAAAAATGTCATCAAGCTCTGACTATTCTCGTTCACAAACCTTGAGTTTTTATAAGTTACAAAGTCAAGACAGAAATTTAAATTATTGCAGCGTGACTTTTAAAAAAAATTTTTTAAACTGCACCGTAAACCTTTTCAAATGCGCCCCAAAATAATATAATAATTTTCTGACAAAAATGTAGAACTACATGTACATGTATGAAAGTGGAGATAATATTCAGTAACGATTTATCAGAATGTGTCAATTAAAAAAAAAATCTTTTCATTAACTGTGTATAAATACACATTGGAACGGGTGAAAAACACATTGCCATTTATAATCTGTTGTGTAGTTTTGCATGAATGGATTTTTATCAATTTTGTCGCTGTGATAACACAAGAGTACAAACAATGTACTCCATCAACATGAAATGCTGATGTTGGATACTTTTTGAGATATATTTAAAGATGTTTGCATTCACAACTTTTTGGGGGTCACCCTATACATCACTTATATACGACATCTAATGAGTACAGACCAAACTACCCCCCCCCCCCCCCCGTACATGTAAGAACCACCACCTTAAAGGGAATATACATGTACCAGTTCAACATTTGCAAACATCAAAAAACAAAACTCCCAAATTATTATGAAATACCTTACTGGACTGTTAGTGAACGACAGTCTAAAGCATCCTGTAAAATCATGGCACCTGGTGTGCTGACATTTTCAAGAAGACTGGTATTTTTGTCTCAATTTCCAACGCTGGTGAGCCGACCAGCATTGGAAAAAAACTGACTTTTTTTCCAATTACTGCTCCCAATTTACCATAATTTAGCTGGTCCGCATTTTGTTTGCATCGATTACACACCTACATGTATGAACGGGTACAAGCCAGGTAGACTTATTCCCTGACCTTCTATAAATTGCTCTGTTTCATCTTAAGTGGGGTTGGGGAACCAGACTACAAGCATGACCAGAATATGTTTTTATTGGTTTTTACTGCATCTAGGAACATGAAACTTCAAACAAGTCAGTGTATAACTATATTTGCTATAAAATACTAACACCCCCCCCCCAAAAAAAAATCCATCCATTTCTGAAAATTACAGCAAATGTTGTATATTCCCTTTAATTAATGATCTTGTACAACATGTGGTGGGACGTATGCAGAGTATTACATTTTATGGAATTGCCCATGAGAAAAGTCAGGGGAATTGTCAAAGTTTGTCACTTTTTCTTTTGGTGGGGGGGGGGGGAGTTTAACATTTGTATTAATTTTAGGAATCTCACAGAACTACCGATGCTCATCAGATTGACCTTTTAGAGACATTTGTGACTGAACATGGGTCATGCTATAAATTTGGGTCCACTTTTTTTCCCTGTCCCTGTTACAAACTAGCTTCCCAACAAACAAACAACATCTAGTTTGAAGTAGTTCTTAATGATACTTTAATGGCAAATTACAAAGTACACTTTGGACTCGACATTCATAGAATGACCCACATATCAAAACAACAACACCAAAAAACAAACAGTTGCCAGATCACATGCGACTGTTCTAGTTAGACAGGGTACATGAACGTAATGTGAATGTGAACTCCATAAAATTCAAGACCTCATTCACAAAACAAATTGTGCAACTTTTAACAATTTTATAATATACATGTACACAATTTATAGATTAAATAAAACGATTTACAGATTAAGACTTAAACGTATTATTTTTTTCGTCAGATTGTAAGTCATTTTCCAGGTGATTTTTAATGCATTTCTATTGAGTCTTACCACATATTTTTATTGACGTTTTGATGAACCGGTATTTTTATGAGCTTCTTAAAGCTATAGTCCACCATTTGTAATTTGTGCATTTTGTTCGTTTGAAGCAACAAAAGGGTTCAAAATCTAATGAAGGATAATGAACAACTAACCTGATGAAGTTTCAGCTAAGCTTCAGCTGTACATATCGAGAAAAACAGCATTCTAAGATCTCAATTTCAAATCAAAAGTTACTGAATCATGTTTTGAATTGTTTTGAATTGCAGCCATACGCGACGTAGCGCACTGATCCGATGAATTATAACAACCGCGCGCACGTGTGCGTCGTTCCAATACTTGTGCGCGCTGCGCTGAATAACAAAACGAACTACTAATTTAAATTTTCCTACGGTGCTTCTTAAGAATCACCGTTGGAAATGCCTTCTTTCGTTGATTACTTCAAAATGACAGCTTCCCAGAAGGAATAATTTCACAGGGAGTTTAGTTCCCTTACTATCTTTCAACCAAGTTTGTTTTTCAACAATAATTACGCCAGTTACTTTTTGGATGGCTGCAAATGATGGACTATAGCTTTAAATGTATTCTAATAATATTTCAACTAAACATTTTAATGTATTCTACCCTGTAGTACCATTTTGTATTGAGCTTATGTATGATAATAACTTTTTGTTACGATTAAATCTGTGAAGCGCATTGAGATTTTTATAATGAAATGTGCTATATATAACTTTATTATTATAGATTGCTCTGTAAGTAAACCAACAATGGTCCATTTGATACCAACAAGCATTTAAAGGGAATATACAACATTTGCAAACATCGGAAAACAAAACTACCAAATTTTTGCGAAATACCTTACAATGATGTTGGTAACTGAAATTCTAAAGCATCCTGTAAAATTATGGCACCTGGTGTGAAGTCATTTTCAAGAAAAGTGGTATGTTGTATAAATTTCGAACAGTGGTCGGCTAACCCCCGTTGGAAAAACCTGACTATTTTTCAACTACTGGTCCAAATTTACTATTTTTTCAATACAAATGTTGTTTGCTATTGGTTACATGTTCATGAACGGGTGCAGGCCAGCTTGACTGGTTTCCTTACCTTACAATATATTCCGGCATCTATAAATTAATTCTTTTAATTTTAATGGAGTCAGGGAACCAGACTACTTGAACATTTTTGTTTTTCTTGATTTTTCCAGCATTTTCGAACACAAACCTTCAAACTTGTCAGTGTAACAATATTTGATCTATTATACTGACTCACCAAATACTTCAATTCTGAAATTTACAGCAAAAAGCAATGATGTACATTCCCTTTAAGTGACAAATGTAAATGACATGAACATTGTACATGTATGCCCAAAAGTTTCGAGACCGAAACGGCTCACTGCATTGTTAGGCCACAAAAGGCTTCTTGTGTAAAATGTTAAGTCTTGCTCTTGGCTGTTTTGCTTTATTAAAGTCCATTTAATCATTTGTGCTAGATCTTAGGCTAGGTAACTAAAGTAGTAGTTTCTCTTCTGGGCCTTTAAAAAAAAGGAGAAGGCAACCCTCCCCCCCCCCTTTTTTTTCAAGCTGACAGATTTTCCAAGATATTCTTGCGTTGATACTTTTGTGTCCAATAGACCCACCACCCTTTCTATCAGATTTTGAACTTTGCTGGAAACGCATACAAATATTGCAAATGTTATTAAAACAAAAGGAAAAAAAAAGAGATGGCCGGGAAGAAAGGAAACGAGCAGGGACAAGAAATTGGTTTATTTAGTTACTTGTTTTGTTTGTTTGTCGTTTTTTGGGGGGTAGAAGCGATTGTCCACCAGTATTATTTGACATGTTGGACTCTAGCCAGGGGGTAATTTTATTCTTCCGTGGGTGGATATACCTGTTCATGACTGTTACATGTTTTGTTAAATACAAAAAATATAGTCCAGAGGGCATGGTTATAATCTTTGGCAATAGAAAAATGTCAACAAATGCATTCAGAAACCATTTGAGAAGGCAGCAACAACAACAAAACGAATTTATGCAGGTAAAAACTATATCAACTCTTGCAAAAACAGTCGAATTACATGTAGGTGTAAAAGTTTGAAATTGATATTTTGGCAAGGTTAGAATATGTGATGCATATTTGAAGGTAATCGGATATCCACATAATTGATTTAGAGATGACCCTTTCCTCGGTTAAAAAAAGAAATACATTTGTTGAAAAAAGTTCAACATAAACACCATGGCAATGCATTCATTCAATTAAGCTTCAGATGCTTAACTACAGAACTGGTCTCCGGGTTCAGTTTTTGACCTTTTTGCCAGCGAGATTATGATGTAAAATGCAGAGTTTCACCAGAGTTGATCGCATTTGCGTATATAAGTACTGTTCCTTCTGTTCATACATGTGTATTCAATTCATTCTTCTCTTTTCACAATGTGTTTTGGCAAAACATTCAGAAAGTACAGAAACTTGGCGACAATGTTTTTTAGCCTAAGTTCTCATATTTCTCAAATAACAGATGTTTTTTAATTTTAAAAAATGACTGTTTTTAAATCAAGAAAATATTTTCTCAAACTAGAATTTGGAAAATAGTTTGGTTCAAATATGCGTACAATTACACTTACTTTTCAACAACTTCTTTGGCCACTTCTATGTTGTCAAACCGTAAGGCCATGAATAGACGGAAGTGCTGATTGTAGATTTTTTGGTAGGCGATGCGGTTGTGATATCCCTTGTCATAGAAGTAATCACTGGGGAAACAAAACAGTAACAAACAATTTTACATTACATCCCTATCAAGATCAATAATCAGTCCTTCTGATTTGAAAATCACAGGTGTGTTAAAAAGGCACACCTGGATTTTTCTAGGTGTGTGTTTTTTTCTAGGTGTGTGGTTTTCTAGGTGTGTGATCTATAGTCCAGGGAAATAAGCCATTTGCGTGTAACCTATACCCTTTGGGATTTACATTTGAAAAACGTCTGGTACAATGACTTGCTCAGAATGCTTGGCACATTTTAACTGTGAATTCTCCAGACCAAAGACACTGTTGCTAATCACATGATTCGGGGCAAGCTCTTGCATAGTTACGTAAGAGACGCTCAGCACCAATACATCGTTCACAATGGGTGAGAATGGCACAAAGACACCAGACCATGCCGGAGCTGGGGGTTGCTAGCATAAGGCTTGCCCCGAATCACGTGATATAGTAACAGTCTCTTTGGTCGGGAGAATGCTAGGTTAAAACGTGCAAAGCATTGTATTAAGTCAGCGTTCCAGATTTTATTCAAATTTAACACGCAAATGGCTTATTCAGGCGTGCAATTATTCACACTTCTCAGGAAGCTTTTAGGTGTGCGGTGGTGTGGGGATGTGATCAGAAGGACTGAATAATCACTTTGGTATTGATCAACTACTTTTTGCAAACTTGAAATGTGTTTAGTAGGTCTTTAAAAAACAAGTATCTTTCCTCCTCTTTTCCCTTTTCCCACCCCTATGGCTTTTTCAAGAATCTTTCCTAAATCCACATGTAACAACAACCCCTCCCCCCCCCCCCCAAAAAAAAACCAAACACCCCACAGTTGTAATGGAACTGGTAGGCCTACTTCAAATCCATCTAAAGTTAGAACTAATTAGCCATTTCTTAGATCCGCCGATTCAATATTCCAACATCTACCGGTACCAGTACAAAAGATTTGATGATGTTCACTTGGTCTACGGGTGATGTAGTAAACCAAACTGCATTCTGCAATCTTTCATGCAGTAAAACAAAACTATTTAAGGCAAACTTTCCTTTTTGCACAAAAACGTCCGAGCATAATTTTGTTCTTTTTTATTGTGCTATAGTCAGAGTTTTGAAATTTTCTGTACGTAATTTAGACCAAGACCTTTTCTGATATTTGGTTGGTCCATTGTATCTGCTGTGATTAAATCACAGCAAAATCGGATTTGCACTCATATGACAAAGTAATTACACTGAAAGGAAAATTGTCAATCTTGATGTGTGAACATGCAGTTGAAATGTCAACACACTCTGATCGCCAACCAGTCAAAATACTTGGTACATTTTTGTACACCGCTTCATTAGTGCATAGCATCGATTGCACAACCTTATTCGAGTGTACCTGTACTTGAGGCCAAAAACAAGGTCTCAACTAGTCCGAAAATTTGGGACTCTCAATACTGTGTATGAGAGTCCCAAACCTTCAGGTATTGAAAACATGCAAAACAAGAAAATAGACTGGCTCCAGAAACAACCAGTCCAACACCTCTTCAGTATTGCATCAATCAACCATGCAAAAAGAATTGAAGAAACATGTGGCACGAACCGGGAACTAGTCTCAATTTACTACATATTTCTCCATAGTCCAGCCACCAGACTATTGACACTGAATGAAGAGGTCAGTCTTTTCAAATGGTTGGACCATGGTTGGACATGTACCAGTCTAGTCTTTAGCCCCATTTTGAAATCACTTGACTTCCCTCTCATGTGCAAAATATTGAAGAAAAGTCTCCTTTAAAAATTGAATTGAGTCTGCAAACTTGGTTGGTGAATTACTGAGGACCTTTTCTTTTGCCCAGTGGCATTTTTTGGAAAAAATTGCTGGCCAAACTGTGAGTAAAGTGGGCCTGATTTAGTTTTGCACGTTTCAGAGCACTCCAGAGCCCTGTCTGGGTCTCAACCAGACTGGGACTTTGAGTGCAGAAAAACTTAACTCATCCTTTTGCTGGCAATATTCTCCAAACTGTTCATAGGGCAAAGACAAGGTCCGCAGTATTTCACCAGCCAAGTTTGAGGTCTCAATTTTATTTTTGAAGGAAACTTTTCTTCAACATTTTGCACCTGAGAGTGAAGCCAAGTGATTTCGATTTAAAGCCTAAGACTAGACTCGTACATGTCCAACTATTTAAAAAGATTGACCCTTCGGTAGTCTGGTGGCATGACTGTGTGTAGAAACAGAGAATGTATAAACAAAAATAGAGACTAGGTACCAGATGTTTCTTTTGACACAGTTGATTGATGCTGTACCAGTGTTGGACTGGTTGTTTCATGTGCCAGTCTATTTTCTTGTATTTGCATGTTTTTACTATCTTAAGTTTTTGGACTTTCTTACACAGTATTGAGAGTCCCATATTTTTGGACTGGATTCAACTATATACATTCAGTACCTAAATTTCCAAACTTCTTCTGTACATGTACATACCTCACTTCTGCTGCTTTGACAGCATTTGAGAAACCCTTGAAGAATACGGAGAAGGGGTCCTCCCCTGGCCCTGGTTGAAATCGGAGGCCGGACATGGTGAGGGTTGCTCAATTTGTGGCTTACTGTCTCATGTTAGACTAATCCTTAGACCATCCTCCTGTGAGGGACAAGCAGAGAAAAAAAAGTGTCATAGGTCACAGAGATGTAGGACTGGGAAAAAAATCCATTCTGGGCCACCACTCAGAGCTCCTGCACAAAGTCTATGGGCCATGACAGAACATTTTAAAGTATTATCAAAGAATTTGTGCACTCCTTAAACAGTGTTTCTCCACCAGATTTACAACTTTTGGTACTTTTCAGTGGTGGCCCAGTATGGTTTTTTTTTCCGAGGCCTGTACAGTGGTTTGAAAACTGAGTGGACTTCACCTCCAAAAACTAAAACAAAAGTAAAACACATGTTAAGGCTCTTTTTTTCCCTCCAAAATGGCCACCACGGCTATTTTTCAAGATGGCCGTCATTTGTTTTTTATATGGCTGCCATTGGACTCAGAAAATGACATACCAACTTTACATGGGCTAGATGCAACAGACAAAGAGGCCAAAATGATGTCACTGTTTAAAATTTATCATTTTCTCGGTTTAAAAAAAAAGGGGAAAAAAAGAGGCGACCTCCAAAAAGCAGACGGGCGGGGACGCTTAACATTTTTTTATTTTTTTATTTGGCCTAAACGGAATGACATTCAGATTTTTTTTTCAAATTCAAAACATATTCTACAAAATTTGTTCACGAGATCAAAATGATGTCACTATTCTTTTATTCTTACCAACTACCTTTAATTTCCACTTTCATATTTGGAAAAATTCTATTCATTTACGAATTTTATGAATAATAATGAGGTCGGTAATGGAATGACGATAGGGCCTATTACTCTAAAATGGACTTGACCTTTTTTTTTACAAATTAATGTACATTTTGCCAAAACTCTGTGAATCTTTTAAGGCAATCTTGATTCAGTAACGGAATGATGGTAACAGAATGACCCAAGGTTTACCCACGGATACAAGTGCATACAAAATGACAGCTTTTGTGAAATGTACATTAGGCCAAAAAAAAAAGTCTCCGGTTTCTGGTATGCGCGCGCGTCGCCGTAGCCATGCGCATCGGCAAAATGAAAAAGTTTTTTTTTCAATGAAAGATGATGTCTCAAAACCGCCAAACTCACTGGTTTGACTGGAATCCTGCTGCTGCACAATTTTAACGTGTTTTTAGAGGGGGTTATGGTCGAGAATAAGCTTTATGTGGCCTCTCCGGACTCCCATATATTTGCACTAAGTTTAGTCGGGCACCATTTGCAGTCATCAGCTGACATTTGAAGCAAAAAAATCAGGTAAAAAAAAAACAAAAGCCGCGTCGCCGCACCACTTTTTGGGCAAGCTCCATACCAGAAACCGGAGACTTATTTTTTTTGGCCTTAAATGTACTCGCAAAAATTAACACTTGCATACTGCATGTGAAAACAAGATGCCAAAATGGCCAGTTGTAAATAAGGGAATAAATGTGTGCTCCGGAGGTTTTAATCACTCTGTTTAAGACCGCTCAGAGTCTGGGTGCTGATAATTACCCGAGGCAAAACTGTTTGGTAAAAAAAAACGATTTTGTTCAACAAGTTCACTTCATGTTTTTGGAAACACCCCTCTAGGCATAATGGAGTGTCCAGCTCGCGAGTGCGCGCGCATCACGCATACTGCGCGATGTGGCGCAGAATGCACTTGGGGCGTTGCATTGTGAATTTAGGACTATAAAATACGTATATAGGCCTACCCCCTGGTAGTATTGACCTATCGCAGTCGAATCGCATTAAAACCGTGTCAAAGCAGCTTGTGAAATATTGTCCAATAACATGATAGACAAATTGACGCAGAACGCACAAAATCTGGGACAAACGAAACCTGGTATACTAAAACTCCATATGGTTATCTAAGGGGCGTGGCTAACTCGCAAACGGCGATAAGTCAATTACGCATGCCTACATGTGTATGTGAGGAATGTGAACGTTTAACTAATAAAACGGTAAGATGCACTGGATTTTAAGGAGTCCAAATTTCATGTGACACTGGAAAAGTGTTTAAGACCAGCTAGCCATGTCTTTCTCATCTGTTTAAGATTGGCCACGTGACGGGCTCTCGACCAATAGGAATGGTAAACTATCTTAGGTATTTATGAATGTGATATCGCAATAGTGTTGTTGCAAATGCCGTAATGATAGCAGTTGTAAATCACGTCACGGCTGCCATGAATGGCCATAACGATAGTATTTTTGGAAAGAATGTAGTATTCACAGGTCTACGCCCCTTCTCTGGTATTGAACAGAGTCTATGCAGAGTCGAGTGCATTTTCAAAGTATTTTCCAACAAAATAGGAAATGGTTCTCAGTCCCAGATTCATGTCTTTTCAGCATTTCTGCAATGACGACCTGCATTGAGATAATATGAAAGTGGCGTCAGGATACAACATTCTTTCTGTATTTTTAAGGCAGTGAATATTTAGCGGGATCTGGCTTTCTTTTAGGCCATTCAACATTGATTTTTAGGTTTTCATCACTCAACATTGAAAAAATTGGTCGGGAGGGGAATTTATATTTTATATTTTATAAATTCCTGCGGCAAAGCTGTTGTACAATTCATTTTACGGAAAGCGTCCTTGGGACATTAATCCCAAACCATGCATGGCTTGAAAACCTTCACTCCACATGTAATCTTGGAGATTACGAAAACCATGATGCCAGAACTTGTCCGAAAAATAACCGTTTGTGAGAAAAAAAACACACTTTTAGGAAAAAAAATTGAAATATTTAAAAAATCGGAGCGGGAGTGAAAATCAAGGTCAGAGGTGATGAAACCTAAAACTCAATGTTGAATGGCCTTAGTAAATGGTATTTTGCCAGATAGGCACTGAGCATGCGCAGCTGTGACTGTATTTTGAGTCTTGGAAATTGTTAGCGTTCACAAATCTTAGTCTGGTTCCACGCCAACATTGTCGTTGTGACTTCATATTCATGAGATGGGAATCAGACCATTTTACAATTTCGGACTTTATTTCCCATTAAACAAAATCACCCAGAGCCACAAATCGGAAAAAGAAAATGTAATACTCTGCAATTAAATGTTGGAGTCAATTTAAAATAATAAAAGAAAAATAAAGTTGAAAAAAAAATTGAAAACGTTAAAAGCTGGGTTTAGTATCGTCCAGGACCAGGGATCTCTCACTCATGAGATAGACGTGCTATCCACTTGGCCACAGGTGCTGCACAAACAATGGTGGTAATTTCATGTTTTATAATGTAACGTTAGGCATACTCGTATATGCTTCAAAGAGGGCACTGTACAATCTAGCCAGCTTAATATCATTTACTGAAAGATCCAGTAGGCCCTACCTATTTTTAATAATTTAATTGTTTATAATTGTTTGTTTATTGTTGCAGGGTCAGGATGTCAGGACAGGAGACTCGAATAATTAAACATTGAACATGTTTACCATTGTTTATCCAGCTAAACAATTGCATGTTTGCTCTCATTCTTTGCGCACATCATTGATCGATACTATACTCTCAATTAGTCAAAGTGCTAAGCCAATATAACCACAACCATGGAGGAAATGTGTTCTTATTCCTCCATGCCACAACACAGCGGTGAATCAACACAGCGATTCAATCACTGACTTTACTTTAGCTTAGTCCTCGGTCTTTATTATACAAATTTCCGGATCTAGTTCATGCTGTTCAACATCTTGAATGCTTCCGTTTGCACACGCGGATATTCACTTATTATTACCTTGTATGGCATGGAGGAAGACTTCTACTGGTGGATATCCGTCTGCCTATTATCCGCTCTAAAATAACAACCAAGATCAGAATTCCAGAGATTAACGTTGTTTGTTAAAAATTCCGAAAGAGATCAGCGCATCTTAACTGCATCGTAAAAAAAACCCCAAATGCTTTTTTTAGCCAGATTGTAATCTGGGTCAAAGGTTGAAGTCCCTTCACGAATATTGTGTATTGCACGAGTAGTTAATGCCACTTTTTTTCCCCAAAGAGTTCTAATAACTGAACTGTACGCTGTTTTTATTTAATGCACGCCGCTACCTTCATGAAAACTACACGGAGTCTTTGTGGACGTAAGTTTGTTGGGTTTTTTTAGGCATGGCAGCAGTTTGTGCATTGTGTAAAGTCCAAAATTAAGGTGAGCATGGGAGGTTTGAAAAATAAACATGAGGTAGGCGTACAATGCTTGATATTGCACTGCCAAAAAGTGACACATTTAGACAGTTTTACATACAAGTTAGCCTAGGCCTGCCTACTTCAACTTTTGTAAACACAGTTTTTGTAGGGTTTTCTATGGTGTCCCCGCAGGGACAATTGATTTAGCAAAGTAATTGCAAAATAAATTTTCTCACAAAATTCTATTGTAGACTCTTTTGTCACATGACTTTTTCCTGTGGTGGACAAAAACAACGGGCACAACTAGGGAATACAGGGCCACTGCACTCTATATCCGCGCCTCCATATGGCTGCGTGGAGCCGTGGAAGCTCGAAAATACTCATTTCCTTTCCAATTTGATCATATTAATATGAAATGTGATACTGCATGTTGTCTTGATAAGATCGTAACAGTTTAATTCAATAAAATGTGTTTTCGTAACTCACGCCATGCTCGCGCTGCGACGAATTGACTCTGTTTTTACCCCAGACACTGCATACAAAAACAAACGGTAATGTAACGCACATGCAGGCGCCAGACTATTCCTCATTTTTGGGGGGTTATGAGGAAATACCCCAAAAGTAATCAATACTACCTTTTACCCTTGACTACACGCAGGCACCTCCATATGATCGTACAACAAAAAAATTCCCCCCCCCCCAAAAAAAATTTCCCAACCTACCTTCCCTATTTTCAAATGCCAAGTAATCGGAAGCAGAACTGTTTTTGGGGGTTTTTTTTGGCCTAGGGCAGCGTGGCATTATGTCAGCCGATGAAAATATCTTTTCATTAGCGCATGCGTTTTTCACCTGTTGCTACGTATGCGTTACCATTCAGCACTCCAGACTCATATGAATCTTAACCCTAACCCCCTAGGCCCTTGTTGCTTACAACCATCCTCAATCCTCCAAAATCCTCCAAAATTTTTCAACTCCGCCTAAATTTTTCAAAATTGTCAGACAGTCCTGCCTCAAAATGCATTCATCCTCAATCCTCCAAAATCCTCCTCATCCCAAAACTTTGCACTCGTGTTTAAATGAAGGATAACCAACGCCAAATCCTTCAAAATCATCAGACAGTCCTGCCTCAACATGCATTCATCCTCAATCCTCCAAAATCCTCTTGTGCTTCATTCACCATTCATGCTCAATCCTCCAAAATCCTCATGTGCTTCAATCACCATTCATCCTCAATCCTCCAGAATCCTCATTTGATTCAATCACCATTCATCCTCAATCCTCTAGAATCCTCCAAAACCGCCAGGAGGATTTTGGAGGAGTGAGGTGGGTTAGGGTTAATGAAGAAGATTTCAGAAGTTGCTGGATGTCCACACTAATCCTATAGAAAGAGTTTAATGACAATAATGTTGACAGAAATTTGGTTTCTTGTTTTCCCATCAGGCTGCTTTTTTTTCAAGCTCGGAATGAATCATCATGTCAGATCAGTGTGATGAAACGCTTCATGAAACTGCAGCAGGGGATTTCCAGGCCCATATTGGTGCCATTGTTTCGGGTGGCCTGACCTGCCTTTCCATTGGTCTTGGAGTGGAAACTGGACTGTTTGATGTCTTGTTTTCTCTTGGTCAGCCCAAGACATGCCAGGAGATTGCAGAGGCTGGGAAGTACAAAGAAAGGTCAGTACATGACATCATTGACTTGGATTCAAACTATAATTTCAAGAAAGCAGTTTTGCTTTGATTTTAGTTGAAAGTTTGGAAGATCCTTTGAGTAATATAAGCTTTGTTCTGAAGTCCTGACAAAGCCATCACAAGTCCTCGCAAGTCCATCACAAGTCCTCACAAGTCCTAACAGGTCCATCGCAAGTCCTCACAGGTCCATCACAAGTCCATCACCACTTCTCACAAGTCTATTGATCATAATTCTCAGAAGTCCTGACAAGTCCATCACAAGTCCTCACAAGTCCTGGCAAGTCCATCACAACTCCTCACAAGTCTACCACAACTCCATCACAGGTCCTCACAAGTACTCGCAAGACTATCACAAGTCCATCACAAGTCCTCACAAGTCCTCACAAGACCATCACAAGTCCTCCCAAGTCCTCACAGGTCCATCGCAAGTCCATCACCACTTCTCACAAGTCTATTGATCATAATTCTCAGAAGTCCTGACAAGTCCATCACAAGTCCTCACAAGTCCATCTCAAGTCCTCGCAAGTTCATCACAACTCCTCACAAGTCTACCACAACTCCATCACAGGTCCTCACAAGTACTCGTAAGACCATGACAAGTCCATCACAAGTCCTCACAAGTCCTCACAAGACCATCACAAGTCCATCACAAGTCCTCCCAAGTCCTCACAGGTCCATCGCAAGTCCTCACAAGTCCATTGCAAATCCTCACAGGTCCATCGCAAGTCCTCACAAGTCCATTGCAAGTCCTCACAGGTCCATCGCAAGTCCTCACAGGTCCATCGCAAGTCCTCACAGGTCAATCGCAAGTCCATCGCAAGTCCATCACAGGTCCATCACAGGTCCATCGCAAGTCCTCACAGGTCCATCGCAAGTCCTCACAGGTCCATCGCAAGTCCTCACAGGTCAATCGCAAGTCCTCACACGTCCATTGCAAATCCTCACAGGTCCATCGCAAGTCCATCACCACTCCTCACAAGTTTATCGCAAGTCCATCACAAGTCCTCACAAGCCTTTCAGTCCCAAGCCATTCAAATGAACTGTAACAACTTGCATCCCATGTTATTGTTCATCCGCTGTTACTTTTGACTGGACTTGCGATGGATTTGACTTCAAGACTACCTGCCTCAATTCGATGATGGTTAGTCCAATTGTGGCTAAAGGCATAGGCCTATAAATTCATTTCATCAAAAAGCTTGCTTGGATTGAAGATCGTACTGGTACTAAACACCCCTTGAAATTATTCCGTCTGGCTTGCTGTCATGTAGAAGAAATTAAGAAATGTAAGTGATTCCCTATGATCAGTCAGTTGACTGATTTTTGGAAGAGCACTAGGGACAAAATCATGTTTCATAATCAAAATGTTGTACATGGTTTTTCATTGGTTTTTTTTTTCTTTCTAAACATGCTAAATGTCACATATCCACTCAGCTGAAACTTCAACAGGTTAATAGGTTTTGAACATTCTGCTTTGAAGTTTGAGCGGTTTTATTATTGGAAACGAACAAAAATACATGAAAGGCAAATGATCTTAATAATAGCAGGCATTTACATAGCACTTTTAAACGGGGTATTATTATTACGCCTGTTCAACAGACAAACACTCCTGAAACCTTCTCAACTCCCTGGGGAGCATACACGGCTGGTAGGCAGCCATTTCGGCACTCTTTGCCGTAATCAACCTGTCACAGTCACCAATTTTGCCCACACAGGTAACCATCTACTCCTGGGTGGAGAGAAGCAATGAGTGACAAAGTGCCTTGCTCAAGGGCACACGCACCATAACCCCGGGCCTGGACTCGAACCCACAACCTGCAGAATTACCCGCAGACCACAAATTCAATGCTCCAGACCACTAGGCCAAGGCACTCCACGATCTTATAATATGCCTTTGATGTGATTCTTGATCTCATGTAACTCTCTCAGATATGTCAAGGCATGGCTGGATGAAATGGCGGCAGCTCAGATTGTTAGCTTTGATGCATCTGCTGGGACTTACTGGATACCGGAAGACCATTGGCCGGCCTTGAAGAAGGGTGATAAATTCAGCAAGGCTGTCCTCTCCACGTTGTCTATTCCAATGCTGTCTGAGGCATTCTGTAGTGTCAAAGAGTGCTTTAAGCTGGGTGGCCCTGCAGGTGTGTAAATGGTTTGCATGTAACATAATGCATTGAAATGGTTTAATCCTCCTACTGATATCACTGCCACGAACAAAATCTATCCACTTCCTCTCCATTAGCTTTTGTTCAGGCTGGTCACCAACTACCAGAACTACGCCTGTTCAATATCCAGCTATTTTTAAATCGCAATATCATGAACAAAATATCAGATATCACGATATTATTGCGATGACGTCATTTCCCCATTCATGGAACAATGGAATAATAAAAAACACAACCAAAGTCACCACTGCATTGTGAGAGCCGTGTTAAATAACCCGATAGTCCTGATGGTCGAAATAGGCCATTGTCTTTAACAAAATCGTCTATTTTATTTGACTTGTCTCATAAACCTTTGCCAAGTAGAAAAATCGTAAAAGTTTACCTTGAAATGTTTGATAAATGTGCAAATAGAAATACCGGGGTCTTCACACAACACATGGGACCTGCGGCTTTACGTCCCATCCGAAGGACGAAGCAATAATGGTAAAGTGGCTTGCTCAAGAGCACAAGCACCATGTTTCCCCGTCAGGATTCGAACCCATGTACCACGGCACACAAGTCAAACACCGTAACCATTGGACCACACCACCCCATAAATGGATCTCATGGGGAAAGAACAATGGTAGCACGCAATGCATGCTCTGTGCAAGGAGCGGCAGTCATTTGGGAGCCTTTTTACATCACTGGTTGTTGCATGCACGTAACGGTAAAATCCATACGAGAGCCATTAGCAGCGGCGATCGGAACCAATGAAGTCAAGTTTGGCCTTTATCCAGACGCGACGGGTCACGATGTGAAAATCAGGCTCCTTTTCCTCATTGGCACCTGCATGACCACTATCGTAGTTTTTCTTCAGTAAGGAACTTCCAATTCAAAGTCTGTGTTAGATAAATTCAAAATTTTAATTTTAGGCTACACTGTAGCCAACATCACTATTCTGGAGGTCGCAGTTTCGAAAATCCAGCTACGGCCAGTTTTGTTTGTTCACTTTTGTTTGCCATTGTTTGGATGGAATGCATGAGTGAACCTTTTGTGCCTCCATTGTTACTGAGCTAAATCCATCATTGACTGGCACTTTACCAGCGCTGATGTCAGTCAAGGCATGGTACCCTCAGTTAACAAAACTACCACAGCCTGTCAATTGCACCAATATGAGGCCAGTTCACAGACCTGTTAAACCTGTCACCTGATAGATTTTGGCATATTGGGTAACTCTCTCCAGATTGTCACTGAGAGAGAGGGAGGGGTAAGAAGGTAGAATTATGTCATCATGTGGGATTCGAACCCACAGTCTCCTGCTCGCTAGTCTTAGCTCAGAGGTCTTTATCACGTGACCACTCAACTCAGTCATGCCCTTCATTTCAAGTCTGGAAACCGTCTCAGTTCTGCTCCAACATCTCACGGCCTAAGAATCCACTCTTGCTTCACACCTGTCTTAGAAGATGGAAGCTGTGATTTGTTTGTTTCTCTTTTCTTGTAGGTGTTCCGCCGGAGCAGTACAGCCATTTTGACCGGTACCTGTCTGACAAAAACTCAGTTTGGTTCAACCATTATATGCTGCAGTCCTTCATGCCAAGCATTCCTGGTTTGGTGCACAAATTAGGTAAATGACGGGAACCTTTAAGATGATATATGGCTCAGGAGCAATGGCTGAATTTTAATTTAAACGACAATTTTTTATTTTGTTGTTTGATGGGGTTCATCTGACTGTGAATGTTGAATAATTGAAGAGAAACTTGTTATTTTGTAAACGTCAATAAAAAACAAGTAAATTTGATTGTGTTAAAAATAAGGAGTTTCTCATCAATTTAATTTGGTTATTTGTTCAAATGCAGATTTGGTTTTAATTCTGGGCAGCCACTTCAGTTACTTCAAAATGACTTGGCAATTTTCAAGTGAGAATTCTAAAATATATTTGGCATATTAAAGTGCGTGCTAGCTTCACAAACCATAATACAATCAAGACCTGGAGTAATTATAAGTTCTTTTATTTCAGAGGAGGGCATATGCGTCTTAGATGTTGCCTGCGGTGCAGGCGAAGCGACCATCGCAATGGCCAAGCAGTTTTCAAAGTCCCAATTCTACGCCTTTGACATCTGTGAATCGGCAGTACGCACCGCGCAGGCAAAAGTGAGAACTGAGCGGCTGACCAATGCTCACATGGTTTGTCAGGACGCTTCGTGCCTGCCCTCTGATTGGTCGGGAAAGTTCCAGTACATCATCAGCCGGTCTGGCATCCACGACCTTCCCTTCCCTCGAGCCGGCCTGGCCGAGTTGCACCGAGTCTTGTCAGACGACGGTGTCGCGTCCATACTGGAGCCTGAGTGTCACTCGAGTCTTGCGGCAAACCTAGACGTGGCATGGGCGGGAAAGCTGTATGCGTTCAGCCTGATGAACTGCTTACCGGTGTCTCTCAGCTGCGAGGGGAGCGAGGGTCTAGGAGCAGCTTGGGGCCGTGAGGCAGCGACAGCCATGCTGCAGGAATGTGGCTTCAGGATTGTATCAGTGTCCGATGTCCTGGGAGATATCACCATGCATTTTTACTGCCAGAAAAAGGAGGTACTTGATCCCCTTTCCTAAGGCTATAGCAGTGTTGTAGTCAAGTAAATCTCAAGTCTACTTAGTGACAGGGCGTGAACAGTAGAATGTTTTAAATATTACATTTCACTTAAATATCTTGTGCTTTGACTTCGTCTTGAGACTGGATTACTTTTGATGGACTTGTGATGGACTTGACCACAACACTAGCCTATACTACTCTGGAGGTAAAAAAGATGTCACATAAAAATTGACCAAATGATACCCCTAGGGCACCTCACCTGTGAAAAGGTAAAGAGTAGATTTTGTTTTGGTCTTAACGTTGAAAAGAGGACTGAAATTACACTCTGTGGTCTCTAAGGCATTGGTTAGCTCTGATGCATTTCGTCACTGTTAAAATCTTTTAGTTCATTTAAATTAAATGACTTATGTCTATATATCAAGTGGCCTGACTGTGCGTAACTACACTCTCGGCAGTAATTATACGAAACGTAACTATTAAAGACTTAGGTGTGTTCTCCTTAATACACAAAGGTGCTACAGGTTTCGGGCACATTCAGTTTTAAAAAAGATCAGTCATGCGTGTTCTGCACGTACCATACGTGTGCAAGAACCAGTCCAGGCATGTATTAGTTCTCATGAGAAGTACACACCGCACAATTTGCAGCTCCTGTAGTAATTTTAACTGTGCTTTATCTCATCTCCATGATTCACAGGCTAAACTCGTATTATTTGAAGCCTCATCCGACTCTTCAGACCCAAGCGAAGATGCCGGTCCAACAAAGGCTGAGGCCTTTGCTTCGGTTATTGCGGACAAAGGTGGAGGTGGCCTGCCCTCCCTGGCCCTCGCAGTTGGGAGGGACGTTGGACTGTTAGACGTCATGATCGCTCGTGGCCAACCAATGTCTTGCCAAGAAATAGCAGAGGCTGGCAAATTTAAAGAAAGGTAGAGTTGATGAAGTTGAGGATGGTCAAATGGCAGAGTCGTGAGTTGATCACAAGTTAATGGACTGTGTGCATGGACAGGAGAGGGTGCCTAGTCTGGTTGTGGGTGTAAAGCTTGAAGTGCGTACAAGTAATATTATTATAAAAGTATTTAAAAAAAAAAAACGTTTAAAAACAAACATTATTTGAAACACCACCTGGAGAGTGGTGCAGCACGGTTTGTGTGCTTCAAATTCTTTAGCGGCGTTACATTTTTGAAAATAACCATCAGAATTATGTGAGTCATGAGTCATCAGCATCAAGTCCGCGTCGTGATGGTCGAGTCCGAGTCTTTGGCAGATGTGTAGCACTGTGGTCCAATGGTTACGGTGTTCAACTCGCATGCTGTGGTACGCGGGTTCAAACCCTGATGGGAAACGTGGTGCTTGTGTTCTTAGGAAAGACACTTTGCTACAATTGCCTCTCTCCACCAAGGAGTATAAATGGGTACCTGCGAAGGTAGAGACCAGAATACGCTGATCTCGAGCTGCTGCTGCAAAAAAATTGTCTCATTACCTGAGGAACATGGGTAATAATCGTGAAGCGCTTTGAGACCTTTTGCATAAAGCATTATATAAGCACCACATTATTATTGTAGCGCATATTCCCCGCGCAACTCTATAAACAAAATTAGTGGGAGAAAACGCCACATTATTATTATTATGAGACTCAAGTTGAGTCTAAGTCACTCGAGACGGACTTGAGTCCAAGTCACTCGAGACAGACTCGAGTTCGAGCCCTGTAGGCCATCAGCCTCGGTCCAAAATTTTGGTCACCGGTATCAAATGAGGGGAATAATTGTCATAGCGATTTTTGGCGAGGTATACACCTCCAGAGTAGGAAAATATGTGATAGCATTGCAGCAATGGCAGCTTTTTGGGTGTTATCCTTTTTTTCCAAAATGTCCATCAAAATGCTTGTTAACCAATCTAGGGGCGGCATACCTTGCGCATGCGCACTATCACATTTATGCCCTGCTTTGATACTGGCTAAACCCCCAGGCTGATGGCCTACTGGACTTGAGTCCTGCAACACTGGTACATACTCCCTCCCCACTTTATAATCTCCAAAGCTTTCTGCAGATAAAATTCTTACTAATCGTTAATTGACAGATACGTCAGAGAGTGGCTTGGAGCAATGGTCACATCGAGGATCGTCTGTATGGATACCTCTCATGAGCTGTACTGGATTCCAAAGCATCATGTACCAAGTCTGCAGAGGAGTGGTGTAGGGAGTGACCCGTGCTCCATCCCAGCATTATCAGAGTCATTCTACAGGCTGGTGCAGTGCTTTAAGCTGGATGGCCCCCAAGGTGTGTATTTACTGCATATACTTTATTGGTTCAGTTATTAAAGGCAGGTAGGATCATTTGCATTCATCCTCAACGTAACCTACCAAATTGTTATCCAAATGCTTACTTGGAATGAACATGTACTTAACACACCGTGAAGTTAGTCCGTCTAGCTTTCTTCCGTTTAGAAGATTTGTTGGTGATTTCCATGAATCTGTCAGTTGACTGATTATTGGAGTAAAGAGTGCTAATTGACAGAATCGTGTTTCGTGATCAAAAGGTTGTGCACGTTTTTTTACACTGATTTCTCAAAAAGTGTAATATCCACTGAGCTAAAAGTTCAACATGTAAGGTTCGGAACATTTTCTTTGGACTTTTAGTGGAGATATTATTGGAAACGAACAAGATGCATGAAAAGCAAATGATCCCATATGCCTTTAATTCAAGGTTTTAATCGAGGTTTTCTGGCGGACACCCCAGGGTCGGATCAGAATCATTTAAGTTCATTATTATTTATATATTTATTTATTTATTTATTTCTGGCGATGAAAGCAAGGATTCCTCAAAAGCGCACTTTGCACTGTAGCTCGCAAGCCTGAAGAAACCTGTAGAGAGAAGACAATGAGATGAATTTACAATTTTGGAGGTGGGAGGAAAACCCCAGAAGAATATTCTGAGTAAAATCCCACAGAATCAGGCAGGGACTGAAAACCCAATCCATGTGTCGGCCCAGGCTGGACTCGAACCCGTGTCACAGCATTGGAAGGCAAAGAAAGTGCCACTACGCTAACCTGACTCCCCTAATTAGATTTGATTCTCTTTTGAAATTGGGGAAAAAAATACATAGTGTTGTATCATATTCCTGTCACAATAACAAGGGATGAAAGATAATGAAGGAAGGGCCTTTGTCAGCTCACAGTCCATTGGAATAGCCTGTGGCCTCCTTACCTGAATCCTGTTTTCCTACCAACTTATAATCTATCCCTTTTCAAAAGACATGTGAATAGACATCTTCTCTCTCAGTAACTTTTTTCTGTATACTTTCCTTTGTAGCCCGCACCTTGAGTGGCCCTTTGGGCTTGTGATTGGTGATTATCATTAAACAAAAAAAATGACTTGCAATTGACATGAGGTGTACTTGTGAGGAATTATGATTGACTTGAAGCCTTAAACACTGAAATGTACATTTCAAATAACTAGAGATATACATTTCAACAAGGTCGTAACTCCATTCTGCAACAAAGTTGTATCTCGCGCGAATACGCTCCGTGCGACAAGGTCGTATCTCGACGTCCATTGACTTTGTGTTAAAATCCGGGTTATTTTAAGTGAGATACGACCTTTTTACATTCTGAAACTCTCATTTCACGTACAGAGATACGACCTTGTTGCACGGACACGACGATTTTCACTTTTGTTCTTGCAGGTGTTTCCTTGGACAAGCACAGCCAACTCAGCAAATATACCTGCAACGATCATTCCATCTGGTCTGTGTTTCAGTCGGCATCCTGATCTATAATTTACAGTATTCCTGTCCATTGATAAAAAGGAAGTTGCTTTTCTTCAGTGTAATGTTACTTTACACATTGATCCGATCTCACACTTGAGTACACATGGTGTGCCACAGCGATTTGAGGGTCAAACGAAATCGAACTGTTGGCCCATGTGATGTGCCTTTGAGTTTACTTGCCCCACTTAATTATACCAAATAGTAGGCACAATTGCAGAATTGTGTTCTAATCAATGGAAAGGGGGTCAATGCAGCGATAGGGGCGGGGGTGATCTGTTGGTTACTCGGTTTTAATTCCTTTGTTGGTTTGGTTACACTTGAATGGTTTTAAGGTTTTAAGGCTTTTTCTTTATTTTTGACAGTTTATCTTAAAATATTTAATACATTTTTTTCGCTGTAAAATTGTATGTGTAAATCTAGTTTAATCATTATAACTGTATTATTTAGTGTTCTGTTTTGGAGCTTTCATCAATGTTTAGACATGTAAATTTTCCATTTTTATCTTTTAAATGGACAATTAATGAATTGAATTGAATTGAATACCCTGCCACTCATCTATCTACAACGTAGCTGGCTGCGAAGTCAGGGTTGATTGCCCTCAATAAACGTCACTCCCACTCCGTACCCGCGTAGCCACTCGGGGGACCTACACTGGACTTAAAGACTTTTTTTGATCCTCCCCATTCAATTTGTGTAGTTAGTACTACTTTATTCGCCTTGGAACATTACTTTTAAAAGGGAAAAAGCGCCCTCTTTTGTCCCTCTCTGTATCCCGTAACCGCGGAGCCACTCCGGGGGACCTTCATTGGACTTAGACTTTTTCGTAGCTTCTTCGACTGCGTAGCCATTGATTTTTAGGAGTTGATTTTCGAGTGGCAGGGCATTCAACAATTACTCCAAAATATAAATATAAATTAATTGGTACCAATATTCAAATGGGGAGTAATTAACGCCGGCTGACGGCAGTAACCACAGCTCAATGAAAGGCGATAAACTGCATGCCAGCACGTACACATTCCATGCAAAGTGAAGCTGTGCGTGGCCAAATAATACCAGCGTCGAGAGGTTAAGTAAAGCATTTTGCCTGATTTCTTGCCTCTGAGAGATGAATTTCGGATTATTTCATTGCTTTGAATTTTGGGCAATAACTCTTGTGGCTTAATCCCGTTGAAAAGTTAGAACCACATTTATTTTGTTTTTTCTTTAGTACTTGATCAAAAGAAGTGCATAAATTCTATGGAAGTTGTAAACAAACTCATTTTTTGAGGGAATTTTTGTCTATACTGTTGGTTCTAAGAGAATTAACGCAATGTTTCTGTCATAGAAAATTTATATTATTTTTATCATTTAATTATAAAAAAGAGTCTTGTCTGTCAAAAGTAGTGAACAAACTATTGAAGTCAAATATGTGTTGGTATAACAGGGCCGAACCCCTAACACACACCCCCCCCCCACTCTGACACCAAAATTGTTTTTTTTTAATAACAATTATAGTAATAATAAGGTGCGTCTGTCCGCAACAATCGGATATTTAAACAAATCTGACTGGCCTGACCCCTCCTGCAAAAACTCCCGGATCCGCCCCTGAATAATTTTAAATTTGACAATATTTTCAGCTATTTTTATAGGAGTAAATCATTGAAGGTGAATTTTCTGATTTTATTTTCTTCTGATTTTATTCTTCCTGAGACTATAAGGTTAAAAAAACCCATTTGATCATGGTACTTTCATACTGTATGATTAATATCCACAAGATTAATACTCGGTACAGTATTCAAGTTCAAAAAAGTACAGCAGTATAGAGAAATAAATAACAGCGTAACAGTGATTATATTCTTGGTTTCATAAATTGAAGTATGATAGTTTTCTTACAATAATAATTTTTTTGGATGCCTGTCAGGAAGTGTTCAAAACATGGTATTATCCATCATGCACAGCTGTGTACAGTACAAACACAGACAAGTTGCATCATCCACATACACTCTTGTTTTACTGTACTCCTGAGGTCAATGCTTTGTGTTTCCCTTTGTCCCTATAATATATCACTCTCCCATAGACTCAGCACACAAACCTACTACAGAGGACCGTTTTGAACAAAAGACCCAACGCCCGAGGACTGAAAGGATCTGTTGTTCTCCCTTTGTGTGTCTGTCCTCAGGGGTTATGTAGAACACGTACATATTGTCGGCGCCTTTTCCATTTGTGAGATTTCACTATTTCTGAAAACAAAATTATATTAAATTGATTCAAAATGGCAATCCACTGGAGGTCTTTTCATGCAGCTGGTCTAGTCACAATGGGCAAGATTTAGTCCATTCATTGGTGTACTCCTATAGGAAAGCACTGCCCAGCACTCTTTACAAGTCACAATTAAGTGACCATCAGTCAGTCAGTCATTTAATAAAGAGCACACTCAGCTTGCCCTCTGGGCCCTCACAAAAATACTGCTGCCTGTGACATTTCAAATAAAATTACACACTAGTATTCTGGAAGTCTGCAGTAATTGGATCCTTGGTCGCATTTCAATCAGGAGTCAATTTTGTGCTTGACTTCAGAGCAATCAAATTTATGATGATTGAACCAAAGCATGTTATCTCTGAATTTATCTGTAGTGGGAGGGCATGCAGACCCGGTGTTCATAATCCCGCCATATATGTAGCAATTAAGATATATGTGACAGAGAACCCGCCCCCCCCCCCCTAAGTTTTGTGCTGGTCAATGTGTTACCAGAATCTCAGGAATTATTTTGAGATATCTTGGGGGGGGGGGTACTAACATTTGTCTAGGGTGCATGTTTTGGGCATAGGGACATGGGGGGGGGGGTGGAACCCTGTCGCATTTTGTGTTGGGTATAAGCCCCCCCCCCCCCCCCCCCCCTCCGACAGTGACTGACAAAAAGTCACAATCTAATTGGTCAATGCGAAAGTTTGATTGACAGATGGGAAGGATCCATTTAGATCCAGAAGAGGCATGGCAAACTTTCAAATCAAAAATTTTAATCTCTCGAATACTACCGCATTTTTTTTTTACTGGGAAACGGACGTTACTTGGAAACGGACGAGTACTTTAAAAAAAAAAATTCGAAAAAAGGGGATGGTTTCAAAACGCTGCTGCAGTTCAAAGCTAATCACAAAAAGTCGATTTCCGTATGGACAATGAAATTAAAAGTCTTGTTTAAAAAAAAATACGTGTGATTCAGTAGAGGCCACCGTACATCAGCAGAAACTCCTTCCATGCCTTCCCAGCATGCTGAGCGAAAGTTTTCATTTAACAAAATGGCGTCGACGATCAAAGCGCCAGTGTACTGCATTTGTCGACAACCTTACGACGCTTCACGGTTTATGATAGAATGTGACAGTTGCCAAGATTGGTTCCATGGAAGGTGAGAAATATGACATTTCGTTACTGGTAGTTTTTCTTGTCTAAAACCCTTTGTTTTTGAGATATTTGACATTATAGTTTACCGTACGTACGTCAGTCGTAACGAACGAATATTATTACGTACACCTCCGTAGTAAATGTGTGGTATTTCCGACACAAGGTATTTGTGGCGATTGGCGATTGCTGTGTAAAGTGCAAGTGTGAAGTTGTGGTATTAGTGTTGCCCCAGTCTATGGCTGTTGTGCGTTTTCTTGCAAATCACGCAATCTTAAGAATGAGCGCGCATTCTTAAGAACGAGTGCGCATTCTTAAGAATGAGCACACAATCTGAAGAATGAGTGCTCATTCTTAAGATTGCGTGGGAATATCACGTGCGCAATTTATGAATTTTGCGCAATCTTAACAAACATTGCACGGCATAATTATGTTAAATGAAATGTATAGCGGTTAAAGGGGAAATAATTCATATAACGAGGAAAGAAAATGATTTGCTTATGTACTCGTATAACTACGATAATTTGAATCAAAGTAAACCTGTTATTATTGCTTTTTCTGCCCACTATGGGAAGTTTTGTAATAACGGAGGACTGGGAACTAGTCTGGGATTAGGGCATTGCTTTGTTTAGGCTAGATAAGTTACAAGGGATGGGCTATGGGATGTCACAGTATTCATTCTCATTCTTCACATTCTTCATTCTGACGTTCCCCCCCTTTTTAATTGTTTCCCAAAAATCAGAATTCTTTCCACTAAACTATTATTATGTCTCTTATTTTTTCCCGGTTCCCCAAATACGTGTATACTTTTATATCCACTCTACTTTTCATCGTTAAATCTTTTAGGTAAGTGACCTTGCGTTGCAACAGTATAATTGTTAAGAATCAGTGAACAAGGATGCAGCTAGACTTGCCAAGCGCAGCCGGTGCTTGGCAGCGACAAGACCGTTATCTTGTCGCGCATTCTTAAGAATGTGCGCTCAATCTGGAAGAGTTTTTTTTGCGAAAGTTGTGCAAGGATCCAGTTGCGCAATCATAAGAATGTATATGCGCATTCTTATGATTGCGCAAATCACAAGAAAGCGCACAACATGGCCAGTCACGGGACTAAACCCGTGCCAATACACACGTGTGTGTATTATAAAAAAGTTTGAAAAAGTTTTGCATGTTAATTTCATCGGAGTCATTCGGCCTGATATTTAGTGATATTCCACATTACTTAAGAAACTCCAGCTGCAATGTTCATCAGAAATGAGACATTTAGAGCTGGAGGTCAATGTACATTGTAGCCAGCGTTCGACTGTCTTATTTTAATTGTTAGAAATTTCGGCAAGTTCTTTTTCTGTTTTCCAAACTGGAGATCCAAGATAAATGCTCCAACTTTGTTCAAATTATTTCCATTGAATAGCTGCGTAGGCGTACGTGAAGACCAGTCAGCAGATATAGAGGAGTACCACTGCCCCAACTGTGAACTCAAGACAGGACCACTCATATGTAAGCAGTTGTTCTACCATTGTAATATTCAATCCTTTTCAATTGACGGATACAGTAAGACCCGTCCATGTTGGTAATAACACGTGCACCTCTCTACTGACATACTGCATGTTCCAGCAGTGTAGCATGTAAGACATTAATAAATTAATATGTCACAGAATACCCTCGGAGGCACCAGCAATGCAAAAAGTCTATAGGATGACTAATTTTTTAACACATTTTTCTGTGCTTGCCTGAATACTTGTTTTTTTCCCAACAAGTTTGTTGTTACAAATATTTTGCACATTGGTATTGTCATCAAATTTTAATACTGTTTGCTTTCAGTGAAGAAGAGGAGAAATTGGCACAGGCATGACTACACAGAAGAAAGCAATTTTAGTAAGGTAAGGACAACATGGTGGTGATCTGGGGAGCAATGAAACGCACAGAAACACAGAGGGTGATATTATCCAACTAACAGATGTTTATGAGTGCAATGGTAAGAGTAATTTCACAAGAGAACATTCCATCTGTCACCGAATGAAATTATTCTTTCCGTTGCACGAATGTGAAACATTCATTATTTGTTTTATACAACACCTGAATAAATCCTCGTCATCTGATTGGTCAGAGCCACCAATAGTGTGACCGTGCAATGGAACTTCCATTCACCTTGGAATGGCAGAGTTCTAACGAGTCACTGATTTGTGTGACTCAAGTCAAGTTGAGTCATTTTAAAGAAGTGACTCAAGTCGAGTTGAGTCATTAGTCAAGAAGGTCAAGTTGAGTCGATTCTAGTCAAATATTTAACTCGAGTCAATTTGAGTCGTGAATATTTGAACACTTTTTATGTTACAAAAACAAGAGAGAAAGTCATTTGCATCATTAACAGAACTTTAACAAAAAGCGAAACTTCTATGTATCTATTTATGTTTTAAAAGGAGGGCATAAACTTAGCCAGTGTTCGAATCTAAGAGCTTTATAAGAAATTGCCCAAAGTCAATGATGAAACAACGAAGTGACCAATGTGTTTTAAATGCGGTTCCTGAATAGCATTTTGTGCGTTCCAGAACCATGACCTGGATGTCTGTGACACATTGTATATTTGCACATCACAATTGCCTGCTGTACTGTATTCGCAAAGTGACGTGAACATTCACAAAGTTTGTTTGTTTGGTGTGTTTTTTGGGGACTCAAGTCTTATTATCCTTCGCTCGAGTCGAGTTGAGTCGAGTCGAGTCTTCTATTGGGCGACTTGAGTCAAGTGATGTCACTTGCTCCCAGTGACTCAAGTCAAGTCGAGTCATTCACCCTTAGGGACTTGAGTCGAGTCACCAGAAATTGTGATTCGAGTCATTACAACTCTGTGGAATGGAACTTGTATTTTTACCGTGCAGCCAGGCCGTGGGTTGGGACGAATAATTCAATGACACGTGATCAACAACCCACCAATCAGATGTCGAGGATTTATTCAGGCGAAAAGACAAAAAAATGCTCAACAAAATGAAAAAAAAAAATTAAAGTGTAGGTAATTTTGAGCTGTCACATTCACTTTTCAACTCTTTTCACTGGGAATTGACTGAACGCTTCTGTTTTTTTGGTGTGTGAGTGGAAAGTATGGTATAAACACTTATAAAATTTCTACTAAGATGACATATTCCCTACTTAGCTTTTGTGAGTGGTCCAAAAACCCAATTATTATCCATACCTCCTTTTTTATGTCCCCCAGGCCGTACAGTCTGGCACCCTGGTCTTCATCAAGAGTCTCCGGAATAGGACATTCAGCGAGGGAGACGACGTCCTGCTCAGACTGCACGGCTCAGAGCTCAACGTGCCTTACCTGGAGAGGCACGGCTTCACCCAACCCATCCTGGTCGAGAGCAAGGAGGGATTGGGCCTACAGGTCCCCCCGCAAACCTTCACAGTGGGCGATGTGGAAAGATACGTCGGTAAGTGCTGTATTCAAGGCGTATAGAATCATTTGCAAACATTTTGCAAAGCTAAACTGCTAAAATATTATGAAATAGCCCACTTGATGTGAAATAATAATATGAAACATCCTGTGAAATAATTTAGCCTAGTATGCTGTCATTCTCAAGAGAAGAATTTTGTATTGCAACGCTAATTTCGATCTTATCATCGCTGAGAACAAACAATTTTTGCAAATACTTCATCCACTCAACAGAGGCGAGCCAGCTGTTGACTATATGTGTACGCTTGGGTGCAGTAATTATATAATATTGGATGGCTTTGAGGGGGATACAAGAATGTATTCCACGAGCTATACAATATTGTTATAGCACGTGCATTATATTAGCATAAGCATATTCCTTCTCTATTACATCAAAAACTTTTCTCACTTTTTATTCTTTTTTACCCAGTGGCGGTACTACGGGGGGCGTTGGGGGGGGGGGAATTTTCCCCCCAAGTTTTGTCCTTGCCCCCCCCCCGCCCCCCAGTTTCCCCCGAACACTTTATCTATATAAATATATTAAATATGTTTATTTTCTTTGCTGCTAAGATTCATAAAATGTTCCCCCCAATTGCCCCCCCCCCCCCCATTTTTGATGCCGGCGCTGCCACTGTTTTTTCCATAATCAAACTCAATGTTTCCCTTCTCAATTAGTTGCTATGTTTTTTATTCTGGCTAAGGTTCAATGAGAGACATAGACGCCATCGACGTCCCTCGTCAGAACGAATGCAAGATGCCAATGAGGCAGTGGGTGGAGTACTACAACAGCCCCAACAGGGACAAAGTGCTCAATGTCATCAGTCTGGAGTTCTCAGGCACCAAGTAAGAACCAGGGAGCCTGCTGAGCACAGAAATCAATTAGCTATTAAGCACGAAAAATATTGGCTTAGCAAAAAAACAGGTCACCGGCCAAAATTCCATGCGATATCTGTTATCTGTGACTGGTTCCCAGCAGATTTTTTGTTAAGTGTGTAAGGTTCCTAAAGCAATATTGTCTGCTGAACAGGTGCCATTAAATTGGGCCTTGATTTATTGAGGCCGACACGCAATTTTACAGTGGCAGAGGATAAATTAAGGTGGGATATCAGACATTCGGCAACGGATTCATGAACTGGTTGGAAGTAGTCCTGACTTTAAGCAGGCGGTCAAAATTTGAAAGGTTTTTTTGCTTCTTCCAATTATTTTTTTTGAATAACATATTGAGGAAAAAACATTTCTAACAAGATGTAAGTCCTATGTCAGTGGGTTTGTGATGTCTAGAACAAGGAATTCGATATGCACATAATGAACCAATTAGGGGACGGAAAACCTGAACTGTTTTGGACAAAAAAAATTGCGGGGTGGATACCTTACTTGAAAGTTCACGGTATTCCAGAGGTTGCAGTTCCAAACCCACTCCAGTGAATTTTTATGCCCCGCGGCGAAGCCGAAGGGGCATACTGTTTCCGCCTTGTCCTTCCGTGGGTGGGTGTGTGTGTGTGTCCGGACAAATCTTGTCAGCGCGATAACTTGAGAAATACTTAACATATGAACTTCAAATTTGGTTTGTGTATTGTTCTTGGTAATCCTAAGAACCCTTTTGCATTTGGGGCCAAAAGGCCAAAGGTCAAGTTCACAGTGGCTAAAACAATAGAAATCTTGTCAGCGCGATAACTTTAGAAATACTTTACATGTGAACTTCAAATTTGGTTTGTGGATTGTTTTTGGCAATCCTAAGAAGCCTTTTGCATTTGGGGCCAAAAAGCCAAAGGTCAAGTTCACAGTGGCTAAAACAATAGAAACCTTGTCAGCGCGATAACTTGAGAAATACTTTACATGTGAACTTCAAATTTGGTTCGTGGATTGTTCTTGGCAATCCAAAGAAGCCTATTGCATTTGGGGCCAATAGGTCAAGGGTCAAGTTCACAGTGGCTAAAACAATAGAAATCTTGTCAGCGCAATAACGTGAGAAATACTTAACATATGAACTTCAAATTTGGTTTGTGGATTGTTCTTGGTAATCCTAAGAAGCCTATTGAATTTGGGGCCAAAAGGTCAAGGGTCAAGTTCACAGTGGCTAAAACAATAGAAATCTTGTATTTATTCTGAGATTATAGGGATTAGGGATTAATTCATATAAAACCTACAGAAGACACTAATGCTGTCAATGAATGTTCCATGTGACCAAGGTACATGTACATATGTAAGTTGATGTTAAAAGAGTGGTGTTATGTCATGGGAACAGTCATGGTTGCGGGGCATTTGTGTTTGTAAACACACCTGACTTGTTTTTGTTTTAATTTTTGTTTTCATTTTTTTTTTCAATTTTATAATTGTAAAACTGAAAATAAAACTTGGTACCCCATTCCTTAAGTAAAGCAACACCTTCAGCAATTGATCCACCTGTATCTCTTTCCAGACTATCCAATCTCGTCCACGCCCCAACAGTAGTCCGCGAGATCAGTTGGGTGGATAACATCTGGCCTGACCAGCTACCTGAGGACTGCCACTACGGCAAGCCAGAGGTCTCCAAATACTGCCTGATGGGTGTCAAAGATAGCTACACAGACTTCCATGTGGACTTTGGGGGAACGTCGGTCTGGTATCATGTATTACGGGTAAGTAGACCACACAAAACAAAGGAACAAAAGTGGGCCTGACTAGTGCACATGTTGTGTACATGTGACCAGGCCTACACGCATATGCAAAGCCTCATAAAGCAACTTTCAGCCTCTGAGGCAGTTTGGCCTTGAGACTTTTTACCTGATGGATCCTGCTGCACTTGGCAGGCTTGACCTTTTAGACAAGTGTTGCATGTTACTGCGTTTGGCAGGGTTTCAAGCCAAAAATACCCTGGAGGGTTAGGCCTGGATGGTTAGGGTTAAAGTAGAACCAGCTCCCAGTGAACACGGGCAAGCCATACCATTCACAATTACACTAGCGTGTACACTGTACACGGATCAGCTGTAGAGTTTGGATTTTCTACCAAGGTAGAGTCTCTCAACCCTGATGCAGACCAGCGTTGGATTGTACCACTGATCTCTATATAAAGACTGTGTAGCGGATATACGATAGCACGATTCACATGTTTGAATTAACATTTTGACCAGTTTGCCCTCGGTCTTTCAAAAATGACCGCGTATATACAAGTGTTCTGCGCGTGCATACAGTGCGTGCTGTATCAGGAGTTGACGCGCATCTTGGTCACGAACACGTATTGTGATGATCTAAACAAGGACAAATTTCTGTCGTGATTATACTTCCAAACGTCGCAAAAAGTGAACTGTGGCATTCAAAAGTGAACCACGACGTTTGGCAAATTGTGAACCTTGGTCAGAGGCCAGCGGTGGGCAAAACGTAAACCAGGTGAACCACGATGTTACAAAGATGGCAACTTATCCTTTAAATACCACCAGCTGGTCTCTCCAATATGGCTTTAAATGGTATTCTTCTGCAGCTTTCTGAACGCTGTCTCATCTTTATATAAAGATCAGTGGATTGTAACCATGTAGAGCACGGGACCCGTGTAGACGCAGTGTTGGATTCTTCACCCAAACACATTTTTTTTACCCAAAGGTGAAGGGCAACACCTGATTTTGAATTTACATGTCCCCATCCATCTTTCAAAATAGTGACCATGGTTTTGGTTTTCAATTTTATAATGCAGGGAGAGAAAGTCTTCTTCATGATCAGACCGACGATAGAGAACCTCCAGAAGTATGAGGACTGGAACTCCTCACCACATCAGAGCGAGATCTTCCTTGGTGATAGAGTCGACTGCTGCTACAAGTGTGTGATCAAGCAAGGGCAGACGCTGTTCATACCCACAGGTAAAGGCATATCCGGGATTTGAATCCACAAATTGCCCAGCAAAAAAAAACGAGTCCAGTCTCACATGTGCTATTACAGAAAATGCATTTAATGAGACGTGACAATTTGTGACGTGGTATGTTAAAACTAGGCAGAATTGGGCAGAGCTACAAATTGAGATAGAGATAGTGATTTTGAAATTTTTTGAAATTTGTGATGGTAACTAACGTTTAAAAGATTAAAACAGTTTCAGAGAGACGTGCCATTTTAAAAAACAGACACATTGTGCAAGATTTGTTCTGAAATGATGTAGAATTAGCGTGATATTTCAAACAGTCAGGTTTCAAAATTGTATAACTTCACTTTGGAATATCCAATTTTAAAAAGCAAAGCGGCGTTTGAAAGAACAAGGGTTTATTTTACTGATACTGCTAAAGCTCAAAATCATCAATGTATACTAATCTTGTCCTGACTATTCTGGCAAATTTTAGGTCTAGTTGGCACCAAATTGTGATAGCTTGGGTTTTCGGGGCGTTCCCTGGTATAAAATGGTTGTATTTAACACCAAAATGTCTGCCATACTTGTCAGTCCGTCCATTTTATAAAATTACGACAAATGCAAATATCTTATGTACCTTTAACCTTAACCCTACCACATCCCAAGAAATAAGAAGCAGTCTCACCAGGCAAACCTCGGGGTGTTGCCGTTGAGTTTATTTCCTGGTGTATTGCTCATTCTGCTGATTTTGTATTCATTCTTTGACCTATCTTTTCCCGTGCATTCCGTAGGTTGGATTCATGCAGTATTAACGCCAGTCGACTCGCTGGTATTTGGTGGCAATTTCCTTCACAGTTTCAATATTCCTGTACAAATTCAGTAAGTGCTCATTTCTTTTTTCAAACTTTAGTTTAGAAAACTGGAATAGAACATTGCAGGAAAGTGATTATCAACAGGTTGACTCTGACTTTGGAAACGCAGTTCACTGATTTGCGATGTGAACAAGTTTTTGAATTCGTCTTTTATAAAAGTAAAAAAGTAAATTCTGTCAAAAGCCAAAATGGCTTATCAGGTCGGCATTTATCACCGGTTTCCTTGGCATAAAATGGCTGAGAACAATTCTCTTCCCCCTGGATGGGATACCAGTTCATCGCAGGTTACTCCACACCAAATTCAGGTACCCATTTATACTCCTGGGTGGAGAGAGGCAAGTGGGGGTGAAATGGCTTGCCCAAGGACACAACATATGGCCAGCAGCCCTGACCCTCTGATCGTGAGTCATAAACCCTAAAAACTAAAGGCCACACTACCCCAACGTGGCTAGCAGCTGGATATGGCCAGCAGCTGGATTCGAACCCCTGACCCTCCGATCATGAGTCACAAACCCTAACCACTTGGCTACACTTCTCTTTTATACAGGATCTATAATCTCGAAAGAAGGTTAAAAACGCCGCCGCGGTTTCAGTTTCCCTGGTTTGAGACGACGATGTGGTTTGCTGCAAAGCATCTCTTTGAAGTCTTCAAAGGTAAGAATAGATCCCTCCTCATTATGTCCCAAAAATCTGTCCGTCTGATTATTTCTGGACACATGCACGTCTGCGACATTGCTGCGCAACAAAATCGCGTATACGCCGTGCAATGTCAAGTAGACAATAGGGGTTAAATTCAGGTAAAACAGCCGCAAATTCTTTATCAAATTTCACAATGGTCACTACCTGTGTCATGTCCATTTGTCCTGATTGTGCTGACACAGCACTGGGTGTTTGCTCCGTGCTTTTCCCAAAGTGTTTGCCTTCCATCACAGCTTTAAAGGCTTGCCTACTACCTACTGCACAGTGCGCTATACAGTCTTTGCCTACTACAACGGCGACGCTGACTTTCCCGTACCCAGATGTAGGCCAGGTCACGTGGGTCAGTTAGAGAGCCCTAAATCACTAGGGCTGTCTTTGTTCGACTGCATCAATACTAAGCTTTATACAAAAAGACTAAAAGGAATAATCAAGGGGAGTCAGGTTGGCGTAGCGGTACTTTCCTCGCCTTCCACCGCTGTGACCCGAGTTCGAATCCCGCCTGGGACAATATGTGGATTGGGTTTTCAGTCCCTGCCTGATTCCGTGGGTTTTCCTCAGAATACTCTTCTGGGCTTTTCCTCCCACCTCTAAAACTGCAATTTCTTCATATTGTCTTCTCTTTACTGGGACCCATGGGAGATCAGTGGATTCCACTGAATGGGCTACCCAGTTAAAATAAGAAATAAATAAATACAAATAATGTTCTCCCTTCTTGTGCCACCCATTTTCAGATTACAATGAGGATTCTAAGAAGCCTCCTCCCTACCTCATACTTGGTGCTAAAGCACTCAGTGAAGCCCTCAAGAATTGGACACGCAAGAGAGAGGTATGTACGCACCCAAGTTGTTGGTTTTTTTTGGGGGGGGGGTAGAGTTCTGAGAAAACAATGCAACTATTCAAAATACTTTTATGCTTCTTTTGTGAATTGTTCAGGAGAAATTTGAACACCGAGTCTTTTTATTAGATCAACACTATTCTGCTTTGAATGCCGGGGAAAAAAATCCATTCTCCAAAATTATTTGTTTAGGGAATAAATTATTTTTACAGCTCAAGCACTTTACCTTATTATTTAACCCGTTTCCACAGCACTAAAAATACACTGTGGGGGGATGCCTTTTTTGTCGTTGAATTCTCAAGTTTACCAACATTTTAATAATTCTGCCGGGGAAAAGATCTTTTTAAAAAAATTGTGCCTCTCTCCTCCTTTGTTAAATCTTCAAAACGAGATGCGCCGTCAGACAGTAGGCCAAAATTGTTTTCCTTTACAAGCGAATCGTAAAATCGAAATGTGGCGTGCATGGCCCATGCGCATGTTCGAGTATGGCACAAAACAGTTGTCTTGGTTTTGGTTTTCTTTGTTTACAAATCGTCAAATGAACCACAAAGGGAAAATGACTTTCATTTATTTTAGATATGTTTCGGAGAATAATGCTGTTTGAATTGTCGGAAAATACTTCGCTTTTCTCAGGCAAAAATATCCAGAAGCGTAATAATGTGCATTAGCCCCTCAGGATTTCCTTCCTTGGACTTTTTTCCATTTACTAATTTCTAACACTTCTCTCCTCCATTTTTGAATTCAAAGCAAAGGAAAATTAAGCTTGAAACACCTGTAAGTGTGTCAGTGTTTATAATCTTCAATGAGTTACTGCTCCTGTGGTGACATTAAATTGTTTTGTATCAATGCATGGGATTTTTTGGTTCACTTTTTTGTTATTTTCACAGGAAATCATATTTTGTTGGGCTGATTATTTGCAATTTGTTTTTGTTGCAAAATCTTTTTGTTTTTTATGGTTTACCGAGGGACCTATTATATAAACTCCAGCCTATTCATTTTGATGTGTAGTACTCTCACGTGAAATGCCCAGTGTTGGATGCATTCTATGTTCCCAGATGCATGAAGCACAAGTTTATTTATCTATTTTTGTAATAGTTTAATGGTGAAATATAAAATATTGAAATCACAGTCTTTTTAATACAAAGTAGGGATCGGAGTAGTTGAGGTTTAAACTGTTGTATGGTTTATAGAATAGGGCCGCCTCAAATTCTCTTGTAAAGAGCTACTGTCTAGGTGCCAGACAATTACAAATTAGTGAAAACAAGCTGACAATAGACATAGCCATAGCTCTAGAAGCCCATTTAGCAGAGATGCCACTTTTCAGGTTGTAACCTGAATTCAGGGGTTTTTTTTCTCAAAAAATGTGACAAATTAAAAGTGCTGAATTTGGTCTGAAACATCCAGAAGACACATTTTTGAAAGGGGGTAAGGATAGTTTCAGGATTTTTAGTAGTGTTTCAGGCTTTTTATTGATATATTGGTGGCATCTCTGATTTAGAACATGGCCTAAATCACTGAAGTCCGACTAGATAGATCTATGTAAAATAAAATGGATTCCAAAAGTTGTCCTAGCTTCTGAACAAAGTTGGTGTTTAAAGTGGCTTATTGTTAAATTTCTAATTTGTTTGGTGTTTTGTATTTTACACAAAAATGCTGTACTGCATGTGTCATATACCACGCACTTTGCACATTCAGTGTCCTGAGTTTCTCATGTTGGTTCAAGTGGTGGTTCAGTCAAGACACATAGTGGATTCTGTTTGTTAGCAGAAGATAAAATCTGTCTGTATTATGTTTATGTCTGTCTTTTATCAGCAAAGTTCCTTAAATCGAACTGTCCACAGAATACCACTGTTGTATTTTTTAGTTTTAAAATAGAGCTAAACGTTTGGAGTAGGAAGTAAAGTGTTCCACTGGCCTCGTTACAGAATCTGAAGCAACATCAGCTGGAGATCCCAGAGAGTATACAACACTCACAGCTGCTCAAGGATCTGAACAGAGAAATCAAACTGTTTGAGGTGAGCTGTTACATTTAAAGGGAAATTACAACATTTGCAAACATCACAAAATAAAACTACCAAATCATTTTGAAATACCTTGCTGGACTGTTAGTGAATGGCAGTGTAAAGCATCCTGTAAAATCATGGCACCTGGTATACTGTCATTTTCAAGAAAAGTGGTATTTTTGTATCAATTTCCAACGCTGGTCGGCCGACCAGCGTTGGAAAAAACTGTTTTTTTTTCAAATACTGGCCCCAATTGACCATCGCACTTGTTTGCAATCGATTACGCACCTATGAACGGGTACAAGCCAGCTAGACTGGTTCCCTGACCTTACAATTCCCCAATGTATGTAAACTGCTCTGTTTCTTCTTATATGGAGTCAGGGAACCAGACTACAGGAAAATGATTGTTTTTCTTGGTTTTTATAGCATTTTCGAACCCAAAACCTCAAAAAAGTCAGTGTAACTATATTTGCTATATATTTCCAACCCCCCAATTCCATCCATTTCTGAAAATTACAGCAAAAGCAAATGATGTATATTCCCTTTAACCCACCCCCTTGACTGTTTCAGTAAGATTGCGTCCCAGTGACCTGTCTATAGCCAACACTTGTGCTCGTGGAAGCAGCTGAATTTATATTCCTGTATAAATTGTGTGCAAAGCGGGCGACTCGCTTGTGATTACCCTGCAAAGCGGGGGCTCAGGAGGAGGGCAACAGGTGGCGGGCAGAAGGCCGTGAGGCCGGGCTAGGAGAAGCCTTGTTGGCTTTAAATGACAAAAGAACAAACGAAAAAGAGCTGCCTTAGTAGGCAACTAAAAAATATATGTTGTAGACCTTGTGTTGCTCTGGGCTCATCAGTGGCTGTCTAACCCTCTGTCAATTATTTCATGGATTTCTCATCCCCAATCTAACCCTGCCTCTTAACACCAACAGAAGCCCTCGATGAATAAACTGAAAAACAAAGGCAACAAGCACAAGAAGAACAAGAAGGACAAGAAGGGCAAAGACGCCAAGACCAAGAAGAGCAACGCGGGGAAGAAATCGGACGTCCAGAGAGCCACCAAGGACAAGGACAAGAAGAGGAAAAGCAACGCGGGCCCCGCCAAGGTCAAGAAGGAGACCAACGGGAAAGCCAAGAAGGCCAAGAAGAAGAAGAAGAAAGGCTCTGTGGAGGAGGAGGAGGAGGGGAAGCCAGGATCAGCGAGAGGGCTTCTGGAAAATAGAAGTTCGGGCAAAGCAGGGCACCGACTGCCGGACCTGATCAGCCATCCACTACTGAAAAAGGTTAGAACTTTTACTGTTTCATAGGATGGAAGTTTTGCAATTGAGGAAATAATAATCAAGTATTAGGTTTTTCATTTTTTTTTTTGGAAATGGGAAAAAAAAGACTAGGCAAGTGTAGTAAAGCTGCCCCCATACCAGTCAGTATTAACCCTAACCCTCTGGGGTATCTTGGCTAGAAACTCTGCCAAACGCAGCAACATGCAGAACTTGTCTAAAATGACAAGCCTACCGAGCATAGCAAGATCCATCAGGTCAAAAGTCAAAGGCCAAACTACTCAGAGGCTGTGGTCACCGAATGCAGCAGGATACAACTGTGGCATTGTTCAATGGAATTAGCTCTCATTGTTTCAGAACTGGCTGTTTATGCACTGGTGTTGGTAGATGAATGCATCAAAATGCACCAGACTTTTCAACCTGATGCACTGTGCTGCGTCTGGCAGGGTTAGGTTAAAGTGGGATAGGTCAGTGAAAGAGGACACACAGGTTGTGCAGAGTTCACACAATTCTATTCAATTGATTCAGAATGGTTATTCACTGGCAGTCTCTTCATGCTTCTGGTCTACACAATGGGCCTATGGGCCTAACATAGCCCATTCATTTGCATTACAGGGTAATCCTGTACAATAGCACTGCCCGACTCTCTTCACTAGTCCACAACCAGTCTAAGTTACAAGTAACACTCAGTCAGTCAGATAGTGTAAGTAAAGTCTGTCGCGAGCCAATGTGGCCCATCAGGCCGGGTTTTTTTTCCAGTTTCAGTAACATGAAACTGAGAGTATTTCTACTCCCCCTGGATGAGGTGCTAGTCCATCGCAGGCTACTCCCCAGCTAATGCCAGTACCCATTTGTACTCCTGGGTGGAAAGAGGCAAGTGGAGATGAAGTGGCTTGCCCAAGAATTCAACATATGTGATGCGATTAAGCTAAATGAGTCGTTTGTCGAGCCTAGTCAAACACATTTTTTATTACAGATTTGAAAAGAGCACAATCTCAGCATTACTGCTGTGAAAACTGCATGCTGATACCATCTATAGTTCAGGAATGGAAGTCGGAACACCAAGAGATGTGATGAAGTGATGTGATGAAGTAGCCCTATTTTGGCCTGTATCTCCAAATGAAAATTCCCGACAAACAACTCATGTAGCTTTGTTGCATCACATATGGCCACCAGTTGGATTGGGACCCCTGACCCTCTGATCATGAGTTACAAACCCCAACCACTATGCCACACTCCCCCACCAGTCAGTTAGTGAGATAGGTACAATGAGGATGCTAGGCTGGCCCTCTGGGACTAACAAAATAATCAGTGGCGAATCTTGTTGAATTCTGGAAGAATTTTTTCAGATTTTACAACTAACATTCCGTGACATTTCCCCTTTTGTAGCAGCCCTACAATGCTGAAGCAAGCAATCACAAGCCAAACCTCAAGATGGTGTTTCCAAAAAGGAGTCGCGGTGACACCTCCGGAACAGAGAGCGAAGATGAGAAAAACAAAGGGGTCTCCAAGAGTTTGAAACTTGTCCTGTCAAATGGCAAGATAATCAGGTGAGTAAGAAAAAAAGAAATAAAAACGCAAAAAAAAAGAAAACCTGTCATGATGGCTTTGTTTTGCCAATATTGATTTGTTACTTTGTTTTTAAGTGTGTTGCCTCACGCGATTGTTTATTTGAAAATGAGTTTTGCATCTTGAAACATTTGCAGCAAACTTCACCAGAGTTGAAACTTCCAATCTGCACATTTGAAGGGCCTATACTTGCCATTACAACACAAAGTCAAGTTGTGTTCACTTCTGCACTGAGTATAAACCGGCAGCAATATGAAATTATTGCCAAGTAATAATGATAATTTATTTCCTTAAAACCAAAAAAAAAACTAAAGTGAGATTTGGTGCTCACGGAAATTACGTAGCAAAAAATATTTTTAAATTTCATTTCATTTATTGAGTAATATCGTAAATAGCCAAAATAGCATTTGTAGGAAACCTGAATTTTTTAAACAGTATTTAGTCGAAACATTTTGAGATATAAGTCTTCAGATTTTGAATTGGATTTGTACCCTGACTTCTTCCCAATGCCCTCCGACAGTAGAGGAGGGTCACCAGTCCATGGCAACTCGTCGGAGGGTTTCCAGTCTCTCTTTGGGAGCAAAGACAGCCGGCGGAGGCGAGCCTCCAGCCAAGACACGACCAGCGAGAGCGAGGATGTTATCGTCGACGACGACGATGAGGATGCCTTGACGACGAGAGACAACCAGAGGAGGTCGTCCCAGAGCCTGATGAGGAGTCGGGAGATGCTGGCGTCCAAGGCTCCGCTGAAACTCAGACTATCCTGTAAGATTCTCATAGCCAAATTCCATTAGCTGTGCTAACTACAGAATGCTGTGCTTACGATCACCATTCCGTGCTAACAGCGCTGGCAGAACAATTCTGTGCTAAGCCTGTAAGCACAGAATCCTTAGTTATTGGATGTACGCATGCGCACAAGCCCACAATTCCTCGCTAACCCTTGAAATATGCCTACTGCAAATACATAACTTTCTGCTACATGTATATAGGAAGGGGGATGTTTTCTCTAATGGTAAGCAGAGCCATAAAATTGGGCCCAGATGAAGAATGAATGCTTGAAACGTATGCTTGCTACATGGACTATATGCATTTGTAACAACTTGTGTGAGCTTCTTAGGAAGGACACATTGTGTGTAGGGGTGACGATGACTAGAGCAGGCTAGTCGAAACATTGAAACCAAAGACAATTCTTTTAGAACTAAGCAGGACTGTTCTTATCGGAACTTTCTACTGAGCGAAAGTAGTTATTACCACATGGTGTTACCGCAAACCGAAACGATATTGAAACAGGCTGTTCTCGAGGTATTATACAAGTGCATTTGCTACATTTTCCTCCATGGGTATAACTGATGGGTATAACTTTCCCAGAGCCAGTGTCACTTTTGCTTAGCAAAAAGACAGGTTACCGTTGAAAGCATGAATCTAACAAATTCAAACAACTACAAAGGGTTTTTATGCGTGTTTTTTTCTCTCTCTCAGAACTCATGTTAACAAAATCCAGCTAAATATTCCACTGTTTGACATTTATTAATTTCTAAAGCATTTGGGCTACCTGTTAAAGAACACTTAAAAAAATGTTTGATCTTTTATAAGACTATGTGATGATCAATAAAGACTTATTTGATACTGAACATTCCTTGTGTTTACATTGCAGTCAACGGCAAGCCGGTCTTGCCCATCGGTACGTCGTCGTCTCAAGATAGCTCCCAAGACTCCAGCAGGTTGACCACAACACAGAGTGACCGAGGGACTGGATCGGACTCAGACTCGGACTCAGAGGACGGCGATGTCCTGCCGTCTGACAGAAGCCCCAGGGTAACTATCAGTGCATTTGGATCCTTGTTTGTACCTCACTGACTGACTGACTGATTGACTCCCTGACTGACTCACAGACTGACTGTCAATTGTGAATTGGACTGGTTAGGTTTCACACTGACTTAGTGTCAATTGGTCTCGTTCAAATGACGTCATTTCCTACAGACCAACCACGTGCATTGGCATTTTGAGCGTCAACTTGCATATCGCTCATCGGCTGCGCTGTATTTCGAACACATTTTGAGCAACAATCACGCGTGTTTGGAACATTTTCAACACTGCGCAATGCGTGCTTGATTGCGTTAAATACGCAGTTGCAGTTCTCCTACAGAGATGGCCGCCATTGAGCGAGGCCCCTATTGTGACGTACACTGGCACCAACTTTACAATGCTTGCATATGTCTTGAAGCATCATCACCACATATGCATTCCTCAGTTGCCACCTGTTTCGGGGGGGGGGGGGGGGGGGGGGGGGGGAGAGAGAACTTCCACCTCCTAGCGAAATTTTGCCAATTTCTTTTTTATTTAGAGATGAAACTGCCACCCCCTCAAATACCTCCCTCCCCCCCCCCCCTTTAATCATTTTTACGAAACAAAAACTATTGGAGTCGGGTTTTTTTATAGGAAAATTATCCATTTCGTCAACCCCCCCCCCCCAACCCAAAACCTGGAAACACCACTGGTCCCAAGCCCACACTGACTCCGAACCCTCCCCAATCTGTTAATCTACCAGTATCCCTCAAACTGTACCCTTCCCCCAAATCGCAACAAGGCTTACTCGGTGAACTGTAACATCCATAAGCCCAAATCAATTAATTTTAGATAGACAGGTGCATGCTCCATATTCTGAACCCTGTGTTCATCCCTATATCACATTCTGTCTTTGAACTCTTTCAGATTTGACAGATTCTTTTATAAAGATCTCCGTTTTTTTTGTGTTCATTCCCTCAGCAATCATCGCCATACAACAACGTGGATGCCTTGTTGCAGGCCAGTCAGTGGGACCAATCCAGACCATTGCCCACCATCAGTCTGGCGGACATAGAAGCAGAACTCAAGTGAGAAACAATAAACAAAGAAAACTACCAAATAAATAGATCCTGATCACAAATGACCATTGTTGACTGGTTTAATTGCCTGGACATATTAACCCTAACCGAACTCATCCCATCAAAGTTCAACAGCAGGTTTTGTTTAAATCTGTTGGGATAGGTACAGTACCCCTAAACTGATGGTCTTTACACTGGGGTAGGCATACCTCCAGAAACTAAGCCCAACAGTGTGTGTGTAAAATTTCCCATGTGGGTGTTGGAATTTGCCAGAATGGGTATGGTTCCTAGTAAATTAGGCTGGGGAGTTAGGGTTAATCCTTACATTTTGTGTGTAATAGGTGTAATACTATCCTGTTATAACAATATTGAGGTAATGATGTGATATGCCTTGTGATTAATGTATTTGGAACTCAATATGTTGAAGTTATGCTACTGCATTGATTTAAAAAAAAATTAACCCTCCTATGCAAACATGCATTCTGTGCCAAGTTGTCATTGCAGTCAAAATCAATCAAGTGACTGTTTTCTAACTGTTAAGAGCTCCTATCCTACAGGAAGCAGGATTGACTGGCTGTGACTGTTTATGTAACTTTCTGCAGCTATGCTTTGGTTGTAGGTGATTATAAGCCAGCTGTGACTACCACTTGCCTGCTTTTGTCTGTTGACTGAATTTGACTAGTCAGAGTGCTTGCTTGAAATATGATCTGACTGTTGGTGACTAGCCTGTGTAAAAGTCATGGCAGGGAAGAGGATTGATTTTTTTGACTGTCTGTGACTGTTCAGATAGCAGGAGGGTTAATGAATCTTTACAGCTCTAATACTACCATAATTAATACATCCTTGTTTTCATCTCCTTTTTTTTCTCCCTCAGACACCAGCCAGCATCTCCCGGTACCCAGGACGCCATTCAAGGGATGCTGTCTATCGCCATGCCAACCCCCAATCTTGCCCTGAACCGCCAATCGTCTCTGGCCTCCTCCTCCTCGTCGACTCACTCCAGCCCCTTCCTCCTGCCGGGACAGAAGAGGAAACGAGAGAGCTCGTCCACGGCGGACACGGAGGAAGACCTGCCCAACTGCTTCCAGGATTCCAAATATGGTACGCTGAAATGAATCATCAAAAGTTTTCCAAACTGCTTGCGCCATACTGATTCTGAAAAAAAACTCTGAGCATGCTCTGTACTTAAAGGGAATATACATCATTTGCTTTTGCTGTGATTTTCAGAAATGGATGTAATTGGGGGGTTGGAAATATATAGCAAATATAGTTACACTGACTTTTTTGAGGTTTTGGGTTCGAAAATGCTATAAAAACCAAGAAAAACAATCATTTTCCTGTAGTCTGGTTCCCTGACTCCATATAAGAAGAAACAAAGCAGTTTACATACAATGGGGAATTGTAAGGTCAGGGAACCAGTCTAGCTGGCTTGTACCCGTTCATAGGTGTGTAATCGATTGCAAACAAGTGCGATGGTCAATTGGGGCCAGTATTTGAAAAAAAGCCAGTGTTTTCCAACGCTGGTCGGCCGACCAGCGTTGGAAATGGATACAAAAATACCACTTTTCTTAAAAATGACAGTATACCAGGTGCCATGATTTTACAGGATGCTTTTCATTCACTAACAGTCCAGCAAGGTATTTCAAAATGATTTGGTAGTTTTATTTTTTGATGTTTGCAAATGTTGTATTTTCCCTTTAACCATTGCTAGACTAACCTAGACATCACAAACTCACATTTGCATACACATTTGCACTAAGTATGAACCAGTCTTTTAAAATCAAGAATGTAGTCAAGTCTTGCACAAGTCCCTGCAAGTCCATCACAAGTCCAAGAGCTTTGACAAAGGCATTCCTTTGTTACTGTTCATCCACTGTTACTTGTAATCGGACTTGTGACTGGACTTGTGACTGACTTGTGACTGGACTTGTGACTGGACTTGTGATGGACTTGTGACTGTGACTTTTGACTGGACTTGTGACTGGACTTGTGACTGGACTTGTGACTGGACTTGTGACTGGACATGTGATTTATTTTGTGACTAGACTTGTGACTGGACTTGTGACTGGACTTGTGACTGGACTTGTGACTGACTTGTGACTGGACTTGTGACTGGACATGTGACTGGACATGTGACTGGACTTGTGACTGGACTTGTGACTGGACTTGTGACTGGACTTGTGACTGGACTTGTGACTGGACTCGTGACTGGACTCGTGACTGGACTCGTGACTGGACTCGTGACTGGACTTGTGACTGGACTTGTGACTGGACTTGTGACTGGACTCGTGACTGGACTCGTGACTGGACTTGTGACTGGACTTGTGACTGGACTTGTGACTGGACTTGTGGCTGGACTTGTGACTGGACTTGTGACTGGACTTGTCCCAACATCCCTGCTCGAAATGGCTACCAATGTCTAAATTCAATGCTTTACATAAGAGATAAATATTTAAATGATTTGTGCGAGAAATGGTGCAGAGGAACTTTGTTTCTGCATACTACTCCTGAAGTATAAGATTTAGCTGTGCCCCTTCAAGGAATCATTCTGCAATGGGCTGTTGAGGCAACTCATTTTAACTTTTGTTTGTAAATTTGCAATGGCCTACGAACGACCATCTTCCGATATAACTTAAAGCAAGTTCGGGCGAGGACTATGGTTAAGGATAGTTCGTCTGACTTCACTGGAACACAGGATGGTTGGACTTTTCTAGTTGAATATTTGGAACCATCGCTGGTTACCAATAGCCACGCGCATCATAAAGCACAACAGGGAGCCAGTGATCAAGAAGTTTTGTGAAAAGCAACGTCTGATTGACTAGAGGCGTTCACACGTTGCTACCAGTGCGCAGGCATTACATTCACTGTGTGGACATCCGAAGAAAAGAGGTCCACATAAACCAGGTAGAGGCGACGTTATGTGGACTTGGGCAAGTCCACACAGTGTTTCCCCATTTCTGGAAAACTGGTTTAGAGGCATTTTTGGGTTAGATTATCTGTGGCAAAATGAAAAGAAACACTAAAGGGAATCATAGGAAAAAAATTGGACTGAACATGTTTTCACAATGAGAGTAAAATGATGTTTTTCTGAGGTTTTTCTTAACTACACGAAACCAATGGAATGTCCACACTTGGTATGTAACGTAAACATGGGTGCGCAGGGGTGTTACGTCACAAATCAACCACTAGTCAACTAATGGTCCTTGTCCAAACTTGGCCTTAGAACGGTTGAGTCATGAACAAACTACTTCAAATGATTTCCTGTATCACTCTAATTTTTGGTTAGTTTGCGTATAAAATTTGACAAATTCCAGAGTGTGTTTATTCCTTTGATGTACCTTGTTATTCATAAATCCTTTATAGTTTACCCCTCCCTGGATGACGATGGAGACGGACCCCTCTTCAAACCCCGCAGCAAGAACCCAAAGAAGACCCCCAAGGACGCCCCGTGGAACCCCAAGGCTAAGGTGTGCAGTCTGACGCCCCGGGCCAGGGTGCCATCCAGGGACAACGCCAAGAGACCCAACATTGAGACGGGGCTTGCCGAGGCTGCAGCGAGACTCGCGACAAAGGTAAGGACACGTAGTTGTGCTCTCACCCAGAATAGAGTAACTTTGGCTACTGGTGCATTCGTCTTTGTATATGCTTCTCTTTGAATTAGCGTAACCCTAATCCCCTAGGCCCTTTTGGCTGGGAACCACCCTCAATCCTGCAAAATCCTCCAATTGCCACCATGTAATATTGGATTCAGCCTCAATCCTTCAAAATCATCTGTTATTTCTTTAATTCGTTTAGTGGAGGGTTGACCGTTTTCTCCATCCTTCAAAATCATCCAACAACCACTGTAATGGGTTGAGGTAGCGCCAATGACATTCAGTAGCATTGTGGATGATGTCGAGCATAATGCAGGGCTCCATTATGCATGGCATAACATAAACAATGCAGGGTACAGCCTGCGAACTCGACACAATGCATCTTACAAATGAACCGTCAATTTTTTTTTACATTCAGCGAGAGTTTTGAGTATTTTTGTCTTTCAAAAATCTTTCCTCTTAAACACCCCTTTTCTAGCTGTGGGTTTGATATCCAGAACTGTGTACAAAACTGTATGTGTTTGTGTCTGCGGGGATGTGTGGTTCCACATAACCCCCGAGGACACACAAAGGGAGAACAACAGATCCTTTCAGTCCTCGGGTGTTGGGTCTTTTGTTGAAACCGTCCTCTGTAGTAATTTTGTGAGCTTAGTCTATGGGAGAGTGTTATATTACAGGGACAAAGGGAAATACAAAACATTGTCCTCGAGAGTATAGTAAAACAGACTGTATGGGCAAACTATGTGTTGTTCTGCTGATGACATAATAGCCAGCAATAGGTGTTTTTTTGTGGATAGAGGGACTTTAGACAACAATCCAAAGAGAGCTTATCATTGAGATTGAATGACATTACAGGATTCCTCATTGTTAACAACAATGACTTTTTTAAAGACTGATCTTTTGATATGCTGTCTTGATTTTGTATAAACAGGCGCAGTGCAACACTGAAAATTGTTTGTTTTGAAATTTATCTATACAATGTATAGCATTGTACAATTGACATTTTTACAAATGCTTATGGCCACAGTGAAGCTTTTGAGTCCATAATTGGCCTGCAGGCCCATTTCCTGGTTTAACCCTCCTGCTGTCTGAACAGTCACAGACAGTCAAAAAAAAAAATGCTCTCCCCTGCTATGCCTTTTACACAGGCTAGTTGCCAACAGTCAGATCATATTTCAAGCAAGCACTGTGACTAGTCAAATTCAGTCAACCAACAAAAGCAGGCAAGTGGTTGGCACAGCTAGCTTATCAATCAAGCATAGCTATGTCCATTACATAAACAGTCAAAACCAGTCAATCCTGCTTTTTGTAGGCTGGGAGCTCTGAACTGTTAAAAACAGTCACTTAACTGATTTTGACTGAATGGACAACTTTGCACAGTGTGTATGTTGAGATAGGAGGGTTAAAATGAATTCGGTCAAACTACCTCATACCGTGTTACTTTCTCATCTTTGTGTAACAGCCCCGGCCCAAGAGGCAATACATCCGACGGAAGCCTCCGGCTCCCCCGCCCAAGGCACCGGACCCGTACGACTTTGACGACGACGAGCCCTCCACCAGCGGGTCCATTCTCTCCCAGTCCCTGGGGCCACTGCACCTCAGCGCCCCTCCCAACGACATACTGGATCTGACCCAGAGTGCTCCCAGCTCAGTCTTAAGCAATACTGCCAAGACACTGGATGCGGGAAAAGGATGTAAGTACCAAGGCTCCAGCGTTCCTTTTCTAACCATCAGCCGTGTAGAATACGTAAACGACACTGCTTGACTATTCAGAGCATACTGCGCGCGTATTTCAAAGGCTGCGCGCCCTGTATGCACTCGCGAGTTATCTCCTGCACGTCACGAAACGAAGAACATTTTTTTCAAAACTGCGTTATGCCTGTATGATGTGGAGTCTGAGCCTTGTTTTTCACCCCCCAAAATGTATCTTGTGTTGGAAAGGGACGACATTTAATACACATCCTTGCTCTATAATGCGACGCCGAAATCTCTCACGTTTGAAAGGATTAATTCTAAAAAAAAAACACTAAAATTTAACGCACTGTGTTGAACACATTGACTGCAGTCCTAATTTAAATGTGCCAAATAGTGGCAGATTTAAATTACACAATTCTAGGGGTTACGATTGCGCAAGGCATGATGGGAACCAGCAATGTGAGCGACGAGGTTGCCAAGGCTCAGCTGTCAGGAATTGTGATTGAATCATTTCAAAATCCATGACTTGATATCACTGGATATAATTTGACAGTAGAGGGCGCTGTCCATGATAAAACTTACATATACATGCACAGATATACCTTTTGTAAAGTCAGTGTTAAACACTACAAGGGTTTACTTTACATCGGTTTTCCTCTGCAACAAATTTAAGTCAGCAAGGGATTCATTGCAAACGCCTACAAACTTCCACAAAGTGAACAGTTTTCAAGTTTGACTTGGCTAAGTGCATTTAGGTTATGAATTCACCAAACTAGCAGAATTAACGATACCGGCAACATTAACTACATGGGTGTAGGGATCTCCACCTATGTTGCCAGTATGTTAATGTTGCTAGTATTGTGAGTTTGGACGTGTTCCCTGGCCACATGACATAAACGGGTTTATGGGTTCTGACTTAGCACCCCTTGAACAAAGACATTGACAAATTGGGGAACTGCCAATATAGGGCTGGATAGCTCAGTTGGTAGAGCACCGGAACGGCAATCCAGAGGTCGCAGGTTCAAGCCCCACTCCGGTCAATTTCTTTGTTCAACTTTAAAAATGATAATAAAGAACCCAGTCAGTTACCCTTTGTGGTTTAGCTAAAGATGTAGTTTTAAGGTTCTTTCTTCATTCTCTCTCAACAGTAAAAAGACCCAAGAAAGGCATGGCCACAGCCAAACAACGGCTCAGCAAAATCCTGAAACTGAAGAAAGGCGGCCGACTGATCATGTGACGTCTGACATCATCCATATGACCCTTGACCTGAGCCATCATCCCTTTTTGGGGTCTTACTGTAAATTTGTATACATAAAAAGAATTTGTATCTCATGCGGAGGTCTTTTTATTCTTGTGTAAAAAAAAATGTTCATATCAGCCTGTTAAAAAGAAGAAGAAAAAAAGGAAAACAATTTTTTTAAAGTAAAATTATGTGATTATTTTCATTTCTTCCTAATCTTGTTTTGGAAAAATCTCGACAATCCGAACGTATTTATTTATTTTATTTTTCATCTTATTCTCTCAAAAATTCTTCCTGGCATATTTTTTTAATGCAATCCAAAGATTCTTAAATCTGTTACATATCAAGCTTTAAGGAAAAAAAACTTAACAGGTTCAAACTTTAAAACAGAAAAAAAAGAAATGTTTTTATCGAAATGGTAATGTTTGTACCACGGAGGGGACATTTGTGACGTGGTATGTCATGGTGAGGCACTTTTGGGCAAGAAGTCAAATTTGAGTTATTGCAATATTAGTAAAATATGGACCTTGCTTCTTCCAAACGCCGCTTTGTTTTTTTGAAATTGGATATGCCAAAGCAAAGTTGCTAAAGTTTGAAATGTGCCTCTACTTTTGCATCATTTCAGAACGAAACCTTGAACAGAGTGTCCTTTTGTGATACATCATGCCTCTCTATAAGTGTTTTATAAAATACTTTATCGATGTAATTTCAGTTTGAAACTTCTACGGGACATTTTTAAACATTATTAGCATCACAAATTTCAAGAAATCTCAAAATCGCTGAAAATCACCCCGCTGGCATTTTATAGCTGCTTCTCCATTCGTATTGCTCTGCCCAATTCTGCCTGGTTTTGACATATCACGTTACATTTGTGGAACGAGCCCATAAGTAAGTTTACTTGAATCTTCTTGCATATCAACACTGCCATTATGAGATAATTGATAACATTTATGCAGTAAACAACAGGTACCCGGACAGTGGTGCACTCAAGGGGGGCGGGGGGGGGGGGGCTTGAGCAACCCCTCCCCCCCCCACACACACACACATGACATGCGCGGTTGCTACTTATTCGTGGGTTCAGTGTTTGACACCACGGAACGACAATCGGCTGATGAGAATCATGTCCCGAATACGGATTTCTGGATTGTATCACAAGAGGGCGCAATTCAAAATATGACTCGGCAACTTTTGAATCAGAAATCAAGTTCTAGAATATTGTGTTTTCTCAAATATACAGCATTCGTACAGCTAAAAGTTCATCAGGTTAGTTGTGAAAGCACTCGTCTTTAGATTTTGAGCACTTTGGTGCTTCAAATGAAAACAAAAATGCACAGCTGACAAATGGTCCAATCTATACCTTTAATCTGAGTGGCATTAAGCAGAAATTTTGAACAAATGACAATGAATCAGTGATTTTGGGGCAATATTACGGAGCTGCTAAGTACAGAAGTTTGAAAAGAACAGACAAATAAACTTTGCTTAGCAAGACAGCTTTAATACCAGCCAAAATGTCATTCATTTGCATATTGCACTTGTAACTGGTTCTGTAACTTGTAACTGCTTAGGGTGCGTCTCAATTCATATCTGGGATGAGTTCCAGACAAGTTGCAAATAGAAACATACACTTTGTCCAGAAGAAGCTCTGCATTTGTCCCGAACATGTTCCAGGAAGATTTTCATTAGCAACTGCTTGACTCGTCAATACTGATAACTTCATTGCGGGAAGATTGCAGGGAAGTTGTTCAGAATCCTGCAACTTATACCCGATCCAATGTCCACAACTTCTCCGAAATTCAACTCGGATCCAGAACTTGTTCCGGATGTGAATTGATTCGGACCCTTAGCTTCTAAATCTGCTTACTGATTCTTTGAGACTGATCCCAGTATTAAGCCGAGGACTGCATCACTTGGTAGAGAAAATGTACAGCATTTTTGTGTGTGTGTTTGTGTGCTTTAGAATAACTTAATGTCGTCGAGGCTTCTTTGTAGAGGCTAGTCAGTATGTGACGCAACAAAATTCATTTCTGAAATTGTTAAAGTCCAGTCCAGTCGTTTTATTTCTAGCTATCTGTTAGTCCGTGTACCGTCCCACACCGCCCTGCCTGCTACTCCCTGTACCGCCCAAACTGCCCCAGCATTGTATAGTTTTATGGAATCTGCAGGGAATAAGTACAATGTAATACAATGTATAGCAGGTTCAAAAGGGTTATTAAGTTGACGCCCACAACTCCTCAGTGTTTGCCACATGGACTGTTTTTCCACTCTCTTTATTCTCCCCCCCCCCCCCCCTTATTTGGTTGAATTTTCTGTGACAGATTTTATGGGAAGAATTACATGTACGTGTTTAGCATACAAATAATAAATGTTTGTGGACGCAATGGTTAGAATAATTTCATGGGGTGACAGATGGAATGTTCCATTCCACGAGGCGAAGCCAAGTGGAATGGAACGTTCCATGTGTTGTTGAATGAAATTATTCTTACCATTGCTTGAAAGTGAATCATTCTTTATTTGTTTTAACACCTGAATAAAAACCTTATCATCTGATTGGTCGGAGCCGCCAACATTGTGACCGTGCAATGGAAGTTCCATTTACTGTGGAATGGAACTTGCAGCATGGCCGGGCCTTGGGTTGGGATGAATAATTCAATGACACGTTATCAATGACCCACCAATCAGATGACGGGGATTATTCAGGCATTGCATAGTGTAGCATGTCAATGTTCATATCAGTCAAAAATACTTTGTAAATAGACAGGCCTCTGTGTCACATTAAATTATTTCCAACGGAACAATTGGTTATTTGCCCATATCAAAAACTTTGATATTTATATGTTTCCATTTTTTTATACACTGGAAACACTGCTTTGTAAAATTGTGTATATTGAAAGGAAAGTTGGGACAGACAGTAAAATGGACATTGGACAAGAGGAGGGTCACTGTACGCGTTTGAAAATAAATTGCAAAAGGATTTTCAAAGACAAAAACCTCCTCTGAGTATCCTATTAAGGCCAGCATTGAGACCCTCGATCAGCATGCATTCTGATTTGAAGTGAGTCTATCAAGTACAGTTTTCAAATAAACATTCTACATGGTAAAAACACAAAATTTCTCAAAAAACCTGGAATTGATCTTCAATTTTAAAGCATTGTAAAATATAAAGGCTTGTTGGATATTACTACCCCCCCCCCCCCTTCACCCTCTGACTAATGTGATGATTATTTGAAAATTAATTGGGCCAAAAAAATATATGGAATGCTGAAGTTCCATGTATTCTCAACTGGCCTTAGAATGCAGGAAAAAGCATCAAAGATTTCCAAATTTTCTTTTCCCCCCAACAATTATATCATCACCCATCATTAAAACATCAACTACACGTTGTACATGAAACTACACGTTCGAAATAAAAACATGTACTTTTGAAACGTGTAGTTCATGTTTTTATTTCGAACGTGTAGTTGATGTTTTTATTTAGAACGTGTAGTTGATTTTTTCCTTTCGAACGTGTAGTTGATGTTTTCATTTCGAACGTGTAGTCAGTTGAGTTACACGCCAAGTTTTAAAATGTGTATCCACTTTTCCCCCTACAACCCCTATGTGGTTTAATTTGGTATGACTTTTTAAATTGAGAGTAAGGGTAAATCAAAAGCCAAATAATCTGGATTGTCAATGTCACCGTGAAGAACATTCTGCACAAGAACAGTCACACCCCCCCCCCCCCCCACCTCCCCCTTGATTGGTGTTAGTTACAATGTGCATCCACTTTTTCCCCTCCAACTCATTATGTTTTAATTTGGTATAACGTTTTAAATTGAGGGTAATGGTAAAATAAACCAAGAGACAAAAAGTCGGGATTGTCATTTCAAGAACAATCTGCACAAGAACAGTCACACCAGCCTGGTATTGGTATTTCTGTATGCGAGTGCACATACATGCGCCAGGGCACTGTTTTGATCCCAAGTGCCAAATATTGACGTGAAATGTGTCCTTGAAAAACTTGGCTGGTCAAAAAACCTGAGTACCTTGTCTTTGCCTCGATCATGAACATTTTAGAGATTTCTGTCAGCTAAAGAGTCAAAGTGAGTTGAGTTGGGCCCATCATTATTTGGGCAAATTCTGTAAAATAACGATTGAATTAGAAACAAGATCTGATGGAAACACGGGGGGAAATTGTTGTAGCCCTTGATATAATTGTTTTTGCGTATGGCGGGGGATATATTTAATTATGATTTGATACACTACCTCACAGCCTCGCTCTTGGAATTGGACTATTTTGTGAAGGTGAATGGGCCGAGGGTAATACTTATGTCAAATTTGTGATATCAGCCATTCTTTCTCTGACCGCATTTTGTCACCGGCCTGACGACTATTGCTTTGTCATGGAAGGAACACATCCGGCCAAAACGTGTATTTTACATCAAACATGAATGTTTGAGGCTAGGCCGGCTGTGGGCGATAGTTGCTTTCCTGTTTTGTATTATTCCAGAGCGAACACTGTGTACCCGGGAAACTACTCAGGAAAATGTTGTGAAAGCTTGATGTAAAATATCTGCAAGCCAAATCAATCACATCCGCAAAGTAAAACAATGTATCATGACTCATCATGAGGCGAGAAGTTTTATAATCTCTTATAGTGCTTGTCACGGTAGGTTTTTTTTCAATTGGGAAAATGTCGAACCGTTTATCCAAACTTTTACATTGATTAATATGAAGAAGTTATTATAAAGCCTAATGGCTTGAAGGTTCAATTCGAAATGAACTCGTTGCTTTCGGTTATCTGCATGGGCGTCGCGAGGGGGGGGGGGGGGGGCAAGGGGGGGCACCCCCCCCCCCCCCCCCCCCCCTGGAAAAAAAAAAAAAAAAAAAAAAAAAAAAAAAGGAAAAAAAAGGAAAAAAAAAAAAAGAAAAAGAGGCGCGAAGACAAAGTGGTGTAAATTTAATGAGTTGGGGGGGGGGGCCAAATGTCCCTGCCCCCCTCTAAAACTGATAAATCGAGAATGTGTTGAGAAATACAAGCAGTTTTTGGCAAAAATTTTTTTTGCCCCCCTCTAGAAAAAATCCTGGCGACGCCCATGGTTATCTGTTTTAAAAAAAAATGGTTGTCGTGAAGTTTAGGACCCCGATAATAAGAGAACGAAACGACACTTTTATGTTTTGGGACTTTATACCTGCAAGAAACGTCACTTTATATGTTTGGAATCATCTTAATAGTTCGCCAAGATACCATGTTGAATACCACCAAGCTTAATTTTGTGGAAAGAGGGCAGGGTTTTGATTTATGAGGGAAATTATTGGGGTAAAACATGGAACAACAGCCCCGCTAGCCGTACTGGTCTCACAAAGTGAGAACTTCTCCAACACGCACGTCTCCGAGTGCACAAAAGATTAAGAAATTCGCGTTACCTTCAAAGGTACTTGCTAAAATAACCCCCCAAAACACGACTCGATCTGAAGAAAAGAGACTGCTTGATGCTGCGCAAGTTGTTAAGGAACGGTACTTGTACAAATAAATTTGGTGGTGTTCTAAAGTACACGATTATATATTACTAAACTATGATAAGTAAATTTATGAAACATTGAGACTGAAAGGGAAGATACAACATTTTGCAAACATTAAAAAAACGAAATGATCAAATTATCTAGAAATATCTTACTGGATTGTTAGGGAATGACACTTCTACTTCTAAAGCATCCTTTAAAGTTGCTGCTCCTAGTGTGCTGACATTTTCAAGAAAAAGTGTATTTTTCGGCCGACCAGCGTTGGAGAAAACTGGGTTTTTTTCCCTTCAAAAAGTGTTCCTAATATTTCATCTGCATTTTCTTTGCAACTGATTTACACACATGTGAAAACCACCATTAAAACCTGCTAGACTGATTCTCTGATCTTACAACTCCCCAAAGTCTATAAATTGCTCCGGCCGTTTCATCTTAAGTGGGGTCACGGAACAAGACTACAAGAATATGATTGGTTTTCTTGGTTTCTCCAGCATTTACGAACCCAAAACGTGAAACAAGAAACAATATTTTCTATAACATACTAAATCCTCCAAATCCATTTATTTCTGAAAATTGCAGCAATAGCAAATGTTGTACAATTAATTCCCTATGTAAAAAGTGCTTGCTCATATAGGGGTTTCCCCGAATGAGAAATCGTAGGATGCGGTTTAGACCCGTGAACGTACGTGGCGCGCGCGTTGTATACAACGTGGCGCGCGCGTGGGCGAAGCGAAACATATGACACATCCCATGCCAAAAGCATATAACTGAGTGTAGATTTTGTCAGACCGTGCGAACTGAATGAAGAAGGCGGTGGTTGTGTCCGGGTTATCAGACTATTGAGGTAAGTAAAATATCACTAAAGAGTAACTCAGTAAACTCACGTACACGACCGGTTCATACTTCACACGAAAGCGAACACTAAGTCAACAAAACCTCAGAGTTCTGAAGTTTCATTCACGGCGTTCGTCGTGAAGGCCCTACCAAGAATTGCCATTTTATAAATTTGCTTCACACTGTAGCTGGAGTTACCCAGCCCTGAGTTTTATCATATGGGTTGTCCTCTGTTAGAAAAGACCATTCAGGAAGACCTACGGAGTGGTCCAGCGTCTCCTCCGGAGGAAGTTGGATGACTTTAGTCGTATCGTGTAGAATTTTCGCCTGTCGTTGTAAACACAAAGCAAAATACAATGTACATTTCTTTTCCAATTCCTTTTATCATTTTCCCAATACTTTGTTTGAGGGAGACACCGTATTCCTTGAAATGCATTTGAATCAAGCTTGACTTTTAATATCCGTTCCAAAAATCAGTGTCGAAAAAATATGGTTCTCAGAACAGTTAAAATATAATCTTGGTTTTGGGGAAATAACATTATTCAAATACCATTAATGGTTAAACGATGAGAAAATGATATGAAACGATATCATTTTGCGTACACCAGGCGTTCCCCTTTTTTTGTATAATATGATAGGTTAAACATACCTCCATCTCTGTTTTCGCTGCCTGAATGTCTTGATCATACCGGACGCCATATCGATCTATTATGTTCCTAACAGTCCCCGAGGTGTGGCATAGTCCCGTCTTACTCAGAGCATTGAGTAGCTGCAATGAGACAATTTGGAGCTTGGGATCTAACTTATTTACGCTCTCGATGAGGTTGAAAGTGCCTAAGCAGGATACATACCATTTGGAAGTAAATTTAGGTGAAATTAAATATATTCTAAGTGAGGTATATTAACGAATTTTAAACTATGCTTGGAGTGAAGGAGAAGGCGCCTTTCTTGATTTACTCTAGGTGCATCTCAAGAGATGATTGTCATAACAGGTTCATGTTGCTCCTCTTAGAAAACGAATTTTTGGATGTACAAATAATTGCACATTTGTAATAAGCAGTCATTACATCAAAAATTCATTCTTTACGTGTTGCATTGAAAATTGGGCGACTTCTTCAATTAAAATTCACCAAATATTATCCAGTTCTAAATTAACAAGTATTACACGCCGTACCATTGCACTACATCCATTCTTGTACATGGACATGCCAAGTAACGCTGGGATCAGCTTGAACCTTCCTGTCCTCATCTTAGCTACCATGGCAATAATTATACCAAGGCCGGGAACGAGGTGGCCAATCTGTCCGTCCTGTCTGCATTAGCATAATTGAAAAAGCAAGTTTGGCAATTATTATGCAAGGCAAAAATAACAATAAAGTCTTTGTCAGGCGGAAGCGTTTGTCAATTCATGGCAAAAGAACCCCTGAAGGTGGGTTGAATATTTTAACTTTGAACATATTTCCCTTACTAAGTGTGCCTTCACGTCAGAACTTGAAGCGGAGGTGCGGGCTTATAGGCTGTCAAGTTATCGGCGGCAGACATTTGCAATTGGTTTTCAGTGAATGCTTTTTTTTCAGTGTCATCCCTTCAAAAGTTATTTTACCACCTCACCCTCGAACGATAGAACACACTTAGCCCAAAATTCGGTAATCTTGTGAAGAAAAAACAATGAACAATTTTAAACAAAAAGTCTGCGTGGTTATAACTCGCCAAATTACAGATTTAAAGACGCAACTTCAAATAAAGAATACACACTGGGAGAGGTCACCAATTACTTTGTTATAAATGACTTCCAATATTTCAATTATTGTGGTCTGCTTAGTATTGAGCAGGCCTGGAGAAGAAATGCTAAGATACTCACATCTGTGTTTTGTGTCTCCCATTTTTCGTTGTCAAACTCCGTGAAAGAATGAGGTGCAGAAATGGAAGGTTGGACTTGAATTCTTCCATGGCCTTGATCCAGCTGAAGGACTCTGCACTTTCTCAATTTACTCCGGAGGACACTAACATTACCTTTCTGCTCTTCACAAATTTTGACATCTCCAAACTGGTGTGATTCGTACGGAAGCTTGAATTGCCTTCCGAGATACCGCGTTACCGCGATAATTTATCGCAGAAATCCGGAAATCAAAGATAATTCCTTCCGCGATACCGCGTTACCGCGATAATTTATCACAGAAATCCAGAAATCAGAGATAATTCCTTCCGCGATACCGCGTTACTGTGATAATTTATCACAGAAATCAGAGATACCTTTTCCTCGATACCGCGTTACTGTGATAATTTATCACAGAAATCCAGAAATCAGAGATACGTATTCCTCGATACCGCGTTACCGTGATAATTTATCACAGAAATCCAGAAATCAAAGATAAATCATTCAACGATACCGCGTTACTGCGATAATTTATCACAGAAATCCAGAAATCAGAGATACGTATTCCTCGATACCGCGTTACCGTGATAATTTATCACAGAAATCCAGAAATCAAAGATACCTATTCCGCGATACCGCGTTACCGCGATAATTTATCACAGAAATCCTGAATTCAGAGATAATTCCTTCCGCGATACCGCGTTACTGCGATAATTTATCACAGAAATCCAGAATTCAGAGATAATTCCTTCCGCGATACCGCGTTACTGTGATAATTTATCACAGAAATCCGGAATACAAAGATAATTCCTTCCTTGATACCGCGTTACCGCGATAATCATCACAGAAATCCGGAATTCAAAGACAAATCGGTAACGAGGAAGGAATTATCTTTGAATTCCGGATTTCTGTGCTAAATTATCGCAGTAACGCGGTATCGCGGAAGGAATTATCTCTGATTTCTGGATTTCTGTGATAAATTATCGCAGTAACGCGGTATCGCGGACGGAATTATCTCTGATTTCTGGATTTCTGTGATAAATTATCGCAGTAACGCGGTATCGCGGAAGGAATTATCTCTGAATTCAGGATTTCTGTGATAAATTATCATGGTAACGCGGTATCGCGGAATAGGTATCTTTGATTTCTGGATTTCTGTGATAAATTATCACAGTAACGCGGTATCGCGGAAGGAATTATTTCTGATTTCTGGATTTCTGTGATAAATTATCGCAGTAACGCGGTATCGAGGAAAAGGTATCTCTGATTTCTGGATTTCTGTGATAAATTATCACAGTAACGCGGTATCGTTGAATGATTTATCTTTGATTTCACGATTTCTGTGATAAATTATCGCAGTAACGCAGTATCGCGGAAGGAATTATCTCTGATTTCCTGATTTCTGCGATAAATTATCGCGGTAACGCGGTATCTCGGAAGGCAATTCAAGCTTCCGTAGATTCGCCATGACTGTCATGATCTCTGATTTAGCCCTTTCACTGTTCTTTAACGCTGTACGAACTGCAGCGCCGTAGTGAGAAGCATTGATAGACTTGACCATTGCTCTCATAAACCCCTGAATACATGAAAGAAATTATCATTTATTAGTGACTCATAGAAATATTAAACAAGGGGGTGATCTATCACAAGGCACGAATGGGGGAGGGGTTCATGACAAGAACAGTCAACGGTATGCGGGCAAATTCGGTGAATTTGTAATTGTACAAACGTGATTGCTATAGGATTTGTTTTTTTTTTTACTAAGAAAAAGAATTCCCGTTCTTATTAGAAGAATTCATGTTCTTATTAGTCGTGCTCATTATTTGTTGAGTCACACCAAAAAGTATTGGAAGGGGGGGGGGAACTTTGTGGTTTTATTTGGGGGGGGGGGGAACTGTGTATTAAATACCCTCTTTGGTCGACGTCGGGGAGAAAAGGGCAATCTTTTCTTGACATCCCTGGAGGCAGATATTGGTGACATTGCGGGACTCGCTGCCGCTAACTGTACACCAGGCTCTAAAGGAGTACTCGTAGGCCGGCATGGTTGCTTCGCTGGAGTGATATGCGAAGGGCCTGCAGTTGTAGGAGACAGACTTCTTTTTCTTCTCAATTGTGCCAAAGAACCTTTGTAAGAAAGAAGAACGGTTTGGGGGTATATGTTAAACAAGGCAGGCGCGGATCCGGAGGAGGTGGGGGGGGGGGTAAAACAACCTAGCTCTGTCCCAATATTTCCATTGAACTTTAGTACAAATAATGTCAACAGCCCCCCCCCCTTCCGCTGTGACACCCCACTGAAACGAACCAAATTTGACCCCCACCCGCCCACGTATAGATTTGACGGAGGACAAGTGAACGGAGAAAAAATATTGACACTTCATTAATGATTTAAAGATGGAAAACCCCACCATCCAAACCTTTATGTATCAGCCCCTGTACTTTAGTACAAATAATGTCAACAGCCCCCCCCCCCCCTTCCGCTGTGACACCCCACTAAAATGAACCAAATTCGACCCCCACCCGCCCACGTATTGATTTGAAGGAGGCCAAGTGTACGGAGAAAAACATATCGACACTTCATTAATGATTTAAAGATGGAAAACCCCCACCATCCAAACCTTTATGTATCAGCCCCTGGCACGTTAATGCCACTGAAAAATGTTTCTTTGACAGGTAGTTGTTGTATAAACAGTTATTTTCAACCCTTAATTCTTACTCCTCCAGGTTTCAACTAAATTGGTAAATGCAAACTTGAAGCAGCTCTTCAGTCTTACTTTTGATAGGGCCCTATGTCTATAAAAGTTGGAAACATTGATTACTTGAGTTGTTCAAGGTGCTTTGTAGTATAGTTCTCTCTCTGCTTGTTGCACTGCTTCTCGACACCTGTTCACCTTCAGAACTTTCTTGTGGCAATCATTACACAGCGCATCCGAAGAACTCGTTTCAACCTGAATTCCAAAAAAAGTGCTAAAAAAGTCGCCTAATGTGCCGTGTCCTGGCAGTCTCCTCAACAGCGTCACTTTCGCTTTCCCGGTAGCAAGGGCTGTCGTCCTGCAAACCGAGCATTCGGCCATTTTGACAGCGCGCGGTTGTTTTTATTTTGCAAATAAGAACACACTGCGTCTTATGTTGGTGGTGTCAGTAAAGACTAGGTACTACGGTGAGTGTACTCTACCCAATACATGCGGTGCACGGTGAACAACCACAGTTACCTCTGCTTGGAAACTTTGATTGTAGATTGTCCATCTTGAAATGTTTCTAATTGATTTTTTTTTTGCGGAGGGGGGGGGGGGGGGAGAGAATGATGGATAATTTTTGATTGTGAGAGCCCTTCCCCATCTTTCATTTTCTGAGAGAACAGTGAGGATTGTTCAATTACTGTTGGTTTGTTGGGGTATTTGTTTATTTATTTATTTATTATTGTTTTTTTGTGTGGAGGGGAGGGGGCTGGCCTGTATGCCCTGTTGGACGCGTACATGTATTCTGGAATCTCATGTATCATTTATCACTCCTCTGTCTCCCTCCCCCCCCCTTCCCTTTTTATGGAACTAACTAGTTATTGTCCCTGTCTTTCAATGAACGTAAATATCACTGCACTATGAATGCACGATAGCCGCCAACTCGACGGTTGCCGTTCCAGTACCGCACTGTGATGCGAGTGAACCTCTTCTTAATGCATGAAACAGTCATCGGGTATTACGCTTCCGCGTCACGTCATGCACCGACCGCAAAAACGCGTAGTACCAGCGAGCTGTACGTGGTGGTAATCGACCGCCGCCATTCATTGTACACAATTTTTTTGTGTGCACAAACCAATAGCAGCCCTGGCCAATACAGCAAGGTTGTCAAGTTAGCGGTTATTCCTCCTGTTTTCACTGCAATTGTAGGCTGAATCTTCATCGTGGATCGTTTTTTACTTCAAGGACCTGTGTAATGGTTATTCCCGGCAAGTTTGGGGTGAGTTGCAGTTGCAATTAGTGTGTAACGGGGACAAAATTGAACATTTTCCAAAAATTTTTTGAATATACTACTACTTATGAGAAAAATACGCTCCAGCCCTAGACGACAACCCATATGATAAAACTCAGGGCTGGGTAACTCCAGCTATTCACACTGAATAAATTAATTGTCTTGAAGTTGAAGTGTGCACCGGCTTTTAAAAGGGCTCATGCAATATAATTTATCGTAATGTTATCCTTGAAATGCACCTTCGTGTCGTAATATATGTCCCATTTTAATCTTATCTAGGCCTATATTTACAATTTTCGTTTTGCCATTTTCAAGGGTATTTTGGTGCATTTTTCAGTTTTTGGTTTTTATGCTAATGTATTGTATTGTATTGCTGCGCTGAGGTTAGCTTGAGTAACTCCAGTTCTATGCTTATGGCATTCGCAGTGGCTATTGTTACGGCAGCCATAAAGCATTTCCCATTTTCTATCGTTACGGTAGACTGCAACTTTTATAAAAACATGAGAAGAAAATATAAAATTAGAAGGAAAAAAGTGAATTTGAACGTTATGAAATTCGGACTTTATTTCCCTTTTAAAAAAAATCCTCCAAAGCCTCAAGTTAGAAAAGGAAAAAAATTCGAGTGCAAAACTGAGATGTGAACCCGCACCTCGCGGTGCAAAATCCTACCCACTACCGACTGAGCTGTCGCACTGCTCGCCAAAACGTGGGGAAACAAATAATTACATACCTGCGTGCGTGCGGCCGTGCGTATCAAAAACGTATCGCAGAGGGCGCTAAACAACGGCTGCCGTAACGATAGCCACTTCGTATGGCATTAGAGCTGGAGGCACAACTACATTACAAGAACCGGGTCATAAGAATCCTGAAATCCCGGATTGTGTATCCCCAGTGCATTACAAAAACGGTCCATTTTCCCTATATTATCCCGACCCAGATGCAATAAAATAAAATGCAATCATTCTACATCGAATTTCCAAAGAGTTTGTGTTTCCCTATTGAGCAGTTTGTTTCAATAAATAATGAAACTAGGAGGATACTGACAGTATCCATGGTAAAGAGACTCAGCTTACCGCTATTTAAAGGCGACATTTTATCTCAGTAGAAACCATATCTTAATTCAAGGCCACGCAACAACCATGCCAGGCTGAACAACATTAACACTGGTCTCTTATCATAGGCCTGTAATTATGTATGATAATTTAATGCAGTGTTACTGCATCAAATGTCAGTCTTATCAAGAGAATATTGTGTACAGATGGATGGCTAATCAGCTTTTGTCACATAAAAAACCCTGTTAATATTCAACTATTGGTGTGTCATCATTGTGACATTTTGTGTTAATCTGTGGTTGGCTGCAGCCATGGACATTGCTGTTGTTTAATTACAGTAAATAATTTTACAAAATTGGTTTTACCTGTGTGTTTTGTGCTTCATTCATCACAGAAGGTATTTAGAATTTAATCTCTTGTTAGCAAAATGCAGGAGGCATGGTATGTTCCAGCCTGTAATTATTGCAATAGCTTTTGTCAAATTCTTTCCTTGCCAATTTTTTTTTTTTTTTAATAACACTTTTATTCATCAACAGTTTTGCCGTACAACCTGTAGATTTGCCATACAACCTGTAGAGTACAATTTCTTTCACTTTTCTTCTTTTGTTTTGAGGATATTTTCCATTTATTTATAATATCAAGGTATTTTGTTTCAAATTGAGTTGTTACTTTTATTAGCAAAAGCAAAGCTTGACTGTATTTTTATTTATGTATTTAATGAGACAAACAGCGGTTAACCGCCACTTACAGGTATCATATTAACGTTAAATATAGTAAATTTATAAAATGTTTTAACATTCTACTATCCTTACAATTCTTAAAATGTCACAAGTCAGACTGATATTTTACGCCGAGTGCGCGTTCATTTGGTATTTCCAACTGCATGTTGATGACTTTGCCCCAATTACCTTATATGTACATTTTATGCAAATCGAGGTGTGGTCTTCTTTAACGCCTGTGTGTAGTATGGGCAAGGGAATTTCTAAGGTGGTAATTTCCATTTCAATACTGGTTCACTGGAGTATTCACATACTTTGATGCTGTGGATTTTTTAGGGGCGGTGTTTTCGAGAGAAGCATATAGGGTTACAGGCTGGAGGTGCGGTAGCATGTACAGAGCGATAGCTCCATAGATATAGCGACATAGTGCTAAATCTTATTTTGGATTTCGAGAATCCTGTTTCTGGCGATAGCCTAAATTTCAGCAATATAGTTGCTGACAGAGTAGTCTTGCATTTTAGCCCGATTTTCGCCTGCTTCCAAGAGCTGCGTTAGTGCCAGCGAATTATTTACACCCCTTGACGGTGTTCTAGGCCTTAGGAGCCAGTATATACTGTAAGTTTTGTTTAAATATTTGTTTCATAAATTTAATGTAATTATTTCATTTCTAACACCAGTGAGTGTATCAAGTTTGTTGTATTGTACAGCTCTTGCATATTTGAATGTGTTAGCATGGCAAATCTACTTTTTGGGACACGCCCCATTTGGGCGGATAGACGTCATTTATATGGTCCAGTTGATTTACTTAAAGTTTAGCCTGAAAATGCTAGGATAGGTGTGTATTACTGTATTTAATATTTCCAGGGCTCCTTATTGTGGAGTTAAATCCACGCCCAGCAATTATACCCGGATCCGCCCGTTGGCTGGGGACCACTTTGATTCACATCTAACCGTGAGGCCTATCCCGCCGGCCGTAGACGGAGGACGTGGACATTTGGCCCTTCTAGTTGCCGATAAAGTTGTGTCATCCACCACCGAATCGTCAGTTCAAGGACAGGTTCGTGGACCGCTGGACTGAGGCTCCTACACAAGTGAACTGTTCTAGAATTCAACCTCCGGTAGCCTTTGGGTTGCAGTCTCATATTGAAAAGGGATTGTTAAATATTGGAATAAGGTTTTTCTTGTCTGATCAAAATATTGCAATTGTTGAATTGGAGTGGCCAATAATTAGAGCCTAGAAATTGGATTGGCTATGCAATATTTCCCCTTTATTGATTTTTGTGTATTTTTGTAGATAGTGTAAAATAAATAATTGGCTAGTGTACATTTTGCTTTCAACTATTATTGTGTCTGAGCGTACTAAATGATGAGACCGGGGACACATTGCGTGTGAGAGGGTAGGGGGGACCCGGGTTTGTGACATAAAAGTCATCCAAAAATAAAATATTACTAAATTAATACAGTTGTCGGAAATATAATACATAAAAAGACATATCCAAAAAACAACAAAAATAAAACCAAACACCCCAACGCCCCAAACAAACAAACAACACCCCTCGAACAAACAAACAAACAAACTTTAAAGGGTCTTTGGAAACAGAAACGTTCATTGTTGCATTTAGTTTTTCATTTGTATAAATGGACTTTCTTTCTTCTTCTTTATCAGAACATTTTTATAAACTCAAGCTTTAGCAAGTTTGCATCAGTTTCCAGATAAGAACAGCCACCACTATGAAGAGAACAAAGGGTGAAAACCTGAGGATTGGGAAATCTTTCTTGCAGTATCTCCAAGACGTCTACGGTTATGGCAACATCGTTGGCAGGAAGGAGATGGGTGACATCTTCAGGGATGTCTTCAAGCCAAGCCTTGGTACTGGTGGTAGCGGTAAGAAGTCTGCAACTCTTGTAATTAGCAAGGATGTAGATTTGTGTAGACAACTAGGGAGGAAAACATGTTGTTTAAAACTTTGTTGATGTTAGAAATTGGAAAAGGGGGAGGGGACACCATTTTTGACCCGCTCTCCCCCCCCCCAAAAAAAAAATCATCATGTGGCCCATCAGCCATCCACTTGGTCAAAAAGTGAAGATCAAAGAATATTCCCTCCCAGTGCTTTCTAAATTTACACCCCTTTCTGTTTCTTTTGTTTTGTCTAGTTTGTTGTTTCAGTGGCGCACCCAGGAGGGGGGGGGGCCTCGGTGGGCTTGAGTTCCCCCCCCCCTTCCCCCCCCCCCCCAAAGAGGTAAAAAAAAAATTGGGGGGGGGGGGGTTAATGTTTTTTTAGTCCCACGATTTGACCATGGTGATATGTATGTGGCCTATTATCGAGACATATAATAGGGGTGTAAATGGCACCACCAACGTCAGAATAGTTTCCCCCCCCCCAAATTTTTTTAAAATTATTTTCTGCAGCCAAACATTTTGGGCAACATTTTTTGAACAAATTAAAACTTCTAAAAAAAATTGGGCCAAAAATGTGCAAGTCTTACCCCCCTCCGAAGCCAAATCCTGGGTGCACCACTGTGTTGTTTGTTTATTGTTTGGTTATTGTTCTTTTGGTCAGTTGGTCAGTTGGTCATAGTCAGATAAAGTGTTCCGAAGGCTCTATAGGCACCATGTTCCCTAGGCCCCAGCCTACTCCCGCCCTAGGCCCCAGCACCAATTTCATGTTGATGCTAAGCTGTACAAAGCAAACCAGGCCAAACTGTGGTATTTTTCGTAGAGACTCGAATTTTTCGTAGGCCCCCAAATTTTTCGTAGGCCCTAGATACTCCGGGCCTCAGGTCATAGTCAGTTGGGAAGCAGGTAGGTTGTTTGGTGTTTTTTGGAGGATTTATTAGCTGATCCCAATTCACTTGTTTGTGTTTTTTATGCGTAGGGCCTTGTGAATTCATTTTTTTTTACCCTCCCATGATGGTCTCAGGGATGTAAGTTCTCCTGCAATTGCCTGATTTCAGGTAATTGTGTGTACAATTTTTCTTTATTTCTAAAATGTCAGGCAAAAATGTCATAGTCCACGTACATCTATGTGGTCTTCCGTGAAAAAGAAACACATCCACTTGCATAGGATCATGGTATTCATAATGTTTTTCTTTTTTTCCAGCCACTATTTCCAAGTGACAAACAGGCTTATTCCCTGTTTTTTTTCAGGCTTTAACCTTTCCTCAGTCCTCTATGCCCTGGGAACTGCTTCTCAAGTGGAATTAAAAGGCGGTAAGGTTCACATTCAGAGGGGCTTCCATGCTAAGGACCAGTATACGACTCTCCACGAAAGCAAGGAGGATACAAATGCATCATCGGGGTTCCTTTACTACTGTCCCGACTGCGACGTGAGGGGCACTTCGACATCGACAATTCAAGATCATGTTAGAGGGAAAAAGCACCTCAAACAGATCAGACTGAAGTATTTGAAAGATAAAAGGTGATTGTCTATAATGTGAAGTTTAAACCTACAAGCACCTGGTACTTTGTATAGCAATTGTATTTATTCCCTAAAGAATCAATGATTAAACCCCTGGGCTCTGTTAGTGGTGTGCATTTACAGGTAATACTGGAACCGGGCACCCTTTTATAAAAAGTAAAACACATACCCAGGTATCCGTAATAGAAACCCAACCCCAAAATTCAAATCCCGGAAGTTGTCTGAAGGGCTATGGGCTTTATTCATGAGTCGGCCATATTAAATTAAAAGTGAGGTAAATTAACTCTTCATTTTTGGAATTTGCGAGTAGAAATGAAAGCAATGACTTAAAAGTTCATTACAAATTAATACCAGCCTGCTCTGATGAATAATTTAAAATTTGTGATTAAACATACCCTGATGTTTAAATGTTTAAAAAAAAAATTGAAAATGAGGCTAGAATGAATTAAAATAGTCTGGCACCATCCCATTCAACAGTTCACATTTATAAGATACATTCAGGGAACACGACGAAAGTGGCTTCCTCGTGAATAAGGGCCATGTGTGGTGTAAACTGCAACTTTCGTTAGCGTCAGGCATGTGTTGTGAGTAAAAATGCACAAAATGTGAAATCTGTTTTGGTTTTCCATGTAGTCTGGTTTTCATTTTGAAAATTCCCTACCAATGACATTCAAACCCTGCTTCTGTGACTGTGTCAGAGAAGTAACTAAAGTAGTTTGTAAAGTTGGTTTGGGGTACCCGATCCCATGATTCCTGACATCAGCAGTCGGGTAGTCGGGTGCCCGGTTCCGATGCACAGGCCTATGTGCACAAGTACCCCCTCGACAATAAAGGTTGGGGGAGACCACTGGGAGAGACATTCAAATGTATTTTCAGTGACGCCTGACGCTCACACAGGACGCTATGGGCGTTTTCGAATCCCTGTTCTTGACAACACGCGTGTAAAACGAGAACGTGTTCTCGAGCTGGTTGTTACGAACGCGCGGGTGCGTGTCGCATTGATATAAAGCAATGCAAAATGGCCGACAATCGTCTGAATTTGTACTTAAGCCTGTTCCAAATGAACGAGGACGACTGTTCAAAACCGGACATGCGGGGATGAAATTGCAGACCTGCACTATATATGGTATTCTTATTCCAATCATTAGGGTATTAGCAAAAAACAAACAAACACATAACAACTTACGAATCTGCACAGTCCGCCATTTTGTTCAAGCTGCACCTCGCCGAACCCTCCATCAACCGGGGAGTGAAAAAATCGATCCACGAACGCCCTTTCGGGTCTGTTCGTCACGTTCGAGACCGCTGTTCTCGTGTCGGGTTAACCTGAGAGTTGTCAAGAACAGGGATTCGAAAACGCCCCATGACTTTGAGCACAAGTTCAGAATAAGATTAGTTTTGCATACTTCACGCTATACGCACACGAACCAGTAAGCACACGCGATGTTTCCTATCCACTGGGCTCTCAAAAGCGGTCAAAAAGCACCCTCTCTTGTGTGTGCACGGAGCCCATAGAGTGCTTGGCAGTTTGGGGTAGTACAGTGAGTCATAGGCAGGATGGTTTCGAATATGGTACAGACCAAAACAGTAAAGTCAAAAGCAAATGAAATAATGTGCACTTTTCTCGTGATCTTAAGAGGTGTGTTGTGATGATGCTGTCAGGAATTCAGTACAGCTGAAATAAAAATTGTCAATTCTTTCCCGACAAGCATATATTCAGTTTGTTCAACCTAATAATTATTGAATTTATTTTGGCATATTTAGCAAAGAGTTGGTAGCAAGCCAGCGAGGGATAAACGTGCACAGTGACTTTGAAAAGAAAGATGGCGTCATTGCATTGGTGTTGGACAAAAACTGCTCCAAAGAGATTACAATTACCATCAAAAATACAAGGTAGGCATAACTTTCTATTGTAGCTGACGGCTTGAGTGACAAAGATTGAATTTGGGATCAAGTTAGTATCTCTTCAGTGTACGGAAAACAGTATTAGGCCATCAGCCTGGGGGTTTGGTCGGTATCAAATGAGGGGGATAATGCTCATTGTGATCTTTGGCAAGGCATGCACCCCTCTAGTTGGAAAATATGGGATAGCATTGCAGCTGTGGCAACCTCTTGGGTGTTATCGCGTTTTTTTTTTAAATGGCGGCAAAAACATGCTTGTTACCACATATAATTAATCCAGTTGCAAGCATATTGTCGGCCATTTTGAACCAAAAAAAATAAAAAGTGATAAGACCCCCAAAAATTGCCACTGTTCACACTGCAAAGCTATCACATATTTTTCAACTTAAAATGTGCATACCTTGCCAAAAATCGCTATGAGCTTTGCTCCTTTCGAACATTTGATACCCGTGTCCCAATTTTTGGACCGAAGCTGATCCCCTGTATCGAATGTCTGACATATGACTGTGCTTTCTTTTTCAAAATTAAGAATGAGATTTCGAGATACCAACATCCGGTCCCACCCTAAACTACATTCAACGAATTTTTGAGACTGTATTCAAATAGAGTAATTCAACGACCTATCCTAGAAGCGATTGTTGAGGTGGAACCAGGCTCGCAATCAGGTAGAACGCACGAACAACCAATATATAGGGTTACTAAAATGCACACATTCGTTGTCTTTAAGAAAGTGTGGGGCATGGGCACAAACTTGCTCCGCTTCAAAAATGGCTTCTGATTATTGATTTTGCTGAATTAGTCTATAAACTTTGATTTCTTTTTGTTAGTATTATGCCAAACACTTTGTAGTTTGAATCGATTTGAAATGTAAATATCTTCGTATAATGATGAATTGAGACAGCTATCAGATGTTAGATATCATCATGGATGTTTTTGTCATCACCAAGGGCAGATCTAGAGAGGCTACTGCTGGGGGGGGGGGGGGGGAGGAGGAGGGAGTGGGGGAGGAGTGTGCGGGAGGAGGGAGGAGGGGGGAAAGGGTTCCCTCAAGAGAGAAATGGCCTCATTTGAGAAAAATTTGTTCACTGCTGGGGTGGAAGCAGGCGCCCCTCTGCGCCCCCTTGAAACGCCACTGATTACTGATCACTCTCTGAATTATGTTCAGCTTTCAGCAGTAAAAAAAATCCAAAAACCAAATCCTCCAAACGCAATTATTAAATGTATAAGTTTTGTTTTATACCTGTGTTTGTTTTTTGTTTTTTTCAACAGTGCAACACAAATCATGTTCCTAGCGTGTGAGATGCTTAAAGCGCAGCCTGCTTTCTGTATGTCCAATACAGACTATGATGCCATTGAGCCAGGTAATTTAAGTATTTCCTTTAATTCTTCTTTGAACAGCATGAATTTAAAGGACAAACCATCACAGAGTGAGTTGTTGATATGTGTTTGTCACTGTTTTCGACATGGATTAGTCATGCTACAGTCTCATGTTTACTAAAACTATCCAAATGAACTGTGCTGTTTTTACTGGTTTCAATAAGGGACAAGCCTAGTGTGTCCTCTTTTTTTACCAATCTGAATGAATGACTGGCTTTAAAGGTATAGTCCATCATTGGTAATTTGTGCACTTTGTTCATTTGAAGCAACAAAAGTGCTCAAAATCTAAAGAAGGGTGCTGAATAACTAACCAGCTTCAGCTGTATATTCCGAGAAAAACAGCATTCTAGGATCTTGATTGCAAATCAAAAGTTGCTGAATCCTGTTTTGAATTGGGCCTGAATTTGGCATCCGCCGGCGAGACACATTCTCACTGAGCAGACTGCAGCTACACGATGTCACGCACTGATCCGACGAATTATAGCAACCGCGCGCTTGTGCATTGTGCCAACGCTTGCGCGTGTTTCACCGAATAAAAAAATGAACTACTAACAGAAATTTCCAATGTTAAGACCCACCGTTGGAAAGACCTTCTTTCATTGATTTCTTCAAAATGACAGCATGCTAGAAAGAATAATTTCACAGGGAGCTTAGTCCCCTTACTATCTTTCGACCAAGTATGTTTTTCAACAATAATTACGCCAGTTACTTTTCGGATAGCTGCAAATGATGGACTATAGCTTTAAACTTTGAAAATCATCTGCTTCCTCATTTTGTGGTGGCTACTTTCAGGAAAGAGCTGCTCAACCACAGCTATAACCACTGTCCATCTCTGAATTGACTGACTGATTGACTGACTAAGCTGGCTGACACTGGATCTGATTATAGGCTGGTGAAGAGTGCCGGGCAGTGCCATCATATAAGATTACCCCATACCGTCAAAGGACTAACTCCGGCAGATTACTTGTGCAGACTAAATGCATGAAGATTAAGAGTTCCTAGAGAATAGCCACTCTCCATCAATTTAAGTCCGCTCTGACTTTGAATGGTCTTGGATCTGCTAATTTACAAGGGTTGCCTGCTCCTGTTAATTTTTTGATTGATTTTTTTAATAGGAGAGAAGCAGAAATTTCAGATCACCGTCTACGCCGACACTGTGGGTGTGCTGCAAACTCCTCTGCTCTTCGCCTTCAACGTATCAGACGAAGATGAGGTTGGTCACATTTTGAGATAGGGCCGTTTGATAATTTTTTGTGATTTTGTGGAAATTCATGTTGGATGGATATACCGTAGTGTAATTTGCAGATGAATGGGAAATGTGTGAAAGATTTGCATATGATGAACGTTTTTAAAAACAGTGAAACTTCAGTAACGCAATCTCACAGAAGAACTTATCAATAACTAAGAGTGTGACATAGTAAAGCAGATGTTGGTGATCTGAAATCAACACTCTATGTGTCATGTATGTAAGCCTTTTTTATTGCACGAGCTAATTTTCTAAGGTGCTTTGATTAAAGAAACCTATTTACAATTTTGTAATGACGAAAACAGATTGATCTTTTTTTTTTTACATGATTAATTTGTATCTGCAAAACTTTTTTTTTGTTTTTAAGTGTGCCACGGTACATGGGTTCGAATCCTGACTGGGAACATGGTGATTGTGCTCCTGAGCAAGGCACTTTACCATTATTGCTTCATCCTTCGTGTTGTGTAATGCATGTTAAAGAACCCAGTGTGAAAGAACCTCTTTAGTAACACTAAGAGAAGGGGTTTGCCCCAGTGTTTCTGGCAGTGGCTGCAATATGCGCCGCAGCACCCTTTATAAAGGTGCTACATAATGGGTCTCATATTTCTCATAAACTTTATTTACCTGTCTTTAAAAATATACCTTACCAGCGCCTTGAGTACCTAATTGTTGGTAGATACGTGCACTATATAAGACTCCTGTATTATTGTCCAGAATCATACTTATGTTCATGTACAATTCAATACCTGTTTGTATTTTTAAATGTATAAATATCCTTTTTTGCCTCTACAGGTGTTTCACATGTTGCGTTTCCTGAGCATTCAAGTGAAGAGTAAGATAGCTGATGACTTGCCCCCCACCGTTCCCTATCAGCGTCCGGCGAAGAAGTCACAGAGGCGACCCAAGGGGGACATTGTGGACGGCGTCCCTCTAGAAAAGTGAGCAAATTGTCATGAGTTGACACAATGAAGTCTATCCCCGACCACATGATGAGTCTATTACATGTCAATCACTAGTCAATCACAAATCAATTACGTGTCAGTCACAATTCTCACATGTCCATCACAAGTTTATCACAAGTCAATTACAAGTCCACCACAAGTCCATCACAAGTCCATCGCAAGTCAAACACAAGCCAATCACAAGTCGATCGCAAGTCGCAACTAACTAGGGTCACAAGTAACAGGAGATGAACAGTGACAGAGGAGCGTCTTACATGACAATTCATTTTAAAAGCTTGGCACTTGAGTTGACTTGTGAGTGACTTATTACCAGAGGGCCCAGGATAGGGCTGTCCATTTTCAAATAATTTAGTATTTGATTATTCGAAACTGAATTTGACCAAAAATTTGGATATTTGAAACTCTCAGATTAAGTTTCGTACACGCCGGTCAAAAGTTGCACGCAAACTGCCCCAGTTAAAATTGTCTTGCACCTTGGCAATCTATATTATTGGCCGTTGGAGTGTTTTGTAGTTTAATAACTGTCAAGGCTTTAACCTAGGATGGGAACTATAGACCGCAGTCGAGAAAAAAATGACAGTCAACAAATTAAATTTCCTATGTATTTTGCAGCCCAGGGGGAGAGGTTGATTGACCCCCCCCCCCTCAAGATCCACCCGTGCCCTCTCAAGTCAAGTCTTTGCTCAACTATTAAATCAGATCTTTAAAATTTTGACATTTTCCTTATTGTTTTGGTTTCCTTCTTCTTTTTTTTGATGGAGGCCGAGTGTTTTGTTTTCTTCTTTTTTGGATTGTTTGTTTTGGTTATTTAACAACAAAATTTGCTGGTGGAAAGAGAATTTTTTCTTTTTAAACCTTCCCATAACCGGCCCAGAAAAATGATGCTCAGATTTCAACCCTGTCTGTTTTTTGGTTGGTTTAATGATCAGATCCGGCAGCAATAAACTGAAAATGATCAAGCTTGGCGGATATCGCATACCGGATCAACTTCGCGACCAGATCAACAGCAAAGATGGAGTGAAAAAATTGAGGTAAATGAGATTTACATCAAATTCAGTGACACGTTTTTTAAAATCCGATTAAATTTCATTGGGATTGTTTTCCTTTCATGATGTAGTCAGATGAGAGCCGTTATGGATGTGAAAAATCAGATTTATCATATTTCATAAAATTTCCCAATTTCAGGATATTTTGTCAGGATTTTTTTAGATTTCAGGGTGTTTAATTAATCCCTTTTTTGAAATCTAAAATTCCTTAGGTTTAAAAGTGAAGTCCATCATTTGTAATTTGTGCATTTTGCTCGTTTGAAGCAACAAACTGCTCAAAATGTAAAGAAGGGTGCTGAACAACTAACCTGATGAAGTTTCAGCTCAGCTTCAGCTGTATATACCGAGAAAAAGAGCATTCTAGGATCTTGATTGCAAATCAAAAGTTGTTGAATCATGTTTTGAATTGGGCCTGAATTCAGCGTCTGAGTCACGTTCTCTGAGCCGATTGCAGCTATGCAGTGTCACGCACTGATCCGACTAATTATAGCAACCGCGCGTGCGTGTGCGTTGTGTCAATTTTTTGTTCGGCGCTTCGCCGAATAAAAAAACGAACTACTAACGGAAATTTCCAACGGTGCGTCTTAAGGCCTTCTTTCGTTGATTTCTTCAAAATGACAGCTTGCCAGAAAGAATAATTTTACAGGGAGTTTTAATAGTCCCCTTACTATCGTTCAACCAAGTATGTTTTTCAAAACTAATACATCAGTTACTTTTTGGATAGCTGCAAATGATGGACTGTAGCTTTTAATAAACAAAAAGGTATATTTTTCTTACTTATATTTTCTTTTGTAGAATAACAGCAATGGGTATTTTAAGTTGTGCCTTTTTAATAGGCAAATGCAAACATATACCATACACCCTACGTTGCTCCAGGGCCTTCAGTGACACTCAAACCTTCTGCCGATAATTATGGATTTTTTTTTCACCACAATCTTAACTGCGATTCCAGGAAGAACATGAAGAAGCCTCTTTCATGGGGCAACTATGCCAGTAGGTTTTCCAGTCTGCTGCACCAAGACGAATGCCAGATGGAGGTGGATATCCGACGATATGACATGGATGGTGTCACCATGAGAAAACAGGGCAAACTCCTGTATCTGAAGGTATGACGTGCATGAACATGAACTTTTTGTCAATAGGAATTTTTTTTATCCCCAAATACAAATTGTATCCTACATATGATTCTATAGCTCAGAATAGCTGATTCCATGACTCCAAACTCGAAAAGAATGTTAAAATGGTGATCTTTTGCTACCAAAACAAAATGGTTAATGTGCTCAGAAATTGCCTCAGATCACACCACAGAGACAGTGTCTAGATTCCACTTCGCACTCACATTGGTTGGAATGTCCCCGTCCCCCCCCCCCCCCCCTACTTTTGAGAAGCGATTGACGCCCTTGAATTTGTGTCAACATTTGAGCATTTTTTATGATGGACTTTTGTGCCAGAAAAAAAAGAAGCCTTTTGTCAAAATGCAGAAATTATTTTTTAGGTTTGGTGTAATATTCTCTTCAAAGTTAAAACATTGTTGGTTTCCTCACTGGATGCTAACCGTGGTGAGCTGAACTCTTCAGAGAATTCATTTCTGGCCTTTAGGCAACTTGTGTGGACTTTTTTACAAATTTGGTGAAAATTGATTTTTGGGTGAAAAACGGAAACGTTTCTTTTTCCCTGGATCCTGACTGTAGTGACTGTAGTGAGCTGAAATCTCTTGGGGATTCATTTCTGGCCTCTACCCACCTTAATCTCATGAAGTTGGATTTTTGGGTCAAAATTGAGTATTTTTGATGACCTTGGATTTTTACAACATTTTAGATTTGGGACATTTGGATAAAACAAATGAAACATTTGTTTGCTCCCTGGATCCTGACTGTAGTGAGCTGAAATCTCTTTGGGATTCGTTCCTGGTTTCTACCCACCTTGTGTGAACATTTGACTTAATTTCGTGAAGTTGGATTTTTAGGTCAAAAATGAGTATTTTTGATGACCGCAGATACGGAAAACTTTTTAGATTTGGGGCATTGGCCAAAAACTGAAATGTTTGTTTTTTTCCCTGAATCCTGACTGGAGTGGCCTGAAATCTCTGGGGGATTCATTTCTGGCCTCTACCCACCTTGTTGTGTGAACATTTGACTTAATATCTTGAAGTTGGATTTTTTTGTCCAAATATGAATATTTTTGATGATCGTGAATATGGAAAACATTTTAGATTTGGGACATTTGGGCTAAATACTGAAATGTTTGTTTTCTCCCCGGATCCTGACTGTAGTGGGCTGAAACCTCTTCAGGATTCATTTCTGGGCTCTACCCACCTTATATGAACATTTCACTTAATTTCGTGAAGTTCGATTTTTTGTCCAAAAATGAGTATATTTGATGACTGCGGGCTTTTTTTTGGGCCATTTTTTGGGCCATTTGTTGCCTCTTGGCACCTATTGCGAAAATTTGAGCAAATTTAGTGAAGTTGGATTTTTGGGGCAAAAATTGAATTTTTTGATTATGCTGGATAGGGATGCCTATTTAGATCCTGGGGCATTTGGATAAAAACTGAAATCTTTGTTTCCGACTTGGGCTGAAATCTGCAGGGGATTCGTTTCCGGCCCGAAGGCACCTTATTTGAACATTTAAGCAATTTAGGGGAAGTTGGCTTTTTTATTAAAAATTTACTTTTTTGATGTTGCTGGATATGGAAAACTTGTTAGATTTGGGGCATTCGACTGAAACCATAAATCCTGGTGTTCTCACTGGAGAATTGGCTACTTTGCGCCGAAATGGCAGCATCGGGCTGTATACTCCCCAAGGAGCTGAGCTTGTCTTTGGAATGTTTCATAGGTCCAAATGAGCAGGGTAGTAATGATGTAGCGCCTTGAGCACCAATACTGGTGGATACGTGCGCTTTATATAAATACAGACATTGTAGCACAGAACTAATACCTTGGTCGCTAACTGATTGTGCACTAAGAATTACTTTGCTTTGCCTTTTGTTCCTGCCTTTTTTAGGTCCCCGGTCTTGCCGAAAATCGACCCTCTGTGCTACAGGGCGATCATTTGTTTGCTACCTTCACAGGCGACCGATCCAACTCGAACCCCAAGATGTACAAAGGCTACGTCCACCATGTGGAGCTTGAGGAGGTGGCTTTGGGATTCAATCAAGAGTAGGTGCCATAGAATCCTTCTAACCGTGTCGTTTTTCTGAAACTATCTCATATGAGGGGTGTTAAAGGCTGTTAAAGTCTAAGTTACTTAAGGGGGCGGGGGTGCGGCATAACAGTCGATGCATCAAACAGCCGAAGACTTGAAGCAATTAATCAAGGTTAGCAGTATTGAGTGATGACCATTTTCCAGGGTCTGCAGCCACTCTTGAACTCAACAAAAAATCAAGGAACTTGGAAAAAATACCAAACGTCAGAAAAAAATAGGGGCGATTAGACTGAAGAAAAATGCAGAAACGGAAAATAATTATAATGAGAGTATGCACACACTACCACACTGTCGGCAAGTTGCCTGTGTTTTATTCGTATCTTTGCACTTGACTTCCCAGCAACCTTTAAAGTGAAAGTCTTTCTCATGGAAATATGGAAATTTCCCAGGGAAATGTCAAAACTCTGTGAATATTTTTTTTTGCCTCAAAGTGTTTGGAACCTTGTATTTATGGAACTGAAGGAAATAATTGGTTTCCCCCTATTTTCTAAACAATTAACATTGGTTAGCCACAACAACCACCCCATTGGATCTGCCCTTGTATTTTGATTTTCAAAAGTTGCCCCAGCATTTAGCAGTGCATGCTTTCATTATGATCGGATGACACCAGATGAGCCAACATATATACGCATTACAGTCCCGATTTTCTTGGATTACAGGTTCGTAAATCGCTTCATCAATGGGACCAAGGTCTACATAGAGTTCACCGTCAATCGCTTTACCCTATGCATGCAGCATTTTGCCATCGGCGAGACACCCAAACATGCCAACTTGCAGAATGTTCTCTTTCCAACAACTAGCATCGTAGGAGATAAACCTCTCCTATGCTCTGTGCCAAATGAAAGGTAAGGCAAAGTAAAACAAAATATATGTAACAATTTTTGTCCTGGCTTTATGAAAAAAGAAAGGTGGAGGCCTTAAATTTCCACCCCAAATATGGCAGACATTTGAAGACGGCGGATGGCTGCTTCCATTTTCCTTGACTCTTTCCTGATACTTTTGTGTCCAAAGGATCCGTTATCCATGGTCAACTTTGACCAACGGAGGCCTACTATACTGGGCGAGAAAAAGGAAGTGGGCGAGAACGAGAAACAGGCATTTGCCGAATCAAAATGAAACTGGGGCATGACAATAAATTGGTTGACAGACCACTCCCAGCTAGAAGGTCAGCAAGGATGTTTTCCTTCTGGTCATTCGGTCACCACAAAATAAAAAAAAGTGGAGGTGGTGGGCGCCTAGCACAACACTCCCTATCTGACTAATGGGAAGCTGTTCACAGTGGACAATTTTCTCACTATTGGACAAAAGGCAGCACTATTCTTTGTGGCATGTATGACGACTGCACAAGAATTTTTCCTCCCCTCCCCTCCCCCAACAACCCTGTTCTCGAGTTCTCTCAACACGAGAACGGGGTTTCGAATACGCCCTCTATGAGCTGAACTCCCAACAGGTGGGATTTTTAATAACCTACTTTTGATTTATTGTATTTATAACCTTTAAGTTTCAAATTTTGAATGAAGAGTCGTCAAGTTTTTTCCAAATCGTGTGTTTTTGCAGTCAGTTTGCTCGCTGTCTGTATGATCAGAAGCTAGCCTCAAATACAGAGCAAGTCAAGGCTGTCTTGCATATACTACAAGGCACCTCCCGCCCAGCTCCCTATCTAGTGTTTGGACCTCCAGGCACTGGCAAGACTGTCACCATTGTGGAAGCAATCAAACAGGTATGGCATAAAAAAAAGATTCAAATTTTATTCTCCAACAGCTTTTTAATATTTGTTCAGCATTTGCATTCTTGGCAATGGCAAAAATTGGCAAAAATCCTGTCCCTCCTCATTTCAATGAATTTGGGTTTTTCCCCCCAATAGGTGTACAAAACGTTCCCTGGTAGTCGCATTCTGGTCTGCGCTCCCTCTAACAGCGCGTCGGATCTGATCGCCAAGCGGCTGCTTTCTGGAACTGTCACTCCTGTTGCCAAGACAACAATCTTCAGGATGAACGCCAGGAGTACAGACTGGAAAACTGTGGATGAAACTCTTAAGGTAAATGCGGAGAAATAAAATTTGAAAAAAAATTAAAATTGGTAATTGCTGTCCAACAGTTTAAAGGAAACTTTTGTCTGTAATGCACCCTTTTTGGCTCTAAAACACCCTTCTCAGAAAATAATTTTAGCTGGAAGATTGTACACAAAACATTCACATAACTGTACGTTGAAAGTTTACAGTTTCCGTGTAATTATCGCACGAATGAATTTGAGGATACAAACCTTTGCCCTAAAAAATTGAGTATTTTCCTGCGGCATATTTAACTGGGGCAGTAACCTGCGATGGCTAGCGTCCCATCCAGGGGGAGTAGAAATATTCTCAGTTGTTTCATGCTACTGAAACTGGAGAAAAACGCAGGCCTGATGGGCCATATTGGCTCGTGACAGACTTTACTTTACATCACTTACTATTGTTTATCTTGTAAAAAGGCAGTTCAAACTCTCCTTTTTTTTGAATGATCTTGTACAGTTATCTGTAATGTCCAGAAAATAACTTATAGTTGACAGAATAATTATGTTTCAGTGAAATAAAACTGACAAAAAAAATCTTCTAACTTTACAAATAATAAAACAGGAGAAGGAATGCTGCAACTACAACAAGATGACGGGACATAACTACTTCCCACCGAAGGAGGAACTTCTGGAGAAGCGGATTCTGGTGACAACTTTGTGCACTGCCGGGAGGTAAAGTTTGTGGAAGATTTCAAGTCTGATACAAAAACAAGGCCGTAGCAAACGGACGGGGGAGATGACACGGGTACTTAAATTGATAATTTCGTCACAAACTCTGCAATTTTTTTTCTTCAGAATTGCCACTGCTGCAGGCTTTCCTTACGACCACTTCACTCACGTCTTCATTGACGAGGCGGGCCACGCTGTAGAGCCAGAGGCCATTATATCTCTAGCCAACCTCTTGAATCCAAACCACCCCCATGGAGGTCAAGTGGTACTGGCCGGCGACCCCAAGCAACTGGGACCCATCATCAGGTCACCACTGGCCCTGGAACATGGACTAGGTAGGTACCATTTGTAGATTCGTTAAGGTTTTAGCATGATTGAATGTACTATGCAAAAGAATTTAAGGCCTATGAATTCGTTCGGTCGCACCACGAACCTGCGTATCCCGATTTTTGGCCAACTTGAGATTTTGTCGTAAACGTTTTATTTCATCGAAATGCTCATCCTCACAAAGTTTTATTCTGATCTGAGTTCTAATTAAGTAAAAACACTAATAAGACTCTGCAGTGTATCTAAAAAAAACTCTGACATCATTCACCACGAAGTGACGTTTTACAATACGCTGCTTTACACGCTAATTCCCATAGTGCTATGACGTAGGAGCATCGACATGAAAAGTGTGAATTTAGCGTTGAGAACCTACATATCCCCATATCTGGCACACGGCCACTTTTACGCACGTTGTGTGAAATACGATAACCATGATAAAAATCTGTTTCACGAAGTGATGTGTATCTTGGGAACTGAATTTCTTAAAAACTAAGCATCTCAGATGCACACGGATTGCATACAATAAAGTTTAATCCATAATTTACTAGCAAAAATGAAACAGCTTTAATTCTTACACAGAGAGAGTAAAAGGAATGAGCCTACAAGTTATGACCAACTTTAAATCGTTTTTTCCTCAAAACACACAAAAATGGGATACGGTCGGTTCGTGGTGCAACCAATGAATTCCATGTTGGATGGACTGTACATGTATCTATGGAATCCATGGAGCTGTGTGAGAAGGGTGATGAATATGATGATGATGATGACAATGACAATAACGATGATGGTGACAGTGACGGGGATGATGACGATGACAGTGATGATGACGATGACATTCACGATGGCGATGATGGTGATGGCTATGGCATTGACGATGACGACAACAGTAACAATGTAATGACAATGGTGTTGACGTTGACGTTGGCGATGACGATGACAAAGATGGGGACGATTACAACTATTTATGGGAAAAATAAGGATTATGACAATAGGGACAATATGATATGGATGATGGACAAATAGCCACAGCCTTAAATATTATAGCTGTGTGACATCTAAGGACAGTTGATGACATCACTTATTGTTAAAGCAGCTAGCCTACTTTGTTTTATTCAGGGCTATCCTTCCTGGAGCGGCTCATGACAGGGCCTGAGCCCTACCACCGACAGGACGAGGAACCGCATTACGACAGCCGCGTCCTGACCAAGCTGCTGCATAACTATCGCTCCCACCCGGCCATCCTGAAACTGCCCAATCAGATGTTCTATGCAAATGAGCTGGAGGTCCATGCCGACAAAATGGCAAGGGAGTCCTTGTGCAAATGGGAAAAACTACCCAAAAAGGTAATTCCACTTACATTTGTCTTAAATTGTCTTTAATTACTAGAAAATTCCTCAGTGAAATAACACTCGGGGATCACTCACAGTCGATACCGCTTCTTATCACAAATTAAATGCATATGATTTAGGCCAAGCAAAAAAAAACAACAGTTCCTAGTCCCCACCTGCTTCCCTTTTCCCGCCGGCCTCCTTTATTTTAGAAATTCATGCATTTGAAATATATTTTTCGCAAATTTTGTCAATAAATTTTGTTTTTTATTTGTTTCCAACAAAGAAGTGGTGACAGCTCCTTTGGACACAATTTTGTATCCGCAAAAGAGTCAAGAAAATGGAAGAGTACATCCCCCATCTTGGAAAACCCCCAAGGGGGGGGGGGTAAAAAAGAGGGCAGCCTCCTACAGTTTTAAAAAATAGTCTGGATGAGAAACTGTTTTGTGTTATTACTCGGACTTAGCAGAAAATGGTGAATAACTTATTTTTCCTGCTTGATCTATCTGTTTAGAATTTTCCCGTCATATTCCACGGGGTGGAGGGAATTGATGAACGCGAGGCTCGTAGCCCGTCCTTCTTCAATGCTGACGAGATTGGGGTCGTGGTTGAATACACTCAGGACTTGCTGGCAAAGCGAGGGGGCATACGCGTCAAGGAGACGGATATAGGTATCATCTCACCGTACCGTCGCCAGGTGAGACTAAAAAGAATCATTTCATTTTTCGGATGGTGAAAAATTACATGTTTACATTAATTCGATAGAGTTATAGTCCGTCATTTGTAAATTGTTCATTTTGTTCGTTTGAAGCAACAAAAGTGCTCAAAATCTAAAGAAGGGTACTGAACAACTAACCTGATAAAGTTTCAGCTCAGCTTCAGCTGTATATTCTGAGAAAACAGCATTCTAGGATCTCAATTTCAAATCAAAAGTTGCTGAATCATGTTTTGAATTGCGCCTGAATTCAGCGTCCGAGACACGTTCTCGCTGAGCCGAATGCAGCTATGCAATGTCGCGCACTGATCTGACGAATTATAGCAACCGCGCGTGCGTGTGCGTCGTGCCAATGCTTGCGCGCGCTTCGCCGAATAACAAAACGAACTACTAATTTAAATTTTCCTACGGTGCGTCTTAAGAAGCACTGTTGGAAAGGCGTTCTCTCGTTGATTACTTCAAAATGACAGCTTGCCAGAAAGAATAATTTCACAGGGAGTTTAGTCCCCTTACTATCTTTCAACCAAGTATGTTTTTCAACAATAATTACGCCAGCTACTTTTCGGATAGCTGCAAATGATGGACTATAGCTTTAAGCTCTTATAAGTACTTATCCTATTAGCAGTTGTTTTACATTGTACTAGACTGTATCCTCGATGAATCCATAAAACCATAGAGTGCTGGGGCAGTTTGGGGCGGTATACCAGGCAGGGCACTTTGGGGCGGTACAGGAACCAAAGGGTTAAGTTTTCCGATCTGGAAATCAAAAATTGGCACTGACAAAAAAAAATTGTGGTTGAGGGAAAAACCTCACATCCAATATTTAAGAGCAGACACTATGCTCTTCAAAAAAACAGAAGTTTTTTCTCCTAAAGAATTTTCAATTTGTATGTTTTGTTTTAATGCAAAATCTATTTCATTCCGATTTTGGGCGTCTGCAACCCTCTGGGAAAAAGAGCTTTCATTTGCACCCAAATGAATCTGCCCCGCGAGAGCCGAATCATTAGACTATCTGGCTGCCAGTGATTTGCATTTTGTGAAGAAATAATTCAGTAACTAAACGTTGGTGGATTTTTTCATTCGATGTCCGATTCAAAAGTGAATAACTTTTATATTTCAAATTAGGTTTTGCCCTTCACCGACGTATAAACACTGTATGCTCAGTGTGTTACCTCCCGAGTAAAAGTTGGACAAAATCACTCGGGTGGGACTCGAACCAATTTTTTCCAACTTTCACTCGGGAGGTATCACACCGAGTATCCTTGACCCTGCATAATCTGCGCAGGTAACACTTGCAACGCGCGCGCGTTGTCACATACACATTGAATGCAAGTGCATAGAAATAGGACCGCGTAGCTTTAGGGGGTCTGCCGATATACAGTGTTTATACGTCGGTGAAGGGCAAAACCTAATTTGATTTACATCACCCCGACGCAAAATTCCATCTTATGAATGACATTTATATTGCCCGTAAAATAATAATTGAAAAAGAAAAAGAATTAAAATTTTGAGGTGCAATCTGAAAATAGCACAGGAAACACCATCTTTTAAAACGAATCAGCATTTCTCTTTGCAATCCACGTTCACAGGTGCAAAAGATCAAAGGGGTGCTCAAGAAGCACAAGATGAGTGACATCAAGGTCGGTTCAGTGGAGGAGTTTCAAGGTCAAGAGAGATTGGTCATCATCGTCTCCACGGTCCGTAGCACCAAACCAGAACACATCCAGATGGACATTGATTACAAACTGGGATTTCTCAAAAACCCTAAGGTTGGTTTTAATACAAGGTTTCAATAGACCATACCATTAAGCCCCGCCCCCTCATGAACTGTTGACCAATCACAACCCTGACCAAAATTCCAGCGTGCATGCACTTGTGTAAAATGTGTGCAGTTGGAAAAATAAGTGGAGCAGTTGAGACTCGCATGTGTTGCTTCCCCACAGTAAGGGGACCAGGAAGACTTGTTATACAGTGGAATTTAGCTCGAACATTGTGGGATCCACAGAAAATATTCCTAATAGCGATCATTCGGTGAAGCGATTTTAAGCTGCCGGTGCTCCGGTACTCACTTTTCAATAAATGGCGCCCTTCATAACTTCACCCTGCACGCCCTGGTAGTTACTGAAAGACAACTTCGAACACATGCCGACTATTGAATTATGTAATTACACAGTTTTTGAGCTTACTACCTACAGCAATGGGTGGCTTTCCCCTTCTATTCCTTAGAGAAGTAATAGCCACTTGTTACTCTTCTGCTGCCATTTTTTCAACAACAATGTTTGGTTGGTTTTGTACACAAAAATTGGGAGTCAAGGACAAATTTCGGTATAGCTGAATGTTCGGTATAGCGGTGTTCAGTATAGCGACGTTCCACTGTAGATCTTATTCACTAGGAAACCATCTTTGATCATGTTCCCTGAATGCGTTTTATAAATTGTAAACTGTTGAGTGTGATGGTGCCAGACTATTTATGCATTCCAAGTCTCAATTTGAATTCGGTTTTTAAACGTGGCTTAAAACATTAGGGTATGTTTAATCACATCTTTAAATTATTCATCAGAGCAGACTGGTAATAATTTGTAATTTGCTTTATTTTATTGCTTTCATTTCTTTTCGCAAATTCCAAAAATGAAGATTTTACCTCGCTTTCAATTTCATATGGCCGACTCGTGAACAAAGCCTACCGACCAAGAAAAATTGAAGATTTTTGTGATTTCATACGTTTATGAAGAAACTTATTTCAAGTTCAAAACGTGCCAGTTACTTTACCTTATGGGTTCTTTTGAGAAACATTTCATATTTGTTACCAATTCAGTGACGATATGTAGACATTTCTGTGGGTGATTTTTGAACCCCATTGTCACTATATTATTTCAGTAGACAACACTGAGGGAATACAGAGACATTGGCAAACTCAAGTAGCATTTCATCTTAAATTTTGCTTTTATTAATCTTATCCTAGACGGGTTATTTTTGTAAAGAGACTTGCTTTGAAGTCTTTTTCAAGATGCAGTATATTTATTGTTTGCCTTTTATATTGACTACGTACTTTAGCAGATTAGGATTTTGCCAACACTGCAAAATGTTCATTTGGTTTTGGATATTTTCTTAAAGTGGTTGGACCTATGCCTTGAGTTTGATAATGAGATAATATCTCTGGGTAGTGTTTATAAATAATTGTTCATGAATATTTTGTTGGTAATTTATTTTGAATTCAGAGTTCAGGCTTTTGATTCATTCGTAGCCGACTTGTTTTTGATTGATTCTACAGAGGCTGAATGTGGCTGTGACTCGAGCCAAGGCACTGCTGATCCTCGTGGGTAATCCCTACACGCTGAGGAAGGATGAAAACTGGAACATGTGAGTAGTCCTCGTAAAACTCATGAGTTCCTGAAACACTCACAAAACTTAGAGGACCACTTATGATTCTGCCGGCAAAAATTCCAAGGCAGATTTTTTTGAGTTTGAGGGGGAATTGTTTTTTTTATAGATGTGTCATGTTCTGTCAGAGCCAAAAAAAAGTAACCAAAAAGGTATTGTTTTGGGGATGTTCATTTCTTTTTAATAAATTTGTGATCCTAAATATGTATTAAATACACCTTCAAAGTTTTAGACTATACTTAAAGTTATTAATTTTTATGATTTATAGAAGTGTGTAACAGTTCATTAAATGAAAACATTTCAAGAAATTGGCTGCGCCCTTGGTTCCCCCCCCCCCCCCCCCCGGCAGTTACAAAAATGTTCTACAACTAAAACAAGTCCTTTTTTCTCTTGAGAGAGCCCTTCTGCCCTGGCCCCCCCCCCCCCCCACGCCCCGTCAGTAACCTCTTTGGATCCACCCTTGACCAACAGTATTTTTCCAAGGAAAATCTGTTTCCTGTATTTTAAAGAGAATATACAACATTTGCTTTTGCTGTAATTTTCAGAAATGCATGAATTTGGGGCTTAGTATTTTATTGCAAATATTGTTGCGCAGACTTAATTGAAGTTTTAGGTTAGTAGATGATGGAAAAACCAATCGATTGCAAACTAAATAGATAAATTGGGAGCAGTATTTGAAGAAAAAAAACCAGTTTTTTTTTTCAATGCTTGGTTAGCTGACCAGTGTTGGAAATTAATGAAAAATACCACTTTTCTTGAAATGTCACCACACCTGGTGCCATGATTGTACAGGATTCTTTAGACTGTCATTCACTAACAGTCCAGTAAGGTATTTCGTGATAATTTGTTTTTTGTGTTTGCAAATGTTGTATATTCCCTTGAACAATATTTTAATAACTCATTTTAGACCAGATGCCGATAAAAGTATGTTTTTGGAGAGAAGCCCATCATATTATTTTGTGGCAACTTTAATTCAAGATTTTGACTGTCACATTTAAAGGTTCCTGGAGTATTGCCTGGAGAACAAAGCCTACACGGGATGCTTCTTCAAGAACGAGAACGATGAAGTGGAGGACACCATTGAGAAGTTTGAGAAACTGAAGATAACATCCGAGTTGGGTAAGAAGAAGAAGATCATATCCTATGGACAGCAGTGACAGCACCAGACTCAACAATTAGGGGGGCAAGTGGGGGGGGGGGGACTGGTTATCATTTTGTGGGTGCTGTTCAAGGGCCATTTCCGAGGGTTTGAACAGTGAAGTATTGACTTTGAGTCCCTCGATTTTTGTTTTTGCTTGTCTTTTACCTTAAATGTTTCCTTATTTCTCTTGTTTTTAATTTTCTTGAGGGGGGTGCAAATGTGTAACTGATGGCTTGCGTGGGAGATCCTCAACGTTTTAATTTATTTCCTGAAAATTATATAAAAAAAGATTGTTTGGGAGGGGGGCAGGGGAAAGGGGGAGGAAGGGGGCAGGGGGAAGGGGGGGGGGGGGGGGGGGGGGGAGTAGCCCTGTTGGCGTGCGCAACCCCCCCCCCCCCCCCCCAAATCCGCCAATGTGAATGAGGAGAAAATCATTGCTGCAACAAAGCATATTCAGGGACACAAGATTTGTGATGCCTAGGTTGGGTTTGCCATTACTAGCAATATTGCCTTTCTCTTTGTTATCCTTCATCACACAGTGGACAAGCCAGTGGATGAGCGATTGGGCGTGAGTGCAGAAACTGAGCAGCATGATCCCGAGTGGCGCAGTGAGGATTACTAATGAAAATCAAGGAGAGAGCGGACAGGTTCCAGACTAAGTGATAACAGAAACCAAGAGCAAGTTTAGGCGAGAACCATGGTTAACCATCTTTCAATTAACGTCACTCAAATGTAGGATGGTTGGACTACGCTAGTCTACTATTTGGAACCGCAGCATAAGGCACAGTTGCATCACTGGTTACCAGTAGCCGTGCACATCATAATGAACAGCAGGGAGCCAGGACCCAGAAATTGTGTGATGACGCTTTTGACCAGTGTTTGACTAGACGTGTTCCCCAGTTGCTAATAGTGCGCAGGCGTAAAAAGATGCGTCACCGATCAACCACTATGGTCGTCTCATGGTCCTTGCTCAAACTTACTCTATGCTTCAAGACGCTCTGCGGATTTAGGTTTAATTTTTTTTTTTATTACATGTATGCATGCTGGGGAACATTTGGCTTTATTTTTTAAACAGCTTCTACTATCAGTGCACATTTTTAATACCAAAGTGCAGTTTTCTCGGTCAGTATTATTTGGTAAAACTTGATAATGACTTTCTTGTTCTCTATTGATAAGAATACATTTAATTGGATTTAACTGGATTTAACTTTCAGGATGTTATTGTTGCAATTAAACTGTATTTTTATATTTGTATTGAAGTTGTGATATGGTGCTATCACATGGTGCTACCGCAAACCTATCTTGTCTTAACATCTTTCCACCGTGCAAACCTTCAAACCTCATCATATTGTGCTATTGTTAAAGTCTTCTGGAGATGGTCACAGGTTTTGGTTTGAAATGTAAAGTGTTAACCACTATGTCTTCTGAGAACTTTGTACAAGTCATAAGAGGTACATGTATATAAGTTCTCCACATGGTGTTACTAAAACCAGTCACGGGAAAGGTCAGTTCATATTTCATGCGAATGTGAAGTGAATTTGACGTCACGAAACATTCACTGCGAAATTCTCCCAGAGTTGAAATGTGACTTTATAGTGCGAAAATTTGCCATGACGTCACAAAATTTGCATTCAGATTCGCTTTCGTGCTGAGTATGAGCTGGCCTTAACAATGTAAAATATTCGGAAAATTAAAATGAAAACAATTTTATACTGATAAATATACATGTATACGAATATTGCAATATTAACTGATATGCTGCTTGCAATACTTACCGGTGCTGATGTGTACCTTGAAGATTTGAAAATGCAAAACTGCAATAATTTTAAGAAGAAAAAAATGTTATATTTATTCAATATAAAATAGTTTTTATTATGTTTTTAATGATGAACTAAGTATTTTACAAAAGCAGCTTTGAGTTATGCCAGTATATTCACTGATATCATTTACAGCAAGCAGGGTTTAATACAAAAATCATTTATGTAGTTTTTAAAATCAATTTTGAATAGATTTTATTTAGGGAATAAATATGTGCTTGGCCAGTTTAAACAAGTACGTTTAATACCGGCTAGGGTCCTGGATGCGGCAGATGATTCATAAATACCTTTTTCGTTCAAAAAGTCAAAAATTCAAAACATTTCCAATGATTTTGTTCAACAATTTTACTTCATATTTTGTGAAGCATCCATCTGGCCATGTCTAAGGTATGTGCCTCAGGCGTAATGCTAAAGATCTCCTTATATGGAGATTGGATAGCGCGTGGCGTGTACTGCGCGATGTGGCGCAGAATGCAGCTGTGTTTTACCAGTGGTTTAAAACCACCCACTTGACTGGCTCTCGACCAGTAGGAATGGGTAAACTTTCTTTGGTATTTATGAATGTCTCTTAAAGATGAAGTATTTAAAGCAGCTTTGAGCTTTAACAATTTACTCATTGGCATTATAAAAAGATACTTGGGCTATAAAAAAAGTCTAATTCTTTCTTTTTTGGGTGTTATCAGGCTTATTTGTTTTGAGATTGTGCATTACTCTCTTTTTTTTCAAGTCTTTGATGAACTCCTTTTTCATTATGAAATATTTCTTGTTTCAGTTGTGTTCTGTCAATTGGACAAAAACTAATGCTAATTATTTCAATTGAATTGTTAATGTAGCTTAAATAGTCAAGCTCATTTAAAATGAGACCGAGTCTTATATTTAATGAAATTTTTTTATGGCATGGCAATTAAATTTAATTTTTCACGAGAGGAGGTCTGTTTTTGGGTATGTGTATTTTTGTTTTTAATTTTACTTCAGCCACCATTTTACTTTTTGTACATTTTTCTTCTTTTTATGAGGATTTTTTTTTTGGGGGGGGGGGAATTTGAAGTCAAATTTGTGGAAGCAATTCTACTCTGTACAACATATTTCCCTTGGCCGACAAATTGTCGTTGTCTGGAACAGATATATCAATACGTTCTTCCCAAATCGGATGGATTTGAAAAGGGGGATTCACGTAAATGAGTGCATTGATAGTAATAATACTAAAGGAAATGGAATCTTAGGGAGACATCTCAAAAGGTTATGCACAAAAACAATTCGAACTTTAGACCCCTACCCCCATTTCACCCCCGCGAATTTCATGGGCGGCATGGGTGGCTTGTACGTAAAGCGCTCGCCTCTCACCAAGGTGACCACGGTTCGATTCCTGGCCGCGGATCACATGTGAGTAGAGTTGAGCGTTGGTTCACTCCTGTGCCACGAGGGTTTTTCTCCGGGCCCTCCGGTTTTCCTTCCTCCGGAAAAATCAAACACTTTCGATCTCAGGCTGTGCTCCGTGGTCATATATGGGTTGATGTGGCCGGCAGCCATAGGCGCCTTTACGTGCCAGCGTCCCGACCACGTTGTAGCTGCGTCCTCCGCAATTCAGCATACCAGCTGCGATTAAGGATGTTTAGCCTCCCTAATTATTAATTATTTTGCGCCACCAGCAATCGGTCTAGCCTATATTTGCGATGATCAGTTAATGTTTTTTATCACTACTCCCCCATGTGTCATAATAAATACAATTATGCAGAGTGATGATAACAGGGTAAGGGTTTCGGATAATTATTTAATAAGTACAATTTTTTGTGATGCTTCAAACCTTCAAGTCTTTTTTTCTCACTGGTTTTTTTTTTGAGGAAGTCAAGAGACATTTAATGTCGTACAACGATTGCATTTACTTTCTTTCAATTCACGACTGTGAGTTCCTTAAAAGCAAACCAAGTAGCCGATGTTATGTACCCCTTTCAAATTTGATTACTATTAAGGGAATAAATGTGTGCTCGAGAGGTTTTAATCACTCTGTTTAAGACCGCTTAGAGTCTGGGTGCTGATGATTACCTGAGCCGGAGGCGAGGGTAATTATCAGCACCCATTGAATGCTCCTGAATGCCGTTGAAGGCTTTTGTATGAAACGCGACTGCGCGCGGGAACGATACTGAGTGCTAATTGGAGGGAAGTTCAATACGTCATTACAACGGGGAAAGTTAACGCGTGAATAGATTGACGTACGCGTAAAAGGAAAATACCAAACAATAAAACAAAACAAGAACGGGTTTTGACAAACAGAGTGATTAATACCGACCGAGCACATATTTAGTCCCATTCATAAATACCTTTTCGGTCAAAAATATATAATATTTCGGTCAAAAAATCCCGATTTTGTTCAACAAGTTCACTTCATGCTTTTTTAAACATCCCTCTAGCTAACTAATGGAGTGTTCAGCTGGCGATTGAGATGTAAATCTCCCTTTTAATCTCCCTTTTATGGAGATTGACGCGCGCGTGGCATGTTCTGTGCGTTGTCGCGCAGAACGCACCTGGGGCGTTGCGTTTTGAATTTAGAACTATAAAATTCTGACTCACTGGTAGTGTTGTGCATGCCTAGCCTACGTGAGGACCGACTGAGAACGTTCAACCAATAAAACGGTAAGAGGCACTGGATTTTTAGGAGTCCACACTTTATGTGACAATGGTAGCCATGTCTTTATCATCCGTTTAAAACTGGCCACGTGACGGGCTCTCGACCAATAGAAATGGCTAAACTGTCTGAGGTATTTATGAATTTCTATTTAAATTAAAAAACGTATTAGCCAGTGATGACTTTTGCAAGTAGGCCTAATCGTCAAAATTCACTGGGTTCATTTTTTTTCTCCCCCCTATTTTCTGTGAGATTAAATTGGAGGATGTTTCTCAAATTTATGGAAGAGGTTGATTAAACTGGGCACTAGAACTCCTTTTTTTAATATTGACTTTGATCGGTCGTACTAAAGTCAAAATTGGGGGGGGGGGGATCAGTTCTACTAGCTTCCCAATACTGGGTCTATATTTACCCTAAATCTTCGCGTGATTACAATTGATATTAACAGGAAAACGTTTTCTAATCAATCACCTCTACCCCCAGAAAAAAAACTGAGGCTATTGCCGGCCGGCAGCAACCCACGTGTCTAGTCTATTATGCAAAGTGCTCAGAGTACTTCAGCCACCTCCAATGACGCGCGCATTTTAGAACCCCAGCGCACACACATTAGTGTAGCCCTCCGCCAAAAAGTCAGATGAAAATAGAACCAACATTTGAGATGGACCGAAATCCATCAAGACGACGATGCGAAATATCAGTCACGCGTATTGCTATTTCAACCTTTCTTTCACTCTCGCGATCTTCATTTATAAAGTTCCTAAATCACACCTTTTTTTTTTACTGAACAAATACTCCGCCCGTACTGCTCCGCCAGGCCAGTCGGAAATGGTTTGGGAATTCCCCGATTACTCTTGTCGACGGGTACCCAGGCGTTGGAGTGTGTCATGTGTGCGAACCACTCGATTGTGTACCAGATGGAAATGGTGTGGGTGGGAAACACGTAAACGGAGTAATGAGAAATTCCACAAGGGGCTAGGGCTGACGTGTTGTAATACTCGGATAGTCAGGCGATTCTCACGATTTGTTGGCCACTACAATTCATTCTTCTTCATTCAAAGTAGAGTATTCTATAGCATGCAGTTTTAGAAGTACCCTGCCAGAACTGAAGTAGCGTTTCACGAGATTGTATCCTCGACCCTCCATATTCTGCGCAGGTAACGTCGCTTGCAACGCGCACGTGTTGTCACATAATAAATATTGAAGGTGAGTACGTATAAAAAGGACCGCGTAGATATCAATCATCCTGTAAAATTAAATGCTTATCACATTCTAATTCGATAAGCATTAGAGCTGGAGTTACTCAAGCTATGAATAGGTAATCATTGTTGTTACTGTCTAAAGAGCCGTCAATTCATTTTCATATGTCATTTGTACGGCACGGGGTCACAGTTGTGTGCTATGTTGACTTCAGAATTGTTTGAATGTGCAATTAATGGTCCTCTCCATTTTTATTGCATTGGTTTATTTTTGGTGTGAGTTTAGTGATCTGTGTACGTGGTGTATATTGCACTATATATTGGTTTTATTGCGGTTTTATGTAATGTCATTGTTCAGAATTAAATGCCAGTGGAAGCTGAATTTCTATACTTTTTAGTGTGGATAATAAACTTGAATTTGATTTGATTGGATTGGATTTGTCCCAAAACAATACAACAAATAGATGGCACCTGAAACGACCAGTCCAAACCGCTTCAGTACTGCATTAATCAACTATGTCAAAAGAAACATTTACTACTAGCACAGGAATACAACTTAAGGACAATTGCAATGAACACATGGCAACCGATGAAAACTGGTGTGCAAATGAATAGATGTTTTTGTTGGATGACATCGGCCCGCCTCTAGCTTGCGTAACTCCAGCTGACATGCTCATCAGGAATTCCGGAAAGAATGTTGCAACCTGACGCTACTTCAGCGGTTGTGTACAAAGTCTATGGAGAGTCAAGACAATTTTCTAAGTATTACCTAACAAAATTGGAAATATTTCTCAGTCCCAGATTCATGTCTTATCGTCATTTTTGTGCACTTTTACTGACCTTCATTGAGATGAAGAAAAAGCGGCAACAGGTTGCAACATTCTTTCCGGAATTTGACATGTTACATGTCAAATGCCTGATGATGAGCGTGTCAGCTGTAGTTACTCATTTTAAAGCTCCACATTTTCATTCTTTTTGTTTTTCTTTTTCTTCAGGTAAGGTTTCACATGAATTTTGTCTCACAGATTGCCAAATAGCAGTTTTTACATTGTGTCATACTCATACTCATAGAAATAACATCACTCGCCAAAAAAATAAATAAATAAATAAATCACCAAAACACCTGGCTCAGCTTTGTTTAATGTCGGAAAATCCCAACCCGATTTACACCTGCAGCATTTGAATGATACATCAACTCAAAAGTATTTCCACATTGGTTTTTTTTCATTGATTTTTATAGTGTCTTTGAAAGCATTCGGCCTTTATGGTACTATTAGTGCTGGACTAGACCCCAGAACCTGGCGTCAATAACAATGCCACGCATAACTGTGTAATACAAACTTTCGACGTGTTTAAAATTGTCTACGTGTACGACATTTGTCCTTTGATATTAAGTATTATATAACTGACATACAGATCCTTTTCATTTGATTGGTGGGACTCACGTCACGTGACATATTCGATATTGCTCCCATTCACGCAGGGGCTCAAAAAGTCCCATTCTCCCATGGGGAATGGGAAATACTATTGAACAGTTAGGATCATTCTTGATCCATGACGTGGTATTTGTGTGCAAATGCATGCTGGTGTGGGCATTGAGCGTTGCGCGTAGCGCGTATTGTGTTAAAAAAGCCAGCCCTACAGAGTTGGGTGCAAACATTTTCATGAAGGAGTGGTTTGGAAGAGAGAAATACATTTTCCACCAATTTTATTTGAAATAAAAATTCAGATATATCAAATGACAAGGATCTATGTCAGTTATATAAAACAAATATTGAGTGGCTTTAAATTGTGAAATGGGAGGAATATTATTGCTCGGTAAAATCTGGACTTTTCCAGTTCACTCGGCTTCGACTCATGAAATGGGAAAGTCCAGACTTTACCTTGAGATAATATTCAACCCATTTCACTATGAGCCACTAATATTTGTATATTTATTGTGAGGAATACATTCAGTGAATACAGCTAATTGCGCATTGATTTCGATACAGCATGAAACAGCCGTCGATCGATTGGGTGAAAAAGAACCGTCTAATCGTATGCGGGCATGCGTTCTGCAGCGGACTGCAGAGCTAACAGGTACTTGTCGGGCTCCTATCATTTTGCGCGTACAACTAGTCAGTTACCTGAGACTAGGGTGATCACAAAATGTTGCAAACGTTCGGACCCGCCTCCGTAATTCCCTGTCCAAAAAGTTGAATTAGTTTGTAATGCCAACTATGTTACGTTGATTGGAATATTCACTGTATTCTTCACGTGTAAGTACTCATATAGGACAAATGTTGTACATTTAGCAAATTTTGAACACCTTGAAAGTTTTTATTACACAGTTACGCGTGGTGTAATTGACACCACGCGCGGGTCTAGTGCTGGACAAGTTTACATTTGGTCTGGAGATGGTTACAAGCAGATACGTGTCCGAAATCACCAGAAGGACTAATTTTATTAGAAATTTTGATTTTGATCTCAGCCTGGTAACAAAGCCACTATAAAAATATTAAATTGGATTTATAAACTATTGTGTTTCCTGTTATAGGCTGAGAATTACTTAGATTAGATTTATTTCCAGTGGGCGAGGGGCCCATTCTTTGCCGCAATGCCAAGGACCAGGAAAACACCCGCTCAGAAACTTGCAGTTGGGAAGGCTTTCCTGAAGTACCTGGAGGAGACGAAGCAAGGTGCCGATTTTGGGAAATCGGAGCTCACCGAAATCTTCAATAATGACTACAGGCCGTCCCATCCAGCAATCTGCAGAGGTACACAGTCGTCATAAAGGCCGGTTCATACTCGGCGCGAAAGTGAACGCAAACACAAATTTGAGACGTCAGGGCAAGTTTTCACAAAGGTTTTCACGAATTCGCAAAGGTTGAACACATTTCAACTCTGGCAAATTTCACAGCGAATACTACATGATGTCCAATTCACATCGTATTCCAATGAAGTATGAACCGGCCATAACTCTTAACAAAAATAGTAGCTTTTGTGAAGACATTTTTTCCTGTTCAATAAGAGGCAACCAGACATGTCCACTTGACCTTTTGGAGAATCAAATCCAAATTTGCATTTTGCAAAATGCTACTTAAAAAAAAATAAGGTAAAACAAGAAAGAGGTTTGACAATCTGTTTAATAGAATGTCAATGGCTATACTCAAGGGCGCAATCGCTTCTCAAAAGTGTGTGGGGGGAGGGGACATACCTTGATCAGCAGTAATTCGAGAGCGAGACACGAAGCCCTAACAGAGTGGGGTCCGGGGCCCGGTCATGAGGACCCCTAAGCATTTTGGATTCTAAATCCTCTATAGTGCGATCTGATGAGGCAATTGCTGACCACTAACCAATTTTTTTGAGCAACAGATCATCATTTAAATATCATTTTTCGAGTTTGAAGTCGTTGAATCAGTTATACTTAGCTGCAGAGTAATATGTAGGCTAAAATGTATATTCGGGGACGGAAAAAGTGGGGGGGGGGCCAACAATATCACATCTCCCTCACTTTAAAAAGTCGGGGGGGGGGGGGGAGGGGGACTAACCCCTACAGATGGACGGGTGTGGGGTTGTTATACGCATGTATATGGTGTAAATCGAGGACACACATGTGAAAAACCCTTTTCTAATTGAGGACAGGAGTCCAATCGAGATCTTCCTTAATTGGGAAATGTTTACAAAACCAATGGGAGCTGTTAAAGTATGAATAATAGGAAATCTTGATTTACATCATATACACCCATACCGTGTGTGTGTGTGTGTTAATTAGCTGTTCACGAGTTTATCATGCGTGGTTAAGTTGCAGACAATTTTTTTTGCAGATTGCCCATTGTAGCATCATGCTAATTGTGGAATTTTGAACAAAAATCTCTGGAATCTTCCCACTATGAAGTTAACAGTTTGTTGACAATTATATATGGAATTTGCTCAGAATCCTGATATACAGCGGGCCTATTGCCGAAAAACTTGTCCTCAATTATTCTGGATAATAATTTTGTTGTGGGGGGATATTCTGCTGAGAACACTTCTTGATTTTAACCTTTCTTATTGAAGACTTATTGGAGAGTATCCTTTCATAATACTTTTCCACATGATTTTTTGGTTGAAGATTTATTGGTGAGTGGTGTTTCTGTTGCGTTAATGCCTGAATAGGCTTCTGCAAGGTACCCATACAGATACAGATAATGTGCCAACCATAGACCTAGTTAAGTAGAATAGCAAAGTAAAAACACTCTCTTTAATTGTGGCTGAAAGTAACAAGAATTATTCATTATTCATTTGATTGATTAAGTATTTTTAATGAATCTAATTTGTACAATACACCGTAGTACAAAATGACTGGCACATTACACCATACTGTTAGATCAATATTTTTGTGCAATTAGGCAGTACTAATAACCATCGGACCTTTTGGTTTTGTCTTAGGATTCAATTGTTCCGCCGTCCTTTTTACTCTGCGGATTAATGGCATGGTGAAGTATAAGAATGAACAAGTTCGTGTCACTCCCGGCTATCTCGCCAGGGACCAGTACTCAACACTCAGGCTGCATGAATTGGGTGTGTCCAATAAGGGGGCTTCGTCACGTCACCCCTTCTACTGTGCTGACTGTGACGTGAAAGGCAATTCTTTGAAGTCTTTCCGGGGCCACCTGATGGGAAAGAAGCACCTTCAGCAGATGAGCTTGAAGTATTTGAAGGATAGAAGGTAAGACACACAAACAAACAAACACAACATGTTTAAGGTAAATTGGGCCTTCTTGTGTTTCCAATTTAGGAATTAAAACAAAATTTTACAAACTAAAGAACAAAAATTGACACAACAATATCGAACATTTTTGTGATATTTTGTTGGAAATAGGAAATAATAATCAAATCCCTGAACATCACATCGTAAAAATAAAGGCTGTTATTGATATGCAATTATTTCCTTTTATCTGAGAATGCATACTTTGAAAATTGTGAATGATTTTTTGGTTGAAGTTTTATGAGTGAACGGTGTTTCCTTACTTTTGTTTTACAACACAAAAGAAAAGTCAAATCTGCTTTTGAACAAGAGCAGCTTTCATAACTTCAGTTGTATGCTAATCGATGGGCCATGATGCCCTATCTCTGGCCTGTTGGTACTTGTCTCAAGGGTGGGTCTAGAGAGGTTTAACTGCAGGGGGGGGGGGGGGGGGGCGGGGGGAGAAGGGCTCGCTCATTGAAAAATGGCTTATTTGAGAAAAGTGTGGTCACTCTGGCAGGGGGGGGGGGGGTCCTCTGCCCCTGGATCTGCCACAGTGTCAACCAACTCCAAGATATTTCACTCACCATACTCGTTGTGAATGTGACAATGGTGTCTTTGCAGGGAGGTGATGATAAGTAATCGGAATAGCGTCAAAGTGACCAGTGATTACGACGACAGCGATGGAACAATATCATTCAGCATGAACATCGACTCCACTCATACCTTCCTTCTTAAGGTTGCCAACACTAGGTATGTCATGAAAACACTACTTCTACACTTTTTTTAATTGAATATATAAGAGGTGGATCCAGTTTGATAGAAATTTAATGCAGGCAGACAGTAGAAAAGAAACGCTGCAGCCGATGAGTTTGAATTGTCTTCCTGCATTTTTATCAACTTGGATATCTGTCTCTGAGAGCTTTGCGTAGTGAGTGGCCGCCATCATGGGGCAAGTTCGCGCAAGAACTATTGTTGACCATTGGGTAACCATAGTTCAACTAAAGTTAGGCTTAACTCTGTCTAGTCGACGATGGTTGACTACGCTAGTCGACTTTTTGGAACCAACCTACTGGGGCTGGTTGCATCGCTGGTAACCAATAGCCACGCGTATCATAACGTATAAGAGGGAGCCAGGATCCAGAAGTTTTGTGATTAACATTTTGACCAGCGTTTGACTATAAACGTTCGCACGTTGCTATTAGTGCGCAGGCGTAAGGTACACCACAAATCAATCGCTAGTCGACTTATGGTCCTTGCCCGAACTTGGCCTTTGCTACAGCTGTGCGATCCTGTTATACTGTGCCAATGTCCTGCCGCGATCTCGGTTATGTAATCGCTTCGATCACGAATCATATCCACTTATCAACAAGTCAGTCACAGATAAGGAAACAAGTTTAGACATTTGAATGACGAGCTTTATTCCTCTGCAAAAGTTAATTACATTTAAGGCATTACATTTATAGAGCACTTTCGTTTTGATCATCATCTAGAATGGAAAATTTCTAGTAATAGCTTACTAATTCAACTCCTCCAATCAACAGTGACACTGCTCAGGTTGGCTTTCTTGCCTGCTTGATACTGAAGGTTCAGCCAGGAATCACCTTGCATGATCTACCAGGGGATTTAATTCTACAGCCTGGTGAGTGTCCACTTTTCAACATTTCTTTATCATTATTTTCTGAAAAACAAACTAGATGTATGCAGGATCTTTTAGGGTTGGAAGTTGTTTATTGAGTCTTTGATAAGGTTAAAAAAGCTCTGTGGACAGTGATCAATTAAAGTGCCATATGATTTGAAAGTGACTTTTAAGGACTGATTGTTTATTTCATTTTCATTACAGGAACGCAGTGCAGCATTAAAGTTCTTGTCAAGGCTGATTGCATCGGAGTTCTGCAAAGCCCGCTTCTTATGGCCTTCAAAACTTCCAACGACACCACCGTAAATCATTTAATTTATTATAAATTGACAAAAATACCTTTTGCAGGTATGCGCAAGTATGATTTTTGCAAGTATGTCAAAAATTTGGAATTTGTTCCAAAATTTTATAAAGTTCACCAAATTTGTCCTTTTCAAAAACCTTAAATACTCTGAAATGAAGACCTTCAGATTAAATTTAAAAAAAGTTTACATCTCTAAATCTGATTAATAAAGTTCACCAAATGTTCCCTTTTCAGACATCCAAAACCTTCTCAATTTGCCAGAATGATACTATAATTTCAACTTATTTACATCCCAAACGAAAGATTCTCGGTCAAACTTCAGTACTTCAACAATATTTTTGTGCAGGTTTTCCAGATTTTGCGATTCATGAAAATTGAAGTCAAAGGGGAGATAGCCGATGATTTGCCCCCTACCATACCCTACCAGCGCCCTTCACGGAAGTCACTGAGGCAGGCAAAGGGGGAGATTGTCGATGGAGTCCCACCGTTACAGTAAGCGTATTGCACTTATGTGTATCTCCATATCGGAATCCCAAGCTTTTTGAAATTTTGACATTTTCTGATGGTTCACCATTATTATCTGAGCAAAAAAAAAAACCACACAAGATTTGCAGTGTCAAATTGTATACTTCAAGTCCATTCTTTAATAGTTATAGTCAAGGACGTCAATTGATTTTGAAAAGTTGGGGAATACCTTGATCAGATCTAATGCGAGTGCGAAGCGCAGAGCCCTAACGGCGTGGGGTTCGGGATTCTGCATTCTAGACGCTCTGTGGTGGGATCTGAGGCAATTTATGACCACTTATTTTGAGCAGAAGATCATCATTTAAACATCATTTCCGAGTTTGAAGTCATTGAAACAGCCATTCTGAGCTATAAAATCAAATGTAGGCTACAATTTTTATTTGTGGACAAAAAAGTGAGGGAGACAAACGATATGATACTGCATTCTAGACGCTCTGTGGTGGGGGGCAGACATGCTTGCTTATACTGCTCGAGTAATTGAACAAATATGACCATATATCTGTTGGGGGGACAACAAATGTTGCCATGACAACCCCTCCCCTCCCCCTTCTGAAGCCTCTCCTTCCACATCACCTAATGCAACATGTGTTGAACATATCAGCTTGTTATTATCAAAGATGACTAAGTTTTTATCTGCCTAGTATGATCATATATCGAGTTGGGGGTAAGTTTTGCCATCCCCCTCCTTCCACCATTTGTACTTGCACCACCTATTCAACATGTATTGAAGATATCTTCTTCATAGTATTAAATATGGTTAATCTTTTATCCGCCTTACTCTACTCAGAACCAAGAACAGCGTACTGAAAATGAGGGACCTAGATATGTACCATGTGCCAAGACACCTGCGCTATCAGATCAACAGCAAAGATGAAGTGGAGGATGTCAAGTATGTAGATTTTTAAAAAATCAACAAGGAAATGTCTGGGTGTAATATAATGTGATGTGAAGTTAGTTCAGTTAAAAGAAATTGATACATTTTTTTAAAAACTTGTTTAATACCCTGTCAATTATGTTGATCCTTTCAATACCAAAGACTGTGGAGGATGTCAGTTCGTGAAACCTAAAATATCCCGGTTCTGTAAATACGCGCGTGTGCGCGTGAGTATCAGTTCGTGGTGGTGACGGTGACAATGTGTCCTGTGACGTCATGCTGACAGGCAACCGAAGGGGAGCCCAAACATTTAAGCTTGTCTTGCATGTTATTTAGCCAACATTAAACACTATATGTAAACGTTTTAAAACTATGCATATTTCAGGAAATGTACATGCAGTTTAGAAGACAACCATTTGCTAAAACTTGGCACCATGTGACTGTAACATCCAATTTGTAAACAAATTGTCTCTACTTTTGTATACTTCTGTGTGACATAAGATTGGAGTAGCACATTTTGGCAATTGTTTGTCCACTTTCAGGAACCACATTGAAGTGCCTCTTTGCTGGGAGAATTACGCTCCCAAACTGTCCAAGCTCTTACACATTGAAGAGTGTCAGATGGAGGTGGACATCCGGCGGTATGACATGCACGGTGTGACCCTGAAGCGAGAAGGACCCAAGTTCCTGAAACTGAGAGTGAGCTACTAAAAATATGGGACCTTATGGTTGCAATTTGGGCAATTCGATATCACAATGCAGTGCGCCACCAAGAGTTTGCCATGGAGTCCTTTTTCAATTTTACGGTTAACAAAACATATGGCCCATTTGAATGAGTGTCAGTATAGACAACTTGAGCTATCGGGATTAAATTTGTTATAGATTGGGGGATATAGCGTTCTGCCGCCTTACAAAATCACCATATTGATAAAAGCAAAGAAAATGGCAAACAAATAAATCATGTGAATTTGTCGACCATCTCCCACAATGCACTCACAGTGGCAAACTCTTTTTGGCGCACTGCATTGCACTGCATTGTGTGTTGTGTGTGTGTATGTGTGTGTAGCAGTTATCGCGTAGCTGACATTGTCAGTTCCGCTTCTGCCGTTTCGACTATTCTTCCAGTCAGCTCCGTCCATTCCTCCTTGGACAGAAGTCTTAGGTAGTCCAACCCAGCTGTGTTGTGTAGACGCTTGCGTACTGTCTTGAGGTCTCGGTCGAGCACCACTGGTAGAGTGATACGAGGGCGTCCTCGCCAGATGTCTACCCCAGGTTCTACGAATAGTTGAGCAGGTACATCTCGCGGGAGCCGCAAGACATGTCCGAAGAGTCGCAAGCGCAGGCGCGGTTCTACAGGGGGGGGGGGGGACTAGGGGGGGGGGGCTGTAGCCTAGCCAAAATAAATTTAAAAAAAAAATTAAAAAATTGCATTTAATAGCAAAAAGAAGGATTGTGATGTACATGCGAACGATCTCCCCCTAAAGAAATAGTCTTGACAAGGGTGCATTTTAATATAGTGTGAATGATTTAGGATTTTATTGGCGCTCCCCATTGAAAATATGGCATGAGCCCCCCCCCCCCTCCCCCCTCCCCCCCCCCCTCCCCCCCCCCCCCCCCCCCCCCCCCCCCCCCCCCCCCCCCCCCCCCCCCCCCCCCCCCCCCCCACCTATTGATTTTCGGAGGCCTAAGTGTCTGGAAAAAAAAATCGGTCAATATTTGAGCACGCCTCCCTGAACAAATTCTGGATCCACCGTGCTAGCCCCCCTAAAATATTGGTTCTAGAACCGCGCCTGCGCCAGCGTGCTTTGAGGACCTTGATGTGGACCAGTCCACTTTTGCAGCGAAGGTAGAGTGCTTTGTTGGAGATTCTATGTGGCCACCGAATACCAATGAGCTGTCGTAACTGGCTTCGGTGGAATGAGTCAAGTTGGTCGGTTTGTTTTTGGGTGAGGCCCCAGGTCCCCATGTTGTACAGTAATATGGGGAGCACAAATGCGTTGCAGAGGCGGATACGAAGACTCTCACTCACGTGGTGACGCCGCAACCAAAGTGTCTTCATCTGGTGGAAAGCTACAGTAGCTAACTGCTTACGACGTGCGACGTCCTCGCCGTCTCCCAACAGAGAGCCAAGCTTCTTCGTCATGCGCCATTCCTCTTCTTCGCGGCAATCTAGACGCTTCACCGATGTGTACTCAGTTTTGGTCGGATTCACTATAAGAAACCATTCGAGCAGACTCCCTGGTGCAACTTGTTCCACCCTGTCGATGAGTTCTTTTGAGTCGCTTACGAAATCTACATCATCTGCATATGTCACATCCAGAGGAAGACAACCGTCCCGGTTGCTTTGTGTTTGCAGCTTTTGACGAAGGTCACGAAGAGCCGCTTCAAGGTATATCACAAACAACACTGGAGAAAGACTGTCTCCCTGAGGTGTGCCGATGGTGGTTTCAAAAGGAGCGCAGGTACCTCTCCGCAGTCGTGGCTCCAACGATGTTTCTGATAGGAGTAGTCTAATAATGCGCAATTCCGACTCATCAAGAAACGTCTCGAGTACTTCCATCAGCTGGTGTCTTCTGATGGTATCGAAGGCACGACTCATATCGATCCCAAGAATCTCTGCGCTTTTCTTGCAGCGTTGGGTCTTGGCGCACAGCCATCGGTAGCCAAAGACGACATCTGCTGTTCCACGACCTTGTCGAAATCCGCTTTGACCAGGGGCAAGAAATGCGTCCACCCTCCCGTAAATGCGTTTGAGGACCAAAAGAGAAAGTGTCTTTCGTAGTGCCGTCAGCAGGACGATAGGTATCAGGCTAGACAGTTGGCCTTTGGGTTTACCGGGTTTCTGAAGGAGAATGAGGATGTGTGTTGTGTTGCTATCATTTATTTGGACAGCCAGATTTTATATATAGGTCAGTCCATAAATTTGGGGTCCACGTTTTTTCTCTGTTCCTGTTACATATCTGACATCTTTGATTTGATAATTCTGATGCACTCCTTAATGCGGTCGTCCTCCAAGAGTGATTATGAATAGTAAACTACCTACCCAACAGATTAAACATTTGTTAAAAGTCATTCTTATTTAACTTGAATGGCAAATTAAAAAGTGTATGAAGGTAACAGGTACAGAAAAGATGTCACTTTGGACCCGAAATGTATAGAATGACCCGTATGGATGTTCTTTATAGGTTGGGCTGTGTAGGTTAAAAGTGCAAGTTCAGTTCAAGACCAAATTTAGGCCAGTTTTATCTGTGGACCTTTTAGGAACTGGAATATTTAGTTTCAGTTCCTAGAGGAGTGTGCGAATTCAAAATGTCTAAGCAAAGATCCTTGTGAAAATGCTTCCATGCTGCATAATGATCCCTCCCTTACCAAACTTGACTGCAGTTATTTAGCATTCCTTTAGCATGCAATTAACATGCGAATGCTATGAGAACTGCCATTTGATAGCATTCACAAAAAGCCATGTCTGTACTTCCTAAAGCATTTTTCATAGCATTCCTTGAGGATAGCAATCAGATAGCAGTTTTATAGCATGTCAGAAGCCCGAAATATGTAAATGAGCTATAGCATTCGCATGCTATGGAGAATGCTATTTAGGCATGCAAACGTGAATGCTATAACAGCATTCACATGCTTTGAGAATAGCATTCGCATGCTATATGAAATAGCATTCGCATGCTATGAGAATAGCATTCGCATGCTATGAGAATAGCATTCGCATGCTATGATGCATGCTATGTGAATGCTATCATGACTGCTATATCGTGACATGGACAGGGGCATCCTACAACATACATTTTCAATGTCACAATTTATACCAAAAATTACTTGTGTTATATCAGCTTTAATAATTTCATGTATTGAACCATATTTAACACAGCTAACACCATTTTGAAATTTAATAGACCTATGTATACAGACTGTGATCAAAATATATGAAATAAGAAAATTGTTCTTTAAGACTTTATCAGCCTCAGAATTGCTGTACAAACATGGGGACACTCTTTGTTTTTGTTTAACATTGTCATGCTTATAAAAGCAATGGCCAGAAATTTAATGCAACAATTCTCTGCTTATAATTTGAATTATCTTTGAAGCAACCAGTAGTCACTTTTATGCCAGTTGGCATCACAATTAAAACAGTTATCATCCGATATCCAGCTGATTCAAAAATTCAATCAATTGGATGAAGGAATGTTCAACATCACATACACCATGAACACTAACATACTCAAAGCCAGAATAAAATTGTCTTTATCTAGCCAAAAACTGAATACCCACCATGTAGGAATATAGACCCATTGGTAGTACAAACTGTAGACTTACCAAATTCCTGCAGTTTGTGAGTGTGTTGCATACATGTGTATGGAGGCTCCATATTGCTTGGTTCAACTGTTGCTTTTAAGTTGTCAATACCAAAGACTTTCAGCCAGTCATCCAGTGTATTTTGTCATGTACATGTACAACAATGTACAGGTTGAGTGCATGCATGTGAACATGAAATTATATCCACAAGCATTCATGCCATAAGGTAATGTCCATGCTTTCTACAATTTCTTGCAAAACTATGTGCAGCCTACTGCACTTTGCACTGACAATATTCAACTGACTGCAGTTTTCAAATTTCCCACACTGACTGTTAATCTGTGGAATGTACAAGGCCATCACTGATCATGTGACTTGTAGTCCATGATATGATTGGCTTATATATTGAAATGCTATTGTGCAGGCTATGTTTAGCCACGGAATGCTATACTTTAAAATTATTTTACAATTGACTGCTAAATTGGAATGCTGTACTCAATTTGCAGTCCTCCCTCTTTCACTTGCATGCTATGTGGAATGCTTTGAAGCTCGCATGCTATTTGGAATGCTATTTTCATTCTGCATGCTATTGAGAATGCTATATGGACTGCTAAAGTTAGCAGTCATCCAGTCATCATTTTCTGTGAATGCTATGTGGATGCTATAATAGCATGCACATGCTGTTTAAATGCTATTGAACTGCTATGCACATGCTATTATAGCAGTCTAGTTTGGTAAGGGCTATCACCCCCCCCCCCCCCACTACCACCAAAAACAATTGCATAATGTACATTGTTAAGGCTGATACATACCGCAAGCAAAAGCGAAAGCGAATCCATTTTCATGACGTCAGCCATTGAAGTTTCATCTTGATGTTTGCCGTTACCCAATAGACCTGAGACGTAATGACGTAATGACTTTGTTTACATATGCGCTTTCCTATGGGAGCGAAGTCGGGACGCCAGATAAAGTGGGGTCCGTCTACTACATAGGAAAGCGCACATGTAAACAAAGTGTGACGTCATTACGTCTTAGGTCTATTCACATATAGTATGAAGCAGTGTTGTAGTCGAGGCCACAACCTCCGAGGCCAAGGCCGAGGCCACAACCTCCGAGGCCAAGGCCGAGGTCACAACCGCGAGGCCAAGGCCAAGGCCGAGGCCACCACCTCCGAGGCCAAGGCCAAGGCCGAGGCCAGCTATCAAAACACGTAATAAAATATAAATCACTAAAACAAGGATAAGATTATGTTGGAGTTTTAACACCTTTTTAGTTGAATTCACTGAGTTTTGGAGTGCCTGGCGTACAAATTTACAGCTTGCAATGGGTTTCCTCTTGTAGGGAGTCCGGCGAATTTTATTTTTTAAAGAAAGAAATCTCAACTTTTGTATCACTGAAAGCAAATTACACAACAAAATCAATGGCGGCTGAATCAGGCTCATAGGTGTTTGCCAAAAAGTTACGACCCCCCCCCCCCCCCGACCTTCGCACTGTCCAGGCGCGCGCCGAACAAACACCGCGATGCGACCAGATAATGCCAGACGGCCCGCCGTTACGCACGGGCAAAGCATAGTTCCAATCCCGCTCCACACAACGGGATAAGTGTCCACGCATTATCACTGTTAATACCGCGGTACCAGACAAAGTCTGTCAATGGCCAATCCCGCTCCAAACAACACGGCAACATGGAACATGCGTGCATGATATCACTCAGTTCATCAAAATGACCATGAATTCTGGGATCATCCGATTTGAATCCAACTTGGCTTCGAAATATTTTAAGATCATGGCAAGAGGTAGGGAGTCCAGAGGTTTTGGCCGTATATCTGTAACCACGCAAAATTAATCAATTTCACACCATGCTTATACGTGTAATAAGTATCAACATGGCTCTAAAAATACCAAAAAATATCCTGGTACCACGAGGAATACTGACTCCTATTATTAAAACATTCATTCAGAACTTTGCATTCATTTGGATGGAAAAACGTATTCTGAAATCGTGCTTTCCATATCGACCAATTGCGCCAAACATTATCATATCTTTATGAAAAAAAATGGTACGGACAAGTACACTCGATCGTACCCAGAAAGTTCAGACTTTTACTGAAACAGTGGCCTATAAAAGAAATGATTAAGCTTGCCGCACCTTGCCGCAAATTATTTTTAAAGGTCGGGGTACAGAGGCGAAACGAGAAAATTTTGTACAACACTGCAACCAGACTAGTCTACTACCACGTTATTGTACGCAAATGGGATTGGTGCCAGACTTATGTAGTCTGGCACGCGGTAACAGTTATAACGCTTGCACGCACGTGGAAAGCTGAAGCGCAGGCTAGGCGAAGATGCTACGTACGCAAGGGCAGATCCAGAACACAATTTGGGGGGGGGGGCTCAAAAAAATTTTGGTCCCCCAAAAAAGTGGGTCAAAAAAATTACGGCGTGGGGTTCGGGGCCCGCTTAAGGGCCCCGACATTTTTTTGGATTCTAGATGCTCTGTGGTGCCATCTGAGGCAATTTCTGACCACTTTAACCAATGTTTTTTTGAGGAAAAGATGGTGGTGTACTCATTGCCTGCCTTTATTGCGATGTCACAAAAAAAAAAAAAATGGTTTCGTTTTTTGGGGGGGGGGGGGCGTGGCCCCTTTGGCCCTCCCCCCTGGATCTGCCCTTGTACGTACGTGAGTACGTTCAATGCAACCATTTCCAGTTCTTCGTGCGTACATTGTCTATATGCGTTCGTTTCACGGAACCCACTGCGGCAGAATCTCGAGGATTTGATACGGTAAAAAATTTAAATTAATTAGAATAGAAAACACATCAAAATGGGCGGCCTCGAGCCGGCCTCGACCGATTCGCCGAGGCCAAGGCCAAGGCCTTGCACCTCTGAGGCCAAGGCCGAGGCTGAGGCCATGAAAATCGGCCTCGAGGCCGGCCTCGAGGTCGAGGTCGAGGCCGGCCTCGAGACCTCCAACATTGGTATGAAGCGGCCTTTCCCATAATTTCCTATCTGTGTCATATCCTCTGCTTTTAGTCGTAATCCTTGCATTTCTGTCCCCCCTCTCTCTTGAACTCCGCCCCCACTGCAAGCATCACATTACACCATGTCCTCTTTCTCTCTCTCTCTCTCCCCAGGTTCTAGGACTGGCCGAGAATCGTCCATCGGTCCTGAAGGGTGACCACCTCTTTGCCCGGTACACGAGTGACCGGTCCAACTCCCACCCAGAGCAGATCAAGACTTACAAGGGCTACGTCCACCGTGTGGAGATGGAAGATGTGGTGCTAGGCTTCGCAAGAGAGTATGCTGAGTCAAATTCAAAGTCCCCCACCCCCCTCCCCCCCCAATCCCAAGATGCCATCCCCCTTTGGGCAGGGAAGGGTGTGTTGGGATAGCTAACCACCTCCCTTTCATCTCACCAAAGTCTTTACATATTTCTAGAAAAAAATCTGAACACTTCTTTCCTACAAATAGCAACATTATAGTCATTAATAATACAGATGGGCCTCTGGTCTCTGCATTGCCTTCAGTCCCCCCCCCCCTCCCCCCCCCCCTCCAAAAAAGTCCTAGACTCAGGCACTCCCAAAAAACTCCTGAGTGTACACCTCTGCCCCTCCCCTTGTTCCAATTCTAACCAACAAAAGAAAAACACATGAAGCATCTTAACGTATTACCAATAGAACACCCTGGGCACCATGGGTGGACTCCAGGGGGCTGCAGAGGGGGCGCCCGCCCACGCCCGTCGCCTGGTGGGGCCTGCTGGCCCCCTTGGCGAGCAATTGCCCCCCCCCCCCCCACAGCAAAAGGCATACATATGTATTTTTGTATTTTTTTATGGTAGTGGGCCCCCCTAGTTGGTACTATGGCCCCCTGATGCTCGGGGCTCGCGCTGGCACTGCGCCCGCCCCCCTGGCAGTGACCAAACTTTTCTAAGGCCATCTTGCATTTATGAGCCCCCCCCCCTCTCTGGATCTGCCCTTGAACACTAAGTCCATCAAGGGAATTCATAAATACTTCTTGTGCACTAAGGTCCATTTGATACAAAACAATTCAATTTAGACCTTTTGGAATTGTGTCAGTTAAAATTTGTTACTTGGTTTGTTATGTCTGGTCCTATTCTCTTCTAGAGGCTGATTTTAAAATGCTGATAAGTAGGGAAAATTGCTGGTACATCATAAAAGAAGCTGATAATGAACTTTCTTGTAACCGTTTTTTTTTTCTTCTCAGGATAGGTGGTGGTGTTTATGGGAGCTCTTTCCTTTTTTAATAGCAAATGTGCACTCAGTTAAAGCACCTAGACCTAGACAGGTGTGCTGAGATTTGTTTTCACCTGGTGAAGCATTTGCTTTCTATAGATTCTTGGATCGTTTCACTGACGGGATCAAAGTTGACATAGAGTTCACCTTCAATCGCCTTCCGCTACGCCTTCAACATTTTGCCGTGGAGGAGACACCCAACCACGCTGACTTGCAGAAAGTTCTCTTTCCAACTTCTACCGGCCTTGGAGGTAGACAACCGCTTTGTAGTGTAACGGACGAAAGGTATTGAATGACACTGTGGTCTCCAATAATTGTGACACTTTGAATTATGTCGAAGTTCATGCGGTTGTCCTGTATTAACTTGTGGTACTGTAACCTGGAAAAATAGCACATTGTCTTAAACACACGTTGGAGAGCAAATTGTCCTGGTTCAAATGACTGGGCGCGAAATACTTTTAAGAAGCTGGGACAGAAACGAGTTGATTTCCAACAACAACAAAATATTTTATTCACATGAAACTCAACAAATTTGGCTAAGTATCAAACACACACACACAAAAAAAAAAAATTTCAGCTGCTCAACAAATTATTTTAAAAGGGGAACACTTAGTTATCCAAAACTCAAAACTTATTTTCAAATTTCACTTCAACTGGTTTCCAAAAGCAAAAAATAATATAATTTCGGTCCAAAAAAACCCAACACAGCACCAATAGAGGGTCACTCTAAATAAGTTTCAAACCATTGATGAATCCTTAAAAAACTTAAACACATGAATTTAATTTATAATACTTTGTTGCCCTGCCACACTACCAACAGAACTTAGGTCCCATTTGCAAGGATGCGTTTTTGTTGGGGGGGGGGGTCATTTTCTGAGGTGGGGCACACAATGGATTTGGTCATAGTTTCAAACAATACAGAACCATTTTTTGCCCTCACCAGATTGCAAATATATTTTTGCACCGTTGGCCTTCCATTTGCCAACCTGAAAGTACCAACAATGGGTTGTGAAGAAATTATATGTTTGGAATAAATAAAAAGAATATGTATTCTCTATTTTTAGATCGCTAACCTTCCATAGTTTTCCAAACTGAAAGTACCAACCACAGGTTGGTAGAAAAAGGTCTCTTGCATGCACAGAGCATGCAGTAGATGTCAAGAATTTGCTTCATAATATTACTTTTCATGTGTTTGCAGTCTGTTTGCTCGTAGTCTGTATGATCAGAAGCTAGCCTCAAATACAGAGCAAGTCAAGGCTGTCCTGCATATACTACAAGGCACCTCCCGCCCAGCTCCCTATCTAGTGTTTGGACCTCCAGGCACCGGCAAGACTGTCACCATGGTCGAAGCAATCAAACAGGTAGGTGAATCTTGGGGAAAAGCCCAAAACTTGAGAAATTTGGAATTTAGTCTTTAATCAGACCTTTTGACTCTGAGGACTTTAATGATTTCATATGAAGAGATGTTATGAATACAGAAAGTGAAACACTATCATTAAGCCCGGTTCGTACTTCATGCAAATGCGAAGCGAACTTTTACGAATTCGCAGAGCGCATACTTGGCATGACGTCACAAATTTGCTTTCAGTCTTTTGCGCAGAGTATGAACCGAGCTTTACACCTTATCCAATTCCAAGGCCGTAGGAAGCGGTACGGCAGGTACGGCTATGGCCGTACCAATAATAACAGGCATATCTTCTTTTTTTTAATGTATACAAGGCCTTGCATGGCCCCAAGGGTGGATTTTTTTTTTGGTTTCTAGATGCTCTGTGGTGCGATCTGAGGCAATTTCTGACCACTTTAACCATTTTTTCTTAAAGGAAAAGATGGTGTATGCAGTACCTGCCTCTATTGCGACGACACTGAAAAAAAAAATGGGTTCCATTTTTTTGGGGGGGGGGGGCATGGCCCCCGTTGCCCTCCCCCAAATTTTTCTTGTGTTGTTTTTGTGTTTTGTTTTGTGTTTGTGTTTGTGTTTAAAGGGAAAGGGCGTAATCATACATGTCGCCACTAGGCCTACATGTTAAGTTAAACGTAATGGCGATTGGCCGCCACCATGAATTTTAGTTGTCCTCAGACTAGTACTTGTGTTTTCTTAAAAAGAAGTGGTTTTCTAAATGAGAAAATAGCAAGGAAGAACCGGTTTTGTGCAAGCAAAATTCAGGGAATAATCCGTTGAAGTTAATATCTTGTTGGAAAATTCCAAAATCATTCAAAGAAAGTAATTACCGCTGTGAGTCAGAGTTTATGAAGGGACGGAAAGTGGTATTTGCTATCAACAAGACCGTTCGTCATTCTTTACCTGATGGGATGTGAATCAATTGGAGGATGAGAGACTCTGCGAGCTGATGTATTTTTTTAGAAAAAAAAAAAACTTAACAAATACGCTCGGCAGTTCAATCATGTACGTACACTGGTATCCATACCGGTGAATTAAATTTCTAAAAAATACATCAGCCCGCAGAGCCTCTCGTCCTCCAATTTGATTCACATCCCATAAAAGGTAAATAATGAGGAACGGCCCTGTTTGATGCTGATAGCAAATCCCACTTTCCGTCCCTTCATAAACTCTGATTCACGGCGGCAACTTTCTTGAAATGATTTTGGAATTTTCCAACAAGATATTAGTATCAACGGATTATTCCCTGAATTTTGCTTGCACAATACCGGTTCTTCCTTGCTATTTTCTCAGCTAGAAAACCACTTCTTTTTAAGAAAACACAAGTACAAGTCTGAGGAAAACTAAAATTCATGGTTAAATTCCATTTAACTTAACGTGTAGTGCATGGCGACATGTATGATTGCGCCCTTTCCCTGTAAACACAATCATGGATCAAGCTAAAGAGCACAAATCTAGAAAGAGAGTCAAGCTACAGTTTTGATGTGATGCTTGTGATGTAATTTATCATCTTCGATGACCCACCCACTAAAACATGAATACATTTTATTCAAAAAGTCAGGGGAAAGTGGCCAGGAAATGCCTCAGATTGCACTACAGAGCATCTAGATCTAGAAAAGTTTTGCGATGAGCAAATGTCCAAAACTTTTCACTACGATAGGCTAAATTTTGACGAATTAATTTTGACGATTTATGTAAAGTTCATCAAGTGACATATACTGGTTAAACTTGCAGATGTGCAGTGCTCCAAAATGTGTCTTGTACAAATTACGAAGAATAAAATTCCCTGTATACATGCATAGTGTTGGGGGGGGGGGGGGAGTGGCTTTTGGTTACATTTGGGAGGGATTGGGTCAAATCCTGGATCTGCCTCTGCAGGCCTGCCAACTCTAACACATTGAGCGTAAGACTCACACATTTCAGGTTATTCTCATGCTTTAACGCCGACATGGGATTTCTCACGCAAAAAAAAATATATATAAAAAGATAATTGACTCCAAACTTGAAATGATGTTTAAATGATGATAGCTCAAAAAAAGGATAAAGTGGTCAGAAATTGCCTCAGATCGCACCACAGAGCGTCTGGAATCAAAAAAATTTCGGGGCCCTTAAGCGGGCCCCGAACCCCACGCCGTTAGGGCTTCGCGCTACGCGCTCGCATCAACTGAGCTCCCTGCCCTGAGATGAGCCTGACCAATAAATTTTAGCTTCCTACGGGCCTGTCCAATTCTCATCAAAGTTTCAACATTGAAAATGATTTTATTTCCAAAATGCGACATATCCATTTGAAAAAGGTGAAACTTTTCCACTGTTATAAAACACAGAATAAAAACAGTATAATTAACCGATTTTTTTAAACTTCTCTTTTCACTTAATGGAATTCTTAAGTTGTGTTTTAAGTATATAACACCTGTTGAAATTGCTTTTGAGCAGCAATGAGAGAGCAGGGTTCTAAAAGGGAACAAAATGATGTATATCGCATTTTTGGAAATAAAGTCTGCAGATACAACTAAAGTATTTATAGCAAATCCTGTCATACTTTAAAAGAAAAATCTAAAAAAAAAGTCCTTATGACAGTTATCAACTAATCATTTAAAACTGACCTTTTCTGTATTAGATGTTCCTGATTTTTTGGTAATTCATTTTTAAGATATTAAAATAATTTTTGACAATTTTAGCAACTCATTTCAAACTGTTTTTTTTTTTTTGGTGTTCTTGATATTTCTTCCTGATTTTTTTCAAGCGAAATATCTTTTTTTAATATATCATCATAAGCTTTTTTGCATATTTCTATTCTGTATACAAAAATTAAAGGAATATACGTTGTATCAAAAATGAAAAGTTATCCAAAAATAATGGTTTAGTATGTGAAAGTTATGATCTTGAGCACTGTCAAATGGATTTTATCGTGCTTTTGATTTTAAATTAATGGTGCTCAATCATCTGTGTCTGCAGAGATGCAAATAAGGTATCAATGGAAAGCTACTGATAATACCCTTTAAGATAAGCCACTTTGACAGTGTTCAAGTTGATCACTTTCACGTGCTGACCCATTATTTTTAAAACTTTTTTTTTTATACACCCTGTATAAAATACAAATGAGTGCAAAGGTTTCCTTCCTTGTATTCAGTGCAATTTTATATCTAATTTTTAAATATTGTAATGTAGTGTTTTATCCATCCAGTTCTGGCACTTGCACTGTTGGACGTTGTCGAAAAAAATAAATAAATAAAATTAATTTCAATTACTCAGTCTGTGCATTTCATTTACATTGAATTTGCCCATAGGTGTACAAACATCTACCGGACAGTCGCATTTTGGCCTGCGCTCCGTCCAACAGTGCAGCTGATCTGATCGCTAAACGGCTTCTGACTGGCACAGGTATCTCCATCACCGTGGCGACAAACCTCTTCAGGATGAATGCCTTGAGCAGAGAATGGAAAACTGTGGACCAGACCTTGAAGGTGTGTGAATATTTGGAGAAAATTAACATAGACATTAGACTTGGGCCAAGTACTTGTTGTGTATATTGGATTCGCGATAACCTGCCACAGCGAGAGGGCGTTATCATGACAAACTGCTATCCATGCCGCTATCACCCACGAACCTCTAGCAACAACGTCTTGCATATTTTGGAGAATCTCCCCTCCCACCCCCCACCCCCGAAAATGGGGGAAACTAGTGTGCATGCGCTACTTCTGCGTGCAATTACAGTCCGTTTTCAGTTGCACGCGTACTACATACCACAAAAGAGCTGCCATGAATTTGCGAAAAAGCCTTGCTGTATCTTGTATGCTACTGGATGAAATGCCACTGGATCGTGACTTTGGGCGTGATCCCTGGCTGTATGGCATACTGGTTTCTGGCTTCTGACTAGCCCCCCTTGAACAAAGATGTGGACTAATTGGGGAACCGCCAACATATAGGGCTGGATAGCTCAGTTGATAAGAGCACCGGAACAGTTACCCGGAGGTCGCAGGTTCAAGTCCTGTCCAGTCAATTTCTTCGTTCAACTTTTCAATACTGATAGAACACACGCAAAAACTTGCACAGGGAAGATCATTTTGTTTTCAGATATACTTTTTTACTTGGCCAAATGTGGCAATAAACAATTTTGAGATTTGCAATTTGGTCGCAAAAAAATCCAGGTGAGTCAGGTAACCATAAACACACAGCATTTTTTTTGCAACATTACCGGTAGTTTCTGAAGTAATGTGTTCATTCAAACTCTTTTCATGTCAACTTTGCTGGTATGTGTTTAAAGGAGAAGGAATGCTGCAACTACAACAAGATGACGGGAGACAATTTCTTCCCAGCGAAGGAAGAAATCATGCAGAAGAGGGTTCTGGTGACGACTCTGTGTACAGCTGGCAGGTCAGTTGGCATAAATATTTTAACAAATTCAAACAATAAAACTTAAAATTCAAATGATAAAGCTCAAAAGAGCCGGTAAGGAAGCCGGGTTTTTTTTGGCACAAGTACTGATTTTGAATTGGCTTGTAACAGTGCAGTTTTTATAGCCCATGACTAAATTTCAATTGATAAATGTGCCAAAACTGTTTTTTATACTCCCAGACTTGCGACTGCTAAGGGCTTTCCTTACGACCACTTCACTCACATCTTCATAGATGAGGCTGGCCACGCTGTGGAACCAGAGGCCATTATATCCCTATCCAATCTCATGAATCCAAACCACCCCCATGGAGGTCAAGTGGTACTGGCCGGTGACCCCAAGCAGCTGGGACCCGTCCTCAGGTCACCGCTGGCCCTGGAACATGGACTAGGTAGGTACCACTGGTTCTGGATCATGAACTATAGGTAACTAATTTTAAGTGGAAAAACCTGAAACCCGGGGTGCTTTCCAAGCAAATGGTGCCATATTGTTCATGATATTTTTTGTACATAGCAAATTGTTGGCAACGTTTCAGTTGCTCTGGAGCAATTTTGCATCCCAGATTAGAGAACTGAGATGGTCACAGGAATGATTGATAGGCCTGATGAGGCGGGGTTAATAATGATTCAGTACCTTGAGAATGTGGCCTAGTGGTTAGGGTTCTTGACTCATGATCAGAGGGTCAGGGGTTCGAATCCAGCTGCTGGCCGTATATTATGTCCTTGGGCAAGCCATTTCACCCCAACTTGCCTCTCTCCACCCAAGAGTATAAATGGGTACCGGTATTAGCTGGGGAGTAACCTGCGATGGACTAGCATTCCAATAGAAATATTCCCAGTCGTTTCATGCTACTGAAAGCGGACATAAACGCCGGCCTGATGGGCCACACTGGCTTGTGACAAACTTTCTTGTTTTTTGTTTAACTTTCAGACTACATGCTGGATTGTTTGTTTATAAGGGTTTTTTTTACAAGTTATCTTTTTTGGCTATCCTTGAACATCTTTTACAACCAAAACAGAGCTCTCACTGTTGGAGCGTTTCATGACTAAATGCGAGTTGTACAAACGTACAAATGAGGAGCCGCATTACAACAGCCGCGTCCTGACCAAACTGCTGCGTAACTATCGCTCCCACCCGGCCATCCTGAAACTGCCCAATCGGCTGTTCTATGCAAATGAGCTGGAGGTCCATGCAGATGTAGTGGCGAGGGAATCGTTGTGCAGATGGGAGAAACTTCCGAAAAAGGTGGTATCAGTTAAAGTTATAACTTCCAACTTAAAAATTTGTTAAAACATAAATATCATTTTTGAAATGACTGCCTGCTTCTTGGCTAATCCGGTAAAATTTGGCTAAAGTCTGAGATTCAAATTAACTTATTGTAGAAAGTGGTGGAAATGTTTAAACGTACCATACAATATGATTTATTGACAACTCGGCATATGAAACTGATAGCAATAGGTCTCTCTCAAAGACGGCCATCTCTGTAGGAGAACTGCAACTGCATAATTTACGCAATCAAGCACGCATTGTGCAATGTTCCAAACACTTGCGCTTTTTGGCTGAAGCACATGGCTGGTCTGTAGGAAATGATGTCAATTTGAGAGAGAACTATACTTTTTCATTTTTGGGTGAAAATCCACTTTTAATTTTTCGTTTTTTTAACTGAAGCATGCTGTACATTATACATTTATTAAGAGAAGGCATCTATACTGTACTTCGTAAATTACTGAAACGTCTACAATTGTTCAAAACTTTCTGAGTGTCATTGCTTCTCCCCCCTCTCTCCAGGATTTTCCCATTATTTTCCACGGGGTGCAGGGGCTAGATGAACGTGAGGGGCAGAGCCCATCGTTCTTCAACAAGAAAGAGATCGAGATTGTCGTTAGCTACGCTAAGGATATACTCGAAAAAAGAGGGGGTATGCGCGTTAAGGAGACGGATATAGGTATCATCTCACCGTACCGTCGCCAGGTAAGTGTACTTCTAAAATGGACCCTGATACAGTCAGACCGTAGGCTGGCCCTATCCAGGGCCCAATTTCACGGCGCTGCTTAACAGTTAGCAGAAAAGTTATGTTTAGCATAGCAGAAAAATTTGCTAACCTTAAGCACTATTTCACGGTGTGGACGTGCTAATGGTCGCGTGTGCATGAGATTTCTATTGTTACGTCACTAAGTTAAGCAAATTTTTCCTCCGAAGTAAGCATACCTTTTGCTGTGCTTATGCTTACGGCCTCCATGAAATAGACGGAGGCTCTGTTAGCAGAAAATCGTGTGCTTAGCAGCGCTGTGAAATTGGGCCCAGTATGTCTGGGACTTGTAGATCAGCTTTAAACTGTGTAACAGATATTTAGGTGTGTGATATTTGGAGAATATCATTTCTTTCTTTTGTAAAAAAAACGAGCTGCAATTTTAGTGTTTCCTGTTTCAAAGAGAAGTCAGCTAAAAGCAGAAATTGCACGTTGTTGACCTTCATGTACCATCCAGCTTTTTATCCCTGAACAGTTTGCCTGGGATTTCTTATTTCTAGACACTGTGCAGTGGTTAAGAGTGGCAAACATTTGACAAATTAACCACGACTGTTCAGTGTTTTGCCTTGTATGCATTTCATCAGCTTTAATCACAAGCTTGCTTTTGTGTCATGGATTTGAATTTCTCCATTTTACAGCCAGTCTTGTCACAATTGGGCGGTCACTCTATATAGACCGCTTGCAGACGCGTTTGATAATTGACGCGCGAAGGTGCGCGACGCCATGTTGTGGGACAAAATGTGTATGGATAGATATACGCGTCTGCAAGCGGTCTATTAACAAGATGAATCAAATCCCTTCTTTAGTGGCAATATTGGCAGCACTACTCAGGTAATTTGAACATACCTCACGCGCGTGCATTAGCTTGAGTACAGTGCACGTGAGGTATGCTCGGAATGTCCTGGGTAGCGCTGCCAATATTGCCAAGACTGGATTTCATTTGTCTTGTTGATAAGGACCTCACGGACCGGCCTAATCCACTTATGGACCAAAACTAGTCTGCTAGTGGAAACTCGTCTTTTTAAATTCAGAAATTGATAATGACTGATAAATTCACAGGTACAAAAGATCAAAGAGGTGCTCAGGAAGCACAAGATGAGTGACATCAAGGTCGGGTCAGTGGAGGAGTTTCAAGGTCAAGAGAGATTGGTCATCATCGTCTCCACGGTCCGCAGCACCAAACCAGAACACATCCAGATGGACATTGATTACAAACTGGGATTTGTCAAAAACCCTAAGGTTGGTTGAAGACCAGAGATCCAAGTTTTGTGATTTCATAAATTGCGAAGAAACTTATTAAAATTTTGGACCTTTCATTTCATGAAATGTAGCTGGCAAATTCTAAAGTTGGAATTTGTGAGAAATTTGAAGTTCACTTTGATGAAGCCAGTATGGACTTAAGCTGGTTCTTGTTAAGCAAAGAAAAACACTTTTTACCAATAAAGTTGTGCAGAGATTCATGTGGATAATTGTGAGCCCCCGAGTTTGTAATAATTTGAGTAGAGAATAGAATTATTGCAAGGAAACTGAGGAAAAGTGAGAAATAAATTCAGCAGAATATATAAAATGATGTGAGTAAACCACACTCAACTTTTAATCTTATTTTTACCTTAACAATGGTGACTTCAACTAAAAGTGCAAAAGTTCAGACTTGTTTTGTACTCATTTTTGAGATGTAATTTATTTATTGTCTCATCTTTGATTTTGTAAAGTTATTTATGCAGGTATTTGTTGTTGCAGTTACTTTTTTCTACATTGCAAAAATAGCCATTTGGCTTTTGACATTTTCTTATTTTTTTTTCACAAAGTGATGTGACGTATGCCTCAATCGAGCTTTGTCTGATGAGATAGTTTCTCTCTGGGTATTTACAATTGTTTCCCAACTTTTTTTAACCAGTTTGCGCCGGATGATCAAGGGCGGATCCAGAACACAATTTTTTTGGGGGGGGGCCAAAAAAATTTTTGGTCCCCCCAAAAAGTGGGCTCAAAAAATTGCGGCGTGGGGTTCGGGGCCCGCTTAAGGGCCCCGAAAAATTTTGGATTCTAGATGCTCTGTGGTGCGATCTGAGGCAATTGCTGACCACTTTAACCAAATTTTTTTGAGGAAAAGATGGTGGTGTGCCTTTATTGCGATGTCACATAAAAAAAAAAAAATTGGTTTCGTTTTGGGGGGGGGGGGGGCATGGCCCCCTTTGGCCCCCCCTGGATCCGCCCTTGCGGATAATGTGTATACCCGCAAAGGTTTTGCGGTATTTGGAACGGATGACGGATAAAATGCACACAGCGAATGAGGTTGGAAATATGAGTGTGCTGCCCGAGGGTGATGGCTTTAATCCGCCTGGCTTGAGGGTCGAGTGAAAATTAACCCCGCGTCTCGTTCCGTTCTAATGACAAAATAATCCCGGCGTGAACTGGTTAATTAAAATGTATTTTGAATTTTGAGTAGACTTTTGCCTCATTCTGAGTTGATTTTTTTTTTTTAATTTAATCTACAGAGGCTGAATGTGGCTGTGACTCGAGCCAAGGCACTGCTGATCCTCGTGGGTAATCCCTACATGTTGAGGAAGGATATAAACTGGAACATGTGAGTAGTCCCTCTATAACTCATGAGTTCCTGAAACGCTCACGAGTAGTTAACTTTATCGGATGTTTCTTTCCGTGAGAAATTCCATCATTGTTAAAAGCAGTGATTGGCGGGAATAGATGTGATCTTTCTGTCAAAACCAGATGCTTCTGAGCAGCTTAAAACAGATAAGACCGAGGAAGTGCTTGGAATTGCGGGGGCTTTTTTTTTGGGGGGGGGGGTTTCGGGGGGCTAATTTGTGATTCTAAACATTATGTCTTTTTTGTAAATGTTCAGCAAATATTAAGGACTTTTTGGGCAAGGCAATCTCCAGCAGATGAGGTTGGAGCCAACTTGCTCTTTGGCTCTGTGGCAGTGGATGGCAAAGCGGGCTCTGCATTGTGCTACTGTAGTTGAGATAGGTGGGATGCTGCCGTATATTTCCACCTTTGTCTTATGTTCCCTCCAGGAAATATTGTGCGTTCTCATTGAGGAGGCGAGTGTAGGTGCCGTCTAGTCTCTGTTTGAGCTGCTCTTTTATAGTCCATGTCTCAGCACCGTATAGTAGAATACTTTCCACAGAGGCTTGGAAGAAACCAAGCTTAATTAGTGGATCGTGATATCTTGAATATTCAGATAGGGTGGAGTTTGTTGCACGCATTCCATACTTGACTCTTTCGGGTGACTTACAGAAAAAAAGTCAAGATTGTACATGTCACGTTAATTTCAAGGTTCCTGGAGTACTGCCTAGAGAACAGCGCCTACAAGGGATGCTTCTTCAAGCCTGAGGAGGATGAAGTTGAGGAGACCATTGAGAAGTTTGAGAAACTGAAGATAACTTCTGAACTGGGTAAGACGGTAGGGACTCGGTAAAACACAGACTCGGTGCATCACTGGGCGGGCTGTCCATTTTTGAATAAAGTATTTGATTACTCCAAACTGTGTTTGATGGCCAAATATTCGAAAATATTAGAAACTCGCCGATCAAGTTAACTGCGTGCCGCGCTGATGAAAAGTTGCATGTTAAGTGCACAGTTTAACATTTGTGTGTGACTGGCAGAAGGGCGTATGCGCGTACGCATCGTAAGCAATACCAGTAACCCCTCTAGCCTGCATGCATGCGCTTTGTCTATTTTGGGGTCGTCTTATTGAATGATGCTGAAAATTTTACATACCACACTCGTATTTAATTTGTAACTGTACACGTGCTTGTACACATGGTCTCCAATATAGCAATGCTACATTGTAGGTTATGCACACCAAAAACGGACAATTATGTGGAGCTTAGCCAACCAAAAAATGAAGATAAATGCAGTGACTTGTTAACACATAAATTCAATTATTTGTGCACTTTAATTTTGTCCTTTCATTGCAAGCATTAGCATTCCAAGCGCTATAAAAAGAAAACCTTGCCGAACCCACCATTTCTGTCCGATTCAGTAATTTTGAGTTAAGTTCGGTTGTTCAGCTAGACGAATAGTTTCCCTTTTTTCATCTTTTACACAGTGGACAAACCAGTGGACGAACGCTTGGGAACGTTGGGAACAAGTGCAGTGGCTGAACAGCACGATCCAGAGTGGCGCAGTGAGGATTAGTCACGAAAATGAAGGAGAGAGAGGACAGGTACCAGACTATGATGGCAGAAACCAAGTTTCAAGATGTAGCATTTAGGTTTCATTTTGTTACATGCATACATGCATGCTGTTGAACATTTGCCCTTGTTTTACAACAACTTCTAATTTCAGAGCATCTTTTTAATAAAGTGCAATTTTCTTGTCATCGGTTTAATTAATACTAATGATAGTGACTTTACTGAAAACGAGGGGATTTTCAAAGTTATATGGTTTTGTCAAGGCATTCCATACATTGTTTAGCCTTTGTGGATATCAATTTTGTGTTAATGAGTATTTTCAATTTGAATTGAAATTGTGATATTGCGCTGTTATATTCTCACAGCTTTTTGAGTAAAACATTGAAGGTTATCCACCGGTTCTTCTGAGCACCACCTTAATTGTTACCAGGCACACACAAAAAAGTATCTTTCATGGTAATATTGCTGCAAATTAAGCTTTCACAGCAACATTCTGTTTAAATTTACTGCCACATATTTATATTTTTATAACTATAAATATGGCAATCTGTACTGACGGGGGTACACACGCATTAAAGACCTGAAATGCAAATTTGCAATAATTTTGTTTGCCAGTAAATGTTAAATATATTTTATTTTTCCTGAACAATGAATTTTACAAATGCAGCTTTGAGTTGACATATAAAAAGGGAAAATGCCTCGCAAAACTATTTATATTTTAAACAATTTTCAATAGATTTTAATAGTTCTTAGATGATGGATTGATGAGTATGATCAAATGCAACTGTAAGTTTCCATATTTATTCTCTTACCTAAACTAATTGAGAGTGCTTTGGGCTTTAGAAAAACATTCGCTCAAACCAATTTAATTTGCTTTAAATGATGAATTTAAGTGCACATATTTGCAAAACACTTAGATTACTATATTTAATTTGGTCAATTAGCCTATAAATCAAGGTATGGCAGACACAATAGGAGGGCGCTTTTTGATGTGGGTCAAGTCTTTTGTATTTTATACCCAAACCAAATGGCGCCCGGCCCTCCAGTGTATCGGCCATATCTCAAATAGGTGCGTTCGGTTAGCTCACCGGGGTCAATTTGGGTTAGCCCCGTGCCATTCGATTAGCTCCGACGTCATTCCCTGCAGGCTCGTGCAGCAAAGTCAGTGATGGAAATACGTCACATGCATGCGTTAGCAAATATGCGAACAAATATGGCCGTGGCCAAAAAAAAAGCCCATGGTCGTCACGTGAGGGTCACGATGGCCCGTGTTTGAGCATTTGCATGGCTCTCATGGCTAAACCATCTGCCTTTAATCACCAGAGTCGACCTGGGTGACCTAATCGAACCACCCCATTATGAACATCTGATCCCATTAATTTTCATTAAAAGTCCATTTTTCCGTGAAAAGAATCTTTAAAAGATGTTTCACGGACATTTACATGGGGCTTATATAGGACTAATCCTGTAAGGGTATTTTCACGTTTTTTTAATGACCCTGGCCACTGAGGATTATCAACTGGTTATACATAACGGTACACTGGGTCTATCTCCATGGGTAAACAAAGGACTTTGTTAAGGGTGTTTTCAGGGACTCGTAATCTGGCCTAATATGTTGAAAAATCAGTGAAAACTTAGTTTAAACTGTAATTTCAAGGGAAAATGGCTCTTTAACGAATTTTTAAGGGATGAAGATGTTCATAGTGGTCTATGGTCTCAACTCGTTCAGTGCCCATGGAAAAGAACCCAATACAAGGGACCTGGTATATGCCCCATTTAGACTATGGGTCCCAACTTCAATTGGGACCATCCCAACTAAAGTGTTTGTTTTTAAACACTTGAGTTGGGATGGTCTTAGTTGGGTCCTTCATGGTTCACCTGGTAGTTAGGGCATAATGTTGTAACAAAAATCCTCATGTGCCTGGGTTAACTTCTACTATCAGAGCATCTTTTTAACACACCGCAGTTTTCTTTTCATCAGGTTAAGTAATGATAGTGACTTTACTGAAGACGAAGTGATTTTAAGTAATGTTTTTGTCAAGGCATTCCGTACAGTTTTTAACCTTTGTGACCATCAATTTGGTGTCTTTAGAGTATTTTAAAATTTGTATTGAAATTTTCATATTGCGCTGTTATTTTCTCCCAAAGATGATCACAGCTTTTTGAGTGAAACATTTAAGGTTATCCACCGGTTCTTCTGAGCACCACCTTGTTACCATGCAGACACACACCAAAAGTATCTTTCATGGTATTGCTATAAGTTAACCATTCCCAATAACATTCTATTGGGTCATTCCTTGTCAAATCACCCAATTGCCGGGTAGAACCCCAAATTTGCTCATATTAAGTACGTGGGGTAAGTTATATGAACCCATTTCAGGGGGAAAAAATCCCTGAATTGAATCCACTAGTACAGTCGACTCTCGCTATAAAGAGCACTTTTATAAAGAGGTTCTGCTTATAAAGAGCAAATTCTGAGGTCCCAAATCTCAAGTTTTCTTTGTGTTTCTTTGTTTCGCTGTCCTTTGATAACAACATTCCTGTTATAAAAACATTCCTGTTACTAAAGAGGTAATTTAGCTGGTCACATCGACCTTGTTATAACGAGAGTCAACTGTACACTGTAGGGACAAAAACAAAAACCCTATATCCACTAGTACACTGCATAGGGATATCACCTTTTGAAACACGTATGTCAACTTTAAAAGGAGCTAGGAACCAAACAAAAAATGTTATACCCAATTTTTGGATATTTTGTAGAAAACGTGGTGGGGTTTAATTTCCATCCAAGTTCATCTCAGGGTCGGGTGATCCACAAGGTCAAATTCAAGGTCAGAGTAAAAGTCAAAAGGTCATTATACTCCAAATAATTAATCCCAAAATGAAAAACAATGGTAAAGTTGGATGTCTTATGATGTCAATCTTTCAAAAGAAACCAAGATTAACACATTATGCCTAAAGCTTAATGAGATATGGTCATTTGAAAATTGGCAGCGACGCCCATTTTGACCAAAATTGCCAAACAATGGCGGGCGGTAGCGCAAAAACCATTTGCCTGACCATGGTCCGGCGGCTGTTAAACTTAAATTTTCAGCTTTTTCAGCCTATATTACCACACAAAAACTAAATATGAACCAATTTGAAAGGGGTGGGTTTTTAATTTTTAAATGTGTTGGGTGATTTGAAACGGAATGACCCTATTGTTTAAATTTACTACCATAAATATATATTTTTTGTAACTATAAATATTGCAGTTTGTACTTATGGGGTGGCCACACACATTGAAGACCTGAAATACAGATTTGCAATATTTTGACCAAAAAAGTTATTTTGTTTATTTTAATCTTAATATATCTTAATTTCTCTTAAAAGATCAATTTATGAGTATTTACAAAAGCAGCTTTATTAATTAAGTCATACATAGATATGTGTGGACGTTATTAAAAAAAAAATAGATAGTGCTGCCAGATTCATGTTTTGGTTTGTTAAACATTTGTTAAATGTTAAACATATTTTATGTTTCCTAAAAAATCACTCGCACTCACTGACTCGGTCGCCCACAGGCGCTAGGCGCTGGCAGGCTCGAGTATGGCTTTCCAAGTAATTCGGTCCTAAACAATGAATTTTTACAAATACAGCTTTGAGTTGACATATGAAAAAGGGAGAATGCCTTGTAAAATCATTTATTTAAACAATTTTAGATAGATTTCAATAGTTCTTAGATGATGGATTTCGGGCCGCGCTCTAGCAGAAAGCAGCATGTCGAAAATAGGTTATACCCACTCGGTATCCGGGCCGCGATTTTTCCAATACATGGTTGTTTAGCGCAGGTATATTATTATTTGTTTCCCCACGTTTTACTTTTGGCGAGCAGTGCGACAGCTCAGCTCGATAGAGGGTAGGATTTTGCACCGCGAGGTTGCAGGTCCGAATCTCGGTTTTCCACCCGATTTTTTTTCCTTTTCTAACCAGAGGCTTTGGATGATTATTTTTAAAAAGGGAAATAAAGTCAAATTTTTATAACGTTCAAATTGACTTTTTTTTTTCTAATTTTATATTTTCTTCTCATGTTTTTATAAAAGTTAAGTCCAAAACGCCATAGCGTACAGTACACCCATAATTATGTGGATGTCGTTTGGGAGAAAAAAAAATTCGCACCCCGGCCCCAGGTAAACCTGCTGCTGTCAGTGTCACAGTGTCAGCGGGGCACGTCCACATGCGCCAGCCGGGGCATTCACGAGAAATCCCTCCACATCAGATCATCATAGTGATGATCGAAAATTTTCAGTAGCTGAGAATGTCGTTTGGGCTACTTGAATGATAGGGGAAATCATAGGTTTGTTTTTAGTTCTCACGGTGGAACTTTTGGGACCGCAATGGAAATCACACCAACAATATTGCATCAAAAGCCACAACCTCCTTAAACTTCCCGAGACGCAACCTCAAAGTTCGCAATTAAGGTAAACAAGCTTCCCGAATCTATTGTAGAGGTTTGCAACCCTTCAGAGTTTAAGCAGATTCTAACTACATGTACTAATGGGACTTCAAGGTCAAAATAGTAGGCTACGCATGCCATCCACAAGTTGCGAACCCAACAATGTGCCGCAGTCTTCAACATTATCAGTGAAGTTGGCGCAGAGCTTGGAACTTGGAAGAAGAAGGAAATACATTTTTAAAACTTTTTGCGTTATCCCCGCTTTTTCCTCTGCATGGGGATTTTCTAAGTTTTATTTTTAATTTTTTTATACGATTTTTGATAAATTTTGATGTGTTTTGTTAAATCTCAACTTATATTCAAACTGTATCATCATTGTGTGGAAATTGCAAATAAATCAAATCAAATCAAATCAAAAACTTGAAAGTTGAAGTATGCATGTCACCGTCCTAAAATCAATACATGTACAACTTCTTTATAGGGCGCCATCTAGATCTGTTATCAACATAGAGCTATTATACAGCTCTATGGTTATCAAGCAAAAATCGCACGTGCGACCGATCGATTCGTCGTACGTACGTACGTACGTCGTGCAAGCTTTGCGTGCAAGCAGCCAAGTAGCCCGAGTGACAGGTGAGGTCAGTGCTGCAGCTGTTAATGATTGTATTTTTGTGTAATTGTGGTTTTAAAACTAAAAATGGATCTATTTTCCGATCGAAATAACTTATGTATTTAGAACTATGCCTTTGCATGCCTTTACTACTAACTAACAGAAGAGACATCGAAGACAAAGCTGCATGCAAGGTTCACCGGCCTTCAAGGGAAAAGTTGCCCATTTTCCGGACAAAAAAGTCATATGGTTCAACTTTAAATGGCGATCGTGAAGTGTAGGGCCCCTGTTTTGTTTTGATCAAATTAGAGTCAAAAATGTTTTTTATGGCTCAAAAATCACTTTTACAATCAAAAGCTGACTTTTCTCAATTCTAATGACACCCGTTTTGCAATTTTGAACAGATTCTTGGGGTAGAAATCACGATTTTCCTGCGCGGTTTGTGCCTTGCGATTCAGCGTGCCGTGCGTGCACACAGTACATCGTAGTCCCATAAATGTGACGGTAATACTGGACTACCTCCGTATTAACCGTCACAAATCCACATGTGGTATTTGGACGGAGAGTCCGTTGCTAAGGTAGTAAGGGAGCCGAACAGCAATTCCAAATCGCAATTATTTTTTCACTTTATACTCATACAATACCGTCTACAAGTACAACTGCTAATAATATCAACAAAACGTGAAACTCGGCACCTTCAGAGGTCTAGTTATCTTGTAATTTCGAGTTGAAATCGGATGACTTTTGCAGCCATTTTTCAAGAAAGCGTTTTGTTGCATGACGTCATGGGTTGTGATAAATCGCGCCCTCACTAGCTTGCATCAAATTTTGACAATGTGCATTGGTACGGCTGTTGCCTGTCATTCAGTTTTGGTCAAAAGTACATGTATCACATGATGTATGTACGTATGCAGGCGATCCCCGACCCGTTACCACGTGCATACGTACGTATTTTGATAGAGTTGGAATCATAAATTGACCCTGTCAATCATCTTAATATTATCCTTGAAAAAATGTGCACAGCGCAGCACTGATGGTCCCAGGCTCAAGGCTGAAGGTGACATCATCGACAAGATGACCAATCAGAGAACAGGACGGCCTACAGTGGCCCAGAGCTGTCGAACCGGGCTGGGATTCTTGAGGTTTCTTGCCGAGAGCAAGCGGGGTGATGTTGACGACAAGGAACAGATGAAGACAGTTTTCTTGAAAGAGTACAAGCCGAGGCTTGAGAAAGGAGGAGCAGGTATAAATGCATCAAATTTTATTTTTTTGTATTATTTTTTAACTTTAGTCTTGCTGGTTGTGACAAAAATAGTTCCTAAAAAGTGCACAGAGAACACAGAGGAAACTTTCAATTCAATGTTGGGTTTTGCCCTTCACTGACGTTTAAACACTGTATACTCAGTGTGTTATCCCTTCAGTGAAAGAAAAAAATCACTCGGGTGGGACTCGTACCCATGACTTCCTATTTTCGAGTGCAAATGTCTACCACTTGACCACCGAGTTTACCAGGAGCAGCTGACTGGTTCGAATCTGATGTAGCAGCGGTTCACCAAGTGATTTTTTTTGCACTTTTCACTCGGGAGGTATTACCTCCCGAGTGAAAAGTGCAGTATACTCATGTTGAGTATACAGTGTTTATACGTCGGTGAAGGGCAAAACCTAATATTGAATTTACATCACCCTGAAGCAAATTCCATCTTATGAATAGGAAACTTTCACTTTTTTACGTAGGAGGAATGTAGAAACCGGGGAGTCAGGTTGGCTCAGTGGTTACTTTCCTCGCCTTCCACCGCTGTGGTGGGGTTCAATTCCTGCCCGGACCACATGTGGATTGGGTTTTCAGTCCCTGCCTGATTCCGTGGTTTTTCCCAGAATATTCTTATGTGGTTTTCCTCCCACCTCTAAAACCGTAATTTCTTCTCATTAGGGAGGTTTCGCAAGCGAACGGATACGCTTACAAATACAATGTACGTTTAGCTATCCGTATCCGTTTTTTACTTACGTGTAGCGAGCGAGATATGCGTGTCGTCTGCACGTATGACGTCATACGCCACTCACTATCCGCTAAACGTGCAGATGACACGCATATCTCGCTCGCTACACGTAAGTAAAAAACGGATACGGATAGCTAAACGTAAGTGTAAGCGTATCCGTTCGCTTGCGAAACCTCCCTATTGTCTTCTCTCTAAAGGTTTCTTCAGGCTTGCAAGCTACAGTGCCTAGGGAACTTTTTGAGGAATCCTTGGTTTCATTACTAGAGAGAAATAAACTTAATAATTTATGAGCGAAAATGCACAAAATGAGGCAGGGACAGAAAAGCCAATCCTCATGTTGGCCCAGGGAGTCGAAACCATGTCACAGGGGTGGAACTGGAAAGCAGCAATATGTACCATTGCACCGACCTGCCTTCTTATTATTCCTATTACTCCGTAGGCAATTTTGCTAGGATGCAACCTCAATCCTGCAAAATCCTCCAACTGCCTCCATTTAAAATTGCATACAGCCTCAATCCTTCAAAATCATCTGTTATTTCTTGAATGTGGTCCTTGGAAAGGTGACCACTGCCTCAATCCTGCAAAATCCTCCAGCAATCACTGTCAATATGTTGAGGCAAAGCCAGGGACATCCTGGAGCTGTGCAGAGTATAATCTAGGCCTACATTTATGCACGGCTGAGCACATAAACAACACAAGGTCCGGCCTACGACCTTGACCCAGTGCATCCTCCAAAATCAGCCACACATTTTTGCCATATAGCCTCAATCCTGCAAAATCCTCTATTTTGAAAATTTGGAGGATTTGGGAAAACATGGAAAAGAAGGACTTTCTGCAATGTAATGGTATTCTATTTCAAATTAACAAAAGTCAGAGTGCATTCTGCAACTTCATTTAGATTGTCTTTCTCCTTTATCTTGTTCATTGTATATTAAAGACAAACTTAAAGTTTCATGGGATTTTTTTTTCGTGTGAAAAGATTCCAGTGATTTTTTTCCCTGCAGGTTTTAATTTCTCGACCATCATCTACGCGCTGAAAAGCAACGGCAAGATCCGAGTCAAAGACGGCCGTGTGGAGATCTTAAAAGGTTTTGTCGCCGTGGATCAGTACGTGACCCTGAAGAAGCATGCCCTGGACCAGAAGGAACAGGCTAAGATCAGCGGTGGGGGTCTGATGAAGGGTGCGGGTCGGCCCGGGGAGGGCTCTGAACCGTATCCCTTCTACTGCGAGGAGTGCGGGGTCCATGGGAACTCACACCAGTCATTCAATGGTCACCTGCAAGGCATGCGACACCGGCAGCAGATGATCCTGAAATGCGTCAAGAAAAGCAGGTGGGATTTCTGCTTCATTTGGGATCCTTTCATTCAACGTCTTATTGTGTTTTGGATTCCTTAACCCCGCCCCCACCCTGCTTTATATTCTATGGAATAGCCCTTTGCACAGAATATCCCCTTGCACAGCAAGGGGATATGATATTATGCAAGCAGATTCGGCGATTAATTATGCAAAATAAGACCGCGTATTGACCTCGAGATTCTGACCATTCAGCGGACGCCTTCTATCAGGTCTTCCGTAACCCGTTGTTGTTTTACAAAAAAATGACGGCCAAAGTGACCAGTCAACAGCCAAGTCCACATTTCTAATCGAAATGACGTCGCAATTTCAAAAGTCGACTCCTATTGGCTGGTGTGCGAGGTCGCTTAAAATTAGTAACTGCTCGCATATATCAGACGTTGGATATGGAGAGGGCTCCATTGGACAACTGGCGGTATTCAGAGTGCCCCTTTTTAGTGGTGACAGAAAATGTGACAGAAATTTGAATGCCTTTGCCGCCTTGCCGCCTAGTTTTGGTTCAAGACTTGATTGGAATTTTGTTGCCTTATAATGCAGTCAGTCCCTGCAGCTGATTTCACGAAACTTTACGCAATGGAGAAACTCTGCAATTGCGTAAACAATTTATTGCGTAAGTTGTATGACATTTTCACTTATGACACATTTCATGAAGGTTTCATAGTGCCTAAGTCTGCGAATTGCGCAATAAATTATTTCTTAACTTGCGCAATCATTTTAGGTGGCGTAAGTTGTGGAGTAGCGACTGAAAATGACCAATTTTACAAGTAAATGGTGATCGTCGTGGAGCCTGTTACTGCACAACTTATCCATGTTGATACAAGACACTCACAGCTTCTTGTTTGAGGTACATGAATTGCCATTTTACTTGTGACAGAATTTTTAGAGTTGCTGCTCGATTATGAAGAAAGTCAGACAACATTTTTTTCAAATTGGTGGGCTGAGGTGATTTAACAATTGTTTCATGAAAGAACAACTTCATGCACAAACAGCCGTCGTAAATGCCGTATTATCCTCGTCCAAGATGTTTAGATTCTTTCAAACGCAGCTATGCCAATTTTTGTGAAATCATTCGTAAGTTTAACTGCGCTATAAATTTGTTGTGTAAGTCCTACACATGGCGCAAGCTACGCACTTTTCATGAAATCGGCTGCTGGCAAGCACAGCCAAGCCATTGTGGCAGTAGAGGGCGCTACCAACGAGATGAGTCAAATCCAGTCTTGGGAATGTTAGCATTCAGACCACAGAAATTCCAAGCATACCTCATGTGTACTCTACTCAAGCTAGTGCGCATGTGAGGTATGCTCAGAAATTCATGGGTCCGAGTGTCAAAGTAATTTTCCACAAGAATAGAGTTTGATATTTAAGTTATCTACAACGTTACAAAAGCATTGTACTTTGTGATATCAAGAAGAAATGTTTGATGTCTGTCAAAAATATTTCTGCTGTCGGGTAGTGTGACCAATTTCCTTTTCTTGTTGCAGTACATTCCAATTTGTTCATTTTTTGTAATCCTTCGGTTTTGTTTCTGATGTTTCCCTCGTGTCACTTTTGCTTGAACGTCTTAGGTCAAAGTTCATCGTGAACAAGAACAGCACCGAGGTGGTCAGTCAGCACGACGGAGATGAGGGGACTATTGCATTGAAGATGACACAGAACAACAGCCACAAAATCAGTGTCACCGTCAAGAATTCAAGGTGAGACTTGGCAGGTCATATATGTCACAAACAGAAATGTTTGTACTTTTCCGTAGAGGGATACACAAAGACCAATCAAGACCATCAGAGACCATCATCGGGGCACTTTTCCTTCAACACTTTATCCACAAAAACATTCAGTATGTCTATTTTCTGCACTGTTAAGATTCATAACAAGTTGAAGATAGAGAATGAATCATTGGTTCTGTGAACACATTTTAGACTAATGAAAGCATTATAAACATCGGTAATTAGGTAGACAAAACAAGCCACACCTGCATTTATACAGCCATAGATAGTGTGCAGCCAACGTCTTTGTACATTTGTTGTGCATTTGTACACACCATTCTGCGGTTTGATACATTTCTCATTCAAAACTACACTTCTAAATTACTCTAAAGGTTTATTTCTGGACCATCAACAATGCACGCGCACACATACTCAGGCTTTTAGTTGCCATTTAGTTATTAGGGCTCTTCCTTATTTTCACTAAGATTTGGGATATAATCAGATTTTATTTTGACTGCCTTCAAAATATTTCCTTGCCCCCACCCCCAGTTGCCCCCGAAGTTTTAGAGTCTGGCTCCACCACTGTCTATAGAGTGCAAAAGGAAGGGATAGGAACCTTACTAGCTCTTGTGAACTAGTCTGATTGCAAAATAGAAGTCAACATGACTTCAGAGGATAAGGTGGACGTAGTATAGTGGAGTCCACAAGGAAAATAAGTTGAGAGAATTTCATGGGCTTTTCCAACCATTTGGCATGTTTGGTGAATAATAATAAACAATTGGTGACATTTCACATATTCACTGCTTTTCTGTGTCTGCTTTGTCGGGTAGTGATGTGAACACCATTGCGTTCCTGTCGTGTGTGTTTCTGAAAGTGCAGCCAGCGTTTATCTTGACTGACAAGTACGATGTCACTCAATCCAAACGAGTTGTACATTTGAAACCTGGTAAGTTAAACCTCAACAAGGACGTCTGGCTAACAATGAACAAACAAAACAAATAAAGTGTTACATTTTTGCCAATATTTAAGCTTTTCCATTGGCAAGTACTAACATTTGAACTTGAGGTTAGATAAAAGGGTCTTCGCAAACTCTACCCAAAATTGTGTGGTATAAACCTCATTGTCCCAACCCGTCTTCCTTCTAAGATCCGCCACAATTTATAATTTACATAATGCTTGATGCCACGTGAAACTTGAAAGTATGTCGAAATGGAAATACTGGAAAAAATAGGAAAATGCTACAAGTTGTTCTAAAACAATGACCACACATAATATATAAAGATTTAGGAATAGTTTTGGGTTTCAGAAGTAATTTATCAAGACTCAGGAACTGAAGAAAAAAATATGTGAAGCACAAAGTAACAGACTTAAGAAAATATGAGAAGGAATTCTCAGTCAAAAAATGCTTTAAAGGAGTTAGGGCTAGTACAATATTACACCAATAAAATACTTTTGAAATGATTTATCACTATGATAATGTTATCCTAGGAGTGTTGTGATATTTACAGCATTCAAAGAGCGCCCCTCATTTTGGAAGTGATTGTTCCAAGTTTGACCTGAGTTTACAGCCCCGGTTTGTTGACCATGCAGGGAGTGAGTACAGCCTACAGGTGGCCGTTGAGAGTGACTCTGTGGGAATCCTGAGCAGTCCATTGATATTTGCCTTCAAGGACGTCACATCTAACGAGGTTGGTCCAAGTTTTGAAAGAAAAAAAGAAAGAAAAGTTTGAGCAGGATGCAATTTCTAGGTTTTTTTTGGGGGGGGGGGGGCTTTGGATCTACTCACTTCTTTGGACTTCTCACGATTTTTTGGGTGGAGCACCAGTATGATATTTTTGATGTCCGAAGTTCTAACCTCGGGGTGAGATTTGGCAGATATTTTTCTGGTTTCAGGATTTTTGTTAGGAATAATTTCAGGATTTTTTTGGTCCGGATATTTTCTGTTTTCAGTAAAGAATACTTCTCAAGGTGTTACCATATTAGGGTGTTAACACCAATAAAAGGTCATATAGAACAAAAGAAATGGGGATTTTCAGGGGCGTCTTTAGGCAAATACAAAGGCATACCATAGACCCTACATCGCTCTGGGGCCCTCAGCAACCCTCAAACCCTCTGCCGATATTTTTGTTGATTTTTCATTTTCCTCCCAATCTCACCCCTGTAACCTACGTAGTCTATTTCTTTGTTCAGAAAAAAATGGATTAAAAGTGATCCAAGTCTGTTACCTCATGGTTCCCTGGTAAATTCTTTTGAATTTTTTTTGGGGGGAGGGTTTTTTTTTTTTTTTATCATTTTCTTTTTTTTGGTAACAAGTATGTACTGCATGAAATGGAAGTTGTTGCATCCTTAACGATAATATATATATTCTTGGTTTGAATTTCTCCTAATAGGTGTTTCATATTCTTCGATTTGTGACCGTGGAGGTGACCAGCAAGATAGCTGAAGATCTACCGCCCTCTGTGCCCTACCAGCGCCCACCGAGAATATCCAGACGAGAACCCAAGGGAGAGATCGTCGATGGTGTCCCCCTGCCGCGGTGAGTTCATGTGACCTTTGAACTATGACCTGAATCTGGATTGATGAATGACTTTACGTCACTTGGAAATTTCCCCCCTGCCTTCTATTATTTTATATTTTGTGAAGATTATAAATACAGCTATTTGTTGACTTGTTGCCAAGTGGTTAGGGTTTGTGACTCATGATTTGAGGGTCAGGAGTTCGAATCCAGCTGCTGGACCATGTGTTGTGTCCTTGGGCAAGCCACTTTACCCCCACTTGCCTCTCTCCACCTAGGAGTATAAAAGGGGCAGTGTGGCCTAGTGGGATAGGGTTCGTGACTCATGATCAGAGGGTGAGGGGTTCGAATCTAGCTGTTGGCCATGTGTTGTGTTCTTGGGCAAGCCACTTTACCCCCACTGGCCTTTCTCCACCTAGGATTGTAAATGGGTACTGACATTAGCTGGGGAGTAACCTGTGATGGACTAGCATTCCATCAAGGAAAAAAATAGAAATGTTCTTTGCAGTTTCATGCCAAGAAAACGGGGGAAAAAAGGGACGCAAAATTAAGCATGACGTGCCATATTGGATTAAGACTGACCCATGGCTGGGTAGCTAAGTTTGTAGAGCACTGGAAGGGCATGCCAGAGGTCTGGGGTTAGAATCCAGCATTAGAGATTTTTTTGTAAATTCCCTTGAGTTTTACATTTAGTGATTTCTCGTTTCCATACAGAGATTTGAATCAAGATATGTATTGATTATTTTTATTTGATTTTTCCAGATCATCAAAGAGCAAACTCAAACTGAAGGAAATCAAGCGGTACTCGATACCAAACCATCTTCGTTGGATGCTGAACAACAAGAACCAAGTGGAAGAAGTCAAGTAAGTCTTAAAGCTGCCTCACCGGGACCAGACCAGGCTTGGTTTTGCTCATGTACCACACAGTAACAGTCAGGGCCTCAGACTTGATGTCTGTGGTGGAATCCTTAAGGGGTGGGTTTCAGTCCATCCAGAAAATGGTGAGACTTTCTTTGAAGAGCGAAGCCAGGACTTGAACACGTTGGCATATTTAGGGGGCCATGGTACCATGCCCCCCTCCCCCCAATGTGTAAATAAAAATAGGTGTTATCAGCAGAGCCTCACTAGAGGGAGTGTGTGGGAGTGGGTTTATACCCTTTTTTAGTTGTTTGTTGGTAAAATCGTCCTGTTGACAAATAGTGTGTTTATCGCCAAATATGGCCAAGTTCGGGCAAAGACCATTAGTCGACTAGTGGTTGATTTGTGACGTACCTTACGCCTGCGCACTGATAGCAACGTGCGAACGTCTCTAGTCAAACGCTGGTCAAAATGTCAAAACTTCTGGATCCTGGCTCTCTGCTAGCATTATGAATGTGCGCGGCTGTTGGTTACCAGCGATGCAACCAGCCCCAGTAGGTTGGTTCCAAATAGTTGACTAGCGTAGTCAACCACCGTCGACTAGACAGAGTTTGGGCAAGCGTTAGTCGAACTATGGTTAACCATTGGTCAACTATAGTCAACTTGGCCTTAGCTGCAACAAAGAGTGCCACTTATTGTTTGATTTTGTCTATGACTGTCTGCTATGAACAGAGCCCCCAATATAGTTGCATGTGTCCAGCTCCCCCCCCCCCCTTCAGTTTTTTGATATTGTGGTGGGTGGTTGACCTGGAACTACATCATGGCTACCTTTCAGCATGAAGAGTCTGCTTTCCCCCCCTCCCCCCCTCCCCCCCTCCCCCCCCCCCCCATCAGCAAAATGCTGCATACGCCACTGCTTGAACACCTCGAGTAGATGTTGCGGGGCTATGCATGGACAGATGAGAACATGTACTTAAGTCATGTACTCTAAATTTCTGTGAACTTTGAGTGTTATACATATTGGAGCTCCTTGTGCATAGGCCACAGGCACCATATGCTGTTCCAGCACGGAATCCATATTGCATTGTCTAGGACTTGGGCAATTAGAACAGGCATGCAGTGTGTTCTTGGATCTGCTGATTTCCTCTTTTTTTTCACTTATGGGTGGCTAGTGCGTAAAGCGCTTGCCTCTCACCACTGTGGCCCTGGTTAGTTCCCAGCTAGGACCATATGTGACCCGCTCTGCAAAAATGAGTCACATGTCTCCAAAGCCACTTTTGAGCTAAAGGTCTTTGAAAGAATGTTGCACAGTGTTTAAGCAATTGGAATCCTCAACATTTTAAATTCTACACAATGTCCATTTTCATCAAACCAAACTGTTGAGGATTCCAATTGCTTAAACACTGTGCAACATTCTTTCAAAGACCTTTAGCTCAAAAGTGGCTTTGGAGACATGTGACTCATTTTTGCAGAGCGGGTCACATATGTGAGTCGAGTTGTGCATTGGTTCTCTCCTATGCCTCAAGGGTTTTTCTCCAGGCCATCTGGTATTCCTCCCTCCGGAAAAATCAAACGCTTTCAATCTCTGCCTGTGCTCCTGGTCATATATCGGTCGTATGGCTGGCTGCCATAGGCGCCTTTACATGCCTGCGGCTCGGCCACGTTGTAGCCGCGTCCTTTGCAATTCAGCTTCTCAGCTGCTCATAAGGATGATTAGCCTCCCAAATTATTATTATTATTGTTATAATTATTATTTTGATTTTGTTGCTTCCCAGGTGCATTCCTGTTATAAAAACCTAGGAACATGCTGACAATGGGTGTAGCCATACTTCTGGATTGAACCCGAGATAAATTGTTCCTTTGTGAGGGAATAATTTGCAGAATTGTGTATGCATTCATTCATTTTTTTCTTCTCTTTGACCATGACTCAGGAAGGACATCCAGCCGGCCTTAGCCTGGTCCAACTACAGCCACAAGCTGTCCACCTTGCTGCACATTGAGGAATGTCAGATGGAGGTGGACATCAAGCGCTACGACATGAGAGGGGTCACCATGAAACAAGACAGCAGATTCCTCAGACTTCAAGTAAGCTGAAGGCCAAACACTGTAAACTCAGGCCACTGACTCGGACTCAGACAATTACAACCACATTGCAACAAGCTGACACTGGATGTAGCAGTAGCTCTGGAAAGCCTGTTTCATGCTAAGCTCCTTAACCCTAACCCCCTAGGCCCTTTTGGCTAGGAGCCATCCTCAATCCTGCAAAATCCTCCAATTGTCACCTTGCAAAAATTTGATTCAGCCTCAGTCCTCCAAAATCATCTGTTTGTTGTTGAACATGTTCAGTGGAGGGATGACCACTGCCAAAGTCTTTCGAAATCCTCCAACAATCACTGTTAATGGGTTGAGGCTGTGTCTGTGACATCCAGAAACAGTGCGGACGATATCCAGTTTAACGTGGGCCTCAACTATGTGTGGCTCTACATAAACAATACAGGGCACAGGCTAAAACCTCAAAATCATGTATCCTCCAAAATCAACGGATACTATTTGCCATTCAGCCTCAATCCTCCAAAATCCTCCAAAACAGCCTGGTTGATGTTTGAGGATTGAGGAGGGTTAGGGTTTACAACTTTGGAGGGGGGGGGGGGGGGTTCATTCTATAAATTTAGGGTCCATGGTGTGACATTTTTCCTGTCCCTGTTACCTTGGTACTTTGTAATATACCATTCAAGTATCATTAAGAATAACCTCAAAATACTTTTTTTATTTGTTGGGTAGGTACTTTGCTATGCATGATCACTCTTGGAGTACAACTGCATCAGAACTATAAAGTCATTGATGTCGGATGTAGCATGGACATTTTTTTTGACAGCAAAAAAAGTGAACCCCAAATGTATAGAATGACTTGGATAACAAGGGGTGGAAAATTCACTTAGGAAAGCCAGCTAGGGAGATTTTGCTTCCAAACTCATCACCACAGTGTTCCCTGAAATGTTGCTGTTGGTATTGAAAGGCTAAATTCTCCTTTTTCTTGCAAAATTCCAAACTTGTTTCTATCTTGAAAAAAACCCTAAAACTTGAGTGACCTGGAATATGCAAACTGTTTTAAAACCCTAACTCTCCCTAGCGTCTTTTACTAGGAACTGGACCAAGTCCATCAAAATCCATCAATCACTGTGCGTCCAATACAAAACTGCACATGACATAATGATTGACATGATGACTGACGCACTGGTTGACATTCATGGACTTGCTACACATGGCTTTTATCACAACAGCAGTACAGGAAGCTAGGCAAAATCAATCGGATACCCCTAGCACTGCTTCGGGGCATTAGGCCCCAGTCCATCATAACTCCATCAATATTTAGTCACGCCAGGCCTCCTGGACCAAGTCCCCCAAAATCCACCAAAATGATGGGGGGGGGGATGGATTTTGATGGAGAAGGGGTGGTTAGGGTTAAGTTAGATTGGTGTTGCAATCCTAGAAAATCTTTCCAAAGACAACAGAGACAAATTTGGTTGTGATGAAAACACCAGGCCCTACAACAACAACAAAGAACTAAGGGCATGTATGTTATCACCATTGACAGATCCCAGGTCTTGCGGAGAATCGCCCCTCGGTTCTCAAGGGAGATCACCTCTTTGCTCGTCCCAGCGGCGACCCAGCAGGCAGCAAGACTTACAAGGGCTACGTCCACCGTGTGGAGATGGAGGAAGTAGTGTTGGGTTTCTCAAGGGAGTAAGTTCCTGTCTCTTTAATTAATTCCTGTTTTTTTGCATTAAAATGTTGGTAAAGCAGGATTGACTGGCTGTGATTGTTATGAAACCTGATAAAGCTATGCTTTGACTGTGGGAGATTGATATGCCAGCTGTTCCTACCAGTCACCTGCTTTTGTCTGTTGATGGAATTTGACTAGTCACATTGCTTACTGAAATATGATCTGACTGTTGGTGACTAGCCTGTGTAAAAGGCATGGCAGGGGAACAAGATTGAATTTCTGACTGTCTGTGACTGATCAAACAAAAAGAGGGTTAATAAGGTCTTGACTTCTGGTCACTGGCGATCTCACTTCAGACCGTGTTATCTCAAAAATGTTAGGATTGATTGGAATACATGTACTACAACCCTTTGTCCTATCATTTGTTCTTTCCAGATTGACAGACAAATTTGCCAAGGGTCTGAAGTTTGACATTGAGTTCACCTTCAACCGTCTGCCCCTGCGCTTCCAACACAACGCTTTGGATGACGCCTCAAATCACGATATCGGAAGGGTGCTGTTTCCCTCCAAGACTGACATTGGGACAAAGAAGAGACTTTGTGATGTGCCTGATGACATTGAGTAGGTCTTGGCTAATTTTGATTAACCCTAGCCCCTTGGCCCTTTTGACTAGGAAACCATCCTCAATCCAGCAAAATCCTCCAATTGCCACTGCGTAAAAATTGGATACAGCCTCAATCCTCCAAAATCATAGGCTGTTTCTTGAATTTGTTCAGTGGAGGGTGACCATTACCTCAATCCTTCAAAAATCCTCCAACAATCACTGTAATGGGTTGAGGCAGTGAGTGCCGATGACATTCAGAAGCAGTGCGGATGATGTCGAGCATAATGCAGGGCTCAGTTATGCATGACTGAACATAAACCGGGTACAGCCCACGGAATCAACACAATGCATCCTCCAAAATCAACCAACCCTTTTTTGTCATTCAGCCTTAATCCTCTATAACCACCTGGAGGATTTTGGAGGATTGAGGAGGGTTAGAGTTAATTCCGCCTCTTTTTAGTGTATCTTTATTTTGCTTATCAGACAAAATATGCCAGTACCCTTCAAATGGAGTGCATCAGAGAATGCAAACACCCATCTGCAATGACTCCAAAAGACTCCAAATGTTCCAGGTTGCACCTAACCAAACAGTTTCAAAAAATTTGAATTATGTTCATGAAAAGTTCATTTGTGACCGGTTTTAAGCATTGCTGTTTAAACACTGGCCGGTGATTTATCAGCTGTTTAAAACTTACAACATGAGGGGCTCTCGACCCATAGGAATGGGTAAACTGTCTCAGGTATTTATGAATACTGCTTCTTGCCCTTCAAGCTCTAGGAACTCATAACCCTAACTCCCAAGGCCTTTTTGCCAGGATGTAGCCTCACTCCTGCAAAATCCTCCAATTGGCCTCATGGAAAAATAGCATATTGCCTCAATCCTGCAAATTCCATTGAATATGGTCCATGGAGGGGTTACCACTGCCTGAATCCTGCAAAATCTTGCGGCAGTGACTGTCGATATGTTGAGGCTTGGCCAGTGACATCGTGGAGCAGTACGGAGGATTTCAAGCATAATCCAGGCCTATATTTATGCATGGCTGAGCAAAAACAACACAAGGTCTGGCCCAAGACCTTGACAAAGTGCATCCTCCGAAATCAGTAACGCACTTATGCCATGTAACCTCAATCCTCCAGATTCCTCCACTTTGGCAAAGAGGATTTTGAAGGATTCAGGGCGGTTAGTGTTAAAAAAAAAAAAAAGTATTAGCATGTACACTACCACAATACAAATTCCATAAAAATAATTACCCATCGTTTAATTTCAGGGAGTTTGCCAGACGATTCTTTGACAAGAAGCTTGCCAGTAACATAGAGCAGATCAAGGCGGTCCAGCATATCGTGACGGGATCCTCCCGCCCTGCACCATACCTCGTCTTTGGTCCACCGGGCACCGGCAAGACAGTCACCGTTGTGGAGTCAATCAAACAGGCAAGGCTTGTGATTAGACAACGGGATAACAGGGGAAAGGGCCAGTCATAGAGGGAGAAAGCTGACCTAGAAAATGGGCAAGAATTTATTGGAATACAGTAAACTCCCGTCAAGTCGAATCTCAAGGGAATGGATAAAACATTTGAGGCATCCGGAGTTCGAGTTAAGCCCGATTTGTCTATTGTCCTCTCATCTACAGGTACATGTATGTACATCAATGGCTCCCACTTTTTTTTTTTTGACCACAAGGTATTTATGAATGGTAATAACTATGTGCTTGGCAGGTATTAAACAAGTACGTTTAAAACCAGCTAGGGAGCCAGTTTTAAATGTACTTGTTTAAAACCGACCAAGCACATGGCTATTTTCACCAAAAAAACCTGATTAGATAAGTAGACAAAATTTAACAAGCAATGCCTCAAGGTTAAAACTTGAGGTACCTCACAAAACCTTGTAAAACCTCAAGGTGAACCTCAATGTGAACCTCAATGTGAACCTCATGGTAAACCTTAAGGTGGAACTCAAGGTGAACCCCAAGGTAAACCTCAAGGTGAACCTCAAGGTGAACCTCAAGGTGGAACTCAAGGTGGAACTCAAGGTGAACCTCAAGGTAGAACTCAAGGTAAACATCAAGGTAAACATCAATGTGAACCTCAAGGTGAACCCCAAGGTAAACCTCAAGGTGAACCTCAAGGTGAACCTCAAGGTGAACCTCAAGGTGGAACTCAAGGTGGAACTCAAGGTCAACCTCAAGGTAGAACTCAAGGTAAACATCAAGGTAAACCTCAATGTGAACCTCAAGGTGAACCTCAAGGTGAACCTCAATGTGAACCTCAAGGTAAACCTCAAGGTGAACCTCAAGGTAAACCTCAAGGTAAACATCAATGTGAACCTCAAGGTGAACCTCAAGGTGAACCTCAAGGTGAACCTCAAGGTGAACCTCATGTTTAATTTTGCATTCTGCTGTTACAAATTTAGGCCAAAACGAAGTTCTATTTTATGTCTTGGTCTTGTTCTTCAGGTTTACAGTACGATGCGCGGTAGTCGCATCTTAGCCTGCGCCCCTTCCAATAGCGCCGCCGATCTCATAGCAACCAGATTGTTGACTGGCGGGACGCCGGTTGCCAAGACAACCGTCATGAGACTGAATGCCCAGAGTCGTGATTGGAGAACGGTGGATGAAACGTTGAAGGTTTGCAGGACATGTCGAAGATCTGAACTCTAATAACAAGCAGAGTTATAAAAATGTGGCCAGCACCAATCCAACTTTTATATCCCATGGCTTTATTTTTAAATTGTTAAAAAACTTTAACCCAAACTACTTGAAATTAGTATACAAATATAACGTGGCTTCCGCCCTCTTTCATGTTGTTTGGGTGATGTTCAAACGTGTGCACTTCCCCTGTGCGATAGTTCCGTGATTGCTTAGTATAGTGCATGCGCAAGCACTATCGTATGTGTAACCCATGTGATAGTTGACTGCACATGCGTATTTACCCTGTGCATGAATCCTCGCATGCCTACTTGGTAAATAACAAAACTGGTGGCAGACAACCGAGTGTGAATGAACCGGTCAGAATTCGCTTCTCGCTCTTGTATGTATTAGGCATAGTAATTAGGATATTTAAAGAAATGTACATTCTTTTTGCGACATCATTGTGTACAGTCTGGGATTTCTGCATGAAAATGTTATTCTGAAAAGCATCTTCGTGCAGAATGTAAGTTGATTATTTGGTGTTCAAATTGAATGTTTTTCTTACATTTTTGTACAGGAGAAAGAGGTTTGCAACTATGACAAGCAGGGATCCAGAGACACATTCTACCCTCCAAAAGACGAACTCTTGGAGAAGAGGATCTTGGTCACAACGCTGTGCACAGCAGGCAGGTAATAAGAATGTTTTTCATAAAACAACCCAGTATTGCAGAACAAAGAACGGACCAGACTATTTCACAATTACTTATAATACTTCAATCCTCATTTAATAGCACTCCGCACAAATGACGTCAATTTTGCTGCGCGCCGTTCGCGCGCATGCCAGACAAACTTTGGAACAATCACACGCGCACATGCATGCACACCTGGCTGCATACATTCGAGAAGTTCATACAGCACGCTCGTCTGAGATCCGGGTACTTGCTTCTATTTTTAACATTAGTGTGGAGTGCTATTAGAAATTAAGAAATTCTTTAAGATAATATACAACATCTGCTTTTGCTGTAATTTTTAGAAAAGGACGGATTTGGGGGTTAGTAGTTGATAGCAAATATTGTTACACTGACATATTTAAAGTTTTGTTCAAAGAGATGCCGGAAAAAAAAAAAACAAGAAAAAAAATGCTGCTCTTGTAGTCTGGTTTCCTGGCACTACTTCAGATCAAACGGAGCAATTTATAGATGTTGGAAAATTGTCAGATCAGGGAACCAGACTAGCTGGCTTGCATCCGTTCACAGATGTGTAACCAATTGCAAACAAAATATGGACTAACTAAATCTGGTAAATTGAAGGCATTTGAAAAAAAGTCAGTTTTTTTTCCCAAAGATGGTCGACTGACCATTATTAGAAATTGATACCAAAAATCCACTTTTCTTGAAATTGACAGCACACCAAGTGCCATGATTTTACAGGATGCTTTAGACTGTCGTTCACTAACTGTCCAGTAAGGTATTTCATAATAATTTGGTAGTTTTGTTTTTTGCTGTTTGCAAAGAGTTGAATCATTAAAGTTGTCTGTGATTGTGTCTCTCACGCAGGCTTGCCACTGCTAAGGACTTCCCTTACGACCACTTCACTCACGTCTTCATTGATGAGGCCGGTCACGCTGTAGAACCAGAGGCCATTATATCCCTATCCAATCTCGTGAATCCAAACCACCCCCATGGAGGTCAAGTGGTACTGGCCGGTGACCCCAAGCAGCTGGGACCCATCCTCAGGTCACCGCTGGCCCTGGAACATGGACTAGGTAGGTACGGCAGCTGGCCTGCAACATGGACTAGGTGGGCACTACTGGCCCTGGAACGTGGACTTTTTGGGTACCTGTGGCAAAATTCACGAAATTCTGTGAAATGTATGTCATTGCTTGGGTCATGACACACAAGGCAATTTACGGGCAACTTGTTCTGGGCAATATCCAAGAAGAAAACAACAGGCAATTTTCTAATTCCATGTACTGTTTTAAGGAATTTGAAAATTGTTGGAAAAAAGTAGGTTGTTCTTCGTGATGAGGGTTCCTTTACCTTAGCTTGTGGTTTGGCCCTAAGATTGACGCAATGCTTTATTGCAATGCTTTAAAAAATGGAAAAACTGCACAAAATTCCATAAAGCCATCATTGAATAGCTCTTGCCATTTTGAAAACATTTTTTTCCTCTATCTTTCAATAATTAGGCGCAACTCTCAAAGGCTTTTGCCCTTTACTGGTAAACCAGCATCCTTTATAGCCTACCTCCTACAAAAACGGAATCCTACAAAATCCACCATTGTGCAGGAACCCAATTTTATGAGCTTGATACTTGTTTACATTTTATATACTTTAAACCCATATAAAGTAAGAGTGGTTCAACTCTACCTTCTTGAATCCTGCAAAATCCTCTGAAACATTTTTTTGGATTTTGAAGGATCTAGGAGTGTCAGGCTTAATGGCTATGACTGTGACTTTGATCTCCTTTCATTTTCACTGCTCAGGTCTGTCCCTCCTGGAGCGGCTCATGACGGAGTCCGCCCCTTACCAGCGACACGACGAGGAGCCGCATTACAACAGCCGCGTCCTGACCAAACTGCTGCGTAACTATCGCTCCCACCCCGCCATCCTAAAACTGCCCAATCAGATGTTCTATGCAAATGAGCTGGAGGTCCATGCAGATGAGGTGGTGAGGAACTCCCTGTGCGGTTGGGACAGACTTCCACAAAAGGTCAGGTTCTAATTTAGAACTTAATTACTTACTTATTTATTTATTTAGTATTTCGTATCTGGCTGGGATATGAAGAAGGAAATTGCAGTTAAGTGGTGGGAGAAAATCTCTGGCATGACATTCCAGGGAAAACGCACCAAATCAAGAAGGGACTGAAAACCCAATCCACATGTTGGCCCAGGCAGGATTCGAACCTGGGTCACAGCAATGGAAGGCGAGGAAAGTGACATCACACCACCCTGACCCCCAGCACTGTATAAAGGGTATTTTATGATGAAAAGTTTCCTCTTTACGCAAACAAAATGGCTTTTTGAAACAGAAAAGAGGTCTCAGGGTTTTTTTTTTTTTGCTGCTAAGCAGAAAGTTATATTCTGTAGTATTTTTAATACTCCAGCACATGTGCAAACTATATCGCCATTTTTGTTTTGATTGCATGAAAATCTACGGATTGTAGATATGGTTACCAATGCTCCCATAGACTTGTGTGCATTTATCTGTTGAGCTTATTTTCCCGACTGAAACTTGTCACATCTTGATGTGCACATGCACTGTTGGAATACAGACGTGACTTATTGACTGCTCTGAGTAGGCTACACAAGGCTGTCTAGAGTTCTTGGACACAGCATCTACTAACCATGGTCTCTCCTCTAACACCCATTTCCGATTTCTTTTCAATAGTCATGCCAAACTAACTTCTTCCAAACTTCTGAATAAATCATGGAAAATTTGACATTTGAAACAGCTAGGAGTGACTTCATTTAAAGAACGAGTGTTGTCCTTTGAAACAAATGGGTTTTAATGGAATGGCAAATCAAAGTTCCCTTGTCTGAAACTGAAATCTATTTGAGCCGACCTGAGTTTGTTCCCTAAATATGTGACTCTATATCACAAAACCAGTCTGAAGTCACAGCGGCCGTATTTTGAGATACAGTCTGTAATCAGAATTCCGATTTCGGTGTTAGAAGCTAGAATAATGAATGTTTTTACTTTCAATTAAGTTAATTTGTAAATTTCCCAAGGACTTCATTTGGGAAACTTCAACGACAAATTTATCGATTTTTCTTTCAAACTTTCCAAGATCCAAAAATTCGGAACTGAAAATACCTATACCTCTGTCAGATTTTGTTTGACTCTCATATTCCGTACATCACTACAAAGCTTATTCAATGTCCTTTCCAGTGAGCTTAAAATCCAAGTCTTTCAAACATTGGTCCAGAGACTGGTTTCGTGCTGGAGAGTCACATATTTGATTCAGTGCGACTCTTAAATGCCAGTCGGAAATGTGTGTGACACTGTACATCACCTGTTTCCCCGTAGGACTTTCCCATTTTGTTCCACGGGGTGGAAGGTAAAGACGAGAGGGAGGGACAGAGCCCCTCATTTTTCAACTCGGCCGAGGTGACGATCGTCGTGGAGTACGTGGAAGAACTGCTGGCCAAGCGAGGGGGGCGAAAAATCAAGGAATCAGACATTGGAATTATTTCACCCTATCGTCGACAGGTCAGTGAACTTTTAAACTTGATTTTCTACTTTTCTTGCTTGTTTTTATACTTTGATGCCTCCGTTGTAATGTCAGATCTGGTTTGGCAGTGTCTGTTCCTTTGCAAGTTGTTGCTTTTTGGTTTCTTTTTTTCTCTTCTTATTTTTTAAAAGGGGAGAAGTAGAAATAAAGTACAATTGTGCAAAATAGTGAAATTCAGGTTGGATGCTTTACAGGTTATCTTGCTGAATATCCTATAAGGAAATGCCTCTTAATTCTATTAATTTCCTTTTGGGGCATATATGCACTGCCTGAAGACACCACAGGATTATGTTCAAATTCTGGACTCCTAACTTATTGAGCAAAGCTTACTTGGAATACAGATGAGACTAATGTAAAACACCAAATAAAATTACTCCATGTGATATGCCCTGACATTATTTGCAAATGATCCACTACGTGGCACGGTAAATTTGTATGCTAAGTTTGCAAAATCTTTGACTTAGTTTAAGATCGCAAAGATTTTACATAATGAAAGAAAATCTTGAATTTTTTTTATCGCCAAGGTGCAAAAGCTGCAAGCCGTTCTGAAGAAGCGTCACCACGGCGACATCAAGGTCGGTTCGGTTGAGGAGTTTCAAGGTCAAGAGAGATTGGTCATCATCGTCTCCACGGTCCGCAGCACCAAACCAGAACACATCCAGATGGACATAGATTATAAATTGGGATTTGTCAAAAACCCTAAGGTTGGTTCATTATAGAATGACTTTACTGTTCATTCAATTTTTATCTTATGTCGTCCACATGGATACAACATTAATTTCCATGTAGGTGTCACTTGCACATGCATGGACTTGCACATGCATGTCACATGCATATCACATGAGTGTCACATGCATATCACATGAGTGTCATATGCATATCACATGAGTGTCACATGTATATCACATGACTGTCATGGGTCTTTCACTTGCCTGTTGCATGACTTTCACATGGTCCTCTCATTTCAGGATTAATATCTGTCTTATGATCTTCGTATCGACATGTCATGACTTTTGAACAGTTGTCACATGCCTGTCACATGACAGTGGCATGTTTTTTTCATGTAGCCTCCACATATATCGGCATGATGTTCCCAGAAATGTGAAATAACTTTTACATGAGTGTACAATTTTTGGACTGAACTGCAGAAGAACACCAAAAATGAAAAGGGCATTTTATATTTATCTGTTGTCTTCGAAGGCGCTTTTTTTCTTACATTCATTGTTTTGTCCTATTGCTGTTAGGTTATTGTTTACTGAAATTCTGCCCTTAAAAGTCTCTAATGTTACATGAATGTGGTTCTTCCTTTCAGAGACTAAACGTGGCCATCACTCGAGCTAAGGCACTGCTGGTATTGGTTGGTAACCCATACATGCTTAGCAAGGACGAATGCTGGAACAAGTAAGCAATTTTTTTTTACAGTAGTTTATTGGATAGGCAAGCCTGTGTCACTTTTTGGTGCAAGGACAAATGTTGAAGATTTCCTTGGTTTGACGTAACTAGTGTAAGGAGCAGCATGAAACATGTTTCAATGCATTGTCCTTGTTTACAAATTCAATAATAATAATCAGTGATTCTTGTATAGTGCCAAGTCTGTCAAAAACTGACGCTCAAGGTGCTTCACAGAAATACAAATAAACCAGTTAAAATTTAAAACAATGTAAAATTATACCATGAAAAACCTTTTTAAAAAAAATACAAGTACCGGTAGGTGTACATAATGTGCATTGTAAATTAAACTATTCATGCATTTTTTTCGTTTCTAATAATAACGCCACTCCAAATCCGAAGAAGAATGTTCAAAACCTAACCTGGAGTTTCTGCTCAGTGGATATTACACTTTTTGAGAAAACATTGAAAAACCATGCACGACCTATTGATCACGGAACATGATTAGAGACTTTAAAGGGCAGAATTTCAATAGCATTCTTTATTCAAAAAAACATTCAAATAACTTGTCGGTCACACCATGAAGTGAGGTATCGTGTGCACAAAGTCCAAAGACAATATGTCACTTCGTGGTGCACCCAACGAACTGATCATTGGAAATCACCTACACGTCTTGATTCCTTCTAAATGACAGCTAGCCTTGCGGAATAATTTCACAGGGTGTTTAGTACCAGTACGATCTGTAATCCGAGTGAGCCTTTCGATAATAATTTGGTAGGTTACTTTTGGGATAAATTAAAAACTTATTTGCTCCAAGGTTTCTGCGTTACTGCTTGGAGAATAACGCCTACACTGGATGCCACTTTGAAGAAGATGAAGATGCCTTGGAAGATATTATTCAAAAGCTGGACACCTTGAAACTCAGCGATCTGGGTGAGTTAGAGAAACAAAAACAAACCCAGAAACTCTACTTTCCCCCCTTCTACATAGTGGTTCATAGCTTGAGGTTATGAACATTTGTCACAAGTTCACTGGAGTCGTGAGTAAAGTTAGTAAATCTACAGAGCAGGCCCGGGATGGGGGGGGATGGGGGGTATATAACCCCCACTTTTTGACCTGGGGGATGGGCTATGAATCATCAACCCCTGCCCCCCACTTTTTCGTGATGAGAAATTGAAAAAATGCGAAGGAAACTGTGCCAAATAATGTGTCCATTGCGTGTGGAAGCCAGTTATGTACGAACATGCACATGTAGATGACATCGTCGTGTCCGTAAGTTTCAGAATGTCAAAAGGTCATACCTCACTGAAAACAACCCAGATGTACACATAAAGTCTAGGGACATCGAGAATCGGAGATACGACACAAGATACGACCTTGTTGAATGGACCGTATTCGCGCGAGATATGACTTTGTTGCAGAATGGAGTTACGACCTTGTTGCCATGACGCGACGACACGACTGTAGAAAAATTTGAAACCTTGCTTAACTCTAATTCCATATACCTTAAATTTTGTATCCATTCTCTTGAGATTCGACTTAACAGGACTTTTTGTTCTGAATTTGCGAATATCATCAAGTCATTTTTGTGTTTGTAGTGGACAAACCTGAAGTCAGTGAGGACCAAGGAGTCAGTGCAGTCACCGAGCAGCTTGATCCTGAATGGAAAGGGGACTTGTGAGCTGAGATGATGGTGTCAATCTGTCCGTCCGACTGCAGTGAGATACTTGTAACATCAAGATGCCCATCGGGATTTCACAGCAGGGTTTGAATTTTCATTTTCTTAGACCAGTTTGCGCCTGTATTATTTGAACAAGAAAGGAACGAGGCGCGGGATTACTTTTCACTTGACCTCAAGCCAGGCGGGTTGAAGCCATCACCCTCGGGCAGCACACTCATATTTCCGGCCTCGCTTGCTGCGGGCGGGTCGCTGACAGATATTTCCGGCCTCGCTCCCTGGGTGTTAATCCGTCATCCGTTCCCAATACCGCAAAACCTTTGGGTGTATACACGTCATCCGGCGTGAACTGAATAAAGGCACTTAGGAACATTTGCAATAACCCGGAAACATATCTACTGATTTAACAAGAAAATCCTTGCCCGAAGTGAAGATAGGACTGATACCAAGTACCCTGTGAAATTAGTCCAATTGAAATGAAATCATTTGGAAGAAAACGATCATTGATGTGCCCACGGGCACAGTTTTCTTTACATCAATGGAATCCAGTTAGGAGTGCCCCAAAAATTGTGAGCCCGTTTTCCCTTTAGTCTCAAAATTGTAGAGTAACCACTGAGCTGAAACTTAGTTGTTATGCGCTCTTCTTAAGATTTTGAGCAAAAAAATATGCTGCTTCAAGCGAGGGAAACGTACAAAAAGCAAATGAACCTATGTGCCTTAAAACACTTGCCAGTCAGGCAGGGAAGTCTGAGAAAAAAAAATTCCCCGAAAATTTTAAATTCTGCCAAATGAGATCTTTTTCCAATTTTCAAAACACTTTTATATTTTTATCAGGGCAGAGTTCAACCTGAGTCAAAGAATTCCTGTCCTTGCAGTTTGTCATCCCATGCAGCTTGTAAATACTTTGCAAAGACTCTTATACTTTTTACTCAATAAGTTCTCATTTTTTAAAACGAATGTAGTGTTTACGTAATTGTTAAACTAACCCTAACTCCCTTGCCTTTTTTGCTTTGAAAATGCTTCAATATGTCAAAAAATGCATAAGTTGGACGATGTACAAAAATGTACGACATTTGGCCCTCGACACTTTTGTTAAAGTGGTCATAATCCAATCAATTTGCTGCAAAAGAAGGGTCAGATATTTGCATATTTGGGTAGTTTGGGTTTTTAAAGAATGGAACCGAGCAAATTTTGTTCAGATTTCTTCTTATCCTGTACAGATTTTTCATTGCTTCATTTTACCTCTTTGAATGTATTCACTTCGTAATCAGTGTGTAGACAGACTACAGCTACAATTTTAAATTCATTTTATCGTTTTAAATTTTGTTTGGATGCAGGAATATTTGAAATGTCATTTCACCTTAATGTGTTTTTGTCAGAATGTTATAAACACTGCCAGAAAAGAAAGTCCACACTCACTGGAGGGGTCATAATTTTGAATCTGATCGTCTTATGACATCATTTATATAGACCTTTGGGGAATTTTGTTAGCTACATTTTGATACCCTGTTTGCTACCAAAGACTGTAGTTTGATGCAGTTTGAAAAGTTGCACATTTTAAGATTACGCGAGGGGAAATTGTTGAGTGCAAACACACACATGCTTGTAATTGGCCCCTATCGACCGCACAGTGCCCGAACAAAGTGCAGGTAATTCAATTTGTGTGCTCCCATGCATGCAAGCACTGTGCGACCGATATTCCCTGCCGTTTGTTTCGGGCAGTGTAACATTGTCACGCAGCAATACTCGCGACCACTCGCGTACTCTTTAAATTTGCAACTTTTCAAACTGCATCATTTTTCATAAACCGTTGTCGATGGTGGATGATTAATACAGTCTTTGGTAGCAAATGGGGTTTCAAAATGTAGCTAACAACATTCCCCAAAGGTCTATACCAATGACGTCATCATAAGATGATCAGATTCAAAATGATGACCCCTCCAATGAGTGTGGACTTTCTTTATTTGTGTGCTATGTATTTTAGAATAAGCCCATTTTGTGGAATATAAAAATTGTCTGTTGTAGACCCGTTATTTTTAATGATCAATTCAAGATCTTGCCATATGTTTTTAATCAATTCAAAATACTCTATGGATGGAAAGGACTGCTTAATTCAACCTTGCTTGTAAATTGCAACAATTTCTTATTTTTAAAACAATTGACTAATTAGTAATTGGCAAGTCTGATACCACTAGAGGGCAGCACAAGGAAATTTCAAAGTGACTCTGTGCTTTTGAATAATTTTTTTTAAACCAATTTCATCTCTTTTGCTGAACATTTTTAAAACCTAATCCACATGACTTTTTAAATTTTGGAATTTGGTGAAAATGTTCTCAAAGTACTGTATAAAAATATACTGACCTCCAATTCTAGTGAAGGATGTATATTCACTCTATTTTTTATATGATTGTCATTCCAATGTTTTCTGATCGTCTCACTGGGAATAAAATGTTGAATTAACTGTATTGTGCTAACAATTGGTTGTCGGTGTTATTTTGTTTTCCTTGTTTTTTACATTGTTTTCCTCTATGCGATTTTAAACATATTCTTGATCCTTGTCATGTAATATTAGCCATCTTTATTTTTCAACACAAAGAAACGATGGCCACCGATGATGATTTTAAGGATAGTTCTTGGCAAGAACTTTATTTAACTGTATTTAATAATTGACATAATTTCCAGCGCCTTGAGTACCTTATTGTTAGTAGATACGTGCGCTATATAAGACTCCATTATTATTATTATTATTATTGTTATAAAGCCTAGTTTCCATATTGACATAAGAAACGTTGAAATGTCACTATCTTGCAGATGATCAGCAAACTTTGCCAGCAGTTCTGTGCACTGCGCAGTCTGCATAAGCTTAACATTGATATGGAAACTACATGTAGGCTTAAGAGAAATTGGATCAAAACAAATCTTGGAAATTATGAAATTATAATTTGTAACAACCCAGTCGAGTTACAGCATTATTACTCTCATGCGACGTCTAAATTTGGTGACCAAAATGGAAAGGGCTACCCCTTGCTAATATTTCACCTAATATCCCAATCACAAACCCGCTGTACAAAGATTTCTCAAAACAACACTTCAAATTAATCGCTTTTTAAGCACTTTTATTATGTACAAAGCTTGAATACAATATGCAGGTATAAAACAGTAGATTTAAGTTGGTTACCTCAAATCTTATACATGTACAAAAACATGTAACTTGGAACAAACACTGATCTTGGAAGAAACTTTGGAATGTTGAGCCACTTTCTCCGACATTTTCTCTCAATTTAGCTACCTCTGTTGAAAATCAAAGGCTGATGAATGTAACACTTAACCTCTTTTTGTTTCTCTGCAAGAAAGAGTTTTAGTTTCACAGCGCTGCTAAACAAATGATATTCTGTAAAATTTGTTTGTTTCAAGGAAACAAATGGAAATTTTGTTTGTTTCAAGGAAGACCGTAAGCAGTAGACTTACTTCAGTGACAGAATCTGCGTAAAATAGTTACACGGCAATATTAATCTTTATGCAAAAGAAAGTGGTGAGTTATTAGCATGTTTATAGCACAAAATCCTAAGCTAAAGTTGGCACGACTTTTTGGCTAAAGGTAGCTTCATAAAATTAGCCCAATTTTTTTTCTCCATACATTACATTTTTGCAACTTCTATATGTGATTCCTAAATCAGTACTTGCATGTACGTCCCGAGGATGAGCAAGCTAGTACAAATTCAGCAAATTTTTGAGTAATGTTCATTCATTTTTGAGTCATTACAAAAATCATCCAATTTACAACAATTACAGTGTATTAACTACACGCGGCAAGAGCCAACCATGTTTACTATGCTTCTAGCTTTGCTGCTTCTACTTACAGCTTTAGCCAATTATTGAAGTTAACTACTTTAATCAGCAATACCCTATACAGAGAACATAACAAATGTTAAAGAGGTTGTGGAATGCTCGAAGACATTTCCGTCATTTTTTGGGTATATGTAGCCTAAGGTGTGATGAAATAAAAACGACTATTGTTTCTGTCATGAAATGAGTACAAAGGGTACTTTTGAGAGCTATTTTTCAGGTCCTGTTTCGACCCGAACGTGCAATTTGTGTAAAAGTCGTCGTTGCGGGCAGCAAACAAAACACAGTAAATCGTGACGTAATAAACAGGACTCGTTTATGCTACTCTGCATCGGCAGTCCTGTTTATTACGTCACGATTTACTGTGTTTTGTTTGCTGCCCGCAACGACGACCTTTACACAAATTGCACGTTCGGGTCGAAACAGGCATGACAGGACTTGAAAAACAGCTCTCAAAAGTACCTTTTGTACTCATTTTATGACAGAAACAATAGTCGTTTTTATTTCATCACACCTTAGGCTACATATACCCGAAAAATGACGGAAATGTCTTCGAGCATTCCACAACCTCTTTAAGTCAACATACAACTGACAGAGTTAAAGCACCATCGTTGTTGAGAGAACGTCAGTGTGTTCTGCCTCGGCCCTTAACTCGCCACAGTTTGTTAAATATTCGCAAAAGAGACAATTTTAAACAACTTGCAAACTTCCTTTTTAGCAAATACACCTTGTCCAAGAAAGAGGCGGGGCTTTTTTTCAAATACTTATGTCCATATAAAAGGGGAGAATATGGGACGCCCCATTGCACTTGTATAACAATTGTGCTACTGTTTTAAGAAACGGCACTTTGAGAGTGGTTTTGAATACATGTCTGGGAAAAGCACCCTTGCCAATAAAAGCGTCTGTATTTCTGACTTTTAAAATAAAACTATCGCCTTCATAACTTCTGTAAATTTGCTTAGTGCAAAATCAAGGATTTTTCATTTACCCTTGTAGGTTTGGTAAAATAAAAAAACACTGCAATAAGTCAGCCCAGTAAACTTTACCTTTACCAATCCCCACAAATACAAAACAAAACAGTTGCAATACACTAACTTCAAGTTAAGCCTAGTTTCCATATTGAGCTAAGAAACGAAGACAGCAACGCAAACAAGACTCAAAACTGCAACGCAGACATACGGAAACATTTCATCCGCAAATGTCACTGATAACCCAGACAGACGCAAACTATAGCTCGCAGACGATTGGCAAAGTTGCCCCGCCGACGGTTCAGTGCACTGCCTGCGCAGTCCGCATTAATGTCAATATGGAAACTAGACTTTAGTCAGCTTTCGTGTCAAATATTGTTGTCACAATTTTAATTTTGGAAAACAAAGACAAAATTGTGACACAAATATTTGTACTTAATAAACAGAACTTGTTGACAGATTGATAACTCTTCCAACCTACTCCAAACACAACAATTTAATACAGAAGGCAACTCAATAAGTAATTGAAAGTAATTTGAAGGTTCCAAAGCATAGAAAACCTTGTAAATTGTCTGACCATGTGCCCCCTTGTCAGATTCTGATACATCTCAGCAAAATGCAAAGATTGTTGCTATGAACCCAACAAATTCTAGGTTTTAGCCAAAAATTAAACTGTCCAAAAAATTAAGATTGGTAAATTTCACTTTCATTACGTGAACACATCCCCCTCCCAATTCAATAAAAATGCAGTTAGTACCAATTTTGTACAAATGTTATCAAATTCCATCCGGTTTCCTTCAAATATCGTTCATATGAGCTCATGAAATCTCAAATTTTTATGCCAAATTCCTAATTTGGTCAGTTACATTCAAACACTTTTACATCATAGAACAACCCCAGTCCTACCTGTAAATTTGTGTTTTCCCAACGTAGTAAAAAGTACATGGGAAAAGAAACTTATTTTTAATACTTTTACATAAAACATATTTTGTGAACTAAACTTTGTTATACCTAAACCTATTCCAATCCAACAAGATTCAACAACAAGATTCTTACCAAGTAGCAGACAAAATGTGCCTCTGAGATACGATCCACTGTTGAATCTTAGCGGATTTTGGAAAAATCCTTACAAAAATGCCAGCGGTTTGGGTTGAAAATTGAACTAAAACTTTCAGGTTAACAAGACCAAGAATTTCCCAACATAAGACTTCTTTACGAATTTAAACTGAATACAATAGCAGGTTTGATAGGTATCTCTTCTTGGGGAAAGGGATCCAAATTCTCTTTCTATTTACATTTTGCCCAATAATTCTTGCAGATTTCATATCCACTCCCTTACAACATTAATCCCTCATCATTCAGTTTCACAGGTTTGTTCTTTCTTGGCCTAATTTTATAGTTCTGTGAGTGCTTAAATTCTGTGCCAACCCTGTCTGCACATAATCCTTACTATGGAAAGTATACATGCACATATTAAAACCAAATTCTTTGCAAACCCATGAAGTATATGTACAATTGAAATACATTTTTCTAAGATAATTCGTTTATGGCAAGCAAGACCATCCAATTGGGCCAAGAAGTGTGCCCTTCGAGTTGTAACATGGGGTCTAGAAATCTGGACACAAGACGGTTGAAGTCTGCATAAATGTAAGTCGAGAAAAGATAAGCAATATCTACAAGTTCTACTGAGATTAGGGAGCCATCTTGTGCCCAAAACTGTCAAGATGCTACGACTCTTCCATGCTTGAACAGCCCAAAAACGTTGCTTGGCAAATTAATAAGCTGAGACAACGTCAGCAGAGAACCAGCCACAAGCAACAACAATCATATGAGAATTGACCGGTAATCTGTTTTCGCTCGGAAAGTTTTTTTTTTTCGTGCTAAGCATATTTTTGTGCCTAGCAATTCCATGCAGTTGCCCCTGATTTGAATCTAATTTGGCCTCAGATCCCTCCCCCTCTACACCCCTTTGGTGATATCGTTCAGGATGAATACAATCTCTGGATGCAACAAAATATTTAATCAGAAGAACACAACAGTAAATTTTAATAAGGGAATAAATCTGTGCTTGGCCGTTATAAACAAGAGCGTTTAAAACTGGCTAGCGGATAATGGCTCTAGCAGAATCCTACCCATAAATACCTTTTCGGTCAAAAAGTCAAAATAAGTCAAAAATTGTCAATATTCCTACAATTTTACTCCCTGTTTTGTGAAACACCCCTCTGGCCAGATGGTACCGGTATGTGCCTCACGCACGTAGCATCAGAAATCTCCTTATATGTGATCACATCACTTCATCACATTTCTTGGTGTTCCAACTTCCATAATTTTTGAACTAAAGGTGGTATCAACTTGCGTTTTTTTACAGAAGTAATGCTGAGATTGTGCTCTTTTCAAATCTGTAAAAAAATATTACCAGCGTCGACAAACGACTCATTTAGCTTGATCGCATCACAATTGGAGATTGGCGTGCGGTGCATACTGTGCGATGTGGCACAGAACGCAGCGGTGTTTTTACCGGCGGTTTACAACCACCCACGTGATGGGCTCTCGACCAAGAGGAATGGGTAAACTGTCTCAGGTATTTATGAATAACTAGTTTATTTAATAACTAGCATTCCCACAAGAAGGAAGCTCCTAAATGTTAAGGTTAACTAATGTTTAACTAATAACTGTTTAACTAATAACAGTTTACAAAAGCCAAATTCAAGGTTCTCTTGAACACACTTTCGTTAGAAGCACTTAAACGTAACTGTACATTATAATACATGTGCAAAAGTACCTGTTGATATCTTTAAATGCAAAAACAGTATCAAAAATGTTTAAAATATACAAAATAGATCATCTTTACTTGAAATCAGTGTTATGTACAAAGATTACTTCCAATTACTTGGAATTGTAGTACGTTTTTAGTGCATAGTTAGACAGATATCCTTGCGTGGACATTTCAAGCATTATCCGCATCTAATCCTAGAAAACTGATAGCAAAATTTCAGCCAATGTCCTCCAGTTGTTAAATACTGTCTGTAGAATTGACTGTCTGTAAAACTCAGGAATAAAACTGGGAATTTAGAAAAACAAGGAAATTCCAAACCACACAAGATTTTGTACAGCGTTTTTCAATTTGTAAAGGCATTCATGAGAAGGGCAATTCCACGGTTACTCATGTTACATTTTTGATGTACTTTTGAGTTTCCTTGGGCTGTAATTACCTTACTGAAAAGGTTTAATAACTGTTATCCCCATGGTAGATAGAGTAGACCTAGACCTACCTAAGCACCAAAGATAACATCCAGAAAAATGTGTTATGTATGATAAACAAGACGCACAAAACCGGTTACACACGTTACGAAAATTGAACGCGAGTAACCGTGGAATTGCCCAATAGCAAAAAACGAGGAAATCAGCGGATCAGAGGAAAAGTTGCATGCCTGAGAACTAGCTGCCAATAAGACCAATCCATTAAACTGCACCACATGATGTGTTGACCAATTACACTGTCGATTACTGTGTGACATACATGTGATAAGCAACATGCAGCAACAACATGTCTACCTCCCAAGTAGGGCCGTGTATCGGAACCAGGTACCCGAGTACCCGACCGTTGATGTCAGGAACCAGTTCCAGATTATGGGATTGGGTACCCATAAACCAACTATACAAATTACTTAGTCATTTCACAGACAATGAAAAAAGAAAAAGTTTGAATGCCATTTGTGGAGAATTTTCAAAATGAAAACCAGGCTACGTGGAAAAACAAAACAGATTCATGTTTATGAAGCTTGCGAAAATGCAATTGACACCGTAAAGCTAAAGAGCTCACGGTGCAAACTTGCAATTTGCTGTATTGATGCACCGATGTGGTAGTATTATAGTGCGGACCTTGTATGAACAATGTGTTCAGCAACTTCCGAGATTAACATTTTGGAGATGGGTTTTTTAACGGGTACTCGGGTACCCATGCTGTTTTTTTTCCAATCAATTCCCGTACTACCCATAAATGCACACCCCCTTACATGCCGTGTGAACACTACCACATGGGCAACAGCATGTGTGCCTCTCAAGTCTGGCATTTGAGAGGAAGACATCTTGTGTGCGTAATGGGAGGGGTTAATAGATCGGTCTGTTGGAGGACTGTGGAATATTCAGGAATGTTTCGAAGCAAAACTGCAAGAACGCAGCTCAAGAACTTTGGTTGTTTATAATAAGGCACATTTACGCTAGATGTACTTCTTTCTTTGGGTATTCATTCTTGGGATATTTCGTCCTAAGTTGACCAACAAGATAGCAGGGCACTGCCTGCATCACCCAGAGCTGCCCGCCAGCAAAGTCATCATCTGGGAACCAGCCCATGGGCGGGTGAATCATGGGCGGCCATACAAAACCATGGTGAAGGCCCTGATGGAGGACAGTGGCGCCGCAACTGCGGATGAACTTGGGACGCTGATGATGGAACAGGTCATGTGGCGTGTCCGTCATCGTGCCCGACACAAGTAGTGAAGCTGCAGTCGACCAATGATGATGATGATGATATTCTGTCAGTCCTATGTTTATGTGATACATGCAGGACAAAGGCAGGCCAACGACTTTTTGTGCTTGAGTGGTACATGGACGGAATTCACAAAAAGTCCCATTTTGGAAAAGGGAATTCAATTTTTAAAAAACGTACCGATTATGTGCCCTGCTGCTCGTACTATACTCCCCCCGCCTCATACCTGACTACTATTCCATCTCCATCTTGGCCACGCCCTGTTGCTCATCCTCATTTTCGTCATCTTCCTCCTCCAGTTCCCACTCTGTCTCATCCCAATGTACGAAGTCCCATAAGTCCTGCACTAAACCAGCTGTGGGAGAAAGCAATAATTGAAGGTTTTTAATTTTGCTATAAAATCGCATACAAATGAAATGTAGGAACAGTTATTAAAGGGAATATACATCATTTGCTTTTGCTGTAATTTTCAGAAATGGATGGAATTGGGGGGTTGGACATATATAGCAAATATAGTTACACTGACTTTTTTGAGGTTTTGGGTTCAAAATGCTTTACAAACCAAGAAAAACCATCATTTTCCTGTAGTCTGGTTCCCTGACTCCATTTAAGAAGAAACAGAGCAGTTTACATACATTGGGGGAATTGTAAGGTCATGGAACCAGTCTAGCTGGCTTGTACCCGTTCATAGGTGTGTGATCGATTGCAAACAAGTGCGATGGTCAATTGGGGCCAGTATTTGAAAAAAAGCCAGTTTCTTTTCCAACGCTGGTCGGCCGATCAGCGTTGGAAATTGATACAAAAATACCACTTTTCTTGAAAATGACAGTGTACCAGGTGCCATGATTTTACAGGATGCTTTACACTGTCATTCACTAACAGTCCAGCAAGGTATTTCAAAATGATTTGGTAGTTTTATTTTTTGATGTTTGCAAATGTTGTATTTTCCCTTTAATACTCTCCTGTAGCTCCTATATAAAAAAAATGGAAGAAATTCAAAGATTTCAGTCCAGAAAAAGCCATCCTTTCCTTATTAGTCTTCGTGTTTCTGATCTAAAGTGAATTTTTTTTCTCCAAAATTGCATGTTTAGTCCTGATGCATATTTTTCGATTTTCCAGCATAACAGTTTTATCAACAAAGGCACTGCTATAAAGAGCAGCATATTAGGCTCATAATTTGTACAGAAAATTCCTTAAAGAGTGCTTGAGTTTTAAAGTGAAAGCCAAAATAGACCTCACAGCAAAACAGCCCTCATGGGTAAAACAAAATTGAAGCAGTGATCAGAACTTAGAAGAAAATACAGTTTAAAAACAGAATGCATTAAAATTTCTTCATCAGTGTCATACAATACAATACAGGTGTGGACATGTTTAAACAAAGGACTTTTGTTGTGAAAACTATTTTCTTTCAGTAACATGACAAGACAGAGTAGAGTCTCACTTTCATTGTCGGTCGCGTCGGGCAGCCTGTGGTAGAGTTTGTTCAGCGCGGTGATTAAAGCCACGTAGACCTTCTCCACGTCCAGTCGGTGATCCGTGAAGTTTCGGTCATGCATGGCCAGGCAGTGAAGCACCAGCAGGCCTTCATGCAAGACGTACCTCCTGTAGTAAAAAATGGAAAACAAGAAATTTCAATGGAAAATTCTGTGTTAAGCCTGCGTAGGCTTAGCTGATTTTAGTTAGTATAAAATCTCTGAAAGCATAGTGCTCCATTATCAGGATTTTCTTGTTGGGAATACTGGAAAGTGCTTTCGTGATGACGACATATCATGCTCTCAACTCGAATGGGCTTCTCTGGTGGAACGTAGCCCTCATGTGGAATCAGTAGGTGTTTAAAATGACAGTAGCATGTGTTCAAATCGAACAGGTGATATTTCAAATGTACATTGTTTGATAAGAACAGGTGGTTTTCCCAGCAGAGTACCGTGACTTCTAATCGAACAGGTGGTGTTCCCAGCAGAACACCATGTGTTTAACTTTGAACAGGTGGTGTTCCCAGCAGTACGCAATGTATTCATATTTGTGGAGTGTCATGGCCTAGTGGTTAAGAACACCGGACTCACGTTCTGGTGTTTCAGAGGCAACAGTGGCGTGGGTTCGAGCCCGGGCCCGGACACTTGTGCCCTTAAGCAAGGCACTTAACCATTATTGCTTCGTCCTTCGGATGGGACGTAAAGCCATAGACGTGCATTGTGTAATGAAATGCACGTACAAGAATCCAGGGACTCTTATCGCTAAGAGAAGGGGTTTGCCCCGGTGTTTCTGGTCTCCTGGTCAAACTCCCCCGCGGAGTATTTAGGAGGAGTGAACCAACCAAGAACAGGTGGTGTTCCCAGCTGAACACCATGTGTTTAACTTTGAACAGGTGGTGTTCCCTACAGTACACAATGTATTCAAATTTGAACTGGTGGGTGTTTCAGCTGAACACCACGTGTCCAAATCACAGCAGGTGGTGTTCCCGGCAGTACACTACCAGTTCGAATTGAACAGGCGATGTTCACAGTGGGACATTTAAAATGTTTCAATGCTACACTGACCAGTACTGAGTGGGATGCTGGTAGCTCATCGTCAACTGCATTACATTCAACATCCTCCTGAGCATCAATACCACCGCACTGACAAGCTACAAAGAAACCAAAAACAAAGGAATACAATAATCAACACAACATACCATATGCCATCACTTCCCCTCCCCAGCACTTGCCTCTCTTAAAACCCTACCCCTCCTCAATCCTCCAAAATCTTCCAGGCAGTTTTGAAGGATTTTGGAGGATTGAGACTGAATGGCAAAAAAAATGTCAGTTGAGTTTGGCGGATGCATTGTGTCGGGTTCGTAGGCTGTACCCATTATTGTTTATGTTCAGCCATGCATAATTGAGCCCTGCATTATGCTCGATATCATCCACAATTCTAAATGTCATCAGCACTGCCTCAACCCATTAGCAGGTATTGTTGGAGGATTTTGAAGGATTGAGGCAATGGTCATCCCTCCACTGAACAAATTCAAGATTAAAATAAAAAAAAAAAAAAAATTCCATCTTATGAATAGTTAATGCAGTACCCGCTGCTATGTACATTAGACTCAACCAGCCAACTGATCCCTTAGCTCCAGTGGTAGACCTGCACTAGAAAGCAGGAGGACATGGGTTCGAGTCCTACCGAGTGATTTTTTCCAACTTTCACTCAGGAGGTAACACACTGAGTATACAGTGTTTATACGTCGGTGAAGGGCAAAATATAAATTCAAGATATAACATGCTTTTGAAGGATTGAGGCTGAATCCAAGTTTTACATGGTGGCAATTGGAGGATTTTGCAGGATTGAGGATCCACAAAAGCATCATAAGGGTGCATTGAACATGCAACAAGCATACAGCATTCATGCATAAAGAGCAAGTACAATAGACCGGAATGCAAACAGGAAGACTGCCATAGCCAAATAGTATGCATCACCACGTATGTATTGTACAGGATTCAATTACTTTGCCAGTACTTTTTTCTTGGGGTATCAACTTTCCATGACTCTTTATAAAATAAGGAAACCCCACGACTTCTGTGGTAGCTTTAAATTCCATGATTTTTCCATGACTACAGCAGCCCTAAAATTAGCTGGGGGAGTAACATGCATCTAATCCAGGGTGGGGTGCTGTGGTCCAATGGTTACGGTGTTTGACTCGTGTGCCGCGGTACATGGGTTCGAATCCTGACTGTGGAAACATGGTGCTTGTGCTCTTGAGCAAGGCACTTCACCATTCTTGCTTCGTCCTTCGGATGGGACGTAAAGCCGTAGGTCCTGTGTGTTGTGTAATGCACGTTAAAAAATCCAGTAACACTTATCGCTAAGAGAAGGGGTTTGCCCCGGTGTTTCTGGCAGTGGCTGCAATATGCGCCGCAGCTCCTTGTAAACCCTTATAAGGTGCTACATAACAGGTCTCATATTTCTCATAAACAATATTTACCTTTCTTTAATAATAGAAATAATTTCTAACGCCTTAAGTGCCTAATTATTGGTAAATACATGCGCTATATAAGACGATATTAAAATAAATAGAAATAATATCAATGGTTTTGTACCACGGAACCAGAATGATGAGCCACATTGGCTTGGGACAGGCATTAGTTTTACTTTGTAATCCTACCTCCAGACTACACTGGCAGTCAGCGTCTAACAGCATGGTGGGTCCCTGGTGATGTGTGCCTATGATCCTCCATAGAATAGAGATCACCTGAACGGGAACAAAGTGATAAAGGTTTATTTGCAAACATCAAAAGGTAAAACCCTAAAAAGATTTGCAGCTTTTAAATAAAGGTGAATGAGTTTCCAGTATGTAACGAGACATAATTGCATTACAAATAAGAATAAGAATAGAAAAAAATTTCCAGGATTTCTAGTTGATGTAGTCTTCACGACACAATTCTCAGAGTTAATTAACTTTAAGGTTTTTCATTAGAAAAGAACTGTCTTTTTAGAAATGGGAAGGTCATTGGCTTTTTGTCTGGCATAATTTTGACAATTTGACGGTACCTTGACAGTAAGCTGGACTTTCTGTGGATTGCTGCAACTCTGAGATCCATGGACACCACATTGATAACACTGCAGCAGCAGACAGGAATCTAACAGAAGAAAATAACGAGGAAAATATGAGTTCAACCTTTCATCTTAAACAAAAATCTGAAAATAGGCTGGGTGACCGGAGCGGCCTACCCTCTTCCGATCTCCCTTCCCCATAGCTGCCAACTTTTCAAAATCCCAATTAGTAATCAACCCGCGCGGTCATTTTCAACTGCTCGTTTTATCAAAAGCTTTACAAACATCGAGTACAGGTACATGGTTTACATGTACACATACATGTGCATACCCCTTCTTTTTGTGAATAATAATGTACTGTAGGCCAAAAGATAATTTAAAAAAAAAAAAAAAAAAAAAAAAAATTAATATTTTTTTTTTTTTAATTAATTTTGTTTTAATGTCTGTTTTTGTTTGTTGAAGTCAAATAAATAATAACAACAATAACATGTGCGCATATTTTGTTTGAGATGCATGCTATCGATGTGGAGTTTCGAGTTCGTATCATCAATGTATTTACACACAATGATTTAGGGCCACCGTATGCAATAGAAATATCCCGCCAACATACCTTGCAAACGCATGCTGATTTATCTTTTCTGGATGTTGTGACAAACTCAAACTCTATTACCAATTATTCCAACCATACTCTTATTAAATTCCATGATTAAAATCTCGCACTGATGGGTCTCATCCCGGCAATAAGCGACCAAATGTGCTCACGATCGTCACTGAAAAGCACTCACACACAGTACACACAACCACACATCCACGAGATGCACACAAATGACACACCATTGAAAAATAGTTTTAGTCTGGTCCTCAAGTACTCCACTACGCACACTGCATTGATGTCTATCAGGTGCTTGACTGCATTCTTATTAGACTTGTCACTAGTCCATCCATTATCGCGACATTTCGCCAGAAGTTTTCGGTCAAAAACGATACTTTACAAGTATTTTTTTTTCGTTATGTAGAAAATGGGAAATTCGTAATATTTTAGTGGCAAATCGTATTTTCGTAATTTAACAAACAATTCGTAATAATTACGAAAAATTCGTAACAGTTGGCAGCTATGCTTCCCCGATCTCTCGCAATACAGACGTGCTGTTGTCATCGAATCCATTGAAATTTATTACAAAATCAAATTTGAGGGGGGAAAAATCATCAGAAAATCAGATTTCTGGAAGGAAATTTAAAAAAAATTGGAATTCGCATAAGTTGCTTCTATGAACAGTTGATCTTGAATCAGTTGATCTGACATCTTGAGCGTGCAGTTACTCAGAACTATTTTAAAGGTAATATACAATATTTGCTTTTGCTGTAATATTCAGCAATGGATGGATTTGGGGGTTAGTATTTTACAGCAAATATTGCTACACTGACCTGTTTTAATTGTGTGTTCATACATGTAGAGGCTGGAAAAACCAAGAAACAAATGCTGTTCTTGTAGTCTGGTTCCCTGACCCTACTTCAGACAAAATGGAGCAATTTATAGACGTCGGGGAATTGTTAGGTCAAGGAACCAGTGTAGTTGGCTTGCACCCGTTCACGGACGTTTAACTGATGTGTCACGAACGTGCAAACAAAATGTGCACTAACTAAATTTGGTAAATTGGGGGAAGTATTTGAAAAAAGTCTGTTATTTTCCAACGATGGTCGGCAGACTATCGTTGGAAATTGATAAAAAAATTGTGTTTTTTTTTAAAATGACAGCACACCAGATGCCATGATTTCACAGGATGCTTGAGACTATTATTCACTGACAGTCAAGTAAGGTGTTTCATAATGATTTGGTAGTTTCTTTTTTTTGATGTTTGCAAATGTTGTGTATTACCTTTAAATGTCAAACTAAATTTAAAACTTCAGCGTAATAAGGAAGAACACTGGCCTGAAATGGGCGCCAGTTAACATACCTGATTGGTTACACAGCTTACAAGTCAGCTTCCAGGATGAACTCAATGCTTTCACGATGTCTAGGGCATGAGACACTTGGGTGAAGGTGCTGTCTCGACACATGGCGTTGAACAGAGCGTCGTGGACTAGGAGGGATTGTAACCTACACGGGAAATCAGATTTAACAAGGCTTAAGTTTGCTGCAGGACTTTCACAAGATTGAGCTGTAAATTACAGGAAAAACATCCGAAACATGATTGGGCCAATTTCTTTTAACTTTAAAGGCTGACTTTTAAGGAATATGAAATATATTCTGCTGAGTAGGAACCAGCCCTAAAGATGACGTCCTTAGATTTTTAGGAGCCACGTTTGAATTCTCACAATCAAAATTCACCTTAGAGTTTCTTTCAGCCTTTCTGCACCTGTCACAAAACTGAGTGGACTGACACAATTTTGGGGGTTTTCGAAACCGTCTCCGACCCAGGACTCCTGCCATGTTCCAACGCAGTGAAAATACACAATCCAATGGCCTTATGTGAAAGAATTTGGAATCTCTCAAGCTGACTATGGCGATATCTTGTCTAGGAGCCTGTCAACTCAGGGGATTCAAATTGTGAAACTCAAACCAAAGATTACCCCTAACTCCCTAGGCATTTCTGCTAGGTTACAACCTCCATCCTGCAAAATCCTCCAACTGCTCCGTGTCAAAAAAAAATTGCATACAGCCTCGATCCTCCAAAATCATTCGTTATTTTTTGAATGTGTTCCTTGGAGGGGTGACCACTGCCTCAATCCTACAAAGTCCTCCAGCAATCACTGTCAATATGTTGAGGCAGAGCCAGTGACATCCTGGAGCAGTACGGAGGATTTCAAGTATATCTAGACCTAAAGTTATGCAAGGCTGAGCATAAACAACACAAGGTTCGGCCTGAGACCTTGACACAGCGCATCCTCCAAAATAAGCCACATATTTTTGTCATATAGCCTCAATCCTGCAAAATCCTCCATTTGCAAAGAGGAATTTGGAGGATTCGGGAAGGTTAGGGTTAAGCACAGATTTTATCCAATGCTTTGCGTATTTCAATCACAAAGTAAATATACATGACTCCCTGAAATAGGTAAATACAATGCTCATTCAAATTTAGATTTTTGCTGTGGTCTCGTTGGAAACCCTACATACTTTTCATATTCCTCCTTGTTTGACTTCTGGACAATAATCCGCAGCAGGTAAACGGAAGACTCCACGACAGCACCACAGTTGCCCAGCCCGTGCTGCATACTAGCAATCCTCATCAGCTTGCTCAAGATATGATTACTGCGCCGGTCTGGGAAGCTATCGGTGGGCGGCTGTGGTGGTTGGGGCTCATGGACGACGGATGAATGGCCGGCTGATTTAGACGGAGCTTGAGTTGGCTGCATATGGAAAAACAGGCAGGTTCTTATAGCAAAATATGTTAAAGATATAGTCCATCATTTGTAATTTGTGCATTTTGTTCGTTTGAAGCAACAAAAGTGCTCAAAATCTAAAGAAGGGCACTGAACAACTAACCTGATGAAGTTTCAGCTCAGCTTCAGCTGTATATTCCGAAAAAAAACCCAGCATTCTAGGATCTCAATTTCAAATCAAAAGTTGCTGAATCGTGTTTTGAATTGGGCCTGAATTCAGCGTCCGAGACACGTTCTCACTGAGCCGATTGCAGCTACGCGATGTTGCGCACCGATCCGACGAATTATAGCAACTGCGCGCGCGTGTGAGTCGTGTCAACACTTGCGCGCATTTCGCCAAATAAAAAAACGAACTACTAACGGGAATTTCCAACGGTGCTTCTTAAGACGCACCGTTGGAAAGGCCTTCTTTCGTTGATTTCTTCAAAATGACAGCTTGCCAGAAAAAATAATTTCACAGGGAGTTTAGTCCCCTTACTATATTTCAACCAAGTATGTTTTTCAACAATAATTATGCCAGTTACTTTTGGGATAGCTGCAAATGATGGACTCTGGCTTTAAGTAGGTAAAAGTGAGTGGTAAAATCTTCTTTGAGCGTATGGCTCATATTTGTGAGGTATTTGCATCCAAATATTAGCATCATTTGCTTTTGATGCATTTTATTCATTTCAAATAACATCACCACTCCAAATCCACAGAAGAATGTTCAAATGATAAACTGTTGAAGTTTCATCTCAGTACACTTTTCGAGAAAACAGTGAAAAACTATGCACAATCTTTGGAGCACGAAACACTGTTTCTTCAATAGCATTTTGAATATTCCAAGCAACAGTCAATTTAAGTGACTGTAGTACCAGTACGATCTTTAATCCAAGTAAGCCTTTTGATAATAATTTGGTATGTTACCCTTTGAGGCAAATGCAAATGAGCCTATGTGCCTATACAGACAAAAATGGTAAAACTGACTTTAATGATTATCACACACTTGTAGCTTTAGGTTTTCACCCTTAATCAGAATTTCACTGTGAAAACAAATCTTAGCTATTGGAAAATTAAATTCCTATATTAAGTGATGTAGGTTTTTGGAAGTATCACTAACGAATGTTGACCTCCATTTTTAAAACTTTGACCATTGTGTTACTAGACCCTCCAAAATGCCATTATAGTTATAGTTTACTCTTAGTGCTATAGTTTAAATTAGACAACTCACATCAATGAGAGGTGCCGATGGGTCTATCTCCATGGCTGAAACGTCTTCATCGCTTCCAGGGGATTCGGGGTCCTTGTAGGTCCCAGCATGAAGGATAACAGTCCGCACCGTGGGAGAACAAGTCACCATCTTACCCAAGGCAGTCAAGGAGGTGAGCACTGCCGATTCGGCACGGCCTAACGCCATGAGCTCCTCGCTGGGACTGCTGGATCCGGGAGAGTCGAGGGAGGACTCCAGGCTTCGACCCCCGCTGCCACCACCGCTGCTGCTACTGGGACAGGTAGAGCAGAGGGCTGGGGCATTGTTCTGGGTTATGCTGTGGGTCGTGTCGATGTAGCAGGTCAACTGATCCTCCATGAGAGGCAAGAGGTCCGTGATGCAGGCCACAGGGTCTTCAAACTCCAGGTCCTGAGATTTGCCCGTTGGTGGTCTGTAGGGAGGTACTTGGCGGGCGACATTTGGTGGCAGCGGTGGGATGCGGGGCGGATTCAGGATGTTAGAGATGGCCTTTGTTGCTAGCTCTACACTGCGATTCGAGGAATTTTCATTGTGATGAATCAGCTGCCTCTTGTTTGGGGAGACTCTAAAAAGGTCAAGGAATTAAGGTATTACTTTTTAAATTCTAGGCAGGACAAAACGGAAACTTAGACAAATCATAACATGAACAAACACAACCTTGTTAATGTTGAAACAAAACCTTGTTTCAAACACTCTAATTATCATTTGAAAAAAGGGAGGAACACCATTGTAAAGGTTTCATACATAATGAAACAGTTTGAAGAAATATGCAGAGTGCAGTTTAGCAGAAAGTAGGAGTAAAGGTAGAGTATATTATTTACAGCAAAAAGTAACTGATGATATTATTGCTGAAAAGCATACTTGGTTTAAAGATAGTAATGGCACAAAACTCCCTGTGAAATTGCTCTTTTTGGCATGCTGTCATTTTGAAGAAAACAATAAGAAGGTCATTTACAAAGATGTGTCTAAAGACGCATTTTTGGAAATTTCCATCAGTAGTTTGTTTTTAATTTAGCGAAGCTGTGAATGGGTGTGTGCAGGCGTTGACATGACGTACACGCGTGTGGCAAGAGGACGCTGATTTCGGGTGCAATGCAAAACATGACTTGGCAACTTTTGAATTGAAATTGAGATCATAGAATATTTTTTTCTCGGAATACACAGCATTCACTGAGCTAAAACTTCATCAGGTTAGTTGTTAAGTACCCTCCTTTAGATTTTGAGCACTTTCGTTGCTTCAAACGAAAAAAAAAACCACAAATGAAAAATGAAATGCTCTACCATTAAACTTGGGAATAAAAGAGCAAAGTTATTTCCGCAAAAATAGGAATCGGGAAGAATTTCTCCAGATTTAACCTCACGGCCCGATTTCATGGTGCTGCTTAACAGTAAGCAGAAAAGTTGTACTAACTATAGCAGAAAGTTTTGCTAACCTTAAGTACTACTTCATGGCGTGAATGTGCTAACGGTTGTGCGCACGCGGAGATTTCTATTGTCACATCATTTAAGCAACTGTTTGCTCTGAGGTAAGCTTACTGCTTACGGTCTCCATGAAATAGATGGAGGCTCTGTTAGCAGAAAATGGTGTGCTTAGCAGCAATATGAAATCAGGCCCAGAGCAGAGGTAGTTTGCGCTCAGAAAAAAAAATGAAGTTGTTTCAGGAGGAAGATTTTATTTTGAAAAAAATTGGGCGTAGTTTTTGACCTACTTTTGGGGTTTGGCAGGCAACGGTTGTCCTGGTATCGCAGCCTCCATTCCATCACTGGGTGGTACCCTGTCGTACCCAGTGCTCTGGACTAGACCCATCAACCCACCCACGGATCCAGCCGTGGTGGCTTGCTTCTCTGTGTCTTCTAACAAAATGCCAATGAGCTGGGCCTCTGCAGATGAAGCTTCGAAAAGAAAAAAAAGAACAGAACAGACATTTATTGTGGGCTCCACTCCTAGCGACAGGAAGGCTTGAGATTTAGCAGTTTTTTCAAAATCCGAGCTTTGTGTTCAACTGTGCTTTTGGGAGATTTCATGGCTTGACTTCTGGACTCGGGTTCAAATTTCAGGTCCATTTTGTGCTTCAGGAAAGGCTATTCCTATACTATAGTCTAGAGCATTTCCATTCGGTTTGGACATTCAAGAACTTCTAAATGATTCCAGGGCCAGGGATTGAGCCAAAGCCAGATGAAAAGTCAAGATCGGGGAACTAGCATGGGACATCCATCTCAGAAGTAGGTAACATGGCAAACGTTACAGTTCCTGCATAGATATTGAGGATTTGCGTGACGTTATCACATGACCGGTGCAAGATCTGCCATTTTTGACATCTAGTACAGTACATGTTCATTGCATTACGCGCAACGTGCATGTTCTGCGGTATTTGTCACGGTCAATATGCAATTGAGACAGAAAAAATGGGCATCTTCTGTGCAACTGTTTGCTGTAACAACAGACAAGAAATCGCTCTGATCTCTCATTCTACCGCTTCCCTAGCCGTGTCGACCCAGACAGGAGAGAGAAATCATCGCACTTCAATGTGTCAGTGAAAATGCCAGGTGGAAACAAATAGGGATCGTCTATTCTCAGCTGAGACAATTTATTGGCGTATCTCTGTTGACTTTCACCCTCAAGATGACTGACAGATGTTGACATAATTGGGGATCCATCTCCTGTCATGCCTGTCAATTCCTCCATGTCCGTAATGTCCGTAATTGAGCGACACATCATGCATGTTTGCGCGCTAGCAAGATGTCCAACATGGCGGGCGTGTGGGTGACCCCCGACCTGTGACGTCACGTAAGATTCCTCAATAGGACACAGATCAATATTTTCCACCAGTTCTGTTGAGGCCATTTTTTACACTATCATCTATCATCGTCTCACCTATCTGTATATCTCACCCACCATGGGCAGAACCAAGTCGCACTTAATACATCTGTCTGTACATGGGTCAGACTTTAATAGATTATGAATTGTCTAGCCACGTAGCGCCTCAACAGGGCTTGGGTTTTACCCACGAAGAGTGCTGGACCCATGTAACAGCTGTGTAGGATTCGTGCTCGAGTGAAAGAGGTTCCTGAAAATATCGGGGGATCATACGGGGAGATTTCGGATAGTGTGAAAGGGCCTTGGAGCTTACCTTTCTGAAGCCTATCTGACACCAACGAGGATTTCTTGGCATTTCTGGGCGGCTTGCCGTATGGGATAGAGGAGCTAGAACTTGAGGCTGGAATGGAGTTGAGAACTGATGGTGATACCTTGCCTAAAAAAAAAAAAAACATAAAAAAATGTATAAATATGAACCAAGATAACGACAAAACAAATGTCTGAAGAAAAATTGGTACATGTAATTAACAAAAAGTCAGCAATGTGAATAATTTTGCCAAATTACCTGAAAAAAAAACAAAAAAGTTATTTCCAAAGTTTTTACCTGGACTTTTGCTGGCCAAACCTCGCCTTGGACTCCTCTTGGGACTACTGCGGGCCGGCTGACCTTCTGACAGTGTCCTGACCCTGGGTGACCTCAGTTGACCCCTCTCGACCTTCCGATTGTCCGCCATGAATGACTGCTGCGTTGGAAACATGTCCGTGTCCCTGATGTCATCTTCAGTCTTACTGGCCGGTGGCGTTGCAGTTTGCTTTGTGGGTGTGGTCGGGGCGTGGTTTAAGCCGGAGGAAATGGGCGGTCTGGTTCTATGGTTCTGACTGGCACTCTGTGCTTGCATCAGCTCCACCTCCTTGAACTGAAGTTGGGTTTTCAAGCTTTCGTTCTGTCATTCAGAAAAGAAAAAAAACAACGTAGTAATTCCCGGGATAACAAAATGGCAGATCACAGCTACAATTGAAACCCCTAACCGTCTAGGCCCTTTTTTTACTAGGATCCATTCTCCAATCCTGCAAAAACCTCCAACTGCCACCATGAATCGATCAATACAGCCTCAATCCTCGTATTTTGAATTTGTACAGTGGAGGGGTAACCACTGCCTCGATTGTTCGAAATCCTCCAACAATCGCTGTAATACATTGAGGAAGTGCGGATATCCGGAAGCAGTGTGGATGATGTCCGGTATATTGTAGGCCTCAATAATGCATGGCTGAACATAAACAATACAGGAAACAGCTTAAGACCCGGACACAATGCATACTTCCAAATCAACCGACACCTTTGTGGCCTAAATCCTCCAAAATCCTCCACAACAGCCTGGTTGGATTTGGAGGATTGCGGAGGGTTAGGGTTAACAAATAACAGTTGGCCTAAAACTGGTCTCTTCAATACACTATAAATGCTTAAGTGGTAGTATCGAAAATGAAGACCCCTAAAACGAAGACCGAAGACCCACTCGAAAACAAAGACTCACTCGAAAATGAAGACTGTTTTCGAGTGGGTCTTCGTTTTCGAGTGGGTCTTCGTTTTCGAGTGGTTCTTTGTTTTTGAGTGGGTCTTCCATCTTCGGTCTTCGTTTTTAGGGGACTTCGTTTTTGATACTACCATGCCTAAATAGCAGATCCACTGAGCTATGCCTCCAGTGGTCAAAATGCAAAATGTTACTGTCACTGAATTTTCATTGACTTTCAAACAATGTTACCCTCTATAACAACACGTCTTCGTTTCTGAATTCATATATTGTCAGTGAGAGTGATTTTGACCCATTTCATTACCCTGACACTCTACAGATAGGCAATTGGAAGCTGTTTTTAATCAAACTTAGCTCTGATAAAATTAATCTCGTTAAGACTGTGTCCATGCTTCCAGAGCTATGGCTATGCTAATTGCCAGCTTCCCACGTAGTTGTAACGGAAAAAACAACCTCAATAATCAATACTTTTAGTCCTAACCCTCATCAGCTTTTCTATGGGCACCATGCTAAATGCAACAGAATGCAACACAGCAGAAATGATAACCCTGCTAAATGCAACAAACTGCAACAGTGGATTCTGTTGTATTTAACTCTATGCAGTTGCCCTGCTAAATGCAACAAACTGCAATAGTAGATGATATCGTATCAGCCTTGGCACTATGGGCACTAACCCTGCTAAAAGCAACAAGATGCAATGCAGCAGGAGACTTGAATGCCAAATGCAACAGTATGCAACAAGTTTTGATCATTGTTGCTTTCTGTTGCATTTAGCAGGGTTAGGGATAGACAAGAGATACGAGCACAGCCTATCATGCATGATATGCAACAGATACATGTATCTTAGGTCTGGTTCCCAGACTCTCACCTCCTTCTTGAATTCCCTTTCTACCTCACTGAGCTGTTGTTTCCTCTGTTCCTCGGCCTGTAAGCGTTCCATCTGTAGCCGGCTAGTCTCCACCTTAGATTTGTTGAGGTTCTGTCTCAGTACCTGTATCTCCCCCTCTTTACTGAACATCTCTTTGGTTAGGAGCTCCAGCTGACAAAGGAAACAAACACAACATGTAGTCAAGAGAAGTCATGTTATCATTCTTATTTGATTTTTGTGAATACTGCCAAGCAGGCTACTCCAGAAGTCACATTGCATCTGAAGGAAGGGCACCGATTTTTTTTAATTTCCTTCCAATTTGCATTTATTGATCCTGCCAAAACCAAACACTTTGAGGGAACTCAAATTGCACGTTATAAGTAGACAATTTGGGCACCGAACCCTAAGCAAAAGATGGGGCCTGCATACGTACAACCTGGGAATATTTCTTCTGGTCTAGTAGCTACAGTGGAGTTTGAGCTCATTTCCACAGAGCTGACCATTTTTATTAGAAAAAGAGCTAGATAAAAAAAGAGGACAAAAAGCATACAATTTACACAACTGACCTCAAGTTCCTATCATTTGATCCTGCTACTGGTAAATACTGGTTAAAAATTTGGTAGAATTTGGTACCAAGAGTTCACACAAAAAGTAAGCATGCAATAAAGGGATTTGCAAGGTCCATCATTTGGTATTTTGGGGAACACAGTAACAGACTGGGCAGATTTGTGGAAAAGATTGACTAAAACCCATCCCGCCCAGATCTTTGAAAATCCAACAGCGTGATTTGTGACGATTTTGCAAAATTGATGTAGTGTCCAGACACTATTTCTTCAGATGGGAATTGACGCCCATTGGAAAGTTTGAGGGCCAAGAATGGGTTATTGGGTTTTTGCAATGCGAAATTTGGGAAGATTTTAAAGGAAGGTTCCAAGACGGAGTGCCTAGGGAGCTGGCAAGGAGTCCTACCTGCTTCTTGATTGTCTCGCATTCAGACTTGTACTTGGCCACCTGTTGCTGCTGAAGTGTGGCGATCTGGGACGATCCAGTGTCCCTTTCAGTGGACGGTAGACCCGGCGATTCCCTCGCTATCGCCCCCTTGGGAGGGGTAAGACTCGCGGTGCTCCGTCCCCCGCCCTGAGGGGGTACAGAGTGGAACCCCGCTCCCATGTTAGAGTTGTTAGAGATGGCCCCCGGTTTTGTATTGTAAGGGACGGGATTACTCCGGCTGCTCGTGTCAATGTGGAGATTCTGTAGAGTACTTCTAGCTGGAAAGGTGGATGTAGAAGAATTTGTGATTTTGGCACCGACGTTGGATTGGATGGTGTGCTTATGAGGCCCTGTTACCCTGTTCGATGGGAGAGTTTGGGTTTTGGTTGAAGCCAAATTCTCAGCCTGCTGGTGACTGCCTGGTGGCGTGCTTCCACTGTGATACTGTGAGGAGTAATAGATCTTAGTTCCTGTGATATTACTTTGCCTTGTGTGGCTTGTGCTTTGGGCTTGAGGAAACGTTGGAGTCGGCGTACGATTCGCCAATCCGGAGGGGGCCTGGGCTTGTGGTCGTCCTCCCCGTGAGTTTGTCGATTTGAAGGAGAATTTAGAGCTTGCGTTACCAACACTGGCGTGGGATTGTTGCAACGATCCGGAACTACTTGATGGTTGTGTGTTATTTACAATGCTGCTCTTGTTTACAGTTTGGCTGTAGGGCGCTGGTGGTATGAGGTTTGTTTTCGCCTGATTCGGGAACTTTGGGGCACTGGCAGGCCTTTTGAGGGTGTGTGTGGGTGGGCGAAGCTCAGGGTGAGGCTGCTGGCTCAACGCCTGGGATGCTATCATGTCAAACGACTCCAAGTCGTCCTCAGTGAAACTGTCAAAGTCATGAAATGGATCCGAGTCGTTGGTGGTCTCCGTTTCTCCAATCCGAGGTCTCTTCCTCGGAGCAGGCGAGTCCCGGACGTTCATGTTGCCGGAGTTGATGTTAGTCTGACGCAAGATATTGGCCCTTCTCTGTCCAGGGGAAGCACTGTTGTAGATGGGAGGACGCTTGTTTGGCACAGGCCCGGAGAACAGTGGATTGACAGACATGCTCTGTGTTTGCTACAAACGTACCAGACTTCTCTGGAAAGAAATAATAAAAAAGCACATTGTATGGTTAGTGGGCGTGGGGGGGGGGGGGGGAATGGAAAAACACAGGCCTTTTCTGTTCAAAGCAGATAGAGGTCACTCACAACCTGACAATTAATAAGCAGTTTCAGGGTAATATGCGCCATCTTGGGCGCATTTTGGAATGGACGCATGACGACTTTGAAGCGCAAAAGTTTTCCTTTGATGATGCGTACACAGCAACGCGTGTAAAATTGCCTCGTAAGCAAGATGGCGCATATTACCGCGAAACACCTTATTCATCTGACATGTTCGTAACATTACCTTAATTAATAGTGGTGTAAAGGGAAAGGTTCCAATATCTGGCCATCACTAATTTTTCCCTTTAGTGACCTATCAGCCATCAGAAAGTGATAATATGTCCTAAAATGTCAAATTTAGCAGGGAAAATATTGAAGTATTTACTGAGAAATTTTCAAACCAGTCTCATAGGGTTTGTGCACAGGGTGACAATAGCCCCACTAGTGTGGCCGTCGGTATGCTGCGCTGAGAGGTTCAGCGCAGCATACCGACGGCCACACTAGTGGGGCTAAGGGTGACAAGTGATGGCCAGATATGGGAATCTTTCTGTGTGAAGTACCTTTATCACTTGCACAAGTGGTTGACAAGAATCAGACCATGCAGATCATGAAATAATGAAGTTTCACATAGCCAACAATTCATCTTCATGACCTGATGACAATTGTAACTTGTTAATGTTGTAGGCCAACATGATTAAGTTGTGTTCAGCCACATGGAGTCACTGAGGCATTTCAGCATTGTTGATGAAAATTAGGGTAACTGAAAGTGTATAAATTAGCTTGAGAAACCCTATGATGTCATGAGAATTAGGGGTTTTCCCAAGCTACATTTCGAAACTAGGCCATCATGGCCATGACATGTCGGCGACTGGCGAGAAAATTCCAACGCACAGTCATCAGGTCATGACAGTTTTGCATGACCAATTTTTATCAAATTAGCCCTATTTAATACACATTTTAATACAATTTAAAAGGCTGAAGTGTTTGCACTAACACACTTCGATCTTCACATGCTTTGTTATGCCAAATACTACATTACAAATTACTTTAAAACCCTACAAAAAAATAGATTCCTACCCCAAAATCTGGCACTGCCAACTTTGTTTTCGGAGCGCGGAGACATGTGTTTTTCTGGAAGTTTCAAGTTGTAGTAGGGGATAAAAATCTACACTGTCAATAAATACATAATATTTCGTCAACAAATGACACATACTGTACCATATAAGTATGAAATTCGATCTAAAAATCATTTCAGATTTTGTAGGTGCTACAATCAAGCTTTAAGCTCATTTAAAAGATGTCTATCAATACACAAAATTTATTTCCACCCTCTCCTGAAATGGTCTACCCCAGAAAGCGTTACCGTTTCTGAAGATGCATTGTGGGTAATCAAGATGGCGGCCCTCGTGAGAGGAACGAGAGTTGGTTCACGTTTGATGACCCTTTTACAGCGGAATTCTTCAAGATTAAGAACGCATATTCCTGCAGTACCAGTTCGTATTTATAGTTCCACAAGTAAGAAAGTGAATCAGTCAGAATATGTCACCGGTAGGCGGACAGAAGTTGATGAGGAAAGAATTCAAGAAATTATCAGGGAAGGCAAGAGAGAACCGAGTGTGGACCCAAACGACCCGGTGAGTGTGGGCGTGGTTTAGCTGCAGGGGTAGTGGGGGGATGAACAGACTTAAAATATCGTATACATTGATAACATTTAAAAGACTTGTTTTTAAAAAGTGTAGTTTCTAGGCTAGTTCAGAAAAGTTGATTTAATGCAGAGATTTTGGGTAACCGGAAAAATTCTGCCAACCGGACACCACTTTTTTCAATTAATTTTCTAGCGCCAAAAGTTACCTCTTTTATGGTTATTCCCTCCACTTTCCCTCCTCTACTCTCACCCCCCCCTTTCCTTAATTTCTATTTATCAATCAGTCGCTCACTTCATCGAGATTCGAACCTCGGACGCTTGCTTGATACACGAGTCTCTTAACCGCTAGGCCACGCACGATCGCTGTTGCAATGATCAATCTTTTGACGTATTTGAAGTATGCATTGAAATAAACTAAATATTCATGAGAAAATAAATATTCATAATGACGTATTGCACTATCATGACTATCATTGGCCGGCTCATGCGACGTCTCATGCGACGTCATGGTTATCGATGTCATGCGTATAACGTACCGCTGTTCCAGACACTTCAATCAGTTTTGACCGGCTGCTTCAACTCAGATCTGCACTACATGTGCATGCAAAATGTGCTCCAAAAACACATTTTTACCAATTTTTTTTCGCATGTCCACTCTTTCCTGGATTCCTCTTGGTTGAAATCACAAGGTAAGGTGAACATTTGGATGTTTGGCGGCAGGTAAGTGGTGTCCGGTTGGCAGAATTTTTCCGGGTAACCTAACGCCACTTCAGCGGTTGTGTACAAAGTCTATGGAGAGTCAAGAAAATGTTGTATCCCCGAGTCACCATAATTGACGCAGATAACGCTTGCAACCCACACGCATTGTCCAACGCAAATTGAATGCAAGTGCGTCAAAACATATCCTCGTCATTTTAGGGGGTCTGACGATAAATATTTCTTAACAAAATTGGAAATGTTTCTCAGTCCCAGATTCATGTCTTTTCATCATTTTTGCATCAACTGACCTTCATTGAAATGATATATGAAGAGAAAAGTGGCGTCGGGTTGCAACATTTTTTTCCTTTTTTTGTTCCTCAAATGTGTATGTTTTATATTGTTTAGTTAATGTAGAGTAAAGTCCTTGCATTTGCAAAAGTTGAAAACATTTTTATTTGGGCACAGGGCCTAGGCCCTTAACGTTATGTAGTGATGCGTTTATTTGCAAAATCTGAAGAAGAGTCATGGGATATTGCTCCTTTGCAGTAAACATCTGAAGAAAACATTTGAATTTTTGTTTACTTTTTTCAATTGTGTGGTTTGTAGGGTTATGTCTCCCACGGCTTCAGCAAGGACCCCCATATTGACACGTGGTCGTATCGTTGGATCTTCTTTATGGGTTTCTCCATTTTAATGGTGGTTGCGCCGCTGTATGTACATTACCTACCTGAAAGGTGAGTAGAGCCTGGCCTTGGGTTTCTCCAGATTTCAGAGAAAGTCTGCCTTCACCTAATCTGTGGAATATCTCCCGCACAGCAAGGATCTATGAGCAGATTAAGCGATTACCATTCAGCAGGCTACTTCTATATCGTGTCTTCAGTAACCCCTTGTTGTATTACAAAAACGTGGCATCCAAATTGACCAATCAACAGCTTAGTCCACATATCTGATCGAAATGACGTCACAGTTTCTAAAGTTGACTCCGATTGGCTGGCGCGGGGTTGCATAACATTTTGCATGTTAGGATATATCAGGTGTTCGACCACGGCTCTGCACATAGGGATGTCTGATCCTTAGACTTCCTTCATCCTAGCCCCAAATGTGGCTCAAATACTGGACTCCCTGCATATTGTGAGCCACACAGTGGTGATGGCTGAGTATGGGGAAAAGTTGTGTTAAGGGACATCAAAATCGGGACTGTTTTTTTTTTTACATGATATTCACTATAGAAGATACTTGAAATTGAATTCCATACCTTTAGATGTCTAGTTATCATGTAATTGTCAGGTGAAATTATCAGAGAGTTTGCCCAAAAATGACTGCAGTATTTTTTGAGGTCATGAACATTTGACTTTTTTTTATTTTTCCTGGTTAGTAAACAGGAAAAAAGTTTCCATTGTGAATATCATATTTTTTTAAAAGGTGTAGATTTCAAGATTTGCACAACTTTTCCCGAAAATTGCTTTAGTTTGGGCTTAATATGAATGTCATCTCTCCGTGGGACAAGCTTCTGGATACACTGCAAAAAAGTTACTAAATAATAGAAAAATAGTTCTGAAAAGAACAAGAAGAGTTAGTTAAACATCTCTGGTTCACACAGTGTATCTGCAAACTTCTTCCAATTTATGCTCTCCACTGTGCAAAGCCAAAGATTGTAGTGTCATTTTTTTTGTGTCTCTTCAGCAACGGTCGTCAGTGGGCACGGAGACAGGCAGAGATTGTCATCAACGAGCGGCGAAAGAAGGGGGTACCGCTGATCGATGCCAACATGAGCGATCCAGACAAAATCGTGCTGCCGTCGGAAGAGGAGGAAGAGAGAGTGTGGAAGAATCTCCATCGCTAGGGGGATCGGGGTCTTTGTTTTAGAAAACAAGGAATCTGATTGGTCAAATTAATGTATCACTGGTCAGAAATGACACCCTGTGTCCAATCACAGTGACTTTTATCCAACAGAAATTTCGAGCAGTTATGAACGGAAGAAAATGTTCATTTCATGTTCATGAAATTGGAAGCTCTGTAAAAGTCAACTGTGACTTGAAAGTTGAGCATGATCATTTCTTACGTCTCGTTTTGTGGTTTTATTTCTGTTACATGAGAGATGTGGGTAAATCTACTCCAGTGATACGTCAGTTTGCATTGTTGTATAAAAAAAAAAATTAGTAAAGTAGGATTGAATTTTGTTTGAAAGGAATGTGTTTCCCTAAATATTTGATTTGTAATATTCTGTTGAAGTTGAGCAGTGATGGCAAAAAAAAAAACGTATTGCATGAAAGATTTCTGAAAGGTAACGTACCCACTGCAAACCCAAAGTTTGCACTTGAGTGTGCATTATTTGTGGTCAAAGTGAGAGTACGCCAAGTCGCAACATGATGAGAGATCCAGACAATTGGAATCGATACGATAGTTGAACATTTTACGTGCAGATCCAGTATCTGTGAAGTCTGATATCAGAGGAATGTTGAGAACGGCTACAGAAACTCAATGTTCTGAATCTAGTTCAGATTTTTTTTTCCATATTTTTTTTGGGTGAGAGTTTCATAATAAACTGCTATTAAAGACAGTAGTGCATTGTATTGTTGTCCTTTGCTGTGATGGGAGCTTTATAAATATGGCTCTTACGGGAATTGTGTTAATCAGTAAATCACAAGTTGATCACAAGTCAATCGCGTTAACAGGAGAACGGTGACAAAGGAATGCCTTTTTTACAGTTCATTTGAAAAGCTTGTAAGAGTGGACGACTTGTGGTGGCGTGTGACAGACTGGTATAAAACTCTGGTTCTAAAGGGTATGAAAATGCTTTGTTGATTATTGTACAAGAATAATGTCATGTTCATGGATGTGGTCGTTAGGGCAGAGGCTTTGTTTCGTTGCACAAAATTGGTTTGTGTGCCATCAGTGGACGATGTTCTCCTCCGACTTGGTGTTTCAAATAGATCCCATGGCACCCTTGTTTTGCATGGAACCTGCAGAGAGCCATAAGTTGGCATAAGATAATTAACCCTAACGTACCTGCATCCATCAAAATCCACACCCCTGTTTTGGAGGATTTGGGCGGATTCAGGACAGTAAGCCTTAGCGGTACTGCAGGATTTTGATGGATGCAGGATACCTCCATGTTGAGCAGTTGGGGGACTTTAATGGATTCAGGATCTCAAATGTTTGGTGTGTATGAGGTATATGTACTTTACTGGTGGATTCTGGTGGACTCGGGACACCAACATTGTTTTTGCATGACAAAATTGTTGGATTTTGGCAGATTCAGGATACTTTCTAGTAAAAGTGCTCATGGGGTTAGGGTTAAAAAGTTATTTCGAAATCAACAAACAAACTGGAGCATGATAGTTTGTTTCAAGTGGTTTTATCTTCACGTAAACTTGAATCCTTGATCCTGATTGGTCGATCCATGGCAACAAGCCGTGCTACATATAACCATGTAGCACGGCCACGGTCCATACCACACTCTGCGTATTGCTCTTTTCTAAGATGCGCGCATCATATCGTACAACACGCACCTGCAATAGGATAACCACTGAAAAGATCGTGCACTGAATGCGTGTTTCATCTTTACTGTGTGCCAAGTTTGCTTGAAGATAAATTCGTTATCGCGCTCGCGCTCGTGGAACACGGAAAATGTTGTGCGTCTGTGTTCCACATACCACTCGGCCTTCGGCCTTTTGATATGTAGTACACACGCACATTATTCCGTGTTCCACTCGCGGGATAACTTATATAGTCTGATGTAGCTCTGTCCTGACTTCTAAAGGTCCATGCAGTTAACTGATTTGAATACCATTGGAAATACTTAAAAATTGTTTAAACTAGTAACCCTTGCATTTTGATCAGTGTAATATAAAATAACAGATTTTGAGTTGTTTTTGAGATTAAATACATTTGGACTGAAGTAAGGACTGCTGTTGACCCATTTATATTTGTTTATGTCTATGTTTGCTTACCAACATCTTCCCCCCCCCCCCCTAAAAAAGGTTGTGGTTATTGGTTGGTGCTAATTGTAATATCTCAATCAACCCCTTTTCTGTTTTTATACCACAAATGATAAGCCAAAAATTGTTTTCTTTGTAAACCAACGATTCCACAACATGTAAATAACTGGACAACACCCACCCCAAAAAATTATTTTCCCCATTCCATCTCGGGCAACAAAAAAGTTTATTTTAACTTCTACATAGTCACTTTTTTCATAAATTTGTAAACTTGATGATACAAAAATGTTTGAAATCACTGGTCAGAATAATTAAACAAAAATTGAACATTACATCTATAATGCACATACAACTGCGTCTATTTCTACACACGTACATGTATACGTACTGTACAATACCAATATATCATCCTATTTCACAAAGCCTCACATATACAAACAAATAGACCTGTATATATAATTCAGATAATTTTTTTTTTTATATAAGGAGAAGGAATATAATCAACAAACAATCCGGAAACGACCAAAAATGATTTCCGTTTTGTAATAACCACACACTTTTGATAGAAGCTCCCATTTGCATTTTTTATTAAAAAGGCACTCAAAAATGTACAAGTTTGACCCGAAACGTGTGGTCTGTTGAGGGCTTTCACTCGCGATCTACATGCGCTACAGACTGATGGGAGGAACTACGAACGACAGCTAGGCATGTGTTCTGATTTCTTGCCTAATGCGGGAGCCCTTTGTAATATCACTATCACTATCATTTTGGCCCATGAGCTCGAGACCTCTACTCCTCACTTTCCAAATGGACAATTGTTCTCTCGACAGCAACTTCATTTTAAGGCCAATGATAACTTCTAAGCTTTTAACTAGATTCTTAAGATGTAACCTGAAAGGTCAAGAAGATATTCAAGAAATACAAAATCTACCCATGTTTTTAGATTTGACTTTGAAGAAGAGACTGTTGTTTTGTATTTTGGTTTGTTTGTTTTTGGGGTTGAATTTTCTTTTTTCTGTTTTTCAAAGCAAGCTCATTGCTCAAAATAACTCTCACTGTGCTTTTTGTGGCACTATTGACACACAAATAAAATAATTGTCGAGGCCGGTTCAAATGAAAGCCAACGAATTTCATGACATCAACAGTTGAATTTTTCATTCCTAAGTTAGAATCCGGGGTTAATTTCATGTTACTGCTAAGCAAAATGCAAAAATCTGCTAAGCAAGAACAGGTTTAATACCAGTCAAAAATGCCATGCTGTGTATGCTGCTTATGGCTGGTACTCGGCTGATAATTGCTGAACAATGAAATGAGCTTAGCAGACATTGCTGCTTAGCCGCTGACTGAAATTATGCTTTCGATTTTTCTGAAGAACAAATTCACTGGCTTCCTATGAAAAATTGCACAAAACTTCAATTTTTTTGGACAACAAAATTCTGAAACAGCCACGTAGTTTTGACCTTGCTAGAATTAAAGTATTTTCTTGAGTTATTTATTTATTATTTTTTTTATTGATAGGGTGAATATATTCTGAACCATTTCATAAACAGTGATGAAAGTTTAACGTGTCTTCTTATAATTTGCTTCAATTGTGGAAAGATGAAGTTTAAATAGCGGATTGGATATATTCCATTGTTAACTTCAAACGTATCTTTCAATGTTAGCATCTATATAAAAAAAAATCTTTCTAACGAAGCTTTAAACTTACAAGTCGCTGTTCAAGGAATCATAATTTTCCCAAAGAAATATATATGCAAATAGGAGCACAGTTTAATATCAAAACTCTACGTAATGTTAATTTTGCTACTTACACCTTTTAAGTACTTTTTTTTCCAATGTCAACATTTGTACACAAAATATGCATTTTTAGTTTCATACAAATTATTCACCATGATGATTATATGGCATTAAATTTTACAAAATGTAATATACACAACAAGAACAACAGTGTTTTGATGAGATCTGCTCCCACGAAACCCGGAAAAAAAACTTGCAGAGGTTTGTTTGTTTTTTTGCACAAAGGGCACGTGAATCAGGTGGAACTGACCATTTTGAGGTTTTCTGAATCAGCAACTATGAATTTACAATTTCCCAAAATATGAATATAATCCATCAAGCAGAATTGTCTTTTTTGGCTCGATTTTGTGAAAAAAACCAATGTGCATAGAAATCTACACACAAACTATTTCAACACATGTTCATCTCATTAATGGGTTGTCAGAGTTTTATCACTTAATCCTTCCCCGACTGTGATAGAATGAGGGTACCTATACAAATCATATATCATTTTAAAGCCGAGAACCTCAGGAATTTGAAAATGCCAAAGCCTATTTTTTTTAAAAACCCTAAATTTGTCAACTTTGTCTGGGTTTTGTGGGCGCAGCTCTCATGTTTTTTTTGTGTGTGGAACACGAGCTCCACATACTTACGATTCAGACCACGCTCCTGTCCAGACTCGCGGGGGAAAAAGGACATGAGACGGAGGTATGGTTGAATTACAAACAGTTCTTGAAGGAGCCAGATAAAGTACATTGGCTCGACATTTCAGCAATCCCTGGCCAAATGTCAACACGCAAAGGAGCCCCCTCCCCATCCCCCTTCTCCATAAGTTGTGGCATGCTGTACTACATAGCAGACATGGAATTGTAAAAAAAAAACTAAAAAAAAAAAAACGACTGTCTTTATTTACCTTCTAATTTGGATTCTATGTCAAATAGGCCATCAGCCTCAGTCCAAAATTTTTGCCACCGGTATCAAATGAGGGGAATAATCGTCATAGCGATTTTTGGCAAGGTATACACCTCCAGAGTTGGAAAATATGTGATAGCATTGCAGCGGTGGCAGCTTTTTGGGTGTTATCACCCCTTTTTTCAAAATGTCCGCTGATAAGCGCTGATGTGATAAGCCACATTTTTACAAATTCCGTATCCTCATTAATCAAACTGTTGAACAGAAAAGTCTAATATCAATCCAAAAGCTCTAAAAATGATATCTCCATTTGTGGTGATTTTTTTTAAATGTATAAGAGAAATTGTACCGAGACAAAAGTTGCAAATCGTGAAAGAAAACGGGCAACAGAATTTGCCAGCATTTTCATTCACGATCAAGTCACATATTCATTGCTTGTTTGAATCCACAGGTTTTTTTTATGACGTGATAAAATTAATCCATGTTACCCTGTTAAATGTCCAGGTATACTTTGTCTGTAAATTACAACATCGCTCTTCGCCTGTTACGATTAAGACCAAATACACGCAACTGATCATCAGCATCACAAATCAACATTGTGTGATGGATACTGAAAGACTGCTCCACGTAAAAATGCCTCCAATAATAGCGATTCAAAATGTTCTTTCAACGGTCATTTCAAAAATAACATCCTAGTTTAGTTCCCCTTTTTTTAATAAAGGGGAGCACTGTGGTCTGATAGTTACGGTGTTTGACCCACGTGCCATGGTGCGTGGGTTCGAACCCTGAATGGGAACATGGTGTTTTTTTGTTTTTGGGCAAGACACTTTACTACAATTGCCTCTCTCCACCCTGGAGTATAAGTGGGTACCTCAGTAGAGACCAGAATGCGCTGATCCTGAGCTACTGGACAAAATTGTCTCATGACCTGATGAACAGAGGTAATAATCAGCGCTTTGTACAATATATCCTCTGGCAAAGGTGCTTATTAAATACCAGTTATAAACTACAGGGCGAGTCAAAAAAAGCGAAACCCAAATGTCAGGACTATTGTTTTAGTGAAGTTCTGCATGTAGCACTTTCAAAATCTAGGATATGAAAGCCCAATTCATAAGCTTTTTTCTAGTACAAGAATCATTCAAATCACTCATATAATTTTCAAGTGACGGAATTTTAAACACAACCGCCGTTTCAAAGTTCTGTCCACGGATCACAAGAAAGGTGTGCGTTCGTTTTGTGATCCCTGGACAGAACTTTAAAACGGTGGTTGTGTTTAAAATATCCTAGATTTTGAAAGGGCTACATGCAGAACTTCACTAAAAAATGGTCCCGACATTTGGGTTTCGCTTTTTTTGACTCACCCTGTATAATCTTGGATCTACATTGTGGCTTCATCATCAAAGCCTTCTCAGATAAAATGAACAGCATTTGTTGAGGATGATAAACCAACTGTTTACATAAATGACCTCGAAATAGCTTTACGAATGGACAAAACTACACTACTAACACTTTAAAAGCTGGAAATTAATCAAAGCGTTGTGCATTTCTAAGGTTGGTCACTGACAGATAGCGGTGATGAATGAGTTCAGCCACATTGCACACACAATTTTGAAACTCAAAATACACTTTTTTTTTAACAATGAAATAACAAAAACTTTCTTGACTTTTTAATTGCATTCAAGTGTCGTTCAATATCTGGCCATTTTCACTATTGAGGGGGTCTTCTTTCAGTGGTGTTGCCGAGTCCATCAGAAGTCCATCACAAATCATCACAAGTCCATCACAAGCCATCGCAAGTCCATCACAAGTCCATCACAAGTCTGGTGTCCAGTCAATCACAATCCTGTTTCAAGTCAAGTCACACGCTATCCAAGTGATCTGTGTCAAAGGCATTCCTTTGTTACTGTTATCACCAATTACTTGTGATAGAACTTGTGAATTTACTTGTGATGGAACTTGTGAAGGACTCAGAGTCCACAGGTAAAACCAATGGCGCACCCAGGATTTGGCTTTGGGGGGGGGGGGCGGGGGGGAGGCTCACAATTTTTTTTTTAGAATTTGTAAGAAGTTAAAAAAATTTCAAAAAATTTATTTTTGGCCGCAGCGCCCCCCCCCCCCCCCCCCCCGGCTAGAACTATCTGAAGAAAATACCAATGTCTTCATCAACGACATAATATAGCAAGCTTGGCCCTCATCGTATCGACCAGTTTGCTCTAAATGTGCAGATGGCATGGAGCAATTGAGGTAATATATCCAGCTCATGGACATCCAAGGGACCCGGACCCACTGGTTGAGACACACCAAGTCTGAAAATTTGTAAAATAACATTAAGTCCTCACGCGCCATCAGCACACCTGGCAGATGATTTTGACTTGTGGTTGACTTGTGATGGACTTGACTCAAACTCAGGTTTCACTTTCCTGCAAATAGTTGCAGGAAAAACTCTTCAACTGGTAAATGCATATATCAAGACTTGGTTTTTGCCAGAGATGGCCCTGTCAATTGCAAAGAGCTATGAACCTATTTGCCCCACCGGCATTTCTTAAATTTCACGATGATCAATGTCCTGTCCTTCTCTCAATCACATTACTGCCAACGGCAAAGTATGCTGAAAGCATCTTCATTGATTCACGAAGAAAAAAAAATTGTGTTTAGTTGTAAATGTTTTAAACTTTTGCAATCTTACAGTAAGAAGATATTAGACGACCTCCTTAAAAGTACTGTCAGTTTTTTTTCTGAGTGTTTTGGCAACAGCAAATGTGCAGGTATCGGAGAGCATAACTTTGTTTAGAAAAAAAATCTTAGCAACAATCATAACATACCATACATCACAACGAGCATACATGTAAATAAAGAAAGGTGATTGTAATATATGCATTGAGAACAAGGACATCAAATTTTTGACATTTATCAACTTGACCAGTCCATACGTTGATGTAACATATTGATTTCAATATAAAATAGCAAACACAGTCTTGTGTTCAAAATTGGATTATCCCTTCACCAACATAGTCTTTATAAACACTTGTAAGAAAACAGCCCTGTTTACTTAGAACTGTCTCAAATTCTGCAAAAAAAAATACAAATTCAAAACTCAAAATCTAAATAAGTTGTAGTCTTAGTCCAAAACTGGATTTGAATTTTATTCCCTTTATATACAGCCAGTACTTGAAAAGCGAGGTTGCTATCGACAAGATGAATCGAACCCAGCCTTGGCAATATTGGCAGCGCTACCCAGGAAATTCCAAGCACACCTCACGAGCACTGTATCCAAGCTAATGCATGCACGCGAGGTACGCTCGAAATCTCCTGGGTAGCGCTGCCAATATTGCCAAGACTAGATTTGATTCATCTTGTTGAGATAGAGACCTCCGTCGCCACGGTCACTTTACCGCGTTTGTCGCGGCACTGCCTGCAATGTAGGGGAATAACAATCCAAATCCAGTTTTGTGGACTAAGACTAGATATGTTGGGACTCGAACCCAAGACCACCTGCTTGCTAGAGCAGAGGTCTATGGGAATTCGCCGGCGATCATAGACTCAAGTTCAATCAAATGAGCTTGTGAGTTTTTCTTGCGGGTTCGTTGCAGTGACAGTATAGTGCTTGATATTAAAGGTAGGTGAAGGGAAAACCCAACATTTCATCCTCCACATTCAAAATTCAATCGTACTGACTTAATATCCATTCTCTTTACTATAAAAATCAAGGTAGTTATGATTTTAATATGTACCAGGTATCGAAGAATCAAAGATATTCAAACCTCGAGCCGGACTTAGGGTCTACATTTAAGTCCAATACTCTCTTTATATTTTTGTAGGTTATACTAGCGCATTTCTTTAGAGCAAATTTTTTAAAAATTAGCCAAAATGTATTGGACAAAACTTTGCCAAGATGGAGACAATTTGTGTTTACGAATGAAGGAAGTTTGAAATTGAATCGAAATGGTACCAATATTTTTTAAAAAGGCCAAAATTGGCGATCAAAAATGTATCAACACTTTTCTGATGTGTTCTGTCTACAAAAGAGCGTGTAAAGTCTCACCAGTCCACATTCAATGTTTGTGTGTGAAGTCTTGGTACCAAACACTGACTAGCCTAGTCACAGGCTCCCGTGTTTGATTTTTCACAATTGTTGTCTGCGTGATAGTTGAACAGAAGTTGAGGTCAACATCTTTTAATTTTATAATAAATGTATGAATATGGTGCCCACTGAACTAGGTTTTAAATGGTTCTACTGATAACACTTAGAGGCAATGATGTTTTGAATCAATAACAGCATCAAAAAGTTCAAGGAAATGTACAAAGTTGGACCTTTTTATATGAGACTTAGATGCATGAGCTACATTTATTTCTTCAGCTTCACTTTTTATAAGAAAGTTTTTTTCTCAAAGGTACACACAACACAGTATCTTGTCTTAGCGTCTCTGCCTCATTTCGCTTTTTGATTCTACTACGCAAGGGATAAAACTTGCTGACTAGGAACTATTACCTTCTATGTTTGATTAGGAAGTGTACAACGAAATTGGCTGGGGCAGGGTTTGAACCTGCAACCACTAGAACGGCGAACTGGCGCTCTACCAACCAACCATCCAGCATGACTACATGCAGGGGCTGATCCAAAAGGGGGCGTTTTTATATGTGAAGGGGGGATATCAGGCAGGGGGTGGGGGACATTAAAAATCTAAATTGACCAGTGGCAGCTGAATGTTGGAAGGAAGAGGACATAATAAGGCTGAATATATTTACAGAAAACCCATATTGTTCATATTTAAATTTAGATAAATTACACATGACTCACAATGCTAGAACCAGAATCTTGATAGTACAAATGAGGCTCTTTTTAGAAACTGTGGAAAAAGTTTTAAAACAAACCAGAGATAAAAGATTATATATTTTTTTTGTATTTTTTTGAATATTATTTATTACATACGATGAAAGTATGTTGAACAAAGCAGGGGACTTGGGCACAAAATGTTCATATCATAACAGATTAATTTGCTGTAGGGTTTAAGTTCAATTTTATGTTTTCTCAAGTTCACTTAGCTTATTGTTTGCATCTGAGCAGAAGAAGAAAAAGATTTTGACTGTTTGTTTTTTAATCAGAAAATTTGAATCAAAAGTGGAATTTGCTGATAGCTCAGTACACAACGATCTGGTTTTGGCATTGTATGTCAAAAAATGTGTTACAATTAGGTAAACATTTTTTTTTGTATTTAGAGGGAGAGGGCGCTGTTGTTAAGTCTGGTACCCGGACTCATCTCCTTGATTCTGATGCTCCTTTGCTGCTTGCACTCTGCTGTCCTTCCCCGGTGCCCGGTAGTGTACTGTTGCTTTGCTGCCGTCCAGCGCTGGTATCCTTGTCGTCGCTGCGTGCACCCTGCGGTTGCCCGCCGTTGTTATTGGCCGCAGCTGCTAATTCTCCTAGCCCCAGCTTGCGCATGTGACGCACCACGGCTGTTGCATTGAAGGCTTGCTGGAAAAACACAGAGAACAAAGAGGGACATGTTGACATTTCTGCCCAAACAACGGTCAACAAAACTGGGTTATAATATAAAGGTCATAAAACACGGCTAAAAAATATGGCCGACTGTATATTGACCTTTATTCTTTCACTAATGTTTTAAGATCTCAAAGTGTTGTTTACAGCATTGCTAATGTTGCTAGCATCGTGACTTTTGCCTGATCCCTGGCTATGGTACATATTGGTTTATGGTTTCTGACTAGCATCTCACAAACATCGCCCTCTAGTGTTAAATGATGTCCAACCCCTTTGAACGTTCATAATAATAAAAAAAACAGCCTCTATAATGATGTGGTGCACTCCAATCTGAAAATGCTTTTTTTTTGGGCTTCTGTAATTAAGCTGATGGCACCAATGCCAGCGACGGTGATGGATTTGCTCAACTTGCTGCAATTTCCCAGCGACACTCAATAAATCACAGATAATAAATCACAAATGCGTTGCTAGCTCCGCTGTAACTAATCAAACGTACAGCTGGGACACCGTATCTCAACATACTATCTCGGTCCACCAATTAACAACGGGTGCCTTATTAATAACAGGTGCCTAATTAATTACAGGCTTCCAATTAATAATACCATTGACAATGCCTCAGGACTGTTTCAGTGATCATTTTTCAATAACATTCCTCCAAGACAGCAACAAAAATTCTAGATCCAAAGCAAATGTTCTGTTAAAAATGAGGGGTAGAGTATTTTAAAAATACTAATAGTTATTGACAATGCCGTGATAACAATATTACTATAAAGCAAAGTTATTACTATTTTTTTTCATTAAAAACCCACAAAAATTACGCAGTGCACCATTGATGATTCACTGAAAATATTTATCTAAAATTATCAACCGCACACACAATCTAAATTTTGAAAAGAAAAAAATTTGACCGGGAAGAAATTTCTATTGTACCATTCACAACCAATTTAACCATATTTTTCAAATTATCATTGAATTGACAAAAAAAGAAGTTATCAATTTCAATTGAGGGCCAATTATGCAACGTGACCTTTGTCCCCCAATAAAAACCGGACAGGGTTATCCATTGCCATGGTTAGTGGTTACCAACGCATGCAACTGTAAATTCACACAAAAAGAGGAAATTCCAATCAGAAGACTTTGTACGGTGGTTTTTTTTTTTAATTCTAAATGGCTGATATGGAAATTTAAAAAAGAGGAAATCAGCCGATCCGAAGAAAAGTTGCATGCCTGGTTAACCGGAGTATATTGCCCAGCTGACAGTCAAGCCACACTCAAAACAATCGATCCACTTCGTCAGACCTCCAATCACTTGTGCGGAGGTGGTCAAGACAGCAAATCAATACCAAGATTTTTTTTTTCCATTCACGTCTGCTAAAGGGTCCTAACATACATGAAGGTTGATCATGAAAAAACATGGGAGGGGGTGTGGGGGTGTTGGGGTGTCAGGGGAGTTTGCCACTGAGAGTTCATTTTTCCCAGTTCATTGTGGGAGATGGTTGTCAAATTCGCAGCGGGGGACATTGAAAATTTTTTAGTTTTTCCGGTCAGTAGTTTCATAAGCCTATGATTCAAGTAATTTCCCCCTTTCTTTTTATCAATATGGTGCTTCTTGTAAGGCAGCACCAGCAGAACGCTATACCCCACTCTATAACAAGTTAGCTCTAAAGTTGTCTACTGACGCTCGGTCAAATGGGCCATGTTTTGTTGACCGTAAACTTGAGAAAAAAATTAACTCTTCAGGGCTCTTAGTGGCGCACTGCGTTGTGAATCGCCCAAATTCAGAGAGATCTTGGCTGCTAGGGAGAAAGCAAGATTTCTGTGTTTTTGGGTACAACCTGATGTTAACAAACCATTGTCTTATTGAATAAATTGAATACTTTGTATGATTTAAGTCAGTTTGTATGAACTTGGCTTTTCTTGATTCCCAAATTTTACTTTTTTTCCCAGCTAAATTAAAAACAAAATATCAAAAAAATAAAGTCCTCCAAAAGTACTTATTTCAATGTAAAGCACCCCCACCGGCAAAACTTTGGCCTAAAACAGTGCCAGCATTCAGCAAATATGGTCCTAATAGTCATACAATACAGTCAGATATATAACCACACCACTAAGTGTTTCCAGGTTGTTTTATGAATACTTCCTAACTTTTTCTGAGTGGGATGTTTCCCGTATCCTTCATAAGGACATTCCATGATTTCTATGACAAGTAAGATGAACCCTGAATGGATAGTGTAGTGTGTCCTCTGTCCATTATGACCAAGCTGAGTAAATAGTTAAGCAGAGTGACCGATTGGAATCAATAGATCAATCCACTCAGCCCCACCCCCTGACGTTCTCACCAATCACAGTCCAAGGGGGCTGATTTCACGAAACTCGTCTTATCTTGCGACTCATCTTACTTAAGACGAGGCCCCGCTCTAAGATCGATCTTACTTAAGACGCGTCCTCAGACCGATTTTCACTAAACCCATCTTAAGCAAGACGCATCAAAACTACCAATTCGATGGCTGTTTCATGTTTGGTTTTACAGCTTGACGAAACAGTCGTGGAAAAGAAACGCACAAAACTAACTTCCTGCGCGCTTGCATAGAACACAAACTCTCGCCAGAAAACTTACTCCACTCAATCAATTTCACACACAAGGCAAGTCTACACAAGATATGATACAGTCATTCTTGCTCCCTGTTCCATCACTCTATTTTAAATTTAGTCATCTAGGTGTTGGCGTTAAATTAAAATTCTGTAAACAAGCTTTTTTTCAAATTAAAACTGCCCACATATCAGAAATCTTTTCAAATCTGTTTCTACAACAGTGTTCATCCTCGAAACTATAACTCTAGGCCGATACTCATCTTTAACAACAATGATTTCCAGATGATATACAAATTAAAACACACGTAATTAACGAGATTAGACGACCCTCAGACCGATCTTAAGTTAAGAAGAGTTCAGCCGCGTTGCTAAGGAAGTTAGGTGTTGAACGCATCTCAAGTTTGGTGAAATCAATCCTAGGACTAGTCGCAAGTTAAGACAACCCTTCCTAAGCAAGTCTTAGCATTTCGTGAAATCGGCCCCGATTTCGATTGGACCTCTGATCCTGACAAGACTTGGTTAAGATATCTAGCAGAAAGCAGGTCTGGGGTTCGAGTCCCATGTGACCAAGCTTGTTTAGGTTTTTTCCTCAGAACACTCTTTCGGTGAGCATACCACAGTGAAGGGCAAAACCTTAGATTCACAATTCCACTGCAGTGTGATTACACGGAAATGAAGCAAATGGGCAAAAACGGTCTTATTTGCTATCATATAAACTTACTTGCATTCAACTGATAGCAAAAGAAATCACGAAGTTCAAATTGGACGCAGGAAAACAGGGCTGAACCAGAGTTCCATATTTCCCTATCAAACACTTTCATCCAAACCACCTTTTGCACATATCACAGGATTCAGCCTTGGGCAAGTTGACAATACGGGCTTGGATTCATTTCCAAATGGAAAAGAAAAAAACTCAGGCTAAGCTTAGTTTAAAAAACTCGGGATAATCCAAGTCAGGGAGTTGATTTCACAGCTCCAGGGTTGGACCGTCATGTACCAGGCCACATGTGAGCAATCCGTGGGTGGATAGGTCCACCGGACACCCACCAATCAATGCAGAGAGGTCCTGGTTGCTTGGCTCAAGACATGTCCAACTGAGTAAGGTTACACAGATCAGCACCAAGTCCTGCTCTTTTCTCCCCCAAAAATTCAATCTTTTTTTAACAGAGCACTATCTCCCTAGGTGATCTAGAAGTATGCGTGCACGTGAAGACAGTGCGTATAAGTTTCCCCTCGACAAAGATGAAATGGAAATCCGGCACAACAAAGACTCAAAACTCTCCTTTCTTTTCTTTTTTTTTCCTCACAAGCTGCACAGCTAACAGACGTAGCCGCAAGCCACAGATGGTTGTTCTCACAACCCTGCGAGGTATTATATACCCAGCGATATTGATTTCTCTTATCGGACAAATTAATGAAAACTTTTAAGGTTGAAAAGGTGACAAATATAGGTTCACTGATCGACTCGTGTTTCACCCGGCATAGATACACCGGCATGCCGGTGTCTCCTTTTACAGTCTCTCGGACCAGGGTGTTGCTATTGGACTGGAGCCGAAAATCTAATAATTATCAAGTATCGCTGCCATGAGTTGCAAGCTTGCGGATACAGTTTCTTAACTGAAGACGGATATACTCCAAAATATGCGAATGTCTACAAACTGTTTGCCTAAGCTAAATTTTTGCCCCAAATTTCACAGGTAGAGAAAGTCCAGCAAGTTCTAAATACCCCCGTTCATAAATCATGAGTTTACTGACCCGCTACAAAGGTACAGAGAGAAATGTCATTCTGACACGATTGTGACAATAAATATCTTTTTGCAGTTAGGCGTGGTCCTGAAAAGAATGCATAACATTTCAATCTGTATAGTTTCTCTTTTGACACAAACAACGCTTATATTACTGTTCAAAATGCTGAGCTTACACTTTTTAAAGGAACAGAGGATCGTTTGCTCTTTGTGCATTTTCTTGGTTTTCTTTGAAGCAACAAAATTGCTCACAATCTTACGTAGGGTTCATAACCTCTATACTGTTGAAGTTCAACTCAATGGCTACTCTACGTTTTTTGGGGAAAATATGCACAATTTGTTGGGTCTTGCAACTGGATTCTGTTGCTAACACCCGTAAGATCGAAAACATTTCTGATGCAAAAACTTTATAGGCTATTTTGGCACACGGATATCCGCTGGGGAGCAAGTGTCCCCCTTCTCAATAGTTACGCCACTGGTCACTGCTATAAAATTCCACTTGTCTGAACCCTGCAATAGAAGTCACATGTACAGTGACATCTTCAACTGCAGCAGAGAAGACAATAGCAATTCACTGACGTCAGATGACACCACTAACTGACAAAGTAGCCAGTATTTTCTTTCAATCAGTCTTCTGTT